AAAACCAACCTTTTGTCAAACCGGCCTGAATAGGGTTACTACTAAAACCGGTCTGACTATAAGAATAAGGTAAGGGTGTTCCACTGTTTTCGTGTTAGAAAAAAAATCCTTTATTATTTCAAGCTTGGTAAGCCGGTTTTAAAAAGAGTTATGTTGAAATATTTTTCTTCTTTAACATTTATTTTAGTTTTGTTCTAAAAATTTATTCATTTATTTCTGTTTAACATCTAAACATTTCATTTAAAATTCAAAACTACTGATAAAATATCAATTCAATTTCTCTATCACTCACAAATATACAATTAACAATGACTTTTAATAAAATCAGTTTTTTTCTTGTTTGAATATATGCAAAATAAATTTATTTATTTTTTATTTATGTAGAAATAGACTTAATATTTTTTGTTTTATGTTTCTGAAGAGAGATTGTGGTCATATAAGTATTTTTTTTTGTTTATTAAACATTTTATAGTGTTTAATGACATTAAAATATTTTTGTTTACATAAGATTTATAGAATATTATTCATGCTATGGACTTTCTTAATTTTTAAATTAATCGTGTACCAAATTTCTTTCTAGAAGCTTAAAAAAAATTATCTTCCATATAGGAAGTGAGTCTGTTTAAAAAATTCAATTGCCATGATGAACGAAACTTTACAGGAAACAATAAAGAGTATTTAAATTGTTTATTAAATAGAATAATAATTGTTATTATTGGATTTAACGCAAATAAGGCTAACTGATATAGATGTACATTTTATTAAAACATTTTTATGAATAAAAATTCATTTCTTTCTACAGGGAAATAGGACCTTTTGAACAGACACTCCTTATATATATGTATATGCATTTTGTTATAATAATTTTAAATTGATCCTCATCCAATATTCTATTTGTATTATATTACAATACAATATTATGTTACTTTTTTGAATAAAATTTATTTAACATTACCTATTAGTTGATAAATAATTTTTGCATTGTATTGTTTGTACAATGAAATTTTTAATATCAAATTTTGTAATATGGCATAGGCTTTATTAATGCATTTAATTAAATAACAACCAAAATTCGAGATTTGTTGTGAAAGCTTTTTTCTCAAGAAGATCTCAAGTTTGAATGGAATATTAAGATCACGAAATAATTTATCGTTTTTAACATTGTCAAAATAAAATATTAATTTTCAATGTGACTATTATTATTATTTCATAAAATAAATAATTTTACGTTTGAGTATCTCATTATTTAAATTAAACATTCCCTTTAATATTCGATTAAAATGTAAAAAAATTATGATTTGATTATTTAATTAACTTTTATGTTTGCAAAAATATCCGATAATAATGAAAAAGAATTTAACAGTCTTTATTTCGTTTTATGTTGAGACAGAAGAATAATCTCGATAAAGTATTGCGTCATATGGAGTAATAAAAAGCTCTAAGAATTTTTATATTAAGCTTTTTTCAGCTCGTCATTTTAATTTTTTTTTTTTTTTCCAATCAAATTTCCAAACTTTATATGTATCTAAAAGCTTGTAAATATTCTTGTGTAGAATAAGAAAAGTTATTTTATATTTTTGTTGACAATAAAATAACTGTTACATAATCTGTCTCTCATGAATTTATTATTTATCATTATGTAGAATAATTTGAAGTAATAACAAGTAAAATGAAAACCTAATTTGTTTAAAAAAAAAAATGCGACAGTTAGTTTCTGACAATAAATTATCCAAATAATACTTGATAAAGTGCAATTAATAATCAGTTTGATGCTAAAAATAAAATATCAGACGACGGTTGAGGTGACTCTAAACTATGTGATACTACTTAATGTCAGACGAAAACTTATGCCTATGTATAAAATATATATTTTTTAATTCTATCGTTGCATAATTGTTCTTTAATAAAATTTACCTTCTCTGATACTGATAAACAATTTAATTAGTTATTTGAAAATCAAGATATTAATAATATTTGGTTAAATATCTCCATGATCAACTCTCCAATGAAGAAAGTATCCATTTTATGTTTTATTTTTTTTTTAATTTACTCGTATCTTACAGTTCTTTAACTTTTTAACGATTAGAATATTCTTACTGTTAACTAAAACTTTAGTTGAATTAATTGTAATGAAATTTTTAATAGCTAAATTCGATATCTAATAGATTATTTGTCTATTAAAGAGAGTTAAATTTCGGAATTAATACTTATTTCTTAAAAATCTTATCGTAAAATGTTACTAAATACTTTATAACATAAAATATCTCAGAAATAACTTTAAAATACAACTGATAATAGAATATCTAATTGAGTTTATTGATGATATGTGTTCAACAAAAAGCTCTCTTTGATTAATCGACATTGATGTTCATATTATAGAACAATTCTTTAAAAATATTTATTATTATTAGTATTAAATAGTTTATAATACGATATTACTTTTCTAAAATAATTAATATTCGAAACAACTAAATATTTCATTAATACTGCAGCAAAAAAAATAGTTTTTTTTGCTTTAATTTTGTTCTCATTTAAGAATTCCGATGAATTTAAAAGTAAAGTGTTTAAATTATTTATTTATTTAATATTATTTGTATTAAATATATCATATAATTAATTGCAGATTTAATCGACCTAAGTTACTGTATACTAAAAAAATAGTAAATAATTTCTAGTGTTAAATAAATAATTTATTAAATGACTATTTAATATTTATTCTAATTATTTACTTATTATAAGTAATTATTTACTTGATTCTACAACTATTACATATTTACTTGTTATGAAAAATTTTTTTTTCAATGTATTTTTGATCTAATATATTATTAATACACATATATGTATATATAAATAAATAATAAATATATAAAATAAGTATATTTAATACTTATAAATATTAAAAGTTACCATAAACCATGAATATGTATGTTATTATGTATTTAAAAATTTATTAAAGCTCCATGAAAAAGCGTTTATTTTTCAAAATTAAATCAACAGAATATTTCTTTCTTTCAAGAAAAAAAAAAAAACATCTAAATGATTTTTAAAAAACTTGCTCAACCCGAGATTGGTTTTGAAAGGCTAACACAAGAATCACTTGTGTTAAGAATTTTATAATAAATATTAGTCAATATTTAAATTTATTACAAAAAATATAATTTGACTGAATAATTAAATAATTTTCTAAATATCTACTTGTTGAAAACCACTAATTCATTCTAAAAAATTAACATATGCAATTTAATTAACAAAATCTATTGACTAAAAATTTTCAACATAAACTATATTATACGTGTGTGTGTGTGTGTGTGTGTGTTAAAAAAAAAATCTGAAGACTTTCCAATATTCATTACCGAGTCTCTTTTAGTCTCAAGAACATCAGACGAGAGCTCGAGAGAGGGAGTTTTTGTATACGAGATGTGTAAAAAATAATTAACTTCAAAGTCTAAATTATTGATAATATTCCATGAAAATAATTAAAACGGTATTATTTGAAAAATAAAATGGAGTTTAATGAATAAATCTTTAAGAATCATCAGTTGATCAATTGAGGTAGACACAATGATATATACAAGTATAGAATCCATATCTCTTTTGCCCATGCGTTATCTGCAAGTTGGCTGTATTCGAATTTTAGACATGTGGGATTGTAAGTAGAGGGTCGTTCTAGCGAATCATGAATCTTGTCGAATTACGTATGAGAAGCGTTTTTTGTGGGACGAACGTTCCATGTGTGAACGGGAGAAAGATTTAACTCGGCAAATCCTATACGTGCTTCTCCCCTTACTTGATGGATACCTACGCCTCTGCCACACCCACATTACTTATCGAAAGACGGTTGTGTAGTATATATAAAAAAAGCTAAACTTCCCTTGAAATAAACTCCCTCCCATTGCACTATTGTTTTTAAAATTTTAATTCAAGATTTCACATATGACAGAATAATTGTTCGTCAATCTTTCATTTAATGTTTAAATTAATAGACTAATTGGTCTCGATTTATTTGGAATTCGTTGTTAGAATTTTTTCCTTCCATCTTATTGCTAAAGTTATTCATTTGATATTTGTTTATATATTAAAATTATTAAAGAAATATTTTTGGAGTTTAAAGGTTCCAAAAGTGACTCCAAAAATACGGTAATGTTTTTTTAAAAAATACATACTAAACATCATTAGACATTCAATAATTAAACTTGTGTTAGAAATTTAAAATAACATTAGGAATTTTGAAAGCTTCAAATTTTTTTTTTTTAAATTTAAAAACAAATAAAAAAAGCTTCGAAAATTTTTATTCAATGTAAAAATAGATGAAAAATTTTTGAATAATTATTAATAAAATTTCACTATCATTTACTGATAATAAGTATAAAAGTTTATTGAATTAATATTTTTAAATTAATAAATACAAATAGGTATTTTATTAAAAAGATATATTTGTAATGATAGTGAAAAAAATAATATATAGTATTATTATAAAAATAAATAGATTAAACCTGTTTTTTGTTACTTTCATTTTATTGATAAAAATTTATTTTTTTTGTCATCTTTTAACACTTCTTTCATCTCTTTATTCAAAATTATTTTTTTTCAACAGTGTTTCATCGTATGAATTTTTATTTCAAAATTTAAACAATCCAAAGAGGTAAATTTAATTCACATTAATTAATTGTGTATACGTTCAAAGGATAATTAAATTAAATTAAATATTCCAAAATAAATATATATATAAAATTTAATTCAATCATATTTATTTTATTTAATCTATTTATTATTATTATTATCTACTATATAATTTTGAATTATTTTAAAAAGAAATATTTTTTGAAATGACTTAAATGAATGTCTCGGTCATAATTTGACACGCAGAAAAAAAAATTCATAACATTTACAGTAATATTACTGTAACGTTAATAAATTCGGTTCTTTTAATGCATAATAATATTTATTAAAAATTAAACAATAGCATTAATAAGATAAAAAATAATTTACAAATGACTCACCATTTCTCACGACATATTATCCTCCAATTATTCAAGTTTATTTTAATTTCCCGTACTCATTCTCGGATGTTGAAGAATAAAATCTAAAACTATCTCACCAACTGTAAGAAATAAATAGAATAAAATTAATAATATTATAATTAAGTCTCATCCTTGTTACATCTTGTATTGATGTGTCAACTTGGAAAGCATTGTCATCTAAAACCGAATAATTCATTTAACAAAACCGGATTTAGTTTCTAGTTTGACATAGAATATAAAAACATTATACATACATTCATTCCTTTTAACATTAATATTATAACTTTCAAAATTTCAATACAATTAATTTATTTAAGTTTATATTTATTGTTCATCATTTTAATTATCAAATTTATATCATTTAATTAACTAAATAATAATGTATAACGTTTTTATAAGCTTTCCTGACTATTAATAGTCAAATAATTAATATTAATTAATTGATAATTATTATTAAATTTTAAAATATGTCAGAATTATTTATATTCAATCATTTATCGCCAATAATAACAAATTTAAAATAGAATAAATCGAAATCTATATTAATAACAGGAATCTTTGCATATATAAAGCAGATATTAATATTCTTAATAAATTAAATAATTTATAAAAAATTTACTTAATACTTTACATTTATCTGCACATGACAAAAATAATATAAATGTCAGTTTAATATTAAAACTTATCCAATTATCTATATATTTAATAACCAACTAAAAATAATTTAAATATAATAATAAAAATACTAGAAGAAATAAAATGATCTTTATTGTTTTTAGTAAATAACAATAATTAATGTATTTTAATAAATTCGCAACAAATAAAAATAACCACAACTATTTTAATTTTGTGCAAGATATTTATCAACCCTTAATGATCGTTGGTCGTTCGTTTCAAGAGAATAAATTGTCTGGAATTTAATGTTTTCATCTTAAAATTAATCTTTATTTTTTTGTAGTTTATTTATATTAAAAATAAGTTAATAATTGTGTTTTTCTAATACTTATTAGTTATTAAAAAAATTTAATATCAATAGCAAGATTTAATTAAAAATCAAACTGTATCACAGTCTTAGAAGTAATAAAAATTATCTTATGATAATCTTAGACTCTAAGAAATATATTTAATTAATGTTTATGATATTAATATAATAATAAATAATGGTATTAAGGATATTTTTGAATAGTAATAGTAATTTAGATATAATAGACATAGATCAGATAACTATTCATACAACTTATTCAGATGAAATAATTGAAAAAGACTGAAGTAAGAAGAAGGTATCTGGTTGGTGAGGTTACAAGGAGTGGATTTTACCGTGGGAAGGTGAACAGATAAAATCCGAAAGAGATAAAAGATGTAAGAGTGAGACGAAAAGTTAGAAGAGTATGACTAGAGACTTGAAAAAGGAAAAGAAAAAGTGATCAATAAGAGGAGTGTCAGAGTAAAGATGAAGTAAAAAGAAACAGAAGATTCTTTCTGTTATAACTAAAAAAGTAATATGTTGTAGTTAGAGACTTTTTATTGATTTTCATATTTACCATCTAAATGGTCTTTTTACGACATTTACGAGATTTATTGAGAAGAATAATCATTACTTGAAATTCTCAGCAATTCCAAGTAGGGAATTGTTCAATTCTTTGGATAAAAATGAATCTCAATTTATTCATCATCTATTTAACAGTTTTGTTTTAAGTTTAACAAAATATAAACAAGTGAATTTTTAATACACACCTGTAAGGACTACAAGCCATTCCTATCTTATTTTTTTAATAAATATCCTTAAGCACTTGGATCAGTCAAAGGAACTTTTATTTTTATGCAATACTTTGTTACATACTGCAAATATCTGTAAATATAAACAAAAAAGAGAGAATTAATTGTCTTTATTACAAAATAATGTTTAAGGAAATTCAGTCTCTATTTAATTAATTATCCTTCACCATAATCCTGAATTTCCAATAGGGATGATAAGAAAAAATTATTTTTAAAAAAGTTATTAAAATGAAAATAGATCATCACTAATATACATTATGGCTATTGATAAATGTTTGTTTGGTTGATAAAGAATTATATTTCAGGAGATGCTGAATAAATTTATCTTTATATTATTTTGTTTCAATAAAAAAATTCATTAGAAGCTGTAGAAAATAATTGAAAGTAATTGGTCAGGTTTTTATTTTAATTTTATAACTTTGATAAAAATTAGTCAATTCTCACCAACAGTTTAGATTCTCGGTCTATTAAAAATAATGTTTAAATAAAGAAAAATTTTTTTTTATTGTAATTGAAGTTATGAATGATCAGTATGATTACGAGAAAATTCTCTGATAAAAAGGAGAATAATTGTAGCTACCATAGCAGTATGATATTAACATTATGAACTTGATCAATTTTTAATACACGAAAAATTCTAATTTTATGTATTCAAATAAATTTAAAATAATTATGTATCCTCTTAATATAATCATAATTTTTTAAAATATCTATAAAACAATTATATCAATTCTCCGGAACGTAATTAATAGAAAGAAGAATTTTTTTCTATCAATTCTTTTTTTTTAAGTCTAATCGGAAACTATAAATTTAATTTCTAAAAATGACGCTAAATATAACATTCTATAACAAATAAAACCGATAAAATTAATAACTTTGTGCATTTAAATAATTAAAAGAGAATTTTTCACGCACTATCACATGAATAATATCATAATTATTCAGTAAAATAGTTGAGTGAAGTATTTTAACATTATCAAAGATAAAATTTATAAAAATATAAAATATAAATAAATTGTGAACAATAATTGTGTACAATGGGCTAGTTAAAATTAACTAAGTTCAAGTTAAACTGATTAAAAATACAAAAAAAAATGTTTACTCAAGTATTTCTAATATCTATTGTTATTAAATTATAATTAAATAATGTAATACCTATGATTATATTAAAAAACGACACTGCAAATCCAAGTGCATTCTTGTTACACATCTAAACATGTTAAATACGACGTCACCCAGTTGATTAACATTGACATTTTTTACACATTTAGAAACACATTAAAAGTAATTACAAATAAATCAAATTGGTGACATCATATTTAACACGTTTAGATGTGTAACAAAAATACACTTGAATTTACAGCGTAATAACTTATAAATCTACTGAAAACCAAGTTATCTACTTTAATTAATTATTAATAATCTTCAATTTTGCTAACTTAATCGCATTACCTACATTCAATCTTCAATAAAACTTTTAATTCCAAGTAAAAATAATAAACACTTTTATCTATATTATTATTACAACAATATAACAAAAATGAAGTAATCAGAATTTTCGAAATACTTCCAAATTACTCAGACATACATTCATTTATATAAAAAAAAATCGCTAATTTATTATGATTCTAGAATTTTTTAATTATACAATATTTGTTTATGTTGATTTATGATGTAAAAATTTAAAACAAAATATTTCCATTCATCGAAGTATAATTTTTATTTTGCATTCTTATCACTTTGCAGAATCTTTACTGTAAAGAGCAAGGTCCACGATCAATACAGTAATAAAGCAGCTACCTCCCATCCTCATTCCAAAAAATGTACTTTCATTGGATCGAATCTTAAATTCATCAAAATATAACACAAAATACGATTTTTGGATTTTATTTCATTTATATTAAAAATTCTTTAGTTGTCTATTTTATTTAAAAATAAAATATTTTTTAATTCAAACATACTTTCATCTTATTTATTAAAATCATACTTCAATCATAATTTAAAGTTTATCTCGTTGTATACCAGCGTGACAATCAGAAGGGCGCATTTTTTTTGTGTCATTTGAAACAGGAAATACAACTTTTCAATGTATTGGAGTCGAATATTTTGAACGAACAAAGAAAATATAATTTTTTTATATAAAATAATCATTCACACGAATGATAGAATCTATTCTATAAATAAACAATCAACTGATGTTGCATTTAATTACCATACAAGTTTATAATAACTATTGAATGATAATTACCATTGGGATATATTAAATATTTTAAATAAACCATGGTTATATATTCACACATACTTGTAAAACCAGTACTGATTCTAGACATGTAGTAGCAAAATAGCATGAATAAAATAAATAAATAGATTTCACAAACATTTAATGTGTATCTATGATTAATCGTTATTTAAACTTGTAATAAAATGTTTCATTTTTTTATTTTTTTTTTTTGACCGATAAAATTTTGCATTCACAGAGGGTAAAAATTACTCTACTCTGAAGTAAAAATTGTATTACTGTCGTTGCGTCCTACAATTACTCTACTGCAGGACAAAATTTAAACCATACTTTAGATTAATTTTTACTTGAAAATTTTCTCCATTATTTATATTATAATACTCTACATGTTGAGATTATGAATAAAAAATAATTCATCATGAAATAAATTTGAAAAATAATTAATTTGCTGTATATTAATTATTTACATTGATGTTAATTCTCCTGAAGCATATTAATTACTAAATTATTTTTAATATATTGATCCTGAACATCTATAATTACTGACAAATAATAATTTTATGACAAATATTATCATACATAATATATATCATAATTTTTAATATTATATATATATGCTCTCTAGTTTAAATGTTTTACATTTATTTTTACCAGTTTTTTATCAACATGCTATTATAATAAATAAACTCAATATAGTATGGACACAGTTAATTAAAAACAAATAGACATTATGTGTAGTTGAAACTCGCACAAAGTCAAAAGATTTTTTCAATTAATACAGAGTTGAGATATTTATTTAATTTATTTGGTTAATCGATAATAATAAATTAATTTAAATAATGATTTTGTATAAATTAAAGGTAATAATATACATGGAAAATTATTTTGTCAAAGTGAAGCAATCAAATTAAATTTAAAAATGAATCACTACTAAACTTATTATTATTGATAAACATACATACACTTTTGTAGTTATATCTCATGTAAAATATTAATTTTAATTTAATTTTACAAAGTAATTAAAATTTATTGTCTCATTATATGTATTAAAGACAAATATGTTACACTTATAGACTCTAAATAATCTGATTAAAGTAGTCAAATTTGAATTACCATTTTAATTATTTAGCTGAAAAGCTTTCTCAAAAATATTTTCGTTTGTATTAAAAGGTTTCGATTACAAAACAATCAATAATCTGCGGACGTCAATTCAACCCTATTTCATGATCGTATATTATATTGACAGGTCACAGAACTTTTGTGTCAAGTATAATTGTGCTCTACAGAAATTATGCAACACCAACATAACAATGTAAGGCTTTAAAAGTTAATGCGCCCTCGAATCACTAGAATAAAATCATAAATATACCTGTAGACACATTCCTATTGTATACCACTCGATGTAAAAATGTTTTTTCATAATCTTCTATACCTTTTTATTTGCTCAGACCACCTAACAGTTGATTTTTGGTTATAAACGTAATTTGTATATTAGCTTTCGAAATCTGATTTTGATTCAAGAGAAATTGACTATTGGCTAGAGAAATATACTTCTCATACACATACAGCATGTCAGAATGTGCATATCAGTTGGCATTATCATAATGGAATGTAACTTCATATTAATATATCTAATAAAATAAACTACTACAAAAAATACAATTAATTCAAAGTAAATTCAAATATACATCCATCTTTAAATGTGTATTATTATTATTATTGTTTATAAAATATGATATTCATTCAAACTAGTTTTTAGACAAAGATTTGTTCAAATTTTTTAATTAATTCTTTTAATTGATAAACCTATTCATTTTCTCACAAAGATTGGCAACGGTTAAAAGTAAATTATTCTCACCCATATCATTGTGATTGAAACTGTAGGCATATAATTAATACAGAAATGAATAAACTAGTTGATACACAATAAATGGGATCATTGTTCAACTTAAAATGTAACAAAAAGAGAAGTTCGCTAAAGAACATAGACCAATTGTCACTAGCTCATATAATTTTACCGTTGGTATTATTTAGAAAGAGAATGTGTAAAGGTACATAAAAACTAATGCTAATTATGCAAGAATATACCTGGTATTAATATATGCATACAGTATGCATAGAATTATATTTGACAGCCCTGTAAACGGCCAGGATAATAATGTTCACTAGGTATCAACATATGGAGAATGAATGGCTCACAGAGAAAGTAAAAAAAAAAGCATGAGAAAAATGAGTAAAAAAATAAGCATCAAATTTATGCAAAGATATGTATGTATCCATTTGCTTAGAGCATGAATGTTGCATAACGAATTATATAAAAGCTCATATATATAAGATTTAGAAGAAAACATTTTATATACAATCCGGTTTACTTTACTGAAATATCGATAATTTTGATTACAGATCATTTTTGTTATTTTAAAATTAGGAATATTGAATTTGTTCAAATTCTTTTCTTTTTTTTTTTTTAATTAAAACAAAGATTTTACGTGAATACAGTTATATTTATATTATTCTTAAAATAATGCATGTCTAATGCTACGGAAAATATTTTTTTTTATCTTAACTTTCATCATGCTATCATAAAAAACTAAAATAAAATATCCATTTTCAAAAACAATGAAAAAAACTCTACACCATAATTTTAAAAAACACCTAATACACTAAATCTGCTTGATCACTTTAATGAATTTATATTTTTATAAATAGTATGATATTTTTGTTTGTCAAAGAATAAAAAAATAAAAAAATTTGATAGTTTTTCTTTAATACTTACTTGAATAAAAAGAAGTAGATTACTGATTGAACACAGCTTGACAACAGCAAAAAGCCTTTCCAATATTTGTTAATAGCTGAAAAAGATATTATATTATAATAATTATAATATAATTTAAATAATAATTATTATGGTAAATTTATATTAGTTCTACATACGTTTTATTCGAGAATCAATCAATATGTAATTGAAGTGAAAACTCCAATAATTTGAGGTCGAATACATCAAGTCATTATAAATAATTGATTTTAGCCAATTAATATAACAATTAGTTAGCTTTGAACACCTTTTGATCAGTGCCTTATTAATTGTCAGTTCAGATTATTATTTATTAAATATATTTTATAAGAAAAATTTCAATTTAAATACTCGAGAATAATAAAATAAATTTTGTCATCAAAGCTCTGCACTTTAGTGTTTAATATTTACTAATCAGGTCAATGAAATAAGCATAATTTTTGTAATTAAGAACAATAATTTTAACCAAACTTAATGAATTAATAAGCAATTATTAATATATTCATGTAAATATGTTGTCTATTATTATTATTAATGCTTCTACCAAACAGATCGAAGCTGACTTTACTTATCAATCAACTTGAATACTAAATACCAATAGTATAATTAATAATTGCTAAATTCAAGTATATCTTTAGTTAAAATACCAAGAAGCTTGTTATTTATTTATATTTAACAAAAATCAATTATTTACAAAACGACTCCTAGCAATGATGAACTATTTAAATAGTTTACCACTGCTATCAGCATTTATTTAATTTCAATTTTTTTCTAATTAGCAGGTTCTTGTGGCTTTATATTAAATGACAACAAATTATAACAAGCCAACATACTTGGATATTTGTATTTTTACTTTTTACTTTCAAAAAAAAAAATCCAAGAAAGAAGCAAGGAATAGAAGTACTTTTATTAATAAGTATAATAATGAAGTAATTCGTAAAGTTATAGAATAAGAAATTTTTGAAAAATATTGGATATGATCTCAATATCTTTCTGGTCATTAAAATATTATGGTTGATTCAATAAATTAAAAGTAAAGCAGTGTTAACGATTATTTGTGGGGCAAAAAAAAAAATGAAAATACCACTAACCATGTTTTTCTTTCATAATAAAGAGAAATAGACAGCTCGGACCTTTTGGACCTCGGCTATTAGCGAAGACTGAATGTATATGAATGTCTACATCATAGAAATTTGAATTAGCTGAACAAATAATATAAGAAGAATTAATATTTGTGATTTACAAATTAGAAATCTATTCTACTTGTTTATATTTAACGTTATATTTTTCTTTTTTCTTTGTTACTCTTTCGAACTAAACTTATTCAATTGTTTACAAACTATACCAAGAAGAATTTATTTCTAGCCGTTACGAAAAGTTATTCTTCAATACACACCAAAAGTTGCATCAAATATTGTTGACAATTATGTTATCATATTTTCAGGATTTTGCTATGAAGATTACATTTCTATTCCACGTGTTGATATTTATTATTCAAAAGCTTTCAAAATTCATAAGAATACTATTCACTTCAAAAACGTTTACAAGGTCACTTTTGTTGTTGATCAAAATTCAGAATAACCAACTTTATTTACAACACAGCCGTGTAATATCACTAGTCTACGAAATAAAATCCCCACTACTTTCTTTGTTTGTGTGGGGAATTTGCAGTGACTTTCATGGGTGAGTCAAATTGTAGATAATAACGAAAACTACAGTATTTCCATTATACAGTAAATCGAAAAGTCGACATTCCGAAATTGCTAAAGTTAAAAACGTGTTAGTACATATTCTATCAATATTTTTTATCTATAAAATAGAAATTTTTTTACAACAGACAATTTGTACTTTAGTGATAATGTCAATGCGATATTTAAGAAAAATTCAAAATCATGGCAATAAAAAAATTGATGTAGAAAATATTGAAACATCTGTTGTATCTACTAAAAATCATAATAACGATAATAATGTCACTCAAAAGACAGTAAACTTTAATCAAAAATCTTTCAATGTTTTCGATCTTGTAAGTTATAAATAATTTGCTTATACATAGTATTTTTTTAAAAAATTCTAGTTAACATAAAATTATGTTAATTGGCTATTCTGTTTTAGCTGTCTGATTCTTCTTCTGTAAATGATAAAACAGATGACAGTGATAACAATCAAAGTGATGTAGAAGAAAATACCTTAAATCAACAGAATAGTACTTCTCCACACAATCATGGTAATGAAACAAACAATAAAAAAAAGAATAGAAAGAAGAATCGTAAGAAGAAAGTGGTATCAATCATTGAAGAACAAAATAAAAAAGATATTGATGTCAATTTAGATGAATTATCTATATCATTGAATCTTCCATGTAGTTCGAATGACAATCAATCTACTTCCGCATGTCTGGTTGAAACACCAAATTCACAAACTATATTAAAAATTCAACAAAAATATTTAAATGCAGAAAATGAATTAAAAAGACTATGTGGAAGTAGAGCCGTAAGTGACAATCTCATCAGTAACCAACGCAGAAATAAATCATTAGTATCCAATAATTTAAGATGCTTTAAGAAAATGTATTTAACTGAATCATGTAAATGGTCACCATCAACATCCTCGGCAGCTATGAAAAATTTTGGACTGTCTATGGCTATCGACAATGATGTAGCCAATGAAACAAATTCAAAAACTAACATCCAATACTTTGTGTTTGTTCATGATAACTCTTATAAAGAAATACAAAAGAAATTCTTTGCTGCAGTTGAAAGTAAAAATCCTCAAAATATAGTAGTAAGTGTTATATTACTTTATATATTAATGATAAGTTTTTCCATCTACTAATTATTATCTTCTTTTAGAATATTGTAGTTGCATATCCTTATCATGTCGATACGCTCATACAATTTGCAGAAATTCACAAATTAAATGAAGACTTACAAAGTTCAGCTGAATATATTGAACGTGCACTCCGTTGTCTAGAATTTTCATTTCATCCAGCATTTAATATTATTTCTGGTAATTGCCGATTATCATACAAAAAACAAACAAATAGAGCACTTTATATTGCTTTATTTCAACATTTGATGTTTATCGCTGGTCGAGCTTGCTACCGAACAAGTTTAGAACTTCTTAAAGTGTTACTTTCCTTTGATCCAGATAGTGATCCATTAGCTTGCATTCTCATAATTGATTGGTTAGCAATTCGTGCTAAAGAATATCAATGGTTTATAGACTTTTGTGAAGTCTTCAATAAAGAAAAAAATCGTAATCTTACACAATTACCAAATATTGCTTACGGTTTAGCTCTTGCGTATTTTCATCTCCAAGATAATTGTGAAACTGCTGATGAATTGCTACAAAATGCTCTTCTTATGTTTCCCAATGTTCTATCAGGATTAATTGAAAAATGTGGAATTAAGCCTGATAAAAAAGTATTGAATCATAGTTACTTTTTTAATAATAATATTGAAAGTAAAGCTCTTAAAAAAATTGAGGATCTGTATGTCGTACGTTCACACCATCTTTGGAGAGATAATAATATTCTGGCTTGGCTTGAAAAAAATGTTAATTCTGTAATTAATAAAATTGATTCAAATCAAGTTAAAGCGCATATTAAATATTGTGAAGTTAAAAGGAAACAACGATATCAAGGTCAATTACCAAGAAATATATCCAGACATATTATCTTATCAGATATTAAGGAAGTTACATTGTCACATCCTGATGTAAGTATAATTTCACAAAGAAATTAAAATATAATTATTAATAATGCATATTATTTGTAATATTGAGTAACGATATTAATTATTTTTCAGATTCAAGCTAACGATAACATTTTTTCGTATGATCCTTTGCCTCCAGCAGATTCAATAGATGTTTACGATAATAATACACGATTAGCAATAACAAATAGAACGGATACCAATACATCAACAAATTCAAATCTTTTGTCACTTTTCTTTTCATCTTTATTCCCGAATGCTGAACAGAATGAAAACATCCAGGCTGTAATAGATCAGTATGTATTGCTATATTTAAACTAAGTCAAAATTACGCATTGACCTAAATTATTAATTAACTATTATTTCATTTAGCTTACGTGAAAATGATCAAGATGAATTTGATTAAAAAATTTCAAGTATAGATGTAAGTATATTTAAATTTAATAAACAATCAGATGTACAAAAAAGTTATAGTTATTCGATAATCATATTTATTTGTCATCTAGAAAAAATTGAAATGTTTGAATTATAAAAAAAAAAATTAATTTTACAATAATAACTGAGTATATTCTTATTTAGAAATTATACCCAAATACTTTAGTTTTAAAAGCTGTTTAAACTTTACATAAATTCAAATAGTATTTATACAACACTTCGAAATACAGGATTGTAACGACAAATACCTGGACCATATTCCTGATAATCTTTTTTTGTATGACACACTTGATAAAATTCTGGACCACTTGCCAAAAGTGCACCACCAAACCACACTGCACAACGTTGTTTGTGATGAGTTATTACACGAACATCAATTGCTGTTGGCTAAATTAATAATAAAAAAAAAAACCAAAAATTAGTCATTTGTATGCTAGACAATAAATTAAAATAACACTAGAAGGTATCTACCGTTATATGACCTCCACTAAGTTCTTCGCTAAGTTTTAATCTCGCATCAACCATTTTTTTAACATCTCTCTGCAATCTTCTACCGAAATCTTTGAACATGGTAGAACCACCAGAGAGTACAATATTTTTATATAATGGCCGTCTTACATCTATAGGACAATTCTGGATAACATCATCAACTATTTCACCTAGAGGTGTAGTAAAATCTGGATTTGCAAATTCAGGATGAAAGAATATTTCAGGGCCTAAAAATCGCTCATAACCAACATCAACCATGAATGGTTGTTGTGTTATACTATTGATACCCGTATACTTTTTAAATTTACTTGGATCACTATCATACTTGGCGAATTCTTTGGCAATATCTGGACAAATGTAACAGTGCTTCTCTTTAATTGCTTTTGCAGTTTCTAATGATTGTTCTGGTGGTATTCCGATTTCTCGTTCTCTCAATAAACTCTGAATAAAGTAAGTAATATCTCTTCCAGCAATCGGTATATGTTTTATACAACTTCCAATGACGAAACCTGATGCAACAGGTATTACATGAGTTACACCATCTCCACTGTCTACTACAATGCCGGTTAATGATCTGTCTTCGACAGATTTTGCAGTCCAAGATGCTGCTAATGCTAAGACAGCTTGAACAGCTATATAAAGCCCAGGAACGTTGAAAGATTCAAACATAATTTCAGCCATGTATTCTCTATTTTCAGGAGTATTTAGTGGTGGCTCAGTTAATAGAAAGTAATGATCTTCAGGCTCCGCTCTTAAATATTTAAAAATACATTGCTGTAGAAATCTTTCCATCAAATCCCAGTCTTCTACTAAACCATGTCTAACTGGATACTATTAAATAGAAAAATAATATTGTCTTAAAACTCATCATATTACTATCATGAAAAATAATTGAAAAATCACCAATGTTCATGTATACAATTGATGTTATGAAAAAAATACCTTCACAGAATATCCTGGTGAATTAAATGCTTCATATCCAATATAAAAATCTAGATCTTCAACACCCTTAGTTACTCTTCGAGCACTATTATCTCCAACCTTTGCAGTTTCTTTTATTGCTATGGCAGAAGGAATGACCAGTTGAGGTTCTCTATTTGCAGCAAACCCCAATTTCGTATACCTAATTGCAAAAGAAATAAGGAAAAAAAATGTTTATTAATTTATTTTAAATAATTGCATAGAAAATTTTTACATATTAATGTTTAATTTATTTATCAGTATCCGAAAGATGTAATTTAAAATGGGTATTATCATTTTTCTCATCACTTACCCTGTTCCCACATCTATAACACATGCAGGTGGATGACCTAACATTTTTAATTTAAATTAATTTTGACTAACAAAATAATTCTGATGATCAATTTATTAATTCGATGAGTGTATGATTCACTTATCACTAGAAACCATTGAAGTTAAGACTTTGAGCTATCAAAGTAAAAACTGGCCACAACCTAAATCCGCCATTTTTGATCGAGATTGGATGTTTTCCAACTCATGCCTTGTGCTCTCTACATGCCGCTTTTCATGATGTTTTGTTGTTCACTGAATTATTTGAGTTTACTATACTGATGTAATTTCTAACCTAATTAAACATAAATTTTTCTTATAAATAAATAATTATGTATACATTTTAAATTCGCAAATTATACATACAATAATTTAAAAAACTGTTTCGTAAATATCACTCATTTCAGAAATTTTGCGGATTTTAATTTTTTGTAATTCAAATTCCGGATATCCTGTATTCAATTCAAATCCAAAATAGCGCGTACATATAAACTTCGTAAACGAGAAGAATTAAATTACAATAAAAGTATTAAAATTAGTTATTGAACATTGAAAACAAATGGAAAGTCACTGCAAATGGTATTGAGCTATTTATTAAATTATTAATACAAAATTAATAGACATAATTATGTCACAAATACAAAGTTTATGGCGACATTGATATTGAGTTATTTATTAACAACTCTATTAATATATTGATACATTCACACAATACACTTTTCTAATATAAATTTAGTGTCATAATTTACTACTATTATAAAAATTAAGTTTTTCAGTACGATATCGATAATTGTTATTTTAATTGATTTTTCAATCAGTCTAAAACATAATCTTTTGTAGAAAAAAAGCATTAGACTGTTTGGATATGATCTTTTATTTATCTTGATAATATATCAAATTTTATGTAAAAAGTTTATTAAAAATACTGATAATTGTTTATGAAAAGAAGCTATTAGAATAATTGTCATGAAAATTAATTGATGTATTCAAATGATATGCATAATTTAAAAGAATAACTTCTACATGTGTTCAATGATTATTGAATCAATGACAATTTTAATCCATATTTAAGAAATATAAATATCATAATAATTTAATGTAATATATAATTATGACGAAATAATTAACTTTTATAAAAGCTCATCTGTTTAAATACTCTTAATGTCCACAGAAACGCCAAAACACATTAGTTTTATGTTGATAAAATTAAATTAGATATTACTGGCCATTTGTAATAATTTATCATAGTAAATACACATTACAATACTCTTGTACGATTTTATGATTTAAAACTTATTTACTTTAAAAGTATTTTTATATCAATTCGTAGTAATAAATTTTCATAATTTTAATTAATGAATAAATTCCACTGATACAATTGTTAAATAATGTATCTTGGAAAATTTTTTATTCAACTTATTACCAATTATCTAAGAACTCAAATCCAGTTTTTGGTATTGTATCTTCTTGGTTACTCTTGGAAAATTGAAAACTATCATATGAACTAGGAGTTTCTATTAATGCTGTTGACTCTTGACGTTCATCTGATTTTGGATTCAATGTAATTGAATTAATAATGTTAATGTGATTTTTTCGATTATCAGTATTACTTTTATTCTCATGTTTGATCGAGATATTTTTTTGAGGGACTAAACTCTGAATGTCATCATCAGAATTATTAGTCATTTTCAATAAAGAAGTTTTGTACATAAACTTTGTAAAAATATTTCCAGCATTGTCATTATTTGTTGTACTATTCATCACTCGATTTGAATCAACATTACTACAGACACTATCAGTGAAACTTTCTGACTGATAAAAACTCACTTGAGTTGAAGTAGGACTATATTCATTCAAAGAACATTCAAAACTACAATTCTCATTTATTTTTATTGGACTCATAAAATGTAATGAATTTCCTTCATAATTATTAATCATCTGAGAATTGGAATTGTCGGCATATTCATCATTGTGAAGATTTATCTGTGATTTAGTCATAAAAGAAAATGGACTTGAGTGTTCATCTCTCCATTTTAATATCTGAAACAATTTATTTAAGTAAAATAATTTTAGAAATTTAATATAAATTATTTAATAATTTTAAAAATGTATAGAAAATATTTACATGTCCCGTCTCATCAATAATGTATTTCATTCCAGTCTGATCTCTCATTTTGGGATAAAAATTCGATAAAATGTTGATAGACTCGTCAACATTGGAAAGTGAATATTTTAATGCTACCTCGGGTTGAATTATTGTTTCATTAATAGCTTGATTTTTTTCAGTCAAACTTAAAGAACCCCACAGTCCTTCATAAGCATCTTTCGTAGCTTTTATATCTTCACTTATTCTCTTGGTTAGAGAATTTAAATTATAAAAATAATCATCGGCAATTAAGCTTAATGATTTATTTGACATAATTAAAGTTGGTTAATATTTAATTTGGATTGATCAGTCTATTTTCTCTCAAATAGAGTATTATTTAGAACCTTTTTAATAAGTACATAATTCACTTAGAATAAAGTAATTATTGATAAAGATCGTTTCCTTAGAGTCTCATAAAAGTTATCTTTCTTTTTTTTCTAAATCATTTAATAAACATTAGCTGGCAGTATATAAAATACAATGACAAGTAATGAGCGATTGAATAAATATTGTAAAATTATTAACTATAAAAAATTAAACACACACGTATATTTACATAAGTCATGTATGCTCAACAGTCAATATTTATCAGCATGGTACAAATTTTACATTGAATGACACTAAATAATATAATTTCCAAGAAATTACAAAAGAAATACGACTAGAATACACTGAGTGTTTACTTTTTGACATAATCTATATAAAACAGTAGAAGAAGTGAAAACTCGAGTGGAAAAGTGACTAACCTTCAAATTCTGAACAATAGAAACTGAAAATTTATGTCGCTGAACGAAAAAAAAATGTCCCTACTGCTTTGTTGTCAAAATAAAGTGGGGAATTTGAATTTTAAACTTTCTATACTCAAACCTGTTGAGTATAGTCACTTGCCGCGTTTACGGAAGCCACGCCTTCTATATTTATACTTTAGTTATTTGCAAACAATTGTCATAATATTCAGTCAAAGCTGATTGGTAGGACCTAATCAGCCTACGTGTACATAATTTGTTGTAACTTTAAATTTATTTTTACAAACGATCTTTAACTTTAGACTATTTACATTAAAATTCGACTTTTTTACATTTTAAAATGCGGATTGTTACATGCATTGCTCCAGTAAACATTGCTGTGATAAAATACTGTAAATATATCATTTTACAGTTACTTTATTAATATATGGATCATTTTATTAGTTATTTTGATTTTATTTGAATTCATTTTTCAGGGGGTAAAAGAAATGAAGAACTTATTCTTCCAATAAATGATTCTATAAGCGCATCTTTGGATACAAATCAAGTAAATTTTATATATAAATAAGGATAATTAAAATTTCATAAACAAAAATAAAACATTAGTGTCATTACTTTTTAGATGTGTGCTAAAACTACTGTGATGATCAGTCCTGATTTTGAATCAGATAGAATTTGGTTGAATGGAAGGTAAAATATAAAAAAGCATTCTTTATACTCTGTTGAAATAAATATTAATTATAGAAATAATGAGTAAATTTTTTTTAACATATAAAGGGAAGAGTCTATAGATAATAAAAGACTACAAAGATGCATTCAAGAAAGTAAGTTGAAAAAATTGTTAAAATATTGAATATTATTATGGTATGTTTTTTGGTGCAGTTAGAAAAAGGGTAGCTGTTTCTGGTGGAACTTTGAGTGAAGAAATTTGCCAATGGAAAATACATATTTGTTCCGAAAATAATTTTCCAACAGCGGCTGGTTTAGCATCAAGTGCAGCGGGTTATGCATGTCTTGCAGCTGCTTTAGCAAAGTTGTATGATTTCACAGGTAACATAAGTGAAATAGCACGTTTAGGATCTGGATCTGCATGCAGAAGTGTTTACGGTGGATTTGTAAGGTGGTATATGGGATCAGATCCAACAGGAAGAGATAGTATTGCAAAACAAATAGCTCCTGAAACTCATTGGCCTGAAATGAGAATCATTGTGTTAGTTGTAAATGATAGTAAAAAAAAAGTTTCAAGTGCAATAGGAATGAAACGAAGTGTTGAAACATCTAAATTGCTTGAATATCGTGCTAAACATGTGCCACAAAAAGTTGAAGAAATGCATCAAGCTATTCTCGATAAGAATTTTTCCAAGTTTGCAGAATTAACAATGAGAGACTCAAATCAAATGCATGCAGTTTGTTTAGATACTTTCCCTCCGTGTTTTTATTTAAATGATATATCATGTACAATTATCCAACTGATAAATGCTTATAACAGTGCATTTGATAGTATTAAAGTAAGAAATCAAAGTAAAAGAAGGTTATTAACAAGTAAATATTTATTAGTATTCATATAATATATTATATTTATTATTTCAGGTTGCATATACAAATGATGCTGGTCCTAATACAGTTTTGTATCTTCTTGAAGAAAATGTTCCTTTAGTTCTTGGACTTATAGATTTCTTTTTTCCTCCATCCACCATTTCAGGTCAATTATATAAAAAAGGAAATCCTCCAGAAAGTATTACTCCCACCAAAGTAAGACATTCTTTTCAACCATTTTTACAATACATAAATTGTTTAAGTATAAATTATTTTTAATACATTTTAGAAATTGTTGGAAAAAATAGATTTACAGCCCCAACCAATAGGAAGTATTCGTAATATAATATATACGCGTATTGGTTGTGGATCTACTCAACTTCAAAATCCTTCAGAGCATCTTTTAGATAATAATGGTCTTCCAAAAAATATTCAGTATTTATAAAAATAAGTTATATTTATTTATAATTTATATTTTTTTATAAAATCAAACGTATCATTAATTAATAAGTTGGGGTAAAAGGAGCAATTTTTTAAACAATAAAATAATTTTTAAAAAATTAACATTTTTTAATATTCACAGTTTTAATGGCCTGACTTGCATATAAGTATAAGGTCATTTCTGATAATATATAACGTGTGTTCTTGAAAATTTATCAGAACAGTAATTCAAAAGTCTATCTATTTTATTCAAATATTCAAAATACTTACGTATATTTATCATTAATACATTATGTTTTATGTATGCGCATATTCAATTTATTTTTTGCATTACAATTACATGAAGCGAACAATGTACCGTGCTATCTAACCTCGAAGTTAAGATAAGAATACTACACGAAAATTTTATTTTTTTTTTAAACACAAATATATTGATTGTATTATTAAATAATATAATGGCATCACAATCAGGACGTGAATTAATAAAAGCTGTAATAAAACGCACATTATCGGTAAAAGGTTGGGGATCATCATTTTTAAAGAATGTAGGTTATACAAAAGAATCTATGCAGTTAAAAAATTAATGTATTTAGAATTATTATAAATAAAAATAAATATTTTCGATTGAGGTTGAAGTTATATCTGCTGATAATGGCAATTGTGTAGCTGAATTTACTGTTGGTGAAGAGCATTTAAATGATGGTGGAACTCTTCATGGTGGCTGTACTAGCACCCTTGTTGATAGCATATCTACTTACGCTTTGATGACTAAAGTGATAGATGGTAAAAATGTACATCCTGGAGTTTCGGTTGATTTGCATATAACGTTAGTATTTACAGTACATAACAGACAAAGAAAAATTTTATATTTCATCGAATAAAAATTGTCGAGTTTTAAAATATTTAATTTAATTATTTTTATGTCTGTGATCAAGATTATTGAAAGCAGCTTTTCCCGGAGACGTTATCGTTATCGATGCAAAGACAATCAGAGCAGGACGAACTTTAGCATTTCTTAAAGTAGATTTAAAAAAGAAGAATGAAGGAGCAGTAATCGCACTTGGATCTCATACAAAGTTCATAGGATTCTCATAATAAAATATATTATAAAAATAAAATTATTGTAAACTAAGAAATAATTTATAATGTAGTAAATAAAGTTGAACCAAATGTGATTGAAAAATTCTTCATCATCTATAGCTAATTCTTTACTAAGAATATTTATCAACTTTGATGAAATTTCAAATAGGAAAATTATTGTTAAAAAAAAACCATCAAGAACAGGTAGGGCAACTGTAGGCATTGCAAAATTAATAAATTTTCTGTGTTAGATAAAATTATTACATGTTACTTTTAGATTAATATTTTAATTAAAGCTTAATTTAATCAATTATAAATAAATATTGGATAATAGTTCTAGATAATGGGAATTTTTCTCTTTTTTATTGTTGAACAATTAACATAAATATTGAGAAAGTGATATTTTTTATACTAAATATATATATTTTATAGAATTTATTTATTTTTCTAGAAACAATCATCCAATTTGTTAAATAATATATCTTTCATTGATTTTAAAATTAAAGTCCAACTTGTGCACATGCTTAATTGATGCATACAATTGCTCTACTTGACTCTACTCATCTTGATAAATTTTTGACTTTTATTTACATTATAATGAAATAAATCATTAATTATAATTTCACCTTATCACTGAAAATATCTCTTATTGAATTATAAATAATTTTTAAAATACAACAGCTTTAACTTTGTAGTATGTTTAAAACTAAGACAAAAAAAAAAATACATAAATTGTGTACAAAAAATTGAAAATAAAAAGGGCAAAAATAAAATATGTTCATAATATTTTGAATTCTATTAAATTACTAAATTTTATCATGATATTACAAAATAATAAACATTATTTTTAGGAAAAAAATATGCTTTTATAACATTATAACTATTAATGTTTCCGTTCATACATTTTTGTCATTTAAGGGAATATATATGTAGAATGTGGATGAAATAAAATATGTATTCTATATTTTTCTGCTATATGAAATTTTACTTATTTACAAGTCATAAATACTAAGTTAAGTGATTTTCATAAAATAATCATTTTAATAACCTTATTTACTAAATAAAATAACTATTTTGAGTTATCATTACAAAAATTTATGAAAATTTTGTCGTTTATAATTATTTTTTAGTAATTAATATTTAAACAAGCTTCATGTAAATTGTTCGATCACGAACTTTGTGATTTCTTAATTCTCTTAAAGCTCTTTGAGCTTCACTAGGTGATGGAAATGCCACTCTAGCATCACCGGTTGGCATTCCTCTATCATTGTATCTACGAATAACATTTTCTCGTTTTATATCAAAATCTCTGAAAAAGTCAATTATTTCATTGATATCTGCTTTAAAGGGTACATTTTCAAGAGATAAAACACACCCGGGTTTACCAAATCCTTCAACATGATCGATTGAAGACGATCTATTATTATTATTATTATTAGTATTATTATTACTGCCACTATTATTACCATTTCCACTAGTGTTCATAATACCCAAGGGAGGTCTAGGAAAATTCATGAGACCGTGTAAACCACCTCTTGGTGGAGGACCACTATTACCTCCACCAAATGGACTATTTCCAAATCGAGGTATGTGATGATGATGAAGTGAAGTAAGAGGTGGAAGAATGTTAGAAGGATGATACTGTTGATGACGATTACTATTGTTGTTACTATTATTATTATTATTATTATTGTTATGTTGTTGTTGATGATGGTGATGTTGTTGATGATTATGATGACTGTTATGATGATGACTCTGACCTATTTGTGTGAACAACTTGGATCGATCATGAAAGTTTGGTAAAGATGAAAACATATGTTGAGAATCGACAAATTTATCTGGATCAGAGTGATCATTATTTAATATATCCATCATTTCACTTCTAGAAATAAACTTAATAACTGAAACATTTTTACCAAAGAGCACCCCATTTTTAGTGACTGCCCTAACAGCTTCTTCATGAGTATTAAATTCGCAAAACGCATCGCAGTGCATTGGTGTTGCTTGCTTATTAGATATGATGTGAATTTTCTTTGGAACAATACCAATATCAGAGAAAAAGTCTAATACATCTCGATCAATGGTATGAAATGGTAAATCTTTCATGGATATACAAGCATCAAGAATTTTATTGTTTAATGATAAATTATTATCTAAAGATTCTTCGTAAATCTTTTTTTCTTGTATAAAGATATCTTCTGGAATAGTAACAGCCATTATCGGTTTAGATCCAATTTTTAAATTCATTAATTTAGTAGATGCTAATGCATCTTCTACTTTATCAAATTGTACATAAGCTTTACATGCATATCCATTATTACGATCATCATTTTTATTATGACTTATAAATAAATCATTTATTTTCCAATCTTGAAATAGTTTCGCAATATCCATTTCTTTAGTAAATGATGGAAGATCAGCAATTAAAATACAAGAACTGGGTTTAGAAAGAGAATGTTGTGAATCTTCATTAATATCATCAGATCTTAAACCTTCTTCACCAAGATCACTTGCTACTGTTCGATCATTTCCACGATTCTGCTCAATAGGAATGTAAGAATCCACAGCTTTGTCAAAGATACTATCTTCAAGTGGACAAACTTCAACTTCTGAACCTCTAACATAACGGGGAACACTCAAGGCCAATTCTTTACCATCAATTTTGCTAAATTTTATGTATGCAATCCCAACTCTATTACCATGAGTATCATTAATCAACTTAATACCATCTTTTTTAATATAAATACCTTGAAAAGCATGACGTACATCACCGTAAGTCGCATTTAAAGGCATATTTCGTACTTCAATACAATAACCAGAATTCTTATCTCCCTCAATTGTCTGAGTATTTATATGTCTGTCAATATTATTTTGTTTATTATTATTATTACTATTACTAGAGTAACATCTAGATGGTAAAGTTTTTGAATGATCCGAGTTACTATTTAAGTTATGATTTCCTGTAGATGTTGATTGAAAAGATGAATGAATATTTCGCCGTAAATCAAACTCCTGTGTTTTATTATTTATTGGTAATTGATTATTAAATCTGGGATTTGATCGATAAGGTGAATTTGAATTAAAACCAACATTCATATCAGAGCTCAAAAAAACACCAGTACGTGATGGAAACCTTGCATCAGAATTTATACGAGAAGCTGAATGGTCATTATTGTTATTACCACTATTGGTGACACCAACTCCAGTATTACTACTACCGCCAATACTTCCACCAGTTGACCAATTCTGTCTGGTAGGTAAAGATCCAAGATTAATAGGTGAAATTCCCAAATTATTAGTCAAATTTGCTGAAGATATAGAGTTTAAGAGAGGATTGATATTGTGGGGTTGTAATCCATTGTTTAAATTATTAAGAGAAAAATTAGACTGTAGAAGAGGAGTGGGTTGAACTGCAGCAGCATTATTACCTCCAAATCTCATGATAGATCGAGATTCAGAGTTTTGTGATATTGCAGCTGTTAATCCAGCACCAAGAATGCCTGGAGCAATCATCATGGCCGCCGCTTGTTGCATCTGCGTTTGAGGTGGAATTTCCCAAATGCCATTTTCAAGACCTGAATTTACTTTAATATTTTTTATACCTGGCATAGTAACCTTGTCTTTAGAGAATTGACCAACACATACAACATCACTACTATCATTGTCATTATCATGCTGTGAATCCTTTCGACGATCAGTCCCTAAACTTCTTTTACTTCCATCACGATCTCTAGATCTTGATCGTGATCTAGAGTAATCCCTTCTATTACGTCTACCACGATCACGACGATCACGATCGCGATTTCGAGATCTTGAACGATCTCGACGTCTTCGATAATCTCTTCCACCTCCACCACTACTACGATCTCTTCCGCGAGAACGAGACCTAGAACGATTTCGCCTTTCTTTCCTATCTTTATTACTACTAGAGTCATTATCAGTGTCCCGATCTCTGTCTCTCTTAGGCACAGTTGTTTTTGAGTCAAATACTGGTGATGATAATCTATGCTGTTGTTGTTGTTGCGATTGCTGTTGTTGATGCAACACCTGCTGAGCAGCGACTACCTGTGATGAAGATGATACTCCAACAGCTGAAGTTTGCATAAACGACTGAAGTGATAATGTCTGCTGACGCGCCGTTTCAATAACTTTTTGCATTTCAGTACGAGAACTTAACAACAATTTTATTTTCATTTCTTTTATTTTGCCACCATCATGCATCATCGCCTGACGAGCGTCTTCATCCGTGCTATAAAGTGCAAAACAAAAAAGACAAACCAATGTGGAATCATAATCGTTTAATTTTATTGGAATAATTTAACTTAAAAAAAATCTACCATAAAAAACTGGATCATGAATATAACAATTTTAAATTCAAGATTCTCCAATTGACTATAACTATTTAGTAACTTTTTTTATTTAAAGATTAAATTTTAGCAACAACAGCAGCTTTGAAAATGAATAAACCAGAGGAGCAACTTTACCTGAAGGCTATAAAAGCATCGCCTAATTCACCACCAACAATGTGAACGCCACCTTCGGGAATGCTGAGGCCGCGGAAGAATTGACGAATATCCAGCGCATTCGCGGACCACGCCAAATTTTGAAGTCTTATGATAACACTCATTGTTCTCGTTTATTTTATTCTTTTTTTTTTTAAAAATATTACTGTTTTATTTTTATTACTATTACTGTTAATAGTATTAATATCAATATTTTAATATTTAAACTGAAGTTTTATTTCAATGGTTTTGGATTTTTTTGTTGATGAGCTACACAATGTGAAATCTGGAACCGAAGGTAAGCCAAAGAACGAATTAATCATTGCCCATAGCTTTTTTGTTAAATTATGCTATGTACAATATATTATATTAATAAAGTTATTGAACAGAGTACTTGGTTCAATTTTATTCATACTAGTTATTAAATTTTTTTATTATTACTTGTTCATCTTGTATGGTTGATAAATAGTTTTTAAAAATGATATTTTTAATAAAAAATATTGTCTTGTCGAGTCATCTCCATATCAATCGATAAATGAAAAACAAGAACAGATTTGTATAGAAAAATACAATATGATGTAATTCTTGACCATAAACGAGCATTGGACATCGAAAATATGATGATAAAACAGAAACTATTAGTCTAAAAAATATAATGTATTGAAATATAATAATTAAGTTAAAACTTAAAAATCAAATAACATTGAAATATCATTTATGATAATTAAGTAAAAAGCTGAAATCATGGTATTCATTAATAATAAGCAAACACGAAAAAGTCTCTTAATTATAAACTCTTTATAGTTGTATACTTCAAGATGAAGTGAAGTGAAATTCGCTTGGTAAAAATTATTCAAAAATCAAGGGTTCAAAAAGTTCAGAGTAATAACCAAAAATTTTCATGAATGGATTTGTTTTAAGAATGTATTTCTGTGTAAAATCCATTGTATTTAGAAATAAAGCTTAATATACAAAAAAAAAAAATAATTCATAATTATTTTTCTATTTTTTTGAAAAAGTTTTCTTACAAGAATAACTTACCTCTTGTATGAAAATCAAGTAAACCTAATCTGATTGAAGTAATAAAAAATATATCAACTAACTTTATGATTGATTTTTTAAACTGATTTTAATTTATTATTTAAATAAATTACCTACTCTAAACAATGGAACCTTTGTTTTATTATGATAATATAAAATTACCTTCATGAAAAAAATGAAACTCCAAAAAACGAATTTAACCATTAGTAGATTTTTTATATCAACATTATCATTTGAATGAGCATACACAAAAAATAGCTCATACTATCTGTATAATCTACTTACCCATTAAATATAACTATATATTTTTTATTTTATATCGATCATTAATAAAAGAAAATGTAATAAAAAAAAAAAACTTAATGTATGAAACCAAGACGACATAGGAAGAAAAATATCAAATATGAGTAATTGAAATGAAGAGAATAATAAATGTAATGCGATTCATTTGTTTAAAGTAAAATCTATAGAATCGTTTTACATAAACATTACTATAAAATCGAATTACCTTAACAACAATTTGAACTTCAAGTTTTCTTCTTTCTTGATTTGTTGATGTTATTAGCCACGAAAATATACGTTGCGATGAAGCCAGAATATTCAACAAATATGTAGATGCAGCACTACATCAGAAAGTTATGTGATGGAAACGAACATATAAAATATATGCATGCCTGGGTTTCATATTGATAAACATTTTTCATTTTCATTTGCCAATAAATCAAATAACTTCTTTTTTAATTTTTATTTATTTTAGTATTTTTATTATGTGTCTTTGTCATTAAACTCTGATCACCGAATATACCTAATCCATGATTTATTTTTATCCTGAAACATAGTTATTATTTTGTAATAAATATTTTGAACGAGTTTTCAATTGATTTAATTGTATTGTTTGTGTGTTACTCAAAACGAGTTAACACAATAATTCCAACATGACCGCCATTACATTCACGCGTTGTTAGAACATTGAAATTATATAAATACATTATAATTTATGTACGTGAGAACAAAAAACTTACCGAATTATTGGTCAACCAGGAATTCAATCATTATAATAATTAATGAATATGTGAGAATAATTGAAAGACAATTAAACGTGAAAAAGTTGATTTAGTAGTTGAAAAGTATTTGATGCCTATCCGAGGTATGAGAACGGTATGAAAAATAAAATGTCGGAAGCTCAAGTAACACAAACGATGAAATTGAATCTATCAATGTATTTTTTAGAAAACAATAATATTAAGAAGAAAAATTTTAATTTTTTTAAATACCGTTATTGAATAAATGTTTATTTAATTGATTACTTTTTTAATCATTCATAGCGAAAAATATGAAAAACGGAGAATATTTTCGTCAGGCTAACGTTTGTCGCGATTTTTACGCCATTACGCTTTCTTGCGGCGAACTAAGGAATTACAAATTCTAGGGAAAAGCAGCAATTGTACAACGTTAGAAAATTAAAATTCACATTAACTTTTGTTCACTTACGGTTGGCAACATTTATTTCATCACCAAATGTTCCACATGACGCGATTTTTAAAATTATATATACATCCTTTCCAAATTGATTAAAAATTTCGTAAAAATGATAAGTATATCTTATGTTATCTTTTTTTATTCATATTTATAACCAAAATTTTTTTTTTCAATTCAGCGATTCATTATATTTACAGATATTCCTATGCCACTTATCAAAATATCAAAAGTTCAGAAAAATAATTAGCTAAGCTTCTTCATTGTATTAACAAGTCACATTATTATTTAAATAACAATTATGGTATTAATTGCTGGTAATTAAAAATAATTATTTTATTACCCTATCAACGATATCAGTTACACAAAGAATGATGCACGCAAAAACGATTGTATCATTATCATTTCATCTTCATAAAATTTTTCTTTGTTGATATCACAATAGTAGTAAATATTGACATGAAAAAGAAAAAACATTTTAGCTGCATGTTAGTAAAAATTAATTTTCAATAACACATCACATTTAATCGTCAAGATATTGCAGTTAATGATGATTTGCTTACAAAAATTTTTATATCTTATTTTTACTTTTTTATGCATAAATTCAATTACATCAAAATTACTTAATGCTCCAATAAATAATACTTTGCCTATTTATAAAAAATTTGTGAGTACAAAAGGTATGTTTTTTATTTTAAAAATAAATAATGATTGTTTATTTACAGAATAATTTGTTGGCTCGTTGCTTTTCCAATAATACCAACTTCTTAGTTGTAACAAAACAAACAAATCAAATGTTTTCATCTCTCAATTTCTCGGAATTTATGAAATCTTTCATTTTGATAAACGATGAATTTCAACCTAATAGTGTTTACCAACATTATCCAGAATTAGCAACATTTGTATTTGTTGTAGACTCTGCATATGAATTTGAAAATATTTCAGCAATATTAAATACATCGATTTGGTGGAATTATGATTCCAAATATATCATAATTAAATCATCTCAATTTTGTAATGATGCTTCAAATATATTGAACGTAGCATGGAATTATAAATTATTAGCAACAATTTATTTATGTGTTGACGATCTAACAAATAATGTAACATTATACACATATAATCCTTTTGCTAATCGTGCACCTTCTCCTTGGATAATTGTAAAGAACAACAATAAACCACGTAATTCTTGGACACTTTTTAAACGATCATATGAAGAAGGTAAGTTGACATATTTTCTACCAATTTTTTTATAATAATTACAATAAGATAACATGATGTTTTTACAATTAAAACTAATAAATTAATGAGCATTCTTTTCAGATGATGAAAAATGTGCTAATGTAATTTATGATAAAACAAAATTTATGGATGGCTACGAAATGAAAGGCATAGCAATTCCACAGCCTGATGCAACATGGCATCCAAAAGTTCTTTATAACGTTTCATCACTCGATGAAAGATTAAATAATAAAGATTATAATTTTGTAAAAGCCTTAATACACAGTTGGAATATTACCATATCTGTTCGCTTCGCAGTAACGTATTTTGTTGCAGAAAAGGACACTTATGAATTATTATTAACTCCTTTGTTTAGAATTACATGGGATAGAGATGTAACAGTCCCAATTTATCCATTTGAAACTACTTCAATAGTTATTTTAACCCAAAAACGGCCTTTTCTTACTCCGGAAGACAAAATTATATCCTTTTATAGTCGAGCAATTATTTTGAGTATTATTTTTGTCTGCATTATGACGATAATTGTTTTAATGATAAACCAAAGACAAAAAATTTCTACTGCAATGCTTGAAATTGTGAGACTCACAGTATATTGTGGTATTCAGCAACCTTTATCGAATTTACCAATTCGTATTTATTTTTTTGGAATTTTTTGGCTTGTCGTGATAATAAATGCAACTTTTCAAGGTAACCTAGCAACATTTTTAACAAAACCTGAACGCATATACATGGAATCATTAGCAGATCTACTAAATTATGAATATGATATCTACACATATCCTCAAGTTCATTACAATTTCGAAGAGATTTTTTCATCGATAAAAGTCAACCAGACTCTTAATGTAAATGGATATCAAGTTGTTACGAATAATTCTAAAGCTGCTTATATAGTTGCAAATACTCGTGGATACGCTCCAGCATTTAAATATCAATTACATGTTTCGAAACCAATTTTAAGAGATTATATGTCCATGGCTACCTGTAGAGCAGAATTTCTATTTACCAAAAAAATTGATGATGTAGCATCCAGGTGTTTTGAATCTGGTCTTCTATTTTTTTGGGAAGATCAACAACTACATCAATTCAGAAGTAATTTATCAAATACAGAAGAATTAGAAACTCAGCCTCGATTTCGACCTATTAATTTAGTTGATCTTGCATTTGCTTTTAAAGTTTTTATCATTAGTATTGGTTGCTCTATTCCGGTCTTCGTTATTGAAGTGATGAGCAACAAAATTATAAAATAATTAAATAAATAATGCATATTCTAATAATCATTAACAATTAACTTTAAATGAGTTATAAAAATTGATTTTTATTTATAAAAAATCTTTTATCAAATTACAAGATGTTAAAGTACAAAATTTCGACGATTCTCGTTGTTTTATTATTTATTAATGAATAAATGACACGAGTTTGACAACTTTTCAATGATTGTACTATTCAAGCAATGTTTTTGATCAATCAACTCCATCAATTCTTTAGATATTCTTTCAGCTTTTTTATCCAAAGAATCATCATCTAATTTAGGCATTTTTTCATTACGTTTGTATGTACTATTATTATAACATTTGTGTTGAATGGACAAATGATCACAGTATTTAATAAATGTATGAATATAATCTTTGATACTCGAAAAGTGTGATAATTTGACTGTTTTCTTTTTCCGTAAATACTCTGGCACTATTTTTAAAAGATTCGGTTTTTTTTTCATAGCTGCTCCCATGCCCATGATTAAAGGATTGTCATTACTATTCTCCACGATAAAATCAAAAGTTTCAAGTACTTCTTGAAAAATAAATGAACAACTATTTTCCATTAAATGACAAACCAAATTACCAATTGTATTACCACCATTTTTGTCTGTTGATGTGTTTAATACAGCAGCGTAAGTTTTTAAATTATGACACAGTTCAATAATAATACTTTTCGGTAGCATTGTCCCATCCTCTATATCTTTCGTCATTACCTAAAAAAAATATTAATCCAAAGATAAATTTAATTATAAAATTAAATAATTATTATTCAAACTGACGATTAATAAAAAAAAACTTATTTACCGATAGTAAAGACCAATTGAATGAAACAGAATGAGAAAAATCACCTGTAATTATACATTCTATCAACATTAAAATAAGCTCATGCATCATACGACGTTTACAGTCATCATTAATTTCTTCCAAGCTGCTAATTGTTAACATCCATATATCATTGAAAACTTTAGTATACTCGTTCTTATTAAAATTTTTTTCCATTCCGATTAATTGAAATAAAAGTCTCTAAAATTAAAAATTTATTTCAAGTTAATTTTAATATGATATAATAATATCAATAAAATACAAACTCACTAAACGTATCCAATTTTTTACAGATGGTTGCTCTCGCAAACTAATTATTGCCTTATCTAAATTTTGATCATTAGATTCAAATAATTGAGATTTTTTGTACCAATTGATAATAGATCTTTTTTCTGACATATTTATTTTATGAGATTTTAGAAATAAATAAATAATTTCTTCATATTGACAATCAATGATTAATTTATCTCTCTTTTCATTTGGAAGGATTGTTAAAGTATCAATTATTAATTTACTTAATAAAATAATTCCAAAATTATTGGCTTTTCGTTTACTAAATTTCTTGTATATCATCATTAAGAACTTTAAATGAGTCATAACAAATTCTTCTGTAGAAATTCTAAAATAAATTATAAGAAACAATGAAATTGAATTAATTATTCTGTTGAATTATCTTATTAAAGAGAAATCAAATTACCTGTAACAATATTTGAGAATATCAAAACATAGAAGAGATGACCAAAATTTTTCACAAAAAAGATATTTAAACAGTATGGATTCAAATTTAATGAAATTTGAATAATGACATAAATAATCACATAGTGACATTAAAGTGTATCCATAAATACTGGTGGTCTTAACTCCATTTTCATTTATAGGCATTCTAAATTTTCTTAGTAAGATGTCTTCCTGAACTTGGTTATTAAATATAAAAATTATGATTATAATTATAAATAATTAATTGATAATTATAAAGATCAAAAATATTAATTACTTGTGTTTATATTGAGTATAGCAGCTTCAACTTTACTTTCATGTTTAATATTTTTGTTTAAGATAGAAAGATGAAAACCAATTATATAATAATGGCAAACTTGTGAATGATCATTTAAATGATTATGTTTCAAAAATAATGCCTTCAAGTTAAACATATGATGAATCAATTATTGTAAATTAAATTCAATATTATGATAAAATTTTCAAAATAGAACCTCTTCAAAAGTTTCACATCCATGATAATAAATCAATACTTCTGGAGGCCAATCCTGATCGAAGATTTTTTTTTCTGCACTAGGAATTTCCAAATCTGATTTTCCACGTAAACTTAATGTGTAATATCTGAAAGAAGATTTAAATAATATATAACTAATATTATTTTCAATTAAAAAATATACTCACCCGGTTAACTGGATAATAAAGTGAGCCATATCTTCAAAAAATTTAATATCGGCAGCTTTTATTTGAAAGTAATAACTTTTGTGAAGACGATCGAATAGATCTAACAATATATTTATACATTTAACTTGTTTTGATCGTTCAGATTCATTTGGTTTCTAAAAAAAAAGATCAATAAAAATTACCAGAAATTATAGAACAAATAAAATAGCTTCAATTTCATACTAACTAAATGCCAAACGTTCTGAAGAAGCCAGGTAATATCATTTCCAAGTTGTTTAAAACATCCTAATACTGTTGTTGAGATTTCTTTATCTTCAAAAAATTTTAAATCTGAATCACACATCAACTTTACAAATGTTCTCCAGGTGAAAATCATTGAACCTAATACATAAATTGTAACTGAAGCCATATTAGCAATGTTCATGATAACATGTTTGATCAAGTCTTGTCCATTTTTTGTGTCAAACTGGATAGAATGAATAACATTGCAGTATTGTTTTATTACTAAACATGCTTCACGATAAATTTCTTGAATAATAGCTGTCAAAGTACGATCTGAACACTTCTTTAAATACATTTTACATTGATTACATGTTGTTATCATCACCAAAGGTAAGTATTTAAAAAGACTTGGTAATGAGTTACTTTTCCATGGTTTATATTTTTCAATATGATCTAATATCATTTTCCAATATGTGAGTGGAAGTTTGCATTTTTCTAATTCATTACTGATTGAACTATCAGAATTTTTTGATAATTTCAAATCATCAATCATTCTTCCAGTCTTGTTAAATACTTCAGTTGTCATTTGCTCTAATAGTGGGCAAATCACTGACAACACTTGATCTTCTAGTGCTTCTTGAGAGCATGTTGGCATACATTCTTCCAAAAGAGTCTTAATAGTTTCTGTGTGACTGTCCATATTGTTTATTAGTTAAAACAATCATCCATTAAATAAAAATTTAATATAAAAAGAAACCAATTTTTATTGATAAAAAAAAAATTAAATTAAAATTTATGAGATTCTTAATTAATTTATTTAAATTAAATTTATTACGATTGTGATTGATGAAATCATATTGGAATCAGTTCAGTCCAAGTGAATCTGTAATAAAAAAAAATAAAAAAAAGTTAGATGGATCATTAATTGTTTGATAGTCTATCAAGTTTCTAAGTCAATAAAATGAATATTACAAAACACTCTTTTTCTACATCATATTGCATCATCAAATTACCCTAAAAAACTTTGTTTAATCAAAAGATGTTATATTATAATTTTCATTCAAGTCTCATAGCAAAACAATTACAAATACTTCAAGCTTATATGAAACTTAAAGTTTTGAAAAGTTCAATAGTAGCAACCAAGAAGATGGGAAAAAAATGTAATTTTCATTACTTAATCAGGCCAAAAGTATTTTTAAAAGTTTAATCAAGTTTCAAAGTATAATTCTATACTGAATCAGCGAATTAATTTAAAAAATGACAGCCACTTATAATATATAAATGATAATATTTATTAAAGCCATCCAATAAACGAAATAATCATTGAAGCATAGCATAAAAAAAAATACTTTATTCATGATTTATCATCATCTTGAAGTTCATATTTTATTGTTTATGAAGATGAATTTGTTTTTTTTTTCTCTTTTAATTTCAATAAAAGAGCTAAAAAAATTTCAGATTGTTCAGTAGCTATGAGTGATTGGTAAAAAGAGTCATGGTAACTGTGGACAACAAGCTGTCAGATAATAGACAAACTTTTGATCAATAACCAGTGACTGAAGTTTACCGTAGTTTGATAGTAAACGTATACCCTCAAAAGGATAAGTAAATGAGGTGCATAAACCTCGCACAAAACTTTGTTATACAAGTCTTTAAACTCTATAGTCAATTTATGCCTATCTGTTCAACTACTTACACATGAGAGTTTAGATTGTACCAATGTGTTTGTGTAACATCCCTTATATATACTTCATTTGAGAAACAATGAATAGCAAGATAGTCGGCATCGGGAGCCGATAGTGGTTCATTCGGGAATACTCTTCTTCATTTTTTATTTTATTTTCAAAACTCAATAGGAAAATTTTTTGAATAAAAAGTTCCATTTACTGATTTTGATGTTAGAACTGAACATTTATTCATTAAATCGTTTGATCATTTTTAATTAATATTTCATTTCTAATAATGATATTCAAAAAAATTTAATAAAATTACATGTGAATTTTTATTTTGATGATACTAAGATAGGTAAACTTGCCTTTAATTATTTAAAATATTCCATTTTATTAATATTCTCTTGATAATAAAATTAGTGTACTACAATTCTCATTCATCTATCTAAAGATTGAAATAATTGGTGCACATGATTGAGATCAATTCTATAGTCATTCTTTTTTTTTTAATTAAAATAATTGATGTTTATTTTTATTTACAGTTTTCTAACAAGTGTTATTGATAATGCAGAATAGAAAGAAAGTCTTTTATTGTTTAAAAAAAAAAAACAAACTCAATGCATAGAGTGGCTCTGTGAAGATAATCGAGAATATTGAGAATAATAAAAAAATATAAAAATAGTAATAATAAATATGTATATTTTTTTCTAAGTAAATATCGTAGATTTGGATTAAAGTCAATTGGAATAGAATAATTAGAAATAAATTGAATGAAATATTAATTTATTTTGAAGACAATTGTTTTAATTTATTCAATTAATGAAATTTGTAATTAAAAATAGATTAAATAATTCATGATGTCACGATCAAAAATACGTCAACAATCTTTAGAACAACCTTTCATGAGAAAGACTCCTCAATTACAAGCTTCGGTGAGAAGACAAAAATCAGCTGATGACAAAAGGTCTTTTCATTCAAATACACCAACACATTTAGATAAATCATCAAAATCCAAAAAAGGGAATTCTTGGGGTTCAGATAAATCCAAAGTTCAAATCGCTTGGAATTCTCAAGATGATGCAAATGTTGAAGTAATAGCTTCAAAAATTGGAACAGTCACAAATAAAAAAACAAATTTATTATCATCCATAGGATCTTCTTCAATTCTTGAATCAGATAAAGCTACAATTTTATATTCTAGACAAGAATTAGCTGAGAGGCTTCGGCTTGCTTGGAAGCAAAGAGAAGTTAATAAATCAAATATTGATATTTTTCTTGCTCATGGAACTACTGATGATGAGTCAAGATGTGAATCAAGATTGTCATTAAATAATAATCATCAGAATAATGAAAAAGATATCACTTTGTCATCATTTGTTTTTTCTTCATCATCTTCATCATCAAGTCCAACTTATTCTTCATCAAAAAGCCTAGAAGACTTAGACAAAGAAATGGATAAAGATATTAAAAAACCTCTTACTGATGCAAAAAGTAAACGAGCCTCCTTTCAATCAAATACTAATCTTGCATTCACAGGATTAAATAATACTAATAAAATCTCAATACCATCTGTGATTAAATCTAATGAGAAAAAATTAGAGAAACAACCTGACAAATCAATACATAAACCATTTACAACTCCTGTAATTGATATTAATAAAACAAAGAGAACAAATTCAGCACCACCACTTCAACGTCCAGCATCTTCTGTTACTCTAGGATGTTTACCAAATACTTCTTCCAGAACTAAAGTAAATATAGTTATTGATACTCCAAAAATTCTTTCAAATAAAGATGAAAAGATGGAAAAGAAATATTTAAACCCAACAGAAAATGGAAATGGTAAAAATGTCAATTCATTTACACCAAATACATTTATACCTGTATCGAATAATAGCTCATCAATCGATAAGTCAAAAGCTTCAGTTATTAAAAAAAGAACAAGAAATGGAAAACGAAGGGTAGAAGAAGTTGAAAAAAAAAAATGAATGCAAATCAAACTTTGATGTTGTAACTATGGTTTCACTGATTAGTGATGCTGATAGTGATTCAGAAATAGAAAAAAATTCACCTCATGATAATAAATTAATTCAACAATTAAGGAATAATTTGCCTACTGTATCTATTATTAAACAATGTTCAACAAATATAACAAATTTAGACATTGTTAATAAAACTTCTGAAGATTCTTTCATCTCTCGACGTGTTTTTAAAACAGGTAATATTTATTTTTAAAAAACTCACTAAAATATTCATTTAAAATTTTTTTGTTTCCCTTGTCATTCTCGTATTATGACTGAAGTTTCTCCAAGAATTTCAAGCAATAATATAAATACTTTAAATTGACATCATTATAACTATTGATTTCTTTCAATAATTTCTTTTGCAATTATAGAATACAAGTTGGACTCACTCAAAGTAAAAATTTTGAGTAATTTTTGACTCAATAAGAGTATTATTTGTTGATTATAAATTGAAATAATTACATTAGTAATATTCTATGGAATTATATTTTATTTCATATTATTAAAAAATTACAGTTTCTTTTCAACAAGATTCGATGGAAAGAGAAGACAATATACGAAAAATAGAAACTGAAAAAAAAAATGTAAATTACAATGAAGGGCTGTCAAAAATGATAATGCAACATCAATCACAATTACAAGATGATACACATGAAGAGAATCCCAATACATGGCAGTATGACATTAGTTCAAAAACTTCTCCATCACCAATTTATTCTAATTATTGGAAAACTGATGAAGAAGAATCATCGCCAGTTGTGGATAAAGAGAAGAGATGTTTGATTGTACCAATTGATGATCGAATGGACAAAAAAAGGAAATTGTTATTACAGAGAACCAAAAGTGTGCCGTCTGATGTTACGTAAGTCTTTTTATTTATGATATTATTTTTAATTAGTATTGATATTTTTTTTGGTATAACTGAATGAAGAAATGACTATGAAGACGATTTAAAATCAAAAAATATTTTACTATGTAGCAGAAGAATTTTTAATTTATAGTAGATGCAAGTATTATTAAAAACAATTTTAATAATTTTATCAATTACCCAGAAATAAGTGTTTATTATCAAACTGAAAATAAAATTTTTACAATTTCTATCAATCAGATAACTGGTGTCATAATCATGATCTGTTAAAGCTCCAACATTTTAGTTATTTGAAATGAAAAAATATTGGAGATAAAAAAGGAAACAGAAAATTTAAGAAAATTACTTTAAACAAAAAAAAATCATTTAAATTGGTTAAAAATGATATATTAATTTATGATTAAAATCTTAATATTTCTCTCTATGACAAATATTCGATTCCATTCTTGATTTATTGAATTGGGCAAAGCCAAAGAAATTAGACTTAAAGTTAAAAGAACAGAGAAGGGATAAAGGAGGGCATGGAATCCATTTGTATTTGAAGGGCAAATAATATATATGCTTGGTACCATCTCGTATCAAGTGTTCAATTACTATCACTATATATATATTATATCAATCTATGTTGATATATTTATTTCAATGACTCCTAATATATTTGCTTCCATTGCAAATAAGAAATACTTTGAATCCTTGGATTGATAACTCTTTGTTTGTTTTTTAAACTAGGTATATGGAACAATCACTGACAATGCAGATTGAGGAAAAAGATTGTCCTATTTCTTTACAAAGACAAATCAATGTTGGACCTTTTATTCATCAAACTCAAGCAAGCACAGTTTCATTACAAGCATCTCTTTCTAAAGTAATGTAATTATTTACACACAAAAATTATTATTTTTTACAATTTTATATTAATAGTAATAATAAAATAATTTCAATCAATGTTATAAATGATTCAGAACAAAAATAATGAGAGAATAAATTCAACAAAAATGGAAACTCTTGATGTTGATGGTCAATCACAAGAACCATATCTTAAGACAACCAAGGAAAGAGAATGTTGGCATTTGTACAAAAAAATGTGCGATAAGGGAGTATGTGTATCTTTTGATACAGTTTTAAGGTGATTTTATTGTATTTAATACTTAATTATTAAGTTAATAAAATATATAAAATAGTATCAACTCATAAAAAATTACATTATAGGGGAATGCTGACTCCAACAGAGTATAGGTTACGAAGACGAAAACTTACTTAGCAAAGGAAACAAAGTTTGTAAAAAAAATTATAAATACATATTATTTGTGAGAAATCTGTTACAGTAAATAGTAGCAAAACAAAAGTATGCAAATAATCAAATTAATTCAATTACAGGAGGATTATATTTCTTCAGAATCAGAACAATACTAATAAGTTGAATTCAAGTTGAAATATGTATCTTTGTATTGAAAGTTTTAGTAAAGACGCAAAAAGATAAGATTTTATCGTTTATTATTAAGTATGAAAAAATACATTAAATGAAAAATATTTCTGAGTCAAGAATTTTTTCATTTTTAATCATAATCACAATGATATGAGACCCCAATGTGAAAGCGTTGAACAACCAGTAAAAATAACCTGTAATTTTGTGGTAATCAAAGCAGATAAAAAGCAGGGATTTTACATACTTATATAATATATAGAATCTATCATTTAGAATCTAGAATAAAAGAATATTTTTTGTTAATGCATTGGAGATGTTTTTTTAATGTGCATAAAATAATATTTATAAAACTAGCTTCATGCTTGTAATTTAGAATAAATAAAAATTTTATTTAATTACTACTTTAGAATGACCTTTATTTTCGTAATATTTAATCATTATAAGATCATTTTAATCTTTTTTTTATACTACTACTAAATAATTTTATCATTACCGCAAGTCCAATTTATGTTATAAGGCAAAGATTTTTTAATTGTAAACCTATTGATAAATTAATTACATTTATCTATTGTTTTTCGTTTGCATTAGTGAACAAATAAAAATATATCATACAAATGTTAGTTATTTTAATCCTAATATAACAATAAAATATTCAAAGGGCGATTGAATGATACCGCCACTTAGATGAAAAATGACATCTACCAATAGCATGGAGCGACTTCATAACCAAAAAGTTATTTGTTCAACACGACAGCCGGAGTATTCATTTATACACTACTACTCATATATTTAAATAAATGATAAAGTGTGTGAGAATGAATCATCGTAATAAAGTACAGTCTCGTAATAATAATAGAAAAATTTTCTACTTATTCAATTTAATGAAATTATTATGTACATTTATTAATCGTTAAAAATTATTAAAGATGATTTATAATTGGAATCATTTACTATCAGTGTCACAAGAATATGATGTCGTTTAAAAAAAATGAAACAAAATACATAAAAGATGTGGATTATAAAGGAAGATTGGAGTACAAATTGTATCTGGTATTTTATTAAATAAATTATTGAAATTTTCTGGTATATCATAATTATAATTATCTAACTTATTTATATTTTCTATTTACTTATTTTATAGGCGAGAGAAAACCCAGCACCAATATTTGACATTTCTGATTGTGCTTTAAAAAATGTCCCATCAGGAATTTATTCTTTATGTAAAGTTTTTCGAAAACAAGAATTAGATATGAGTAAAAATAAACTATCATCATTATCTGGAGGTGGTCAACTAGATGACTTATCTTTATTAACTTTTCTTGATATAAGTTATAATGAATTCACTCAACTACCACCAGAAATTTCTTTTTTAATATCACTTGAAGTGAGTGAATTTTTATCAAAATAAAATAATTACAACTAGTAACTTAATAATCGTCATTAAACCTTAGTTTACTTATGAAAAAAAATTAATTGAAATTTTATAAATTTTTCAGAAACTTTATGTAAATAATAACTGCATCAAAAAACTGCCAGTAGAATTAGCAAAGCTACCAAATCTTCAAATTTTAAATGTGGCTAACAATAAATTGAAATATTTACCAGAAACAATTGGAAATTTAAAAAACCTCAGCATTCTTGATATTAGTAGAAATAAATCGTTAACAAAATTGCCACAGTCTTTGGGTCAAGCTAACAAATTAGTAGATATTAAAACTGATGAATGTAATAATATAACATATCCTCCAAAATATATTCTTCAAGGTGGAGCAATAGCAATCGTAGCTTTTCTCGCTCAAGAATGGGGAATTGATAATAAAGCAAGAGATGTATTTTTAGATGAACAAATGAATCAATTATCTGATGATATTAATAAACGATTAACTGAAAATACAAGGAATAATAATTATCAGGTTTAAAATTTTTTTTTATTCAGTGATTGCTAATTGCTAATTGTTATTCTTATTTTTTATACTATGTTTTTCTTATTTTTTCAGGCAACGTTAACACAATTAGAAAAAACAAAAGTATTTATCAATAATGCTTTATTTCTTCAATGAATAATATGTTTTATTGTTATTAAAATAGTTATGATGAATTGTTTTTTCAGGAACAACGACAAAATGCATTACTTGAGTTGGAGAAAAATATTCGAGAACAACAAGAAAGTGAATTAGAACTTCAGTCTATCAGTCAAAGACAGAAAAAAAAATTATTAGAAGATTTAATACTCCAACAGTCACACTTGGAATTAGAGATTGAAAGGATTCAACAAGAAAAAGAGTTAAACCGGGCTCGGTTTCTTGATTTCATTAATGAAGCAGAAAAAAATGCTGATAATGTAATTGAAAAATTTTTGATTAATAATGAAGCTGAACGTCATATACAAGCTGAATTAATAGAGCGAGAAAAAGAAGAACAATTACAACTATTGTCGAAATGTCATGAAGATCAATCATCGGTCAGGACAAAAGAAACACTTCGTAAGTCTATCATCTAACAAAATAAAATTCCATTATTGACATAAATAAACATTTTATTTGTGATTTTCTAGTTGCTATGGAAAAATTGCTGAAAGAAGAGTTATTAACAGAAAAGAAAATTGAAGAATACACTAAATTCCGTGAATGCAATGCTCACTCATTATTGAGTTTAGAATTAAGAAATAATGATTATTTAGCATCAACAATCAAAGATCAAAAACGAAATCGAGAAAACTTATTAGATCTATTAAGGAAAGATCAAGTACTACAAAAAGCAGCTTTAACTGCTTTATTAGAAAGAAGTGATGCTAGGTCATGGAGTATAGTTCAACAAGTGAATTTAATTGAATCCCAATTAGTTGCTTTAACGAATATTGAACTAGAAAGAAAGAAATTAGAAATAAATCAGCAAATAGTAATATTTATTTACTTCTTCTCTAATACTATTCGTTATATTAACATTTAAAGATTTTTGAGTAAAAACTTTTTTTTCCAGAATGATATTGCTGAAAAAAGAGTGATATTAAGTGGAATACTCGTCAATTTATTAGATAAACAAGAAAAAAGACGTGAACAATTATTAGAAACAATAAATCAAATAGAAAGCCGTAAAAATGATGAAGCACGACGAAACAGTCTTTTCTGGTTGATGCAGTATCAATCATTAATGGATTCACGTCCTCAGGGATTATTAGAGGGCTTAGATCCAATGCTAGTAAGACATGTAGCAATAGCTGGAGTTTTACACTGCCTTCCATTTTTAGCTTCTTTATCAACTTTGTTGCCGAATGTTGATGATTATCAACTTGAACAAGTATGTTTAACAATAAATCATATCCATCAAACATTCAATCATACTTTAAACTATAAAATACTATTTAACGTTATGAATACTTTAATTGTTTTAATATTTAAGCTTGGAATTCACAATAAAGATGATAGAAATGCGATTCTCTTGGCAATTGAAAATTATTTAGCAGAAAGAAAAATAGTTGAACCATCTGCTCCAGAGTTAGATGAAGCATTAACAGAAGAGCCTTCTACAAGCAATGCAAATTATTCTAACAAAAATGTTAATGCAACAGAATGTGTTATCTGTCTAGACTGTCAAGTAAGTGACTCAAAAATAAATATGTATATTCCATATGAATTAGCAATTTTTCATAAACTGACATTGATAAATATAATTTTAATTATAAAATATTTCAGAGTGAAGTAATTTTTCTTCCATGTGGGCATTTTTGCTGTTGTGCATCATGCTCAAATAAAGTAACAACTGAATGTCCAATGTGCCGCGGCTCTATACAACGCAAAATTCAAGTTTATAAAATTAATTAAAATTGTTTAATATAATAAGATATTAACCTTATATAATTTTTATTTTGTGGCATGAAATAACATTTTTAAACAGATTATTGAATTATATCATCAAACATTTTTATAAAAATCATATAGTTGAAGTATATGTAGAATATTGAAATGAATGATAGATAAATTTATATCTATATGACATGAAAAAAAAAAAATGAAAGACACTTTGATGCATTTGTTTGTTTCAACTCAGGTTTTCAGTAATAATAGGTTCAATATTGTTGCAATCAATAAGAATGCATTATTTATGAAATATTACTCTATTATTTAAGACTTTTAAATATTCAATAAAACTTTTTTATGATAATACGTCTTTTATTTAACTTAATATTTTCATCTTCGAACTTAATTACACTAAATAATTTAAATTTAATATTTCTTGACATACACCATATTAAAAATTATAATATAAAATAAATTAATGCAATAATTTTACACAAAAGAAGAAAAGTTAAAACTGTCTTAATGATTATATTGAAATGAAAGAATACTTTTAAAAAAAAAGTTATTCATCATCAATTATATCATTTGTTAATTTGTCATCTTTTAATTGTTTCTTCTTTAAATGAGTGTCTTTTTTTTCTCTTTGTGATTTTTTAAAATTACTTAAAGCTTCATTAAGGGGATTAATAAATCTATCAAATTCTATTTCTTCCATAGCTTGTAAAACATCCTGCCCCGTAATTGTTTTTCTGTTTGCTTTTTTTGCTAATGTATTAGCAGAAGTTGTAAGATAAAGAATAAATATTGATGCCGCTTTTGCAACTGCAACTCTTGCTTCTTTCCCTACTGTTACTCCGTCTGGTAATGCTTCTTTTATTATTCTTGTAACTACAGCATTTGGTAAATTTAAATCTTCTAATTTTTCCGCCATCTATGAATAAAAAAAAAATAAGGATCTTTTTTATCTTATTGAAATTTAAAATATAAAAATTAATATCTTATATGAAACTGATAAACTGATATTATGAAAACCTTGATTGTTTACATTGATAGGGTCTTTCATTTTTTTTCATGAAAATTAGGAGCATATGTACTTATGTATATACTCTAATAATTTTAGTTTATGTATACATAAAACTTGTTTTTTAATGTGAGTGATAATAATAAAAGAAATGTTGTTTTTCTTTCCATTTTTAAAATGAGGTTAGAAAATTATATTTAAATTGAAATCATAAACATAGAAAATTGATAAAATATTAAAGAGCATAACACATAAACAATCAACGAATTAGAAGTCTTATTAAAAAGGTTACTCAAAGAAAACGTTAAATTATCTATAAAATATGAAATGAAAAGCTACGTTTGATTTTATAAAAATACAATTAGTGATAGAAAATGATTTAGTTTTACGATGTTTAGAAATGAAATTATTCCACTTACTTTTTGTTTTTAAGAAATTTTAAGATTAATATCTTTTACCGCAATTATTCAAATCAGCTTGTATAAGTGATTGTTCGTGATAAATAAACTTTATAACTAAACAAACAATAATTGTTAGATTAACAATTGTTCCCGCCAATCTGTTACTATTCTTTTAGCTACCACATGAAAACTTACGCACATACACACATTGTACCATTTATAGGTTAGAATATAGAATACGATTTTACTATAGCAAATGAGAGGGAGAATAGATCCAAGTTTCAACCAATGAGAGATGTGTCACTTTAACTATGTCATTTTAACAGATCGTGTTGAATAAAATAATAATTTTATTCTATTTTAATGAACAATAAAGTTAATTGTTTGAATATAAAACGTAAAATTATTTCGGATATTTGATTTTATAAATAGTAGATAAAATCAAACACAATTAACATAAAAATGTCGAAGATTGAGGAAGGTAACGCGCATTTGCGAGCTGCTGAAAAAAGGTAAAGCCTGTTATAGCAATATAGAAAGAAAAATTAATTCTTAATTAATAAAAAAAAACTATTTTACTTATTATCTTTTATAGTCTTAAAACAGGCTTATTGAAATGGAAACCAGATTATGAATTAGCAGCTGATGAATATAATCAAGCAGGTGATTATTAAAATGATAAATAACAAATTGAGATGGATCTTACATTATGATTTATTGATTTTTTGGGTTAATTTATTTTTCAGCTACCTGCTTTAGGATTGCAAAATCATATAAGCACTGTAAAGATGCCCTGCTAAAAGCTGCTGATTGCTACAAGGAAAGTCGATCGTATCCTTTTAAATATATTCTAATTTTAAATCATATAGTAACTGTGTAAGAACTTTACTTCATTTGTTTGTAATTTTTATTAAAAAAATTTTTTTTTTCTTAATAAATATTCAGATGGTTTCATGCTGCAAAGTAAGTTGAATTTAAATTTTTATTTATTATATTAAAATAGGATTTGAATATTGATTGAATTTTATTTTTTTTTTAATTAGAAGTTTAGAACAAGCTTTATTAATATTGCGAGATATGGGAGATTTCACAGAAATTCCAAATCTAGCACATAGGTCATGTTCTTTATATCAACAACATGGATCACAAGAATCCGGAGCTACTGTTCTTGACAAAGCTGGAAAAATGCTCGAATCAACAGATCCCGAAGCAGCACTACCACTATTTCAAAGAGCTGCAGAAATCGTTATTGTAAATTATACTTTAAATTTAATTATTAAGTTAAAATCAAGATAATTATTAAGAAAAATGACTCTAAATCATCCGTTCATTTTAATATCTAATTTTTTAGAGCACTTACTAAAATACTTGTAAGTAAAGACAATAATTCAGCTTAGTTCTTTTGTTCTATAATAATTTATTCGATTTTTAACATTTAAAGATCGTTACAATATAGAGAGTCATTCTTCTTCGTGACTACAGAAGCTTTTAAACTTTATTTACTCCAAAAATTTTATAATAAACATGTTATGAATGATAGAATTGATAAAGCCTAAAAGATTAAATAATAATATATATTGTTTTTTTTTAGGGAGAGGACAGTCCTAGACAAGCTGCCGAGTACCTAAGTAAAGCAGCACGAATTTTAGTCAAATTAAAAATGTATGATGAAGCTGCGAATGCAATTAGACGAGAAATAGGAATGCACCAACGTATCGAACATACTCCTTCTGTTGGACGATTAGCTGTAGTTTTGGTGCTTATTCAATTAGCAAGAGGAGATCAAGTTGCAGCTGAAAAAGCATTCAGAGAGTGGGGAAATTATTGTGATGCACCTGAAGTAAATTAACTCTCACTATTTGAAAATTTATTTCAATTTTATATTAGAATTTAATATGTATTCTTTTTTCAAGATTCAAACATTAGAGATGCTCTTACAAGCATACGATAACGAAGATGCTAATGCAGCTAGGGTTGCTTTAAATAGTCCATTCATTAAGCATATGGATGTTGAATATGCAAAATTGGCCCGAGGATTGCCATTACCACAACAAGAATATGCTGTACCACCTGCAGGTGTTCGGGCAAATGCTGCACAACCTTATGTATCTCCTAGTTTAGAAAAGTCTCGAGAAGAAACCGTGGAAGCAGAAGTCAGTCAAGTACATGTGAGTATTTATATAAAGTTGATACGTAACTTTAAAAGTATTACACCATGATAATTTTATAATTGATTCCAATATCAACAAATTTCATTAATTGAATTAAGTATGTAAAAAATTTTTTTTTATTTATTTTGAAAGGAAAAGAAAGTTGAGTCGATTGAAGAAATGCTCTCCAAAACAAAAATATCAAATAAATCTTCACAAGATTTGCCAGAAACACCACCAGAGGAAGAAAGTGAAGAAAAAAAAACTGAAGAAAAGAAAAATGATAAAGTAGAAGATGAGTATGAAGAGGGATTGTGCTGATCAATTAAATATTTTATCATATAAATAATAAAATTCATTAATAGTTGTTATTGGAATGCATTATTTTTCAATTGTTTGACTGAATATTTTATCGTATACATCAGAAATATAAAATATATAATAATGTTGACAAACGATAAAAAGATAATTTAAAAAGAAATATTTTTAAGACTGTTGTTGATGACAGCTTATCGTAATTATATTTAAAGACATTTATTCCGTATATTAAAAATATCGATACATCATTGGACCTATTGAAAATAGTAAATTCATTTGATAGTATTTTTTGTCTAATAATAAAACATAAAAACCGATAAAATTATACTTCAAGTAGAGAATTAATTCTAATTAAAAATAAAGATCATTCAATCTTAATAATTATAATTTAAAAAATTTATCGTATGGAATTGTATTATAGGTAATGCTTTTATGAACTTTGTGCTTTCATTATCTTCCTGATCTCATTAGATTCTTAACTTAAGAATAATGGACTATTGTAAAGATACTCACATTTACATTAATTATTATGAAACAAAGTATTCTGCAAGTTATAATGGACGCTTGATACATTATACACATTAAATAAAATTAATATATTACTTACACCTGTAAATATTTAATTTTAAATTCACATAACTGTATCTGTTTACTTCACCACTGAACAAACAAATAAATGTATGACTAATATGTGAATATAAGTGTAAACAAAAGAAAGTAAATCAGAAAAATTTATCCCCTATAATTCATCATTGTATTTACACATATACAAGTACAATGTAAATACAAATGTACGTAAATGTACGTACATACATTGGTAAGTCCCAATAATATTTATATTTCGCGCATGTCTATTACGCATAAGGGGCATGATGCCGTGTTTATTGGGCCTGAAATTCAAAACAGCCAAACATCAACTTTACTTATCAACTGTCGATAATTTATCAATACTTGATAATAATTACGAGTGATTCTTAATGTTTGGCAGCACTGGTCAAAGACGCCAAACATTTTGTTATAAAACTTGAAATTTAACGGTTTTTGGCAGTGTTTACAGCGTTGTTTATTTAAAAATATATACAGGAAATATTTGATTTAAAAAATCCATATAATTGAATAAGTGTTGAATAGAAACAATTTGCTTCTAATGTAATATTTATAACATCTTTACCGAGTTAATTTTATTGTGTAATTTGAACAGTATCTATGTGAATTGAATTGTAATTATAATTAAATTTTTAAACAATAAAAATGGACTTCGTAATTCCATTGAACAAAGATAATCTCTTGCAAAGACATTCAACTCAATATTATGTCAAAAATCTAGTAACAGTAAATTTCATAAGTCAAACTTTAGATGGTAAGTATTAGGTTATAATGTCAAAATTTAAGTTAAAACTTTTAATAATTCGATAATTAATTATATTATTAACTTTCTCTTTATTTTTTGATTTGTTTTTTTCTCGATAATGCGTATACTTTTAAGATTAATAATTATTAATCATTTGATTTTAGCTACCAGAAAAACTTTAGAGAAAAAAGGACCAGAGTTTATCTTCGATCATTTTGATGATTTCTTCTCAGTGATAGTTCATGGAAAAAAACTAGATAATGCTCTGGTACTTCGAGCCTATGATAGAATTATGAAATCAACTGGAATTTTAGTAGGAGATTTAGAAAATGAAATGGTGGAATCAAAACGAGAAAAAAATCTTTGTATGCTAAAAATGCATTGTTATTTACTATCTCATTTCATGTGTTATTTGGAAAATGAAACTTATGAAGACGATAATTATAATAAAAGTACAGGGAAGAAAAAAAAACAAGCAAAATCTGATTTAAGAACTGAATGGGAAAATCGTAGAGAACCAGGTTTAATAATGCTTCACCGTTTGCTACAACTTCCCTTGGGTAATTTATGGCAATCGAATATTGTTGAAGAATCTTTTATTATGCTTGTGGCTGATATATGCTATAAAATTCTTGAACATAAAAAAAATGTTCGAGAAAAGAACGATGACATTATTTGGCATATTTTAGGCATATTGATAAAACGATATATGCACGGAATGACTTGTATAATAAAAATAATTCAATTGGTACAGATGTATGATGCTTTAGCACAACCTTTAGCATCTGGAATAGTTGTTATGGTAACCGAAAATAACAGTTCAAGTTTTATATCAGAACTTTTACAAGAAGTTGATCGGATAAATCCAAGTGAAACTGAAGCTCACAATATAGCTACTTTTATTGAGACCATTGCTTCCGTACGACCTGATTTTCTATTAGAAAATTTAAGTAATATTCTCGAGTACTTAGCAAATCCATGTTATGTTATGAGAAATTGTGCTATAGAAGTGATAGGACATATCATTATTGGATGCTTCAAAGATGATAAACTCAGTAAAGATCAAAAAGAGATACGTGACGAATGCTTTGAACATTTATTGAATCACAGATTAGATATTAATACTTATGTCAGATCTAAAGTATTTCAGACTTGGCAAAAATTAATTTCTGAATTTGCTGTACCAATGCAACAACTTGTATTAATTTTAAAAGCAACGATTCCTCACCTTAATGAAAAAAGTTCTATCATGAGAAAACAAGCTCTTCAACTAATACGAGTCTTATTGCAGTGCAATCCATTTAGTGGTGCTCTTGATTTGGAAACGATCAGTCAACATCGTGATAATGCTGAAAAAAAATTACAAGAGTTACAGGCAAATATAGTAGCTGAAAGTGCAAGTGGAGATACAGAAAGACTTGCTCTTTGGGAAGAATTATTGCCAGATATTCATGCAGCTTTGAAAGAAATTATTAAAAAAGATGATAATACAGATGACGATGATGAGATGGAAGAAATAAATCTTGATGAAGAATTTGAACTAATTCGTCAATTAATGATCAACAGAAAAATCACTGAAGCTGTTAAACGTCTCCAAAGAGTTTATGGTGAAACACAAGATACTTCTTTAGATGATATAGATGATGATACAAAAGAAGATTTATATCTATTATTTCTTTTAAAAATTTTCCTGGATTCTGAACAAAATGAAAATGGAAATAGTAAAGAAAAATATGAAAAAGCAGAATGGAAATCGCGCAAAGATGAAGTTCAAAAATATCGCCAAACTTTTAACATGTTAAATAATGCAGTCGAATTTATAACAGAAATTGAACAAGCAATACCGATTATTGAAGAGATGCTTTTTTCTGCAACTCCAGTAGTAGCTATTGAATCTTGTACTTTACTAGGAACAGCCTATCAATTTAAAATTAAAAAGGCAGATTCAGCAGTTCATACTGCTTTGTCCCAAGTTTTCAGTAGAGAAGAATCAGTCAGAAATAATGTGGCTATTATGTATAAAGATATTTACTTGAAGAATGATAGTAATTCTTCGCGTCAAAAAGCCATTTCTTCATTCAATAGTTTGATGAATTTATTACGAGATTTGAAACCTGGGCAAAGTCCTGCTTTAGCTCAACTCATTTCATTATGGTTTAGTAGTGAAGATTTAAATGAAGATACTGTACAAATAATGTGGGAGAAATTTAGTTTTAAAATTCCAGAAACAACTATATTAGAAAGTCGATGTGCTTTGGCATTATTGACCATGATAGGGCAAAATCGACCAAAAATTATTACTTCAAATTTGAATATTTTTATAAAAATTGGACTTAAAGAGAAAGGCAAAGAAGATTTTCTTTTAGTACGAGATACTTGTAGGGCTTTGTTAAAAATAAAAAATGAAGCTGGAGATGAAAAGAAAGAACCTATTAAATTTCAAAATGATCATGAACTTTTTGAAGAGTTATCAGTTTTATTAATTGAAGCTTTTGAAAATATCAATGAACACATTTTTGTTTCTTTTGCTATTGATGCAATAAATGTGATTTATCATTTAGCTAATCAACCTGATCAACTTATGAAGAATATTATATTAAAAATGTTAGTTGGAAGTCCTGATGCTGATGTACCTATATCTCTATTAGCTAAATTTTTATATTTCATTGGTCATGTAACAATTGCACATATGGTCTATTTAGATGTTAGTGTGTATAAAGAGTTAAAACGAAGAAATAAATTACGAGATACTGTGAATAACAAAAAAAATAATCGAAATCAAAATAATGATTCCACTATAAATGTTTCACAAAGTACAACAACAAGATTTTCATCAGCCAGAAAAGCAAGAAGATCAGTTCACAGAAAAGATATGAGTTTTCAAGATGAGACAGACAAAGATACATTATTAGGAGCTGCAGCACATGATGCTGATGCTGAAGTAATTGATGAATCTTTGGAAACCTGCGTTGTTACTGGGGATGGTTTTATGGTTCAATTTGTACCAATAGTTCTAAAGGTTTGTCAATATCCAGAAAAATACAAAGACAAAGCAACTCAAGTATGGGGAGTGTTAGCTTTGTCCAAAATGATGACAGTTTCATCAGCATTTTGTAAACAACATCTCCAATTATTAGTAACAATTTTGGATCGATCGAAATATCCAGAAATAAGATCAAATATTTTAGTTGGACTGTCTGATTTAATAGTCCGATTTCCTAATGATGTTGAACCATGGACTGCTCATATGTACACTAGACTTCGAGATGAAGACGTACGTGTCCGCACTACTGCTTTAAGGATTTTGTCTAACTTGATTAAACGAGAAATAATTAGAGTTAAATGTCAAATATCTGATATAGCATTATGTATTGTTGATCCTGATGACCAAATAAGACATATTGCTGAATCATTTTTTAATGAATTGGCTCAAAAGGATAATATCCTTTATAATACTTTACCTGACATTATATCAAAACTCACAAGTGCCGATGAAAATATAAATGAAGATGATCTCCATAATATTTTTAAACATATCATAGGCTTATTGCATAAAGAAAAAGAAATAGATGCATTAATCGACAAAATTTGTGCAAGATTTAAATTAGCAACAACAGAAAGGCAATGGAGAGATTTATCATATTGCTTATCATTATTTTCTTTAGGTAAAAAAGGAATTGTCAGATTAACAACTAATTTACCACTTTTAAAAGATCAACTTCATAATCGATCAGTATATGGAGCATTAAGAAAAATCATAGAAACAGCTAGAAAGAAGGCTGATGCTAAAGATGTTTGTGCTGCTTTAGAAAATGAAATTGATAGGTTAATGGATTGTAAAGAAGATGAAAATCAAACTGATAATAATGATCCTAGTGTTGATAATAATCAAGATCAAGATCGTGATTCAGATAGAGAAGCTATGCCTCCTCCTCCAGAGCCTCGAAAATCAAGATCTTCAAAACGTAAAAAATAAATATATCATACTTATTAATATTGAAACATTTATATTAACTTTAATAAAAATATAGCAATACTTTTATTTTTAATTGACAAAAATTTTTTTATTTATGTACAGCATATATAATTATAAATAATGATTATATAGAAAATTAAAAATGTAAAAAAAAATACTGGATTATTCTATTGATTATATATCTTTTCATACATAATAAATGAAATAAAAAATAATTTTTTAACGAAATGTTTGTAATGGAATATCTGTTACTCCTGCAGGAACTTTAAGACCTCGACGAGTATATCCTAAAGCTGCTTGTAAAATATAAATTGCAGCTTCTGTTGTTAAATTGACTCCTTTAGTATCACTTATGTCAGGATTAATTTCTACTAGGTCTATTGCATTTAACCGATTTGTTCTATGAACTTCTTCCATTAGATGAATTCCCTCTCTTAAAGTTAGTCCTCCACGAACTGAAAGTAAATATAAAATAGATAATATTAAATCAAATTTTGTTGATAAAAATTTTTATTTTCAATTATTTTACCGGGAGTTCCAGTGCTTGGAGCTTCTAATGGATCTAATGCATCAATATCAAAACTAACATGTATAGATTTATCATTATGAGGATCTATTTTATCTAAAGCCATATGTATGACATCGTGAATACCTATTTATTTAAGAAAGTAGATTTTTATGATTATTTGATTTATAGTTATACTTGTTAATATTTTTCTAAAATTTATCTGTAATACCATATCTTTCAACATCTTCCATTCCAAACGCAGTGATTCCAAATTTTTCAATAACCAATCTTTCATATTTATCGACAGATCTCAACCCTATATATGCTACATTTCTTATTGATAATCTGTAATGGATATTTTTATTAATGTTATTTAAAGCAATAACCACATAGTTGAATTATTTATATAAAAAATGTAATTACAGTGGTTGTTGCCAATCCATGCCAGGTAAATGAGGCCAATAATCTGATAGTTCGGAAGTTAACAAAGCTACAGGCATCCCGTGAACATTACCGCTCTCACTTGTTTTGTTTGTATTCAAGTCTGCATGAGCATCAACCCACAAAACTGCAACGTTTTTATGAGCTTTTACATGTCCATCAATAGTTCCAATACCTAAACTATGATCTCCACCAAGTGTTACAACTGTTCTTCCTTCTTTCATGATTTTTTGTACAATTTCTGATACTTTATAAGTACAGCTTGCTACTTCTTTTAAATGTGACATATTTTGAATATCTGACGATGATTGAATTTCATATTTCAAGTTACCATAGTCTTGTACATCGAGCTCTAAAAAAATAATAACAAAAATTTGTAAATAAATATCACGTGTATAATGTTATTGAAACATTACCAAGAATTTTTAATTCTTCTAATAGACCTGCTCTACGAATTGCATCTGGTCCACGTTCAACTCCATGTTTTTTCTATAATAAAATTTTAAATTTATTTTATTATAATAATAAAAGAAATTTCAAAATACATCATCATAATTACCTGTCCTTTCTCAAAAGGTACTCCAATAATTCCGACTTTTCGATTTTTTTTTGTACTAAATTGTCTTATAAATGTACTTCTTCTCAGTAAATACATCTTTTATATTGAAATAACACGAAAATTCAAGCAAGATTTGGTAATAATAAAAGTTTATTTTTATATTATGATAAACTGTCGACCTTTCTAATGATAATAATCGTTCAGTCATTCAAAGTCAATACATTTTGGTATATTTAATTTTTCATTGATATTAGAATAGATAAACTAATATTAACAGTTAATTAAAATAATTCTTTAACCTAATAAATTATTAACTTATTTGGTACTATTATTTATTAATTATTAATATTAAATAATTATAACCATTAGATAATTGAAAAAATTAATGATAATAATAATAAAAAATAACTATTTTTAATTAATTAAAATAATACACTAATCTGCCGTAATTAATAGAAACAACCAATAAATCGTTGACTTTATAAATGAATTTTGTTTATAAATTTTAAATAATTCCATTCAATTTTCTAAGCTTTTCAAAATGGCACTTGTAATCAGCGTCCCCGTTCGGCTGAATAGTAATACACATATCGATGAGAACTTAGTTTCTTATCTATTAAAATTCATGTTTTATGTTTCAATCAAATACGCGGTAAAGTTTCTTATTTTGTTGATTGTTTACAATCATACATGGTCAGATTTTTATCCAAAATATTCCGTTATAAAGTCAAATAGTGTCAACAACTGATTCATATAATTGAACTTAAAAAATACTTTGTTAATGGCAGATCCGGCAAATAATCATTTGTTTAACAATTTAAGGTCAATATGTAAATAACTAGAAAATTTGGGTATTACGATTCTTAGAACGCTGTGTTACTGGCGAATTTTCTTCAGCAACTGATGAGGACATTGAAAAACTGAAGATTCTTAAACAAACTCACAAATGTAACGAATTATACTGTCTGCTCCATTAGATAGTAATTAGTTTGGAAAAGATAATAGGAAATTTTTTAATGATTTCGTAAGTTTTCATTATTCATATCAAATAATTGATTCGAGAAACTATGATCTTTCTAAATAATTAAATTAAATAATGATTTCAGAAATTAACCAGACTTATTTTTAAATTATAAAAGTCAATTTAATATTTGAACAAGAAAAATTAATCATGGATCGACGAAAAAGTCTTGGACACATGTTATTAGAGAATTCCACCAGTCCAACAACAGGAGTTTTACAACGTCGATCGGCTCTTGTTACCAGACAATCAGAAATCGATCTTAATGTTAATGACGATGAAGCAGAACGTGCATCATTACGACTATTATCAGAACAGAGCCCAACTAATCAAACATCAATTACCCGTCGTTCATTAAACTTGGGAACTATTGTAAATATGACATCTCCGCAAATTGTCGATGGTATAGCACAATGTATTAAATTAAATGCTGAGAACAAAATAAATATAAAAAATGCATTTAGTTTAAACATGATAGATTTCATGTCTTGGATGGCAAAAAACAAGCAGCAAGAAATGGGAAATTTACAAATGGCTGCTGTGGGCTTAGATGTAAGTGCTAAAATTTATGCATTAAGGGTTACTGATCTTTATAATAAGACATTGAACATGGCAGGAAACTTAGTGCCAGAAAATAATGATGAACCAGAAAACGAAAATACAGAAGAGATAAACGCAGATGTTGAAGGTTCACAAAATTTGCGTCAATCACAACAAAGGAAAAAAAAGCGAAATGCAAATAAAGAATTATTTACAACGATTAAAGCTTTAGAAGGAAAAAAAGATTCTATTAGCTTAGATCCAATCATGTATGGAGAAAATGATTGTCAGCTTCCTTCAATGTTATATCAATATTTATTTCCTCAACATTGTACTCCAAGTTTATTTCTTCATTTTTATAATGACATTATCATCGATGAAAATGTTGTTGGAAATGACACTAACTCAAATATCCATATTTCATGGCCTCCAATTCTTCCTAGCTCTGAAAGAGAAATAAATTCTTTATGCACTAATTTCGAATTTATAAATTATTCAATAGATTCAGAAAATAGTAGTCCAAATTCAAGTCAATCTCAACCTCAATCACTACCTCAAGATAATAATCTTGTATTCGATTTTGATGCAAGCCTACCCCCAAATAATGAATTCGAAGATGTAGCCGATTCCTATGAAATGGACAATGATGATTATGAACACCGAGTGGGATGTCATTCACAACCAGCAGGTCCTGTTATGTTAGCCACACTTGAAAATATTATAGATAAACTTCCTACTCGACGTCTTGAATATTCTGTATTTGATCATTCATTGAATATCCGCTGGGTTGGACCATCTCATTGGAAGATCAAAAGTCTTGTTAAAAATCAAGGATCAAGTCAAGCTACTGAAGTTTGTACACAAAATCCTAAACGAAAAAGAAAAGAATTTAAATTAGAATATTCAACGGAAAAAATTAAAATAGACAAAAAGAAATTTAAAAAATGTAATTCACAATTAAAAATTTCAACTCTTAAGTATTCATGGGATGAAGAGAAATTATTCTTTCATTACGAACCATGCTATGATAAATTAACTGATTCATTGTATAAACTTTTTATGAGACCAGAAATTATGATTACGTTGGCCAAAAATACAGATATTGATACAAATACTGTAGAATTGAATAATGAAGCTGGTGGATATAATGATTATAATTTAAATGATACATATAATGATTGTCCTGATAATCAGATTGATGATATTCCTCTTAATGAAAATTCAAATCATGAAAATTATGAATCAGATGATGTTCCTCAGGATTTTGTTGGTGAAAATTTAATTGAAGCTCCAAAATTAACTCAAAAAATATTTATTCCTTTCTCTCAAAGAGCCAAAAAACTTGACATGCATAAACTTAAAAAATGTATTTGGAAAGAATTAACAACTGTAGAGCATAATCATAATGAAAATAATACACATTCTAATGTAAATACTGTACATGGAGAAAAAAGTTTCGTACAGGTTTTTGCAAATTTACCTAAAAAACTCAATAAAAATGATGCAGAAGACTTAAGTTTTCCCATTGCTTTTGTATCTCTTTTACATCTTGCAAATGAAAAGTGCCTAAAAATATCAGGAAATGACAATTATTCAGACTTGAAAATACAACAAGATGAGTCATGAGTTAATTTTATTGTATAAATTGTTATCTAATTTTCATCTTAAATAATTATTTTCAATAAAAAAAATGTCTTTTCTTATTTTGAGGTTATTTTTTATTTCTCCAAGGAAATTGTTTAAAAAGCACTTTATTGTGTAAATGAATAATCTTATTAAATAATTGTTGATAAAAAAAATGTTAAGAATACAACAAAATATTTAAAATTATAAAATTTGTTATGTCCTTGATGTTCCTTTCTCAGTATATAATACTGTTTTCATGTTCTTTAGTCAATCATTATTAAGCAGTAATCGCTAGTGTATTATTTTTGTACAATTTAAAGAAATTTATAATTTAATTCATACACAAAGATATAAATATTTAATTATTTTAACCTCAAGTTAATAAAAAAAAATTATTCAATTAATCAATAAAAATTATTTGAAATATATTCATTTTTCGCGGGTAAGTATAAGCGAATAGAAATAATAGGTATTGGTAGTTCTAAACATTGATTGGTGAGTTCCGCACATTATACAATTCTATTGGCTAGTAGAATCTCATGTCATTCTCCTGCACACAATTTTAAGTATAATTTCGGAGTAAGTCAGGTCCGCTTGTATCCGTTTAGCGTCGGTGGTAAAGTTGTGATAGTGATAATGAAGTAAAAAATAAAGAAAACCATTTCTGAAATCATATAGCATCTAAATAAAATAATAGTTTTCTATAAATTTGATTTTTAATTGCAATGAATATAACTTAACCATAAAAAACTCTAATTTAGAACTTAGATAAAATTTCTTTGGTTATGTTTTAGAAAATACGCTTGTGAAAACAAATGGAGTTGAATTGTATTGTAGTAAAAAGTTTGTAAAAACAATAAAAAATGTGATAATTAATAGAGAAATACAGTGAAATAGACATTAAAAAAGCATTAGATGAATAATATAAAGAGAATACCTAGTTTTAAATGTAAGAGAAAGAATACCAACTATTGAACTTACATTCGATGTACCATCTTTGTTGTATTTATAACATTTTTATTTTTTTTGTATTGTAGAAAAAACGATGTCTGAATCGTCTAAGATGGGCCTACTTGGCTCAAAAGAAGAAAATAGTAAGCAGAAAAATGATGAGTCTAATAAAGAAGAATCTCCCGAACGTTATGCTCCATACAGTGCTAATAGTGATTCAGAGACTTATGATACGGAAGCACTTAGCATTATGGATATCAATGATATAATAGGTGTTCAATCGGAACCAGTTGGTGATTCTACTCTAGAAAGTGAATTTGCTGCTTTATCTGAAATTATAACAGACTCCCAATCAAACTCTATGGATAAAAACATTGAGAATAATAGTCTAGATGTAAATAATACAACTTCAAATGCAACCAATGATGAAGAAATAACAAAATTAGATTCAAAATTGGATGAAATTAATTCTGATACTACGGAAAATAATTCTAGTGCCAAATCATCAAACAATCAAATCTGTATTGATTCTCAATCAAATCTGAATGATGTAGTTGAACAGTCGAAAATTTTGGATGTTAATAAAGTTGAAGAAAAAGATTTTTTAGTGGATAAAAGTAAAGATAAAAGTGATGAAGAGAATAGTGAAAATAAAACAAGTCAAGACGAACAAAATGAGGAAAAGGACTCAATAACAGATTCAACAGATATTAGTGGCATTAATAAAAGTCTTCAATTAATTGGAGAAGCTTACATCTCTGAAGATTCTCAAGAAACAGATTTGGATGAATTACAAATTGGTAAAGAACCTAAAGTTATTTTTTCTTGTAAACCTCTGATAGACAAACATTCAGGTGAGAATTTAGAAAATGATTCAATCAACCAAAAGACAAGTTCTACTGATAGTACTGTAAGCATATTAACTTTACATGATAAATCAGTGGCTTCTAGTGATGATAGACCTATGGAAAATGTAACATCAACTACAGATGCAAAAGATGTTTCATTAGAAAATATTGATATCTCAGCTAATGCTAGTAAAGTAGATGATAATTTACGGGACGATTCACTACCAGAAGACGATTGTGAACAAAATATTGATAAAACAGATGATATTGCAATGACAATTAACACCGATAATTTGGTTGAAGAAATGAACAGTCTTATAAAGACAGAAGATTGTCTTATAAGTGACCAAAATGAGCCTCCATTAGTAGATATGCCTGTAAGTATACCAGAAGATGTTGAAGAAACAAAAGATGATACCGTTGTCAAAGCTGAAAATAAGAATATTGAAAGTGAAGTAGTACAAAAAAATGATGTAGAAAATATTACTGATAGTCAAAATTTGGAAAATGTAATAGATCAAAAAGACACATATAAATGTGTAGAACAAGAAACGACTTCATTACAGGAACTGTGTCACTCAAAAGATAAAAATGAAACAGGTATTGAATTAATTATGGCGAAAACAGACCGAGGTTTTGAAGAAGAAATGGAAATAGACGAGATAGAAAGCCAAATCAAACATGAGAGTGAAAAAAAATTAGAAGAAACCAATGAAGAGACTACTTTAAAACAAGAAATAATAAGGACAGAAGTAGACATTAGTCTAGAATTTAAAAAAAAGTCTTTAGACCATACAAATGACAATATTGCTGAAATTAAAACAGAAAATAAAGTAGAAGAAATAAATTCTATCGGAAAACCCGAAGAAAATGAACAAGACACAAGGGAAATATGTGTAGAGGAGAAGAATGATGAAATTAAGCCTGAAGAAAATTCAACATCCTCAGAATTTTGTTTGCTACCTGAAAATATTGAGGAACAACAATCTGAGAATTCGGTAGATAAAACTAATTTAAACACTGTTTCAGAGAAAAGTAATGTAACAAATGAATTAAATAATTTAAATGAAGAAAATGATGGAACAATTGATGCTATAAATGAAATCAATGAATCATTACCAATAAATCAAGAAAATTCTACTACATTAACAGCAGAAATAAATTTGCCCGAGTCACCAAAGGCTAATTTAGACGACGTTACTACTGTACAGATGCATAAACAGTTATTAGAAGGATCAATGGAAATAAATCAGAATAAAGATACGATAGAACTAACTGAAGAAATAAGTGAAAAATCGGAAAAGAAAGTAGAATTACCTGAAGTTACTGAAAAAGATGATGAAGCTCAAGATGGGTGTATCTCAAATTTAAATGAAAGAGTTCCTTCTCCTAAAGCTTCAGTTAATGCAGACAGTCTTCTTGATGATTTAAATAAATTGGACGATGATTTTTCTTCAAAATCTGAAGACTTATGTAAGAAATTAGAAGCAAATTCAACTGAACTTAAAAATAATGATCCTTTGGATGAACTTTTAGGTCTAGACTTGATGTCATCTGATGCCAATGATGACTCATTAATCCAAATAGACAAACCTGATGAAAACCAACTCGAATCTGTTGAATATAAAGATGATTTAACTGTTACTAACATAAATGAAAATCAATTAGTTCTTCCAAAATTAGAAAATAATCAGAAGCATGAAATTTTAGATAAAGTTCAAGAGACTGGTGATAATTCTGAATCAATGAAAATTGATATTAATAAAATGAAACCATGTGAGAGTTCAGAAGAACCAATAATTGATGATGTAATAAAGGAAAAAAATACTCCAGAAACATTTGAACAAAATAAAAAGTTTGTAGAAGATATAGTGAATCCTTTTGTTAGTGATTCAGAACAACCAGAGTTAGATACTTCTTGTGATCTACATAAAAAAGAGAAACTTGAAGTACCTAATGTAACTGAGTCTTTTACAAATGTAAATTCTGGTACAGAAAGTCTTCAACTGATTACAGAAATATCTGAATTAGAGTCAGCAGTTAAATTTCTTCAAGAATCTGAAAAACAAGATACTGTAGTAGTTAGTGAAGAGAGTTCAGTTAAAAAAGAAAAGCCTCAACATCTTTATTCTAGCAATCAAGAAATGTGTGAAAATTCGGAAGAACTAGTAGCTGAACTTGATAACATAACTAGACAGGATACAATAGCAATATCAGAAGCTGAAATTATTAATGAAGCAGCTAAATTAGAAAATGAGAAAAAACAATTAAATGAACCATTAACTTCATTGAATGAGCAGTCAAACTTTACTGATGATAAATCTAATAATAAATTGACGACTTTAGATTCTTCACTGATATCTGTTACTGATAAAAAAGAACCTCTACAAATTCCAACTGATATTGAAATAAAGCAAGTGCAAAATTTAATTACAACAAAAACAACAATACCAAAAATATCAATTCTAGAAGAAAGATTGAAAGAACCACCAAAAATAGAAATTCCTATGACAGAACCAAGAATAAGTAATATTCCAACTTCTCCTAAGACTAGTTTACTTATTCAACGTGATTCAAAAATGACCAACTATTACAAAATGTTGGATTCTCCTAAAATATCTATTGAAAAAACGCGAGAAGATTTGAAATCGTCAGATTCATTGAAAAAAGATAGTGAAAAACATGATTTTGAAAATGCAGGGTCACCTAGAATTATTTTGAAAATAGCAAAATCTGCTATAACTGAATGTGGAGAGCCTAGATCTCCAAAGAGTCCAAAAATAAGATCAGCTACAAATTCTCCAAATCCTGAAGATAGTCCAGGACAAAAATTGGGTAAAATAAAACTTAAATTATCGAAAGGAGGTCATCCAGCAATTATTAATGAAAATAGTGAAGAAACAGGTTTACAGTGGCATACAGAAAGTTCATCATCTTTATCACCATTAGGTATGAAAATTAAACTTTCAAAGACTGGAGATGCTTCTATTATACAGTCGGAAAAATTTGATAATCAAGAGGATAGACGATTAGATTCTCCTCTTGGTATGAAAATAAAACTATCTAAGACAGGTGATGCTGCTATAGTTCAACAAGAGATGAAGGAAACTAAACATAAAACTGATTTAATTCCAGGATCACCGAAACGAACAGACTCGCCTTTGGGAATGAAAATAAAATTATTTAAAACCGGTGACGCGTCAATTCTTCCTTCCGATTATGAAGATGGAAGTATGGCTAAAAAACCACTTCTTGTTTCATCAGAAAAATTGGAATGTAAAGAAGATAATTTAAAAAGAGTTGATTCTCCAATGGGTATGAAAATTAAACTTTCGAAAAAAGGAGGTAGTGCTTCTATAATTTCTCCTGATGGAAATTCGGGTGATAGTAATAAAGAAAAATTGGAAATACCAGAAGTTCCAAAGCGTACAGAGTCTCCTTTAGGAATGAAAATTAAACTTTCAAAAACTGGAGATGCTTCGATAATTTATTCAGAAGTTTCTGATAATCAACAAAATAATGAACAGTTGGAATTTAATGAAACAATAAGTTCTAAAGAATCTTCAAGCTTTCAAAGTGAAGAATGTAATACAGAGATAATGAAAAAACCAGATTCATCAATAGGAGTAAAAATAAAATTATCGAAAGATGGAGATGCAACTATTGTTCATTCAGAAAAACAAGATGAGGATCAGAAAGATTTTAAACGAATTGATTCACCTATTGGAATGAAAATTAAATTATCAAAAACTGGAGATGCTTCGATTGTTCAACCCCAAACTACAGAAATATCTGGAGATCCTACAACTGTTGAATCTATGAAAATTAAATTATCAAAAAGTGGACATCCAACAATTGTATCAAATGACAACGAAATATTGCAAAATAAGGAGACTTTAGAAAGTCATGTGATCTCTCAGAAACAAGATCAATTTATTAATAAAGGAGATGTAATGATTGAACCTTTTCATCTGCCTAAAAAGCAAGAATCAGAAATTTCTCATAAACGTAAAGATACCACCACTGTATGTTCGGCAGATGCAAAGAAAAGTAAATTGGATAATCAGTTTATTCTACCAGATTTAACGATTCAACGGGTTGTAGCAAAACGACTAGATTATGAACAGGGAAATACAACAAGTCAAAGAGCTATTGATATGAATCAAGAAGTTAGTATAACTCAGATAAAAATGAATCCACCTGTTAATGATAATAGTATGGGAGAAAAATTGAAAAGTATATTAATTCAACCACCAAATCAAAGTAATTCTACTGATGATTGTGAAATAATCGAACACCGTCCAGAGTTAATAATAGTAAATGAGAATTCTAATTCAAGTCAAGATATTATGATTATTGATGAAGTACCAACAGTAAAAATTCCTGAAATTAAATTGCCTAAAAAACGAGGTAGACCACGTAGAAATCCACTTGCTTTTCCACCACCTGAAGTACCTCAAGATCCACTAGCTCTTGATGATTCAGCATCCATAGAGCCTAGAGAAAATGAACGGCCTAAAAGAACCTGCAGGAATCTCAAGAGCTATGCTCCACCTAAAAGAGGCCGAGGAAGAGGTCGAGGTAAACGAAAATATGAACGAATAGAAACTACAATAAGCAAAAGACCAAGATTAGAAAAAAGTTTAACAGAAATTGAAAAATCTACTACTGCTTTAATCACCATTGATGATGAAACACCTTCTGCAGTACAAAATGAATCACCAGAGCTCTATAAAGCTCTTAAACAACCATCGAAAACTAGTTTAAAGGAAAAATTGGCTCAGACTCCTGTTAAATGTACTGTCAATCTTTCTGACAGCAATGTCGATAATCTTATAGACTCAAGAGTTGTTACTAGATTGGAAAATGATAATATTTTGACCCCAAGGACTAGTCAAGTCCGGGTAGTTGCTGAAAGATTAACCAGAGCAGCAGAAAACATCAAAGAATCTAAAGAGCATTCTTTCATTAATCGAGATCAAAACTGGCTAACTCCAACATTAAAAAAACAAGTGGATAATAGCAGAAATGACGGAATATCAATGATACAAGTTATCGATGAAGAAACACGAATGAGCGCTGAATGTTTATCTAGATCTCAAACTCCGGCAAGAAATATTGCAGTAAATGGTAATTTATTTATTTATTATTTTATAAAATCAAGTATATTATTTAAAAATAAAAAATATTTAAAATATATATATATATTTAATGCATATAATAAAAATTTGAAACGTAATATTTTATCTTTTAATTATAAAATAGATTAGACAATATATTAATAACTAGAATTGTTTAAAATTTTTAATTATAAAACTACTTATTAAATTCAATCTAAATAGAAGTATATATTCTTATTGGTAGACTTATAACTGAGCCATCTAAAAATAGTTTCTTAACCGACGTCTTAAAGCTCTTAAATTGCTACACAAATAATCTTTATTATGTCGTCTTAGTCTTATCATTTTGCCTGTAAACAATATTTTATTAAGCTAATTGAAACACTTATATTTTTTTAAACTAATTACGTAGAAATTTTTTGTCGATACTTTTTTTTTTATATAATATGTATATATTTATTTCTAATTAAATTAGATAACGATGATAATTACAATGGATTTATTTGATTTAGAAACACCAGTCAATGAAGAGTCTCAAGGAAGTGTTGTGAGTACTGCTACTACGGAATCGGAGAAGGTCAAGGTAAAAAATCGAAGGATGGAGATAAATTTTGATCCAGATGAAGGTCCATTCACTGTTGACAAAATAGCTGAATATGAATGGCCGCCTGAACGTAAAGGAGAAACATTTATGCTTCAGGAACAAATATCACAATATCTTGGTGTTAAATCATTTAAAAGAAAATATCCAGAACTGAAACGACGAATTGTGGATATGGAAGAACGTAATTATTTAAGAGAAAATGGACTAGTTAATGAATCCATGTGTGATATGGGTCTAACTGCCATTTGTAGTTCTGAAGTTCTTGACATTATGTGTAGTGATTTTCCTGATCATTATGAAGAATATCGAAAGCATATGCGTGAAAGACAAATAAAAGAACATTCCAAAAAACAAAAAGAATTAACAGCTGCTGCAACTGCTGAAAAAAATCGAATTGATCTTGCTGAAATGGCAGTACAATCTGCAGTATCATGGAATGTAAGTCTTAATAAAGCTAGAAAAGAAACGAGAAAGTGTAGTTTAGATCTTCAAACTTTTACTATTCATGTACCTAAAAAACAACAAAGGATCAATGAAGAAAGTAAAGTTAGCCATTATCCAGTGGCTCTTATTCCTGGACAATATACTGATTATTATAGAGAATATACACCTGCTGAATTGAGATATTATCCATTAAATACAGTCCTTTATGGACCAATGAGACCTAATGAAAGAAAGTTTGATAGCCAATCTGAAGGTTCTCAAAGTGATAGCGACAGTGATTCATCTTCTGATGATTCCAGGTAAAAAAAAGTTTCATTTGAAAAAAGAAATAGTATTAAATCTAATATTACTGTAAAATTATTTACTAATTATTTTTTAAGCAGTTGCTCATCAAGCGAAGGAACACAAGATACAGAAGAGTCTCAGTCCACGATGGAAGATGTAGATATAGAATTGTCGAATCAAAAAGATAAATCGTTAAGATGTAAAATGTGCTTAAAAAATTTGAATAAGAATTCTAAACAAGAGGTTTTAATTCAATGTGGTACCTGCCATGGACATGGTATTTTTATTTTTTTTTAATTTCTTATTTATTTATTTTCATTTAATAGATAATTAATGAAAAATTATTTACTTTTATTTCAGTGCATCCGTCCTGTATAGATTTGACTCTAGATATGGTTCCCCATATTCAAGCATATGCTTGGCAATGCACAGATTGTAAAACTTGTGTACAATGTCATGATCCTGCTGATGAAGATAAAATGCTCTTCTGTGATATGTGCGATAGAGGGTAAGTATTTCTTGTAATTAGATTATGTATAATTGTTAAAAGTATCATACATATAACAAAAATAATTATTTTTTCCTATTATTAGATACCACATTTACTGTGTTGGATTGAGAAGAGTGCCACAAGGCCGATGGCATTGTCAAGAGTGTGCAATTTGTGCAAGTTGTGGCTCAAGAGAAGCTGGTGGTGTTAATGCTGAAAGAAACAGCGTAGCACAATGGCAACATGAGTACAAAAAAGGTGACAAAAACACTCGAGTTTATGTGTCCACACTCTGTGTTCCTTGCTCTAAGTAAGTAAAAATTTATAATAGTAATAATAATTATTTAAAAGATATTTTCAAATTCAAATTTAAGTCATGTAAGAGAGAAATAAATTCATCGATTTCATCTGCTTATCATCATCAATCACAATATTTCGGGTCTCAAAATATTCTTAGGCACATCAATTAATATTTTTTATTATAAATACAAATGAAAGCAACAAACGAAATAAGTTGTTAAACCTATTTTTATTGATACTAATATATGTTTATTAATTACACTTTAACCGAATTCCTGAAAACATATTAACATAACAATTTGTGAATTAATTAATTAGTTGCCTTAAATTAAAAAAAAAAAAGAAATTAGGCAATAACGTTTGATGCTTTATTACTAACTCCTTTATCATTTATTATCGTTAATAAGGCTATGGCGAAAAGGTCGTTATTGCCCACTCTGCAGTCGATGTCATACTGTCCAAAGGCTCGACCTGGAAGAAAATCTAGTGCACTGCAGTGCATGCGACAAATATCTGCACTTAGGTATTAAAATCATCATCAAAATTCTTCCTTCATCGATGATTATTTCATTCTCTTTTATTTATCACTTGTTTTATGCACGTATATTCTTTTTTATTGATGTTTTTATTATTTTAGTAGTCAAAAAAACAATGAGACACTAATTTTCATTCGTTACCCTATTATTCAACGTCTAATTTATTTCTTTCAGAAATATCGTAGAAACTTGGTCAGAAATAGATTAGAAAATAATAGAAACAATTTATTTTATTATTAATTAAGTAATAATTGAAATGATTTAACTTTTTTTTCCCCTTTTTACAGAGTGTGTGGAGAACAAGGATCTGATAATCGATAAGAAAAATTATCAGTGTGAAATTTGCATGCAAAATCGTCAACGAACAACTAAAACTTCATCATCCAAAGCCATTAGAGCATAAATAAAAATTTTAATGATTTATAACATCTATTTGGGAGTCAAAGACTGTTTTAATTGGTTACTTATTGCTAAAAAAAAATTTTTTCAAAGATTTTAGTTTCTTATTTTGTTCCTATAATTAATTAATATTAATATTATTAGTTACGTTTGTTTTTTTTTGTTTTTAACGCGTGACTAAGGAATAATTAGTCAATTGTGAAACATAAATAAGTAAAACTAATCGAAATTATTCTGTGTAAAGTGACATTCGTAATAATAATAATTATTTTTTAGTTTTATATATATATATATATATGTTGACAAGTACGATTTTGTTGTACATCTAGTATTATTAATGATTGTTTATCAGTATAAGTAAAAAAAAAAATACTTTGGGTATTATTACCCCTCCTCCCCTCTAATTGTCTGTACAGCGAATAATTTACAAATATTACAATTGCAATTATTTTTACTAAATATTTGTTTTTGTAATGTATCCTTTGGAAATTTTTACAAGTTAAAAGAGTTGAAAAAAAAAAACATTTAAAAACAAACACATATCGATAACAAATATTCGTCATTACAAAAATAACTATTTTCTATTTTATAATAAAATACAGTAGATTAATTTTTTTTGCAATTCACTAATGAAAGTAAAAATTAAAAAAAAACAAAAGGGAATTATGCTCTTAAAAAATAAACTTATAATCAAAAGAAAATGGAAAGAATTTTTAAAATATATTTATTTGCTTTATTTTTTTTTTCTTTTTCATTTTTTATAATAATTTTTTAGCATCAATACTTTGAGTTTTACTCAATTGTATATTGAAAATGTTTTGAAATCTGCACCATTAAACATTTTGTCAAGAGTATGTTTATGTTAATTTGTTTTTGTTACACTTTCAGTTAATTGTTGGTATTTCTTATTTTTCAATTTCTATCTGTAGTAGTTTTAAATTTAATTATAAGATTTTTGTATTTGTGGATTATTTCAGTTTTACAATTGAACTAATATTCAGTCAATTAAATGCCACGCAACTTACAGTGAGCAATAACTTATTAATATTGACATATGGCGGTGTACGAACTTATAAATATTTAATGCTCTGGTATTGTTTTCGATGTAACAAATTGCCAATGAAGCGTAAAATATGGCAAAATACACTTACGGTATGGATACTAATAAAGAGTATTCTCTGTGTCATAAATCTCTAAAAACAATGATGTCAAAATACTCAACATTCTATCAGCATAACAACAATAATAAACTGAAAAAGTTGGCTAGATGGTCGATATTAAAGGGCAGAGCGATAACAATAAAAATGTTTGAATATTTCAACTCTACAATATCTCTTTTATACAAAGAAAATTAATGTATTTAAAAACTACGTGAATTAATAGAAATTTAAAAAACTAATTCATAAAAATTTATTAAACTTTTTAAATAAAGATTGACATAGCTGTACTTTATTTCCATTTTTAATTTTAGATAATTAATGTAATAATTTAATTTTTATTTTCTACTAAAGTAGTATTTTAAAAATTATCCATACAATAGATATTTGAAATAAATAAAACTTTCGCTCTGTCCTATTTTTCTTCTTTATTAAATATCTCTCGATACTACTCAAAAAAACGTGCCAGTTTTTTTGTTTATTTATTTCATGAACAAGATGAAAAAAGATTGCACGCACACATACAAACACTCAACACTCCATGATATAACACCAGACACGGAGAGAAGATACAAAATAAAAAAATATGTTTTGAGCAAAAAAAGAACGAGGTAATCGGTTTTTTTTTTTTAATCATCTTGGATTTCATGATTATTTTATTTCTGATAAATTTTTTTTAATTTTTTTAATCCGTAGCATAGGACGGTTATTTTAGCAAAAAATGTATTAAAATTTATTAATAGCGAGTTAAAAGATAAAAAGATAAGCAAATAAATAAATTATTAGTTTCAATCATATGATGATTAAAATAGTTAAACAAATTTTCTCTATGCAAAATACTTAAATATTCGTAAAATATTAAAGTTATCATTAAAATATATATATATATATATATTTTTTTTTCAAGTCAATTTAAAAATTAATAATTTTCGGATAATTTTTAAGTGTCCAGTTATTGATTACAGTAATCGCTTTAGAGTTATTAATAAAGTTTGATGTCACTATGACCATTTTTATATAGAATTTTATATTAAACTTAATTTGAGTTTTCTTTAAATTAATTGACCAATTTACGAGGTAGATTCTTGTATTTACTCGTGTCTGATACCACAAACTGACAAGAAGGTACTAACATTATGCAAGTGCATTGTTGGTATTATAGTTGTGACTAGATTTCTATTTGAAAAATTACTAAGAACCCTCTGAATCATACATGGAGATGGTGGACTATTAATTTTATAAAAAATCCGTAAACTGCACGTTGGATTTTCTGTACGTGATTCTTTCGTCAACTTTGCTAATAAATACTCGAATGCTTCATTCAGCTCTGAATCTGTTAATTCTGGTAAATTGAGTGAAGTTTCAGCTGCTAAATTTCCAGTGGAATTTGATGACCCTGGACAAAAATTATATACATATAATAAATGATTAAATAACCATGTAATTTGTTATTTTTAAATTTTTAAGAAATAAATATCGAATTTAAAATAGATTTTTCTCAGGCAATTTATTAATTATTAGAAATATATTTATAGCTTATGATTTATTTTAATTAATTTTTAATGAATTTTATTCTCTAATAAAAAATTTCTAAAGTTTACTCACCTGTTGATAGATAACAAACTATTGCTGAAACATCGTTCTCATAGTTCCATCTCCGTCTTATCGCAACTTTAAAATTACCAACACACCTGCCAGTTTCTTCATCTACAAGAAAATTAATTGAAATATATTCTTTAATTTCTTATTATTTTAATTATATCCCTTCAATTTAATTTGCTAATCTTACATTCAAATCTATTATTATGTCGGTGAGCCCAAACACACCATTCAACATGAGCTCCACGAGGAAGATTAGGTACAACAATATAATCAACGATAGCATTATTTGTACGTTTTTCCCACTCTTTTCGAGCTTCAGATATATAACTTGGATGAGTTAAAAAGCAAATTCCTTGAACAATATCCCGTAATTGAGTTGAAGAATCCATTGCATTCACAATTCGGTTAATATGTCTTAAAGATAAACGACATTGTCGTTTTATATTTAAGTCAAGTATTGTAAGATTACCAGGTACCATTGGAATTTGTCCTGCGACAGCAATTATATGACCAACCTGTAATTTTAAGACATTTACGATTAATCAATAGTAAATGATACAGAGTTGGATTTTATAAATTAAATAAAATTAATTAATTTATATGATGATTGATAAATAATTTACTCGTATTGCTTGAGAATAAGGTCCAATATTTGCAGGAGACCAATGACTTATACTCTGTACATGCATTGTATGCCTTTTAAGAATGATTTCATCTGTGTTTTTCTTTATCTCCTTATAAGCCAAGGCATCAAGTACCACGTGAACATTTAATGGGCACTCAATACAAACACGTACTGGCGGATTAGTCTGACCTAATCTAGAAGCGTAGACTTCATTTATTAAAGGATATTTAGACATATCACGAATGTAAAGTGTCACAGCAACAATATTTGTCATTTCTATTCCTTCTTTCTCGACTAGATCTGCAGTGAAATAAAATAGTTTTATGTAATACTTTATCTTAATCTCTAAAGTGTTGAAATTGATATGGCATATTGTAACACAAGTAAATAAGCAAATAAGTGAGAAAATTAAGTTTACCTACTGCTTAATTTATCAAGAGTCTCCTCCATTGCATGTTGAGTGTCTTCATTTTTACTAGTAATTCCGCCAAACCAAAACCAACCATTTTGATTTCTGTTAGAAATAGGCATATCAGGATAATCCTCATTATGGTCCTTCTTTATTTCTCCTATAGGACTTGGAGAATTTAATGGGCCTGAATTAGATGATTTTAAACTTTTATTGTCACATTCTTTTTCTTCGTTATCACTGTCTGAAAGATTACAACCATCTTGTAATTCAGGTTTAGTTATTTCTGCTATATAATCATAAGGAGTTTTTATTGGAATGTCCTTGAGTCTCTCCTGCATTGACAAGTGATCCAAATTACCCTAAAAATTACACATAATTATTTTCCAACGTTCCTATGACAACATTGATTTTTTTCTCCGTTCAAATATACGATTAACTCTACCTCTTTCTTTTTACTTACATCTTTATCTTGTAATTTTATTTTTTTAAAATTAAGATATCCAACTGGAGCTATTTTATCATCTGATTGCACCACACTCTCATATTCATCTCTAAAATAATTTACAGCAATTTAATTTATTGATTAAAGAAAAGATTGAATTATATCAATAAATAAAAATTTCAAAAATCTGTTTATACTTACATAACGATACTTTTTGTATAAAGGGGACAATCTAGAGTAAAAGTTTCATACTCTCCGCCCTCTCCACACATATTTACTCCATACATGTCACTCTACAGATAACAAAACAAGTTATTTTTTTGATAACCTTTAAAATTAAACATAACTTAATCATAAAAAAAGTTTTTTCCATTTATAATATAATATTAAATATTATCAAAAGTAAGTTTTCAATTTAAATGTTATAAAAATTTTATGTTTTATCTTTATATAAGAGAAATATTTAAAAATTTTGTTTGAATATTAAATTATGTAAGATCAGTTATTAAAACATTATTGAATTTTTTCAAAAAAATATCAATGAAATAATCTAATTTTTCATTTTTTAATAAATAACGTTTAAATGTTGATAACACAGCTCCGAAAATAACTGTATGAGGAAACTTTGGACAGTGTGGACTGATTGAACTAGGAGATTGGAACGTATCCAATTGTAATACGAAATTTTAAATGTTAACATTCGAATAATAAAACATATTTTAAAATAATTTCATTATTTAAAACTATAATGATAATTAAAAGTGTCACCTACGAGAATATTTAAATTGTGCTGCATTTCTGATATAGATTTGCCTAAATGTTTAGGTTCGAGGCCTTGACAAGCGACTTTTATCAGTACAGCATTTATCGAACACTCGATCATCTCTTTTAATAATTCATCTTGATTCCGTCGCCACAAATATGCCAGCGATACTAGCCCTAATCTGCTACATCTAAATTGATAAAAATCCCTTTTTTAATGTATATCTTAGTTTGATAAACACTATGATAATAAAAAATATTAAGATAATTACACATTTTCTATGCGTATTCTTTGATAATCACTTAAAATTGCACCTGATGAAACTGCTTCGATATTTTCTTTTTCCTGTAATGAAAATTTAAATTATTTTCTAACATACATGATATTATTTAATAATTATCACTTTTGAAGTATTTAAAACTTACCATTATTTTAACTAATAATCGATAGAGATCTTCTACTTCATCATCTTCTGTAGGAGAGTAATATTTTTCACGCATACATGATTTTCCAAATGTAGGTTCTCTATATAATGGTAAGCCTATAGCTTTCGCTATAAAGTCGATTCCTTGATGACCTACTGTTTGATACATAAATGATTCCAATTCATCTAGAAATTTTATTTTATTATTAAGAATGTATAATATTGAAACAATTTGAACTTTAAAAAAAAAAATTAATTTCATGTACCTTTTCCAATAGGATATAAATTCGCTAAAGCTACAACCTCATGACCTGCAGCAATACATTGCATTATATTGAAAATAGAATCTTTTCCACCACTAATCAAGGCCACAACCCTCATAGTGATAAATTCAATTTTCTTAAAAAAAAAAATCAATCTATGACAAGGTGGACCCAGGTCAAATTTTTCAACTTCACAGAAGCATCTGTAGGACAAAGAAAATTACGAATAATTTGACAAATAATTCAATAAACTTTTTAATTAAAAAAACAAATAATTAATACTATAAAGATGACACCATAATTTAAAAAAATAAACGTATTTTTGAAAATTTTTTTGTTACAAGAATCAATTCAATTATATTTACTCAAAAAATTTTCATTCTAAATTGAATAGAACCACAAAGTTATTTGAAATTATATAATTTATTTATGATATAAATATAGAAAAAAATTAATGATGACAACAGTTATTGCTTTATTTAAATTAAGTTAATACAAGTAACGGTGAGTAAATTTGTACTGGCAAAATATCTCTACTCAATTCTATTATTGTACAAAACGATGATATGTAAACTTTAAAATACTCAAATTTAGTATTATATACATCTGAAAATACAATCACAAATGACATTAACATTCAACATACTTGAAAAATAATTAAATAATAATAATGATGATAACAATAATTAAACAATTGATCAAAAGAAAAAAACAAGAAAAAAGCAAAAAAAAATACACGACACGTTACGATTTTTTGTTGTTAAACTTCTTAAAGTGTTAATTAATGTAGTTTAGTTAACGTCTAAGAGATAAAATCGCGATGTTTTCCTACCAAACGTCTTACAAAAAATGGATACAAAACTACTAAAAAGAATATCAGTCGTTAAAAAAATACTCTGATGTTACATGGACAAGGGGCAAGGGGACATTTTTGGTTATCAATTAACGTTAGAAGATTGAAAATGTAAATGAAAAAATATATAAATAATTATTTCTTACTATGAATGAATAATTATGGATGGGAAGTTCAATTCCAATTTTGTGATTAGTTAATTAAACTTGAGTTATAAATAATTGTAATATTTACATTAAAATTTATCACGAAAGACTTCTACCATAACGAAAATGGTATGTGAATTTAATCCATGCTTGAACTGCCATCAACGGTGAAACTATGGAACCTTTCACGTATTGAGGTTATTTGAAAATGTTACATAAAATTTGAAGGTTTTCAATGTATTTAACTCTAAATAATATTATTTAAATGCCCAGAATTCTTTAATAAGTTTTATAATATAATAAAATATCGCGAATTATATATTTTTTTAATGAATTAAATATAAATCGAGAAATTTACAAAGTACAGCTCATGTAACCGTAATTTGTGACGTAGTCACACTATCCATCAAAAATGTGTACAGTTTCAGTTTTCGAATGAATTTTGTCATGCAATATAAAAAAATGATTATTTCTATTTAATTTCTCAAATAATAAACAAAAAAATTGTTCAGAATTAATCGTTTTTGATTTCATAAAAATTATTTTAAATAAAAAAATATTTTTTTTCATCATTGTTGTTTTTGGTTCACTCTAGATGTCGTTCCGTACGTAATTGATACTACCAACTTTTAGATCGAAAAATTACCAATACAATGAAAACAACACATCTTATTGTATTCAGAACAAAAAATATCAAGAAATAACTTTTATTTCCTTACATTTATGTACAATATATATTTTTATATGAAAAAAAACAAAAACTAATTGAATTATTTATGTCTTTTCCTTTTTCATCACAAATCTCATCAGATCTTCTTAACCCAGGGCCGTAGTCAGTGAATCATCACCTTTATGACCATTTTCACAATTATGTGATAACATTTTTCATTAAATCCTGTAAATAATAATTAACTTGAATTTTAAATAATATAACATTATAAATATTTTCAGCATGAATATTTATTTTCGTATGAATAATATTTTAAAAATAAAGCTTTTGTACTGTCAATTAAAAAAAACTAAAAATGGCATATAAATCAATATTATTAGTGTATAAACAACTCATATATTATCATATTAAAAGTAAATATTATTAATAATTGTAAGTTGTATTTTATAATATGTATATTTATCGAAAATATACAGTAAATTTTAAAAATAATTTGTATATGAAAGATGTTAGGGAGTTTTCATTTGGTATCAAGAACGGACGTCAGCCATTTTCTAGTTAATTCTGTAACATCCAATGAGAAGTCAGTATTCGGCAGCCATGTTCACTTTCGCTACGGTCACACGAGGCTGTGTTTGTTAAATCAGTATGGAAAGCATCTTAAGCACGCATAGTCTGGCATAGTCCTTTGGCGAGTCTACTTATAAGCACTACGTTTCGCAAGCTGTAGCTTATTATTGTATATTTTTAAGTCTTCTATTGTTTTAATTCATTAAATTGTGCATAAATATATTCCTAAAAGTTCAAAATTTTATTTAATTACAATAAAAAATGGTTTTGGCTGAAAGAAATTCGGAAAATGTAAGAAACGGACGAAGATCGAGAGGTCCCAGCCCCAATCAAACGGAGTCTTCCAGTGAAGAAGACGGAGGTAATTATTTCTTTTATTTTCGATTTTCCTTTATTCTTTTATCAATACTAATTATCAATAAACAATCGAAAGATATTATTAAAATAAATATTTATAATAATATTTACTTATACATGACTTATACATTTAGCATCAAAATTTTGAATATACAAATTTGTACCAACGCTTCGATTTTTTTAATTGCAATAAAAGCATTTAATATTATCGATTTTTCAAGACTTATGTTCCTCTTTAGTTTAGTGTTAAATCATTATAAATTTTTTTTTGTACATAAGAATTTAAATGAAATTGTTGAAACAATCAAATCACATTAACAAATGAAAATTTAGTTCCAGCCGAAAAAATTAGAGTCGGTAGAGATTACCAAGTAATTGTACCAGAGCTTATCCCAGTTAATGGTAAATATTGAAATATCTATTCAATATACTTTAATCTATTTGAAAATACAACAAATTAAGAAATAATCATTATTTTAAATTTTAATTTAAGAACGGCGTCTTGATAAATGTCCCGATAGAGCTCTTTTAGTTTGGTCTCCAACTACCGATATACCTGATCAAAAATGTGAGTATAAATATCTAATAAAAACATTTAATATTCATCTAATCTAATCATATATTAATTCAGTATTTCTTTTTTACATAAACCATTATTTTATAAATAATTAAACTACTATTATGTTATAGTGGATGAATATATTATATTAGCTAAAGAAAAGTATGGTTATAATGGAGAACAAGCATTAGGGATGCTGTTTTGGCATAAACATAATTTAGAGAGGGCAGTTCTCGATTTGTCTAATTTCACTCCGTTTCCTGATGAATGGACAGTTGAAGATAAGGTTCTATTTGAACAAGCCTTTCAATTTCATGGAAAAAGTTTTCATCGTATACGACAAATGGTAAAATGAACAATTTAATATATTTCATGATATCTGTTAAAATAATTTCTATTAATATATTATTTTAATTCTTATTTATTAGCTTCCGGATAAATCGATTGCTAGTCTTGTTAAGTATTACTATAGTTGGAAAAAGACACGATCAAGAACATCATTGATGGATCGACAAGCTCGAAAATTAACTAGTGGAGGTAAGGATGGTGAAAATGGAAGTGAAAATGGCAGCGAACTTGGCTCAAATACTGATAGTGAATCTGAAGAAAAAGTAAGAATCTTTTTGTTTTATTTAATAATAAATTTTAAAAACAAGTGCAAAATTCTGTCGCATGATCGTATCTGTACAATTAATAATTTAAATGTCTTTTTTATTTAATTATTATTCTTTTTTTTTTTTTCAATCATTTCTTAAAAATTGAACATCTAAGAAAATAGAGAATACAATGTTTTTTTTTTTTTTTAATCCGCATGACAGTCATTAAAGTAGCTTTGATAAAAATGTATCCACACGGAAATGAAACAGGAGGTAATGGCTCCAGCAACTAGTAATTTATTCAGTAGAAAAAATATTTCTTAGAACTTTTTAGATTGACCTCATAAAAAAATAAATGTTTTTTCCTTCTTATAGCACTTTTTAAGCACACTTTTAATTTGATTTAATTATTTCGATTAATAATTTAAAATATGTTCTTTTTAATTATATCCGTTACGTCGTATATGTGAACGAAAATGATGTGGAACGTTCCAGAAATGGACGATCCACCGCGGAATTCGCCGTGGAAAAAACCAAACTGTGCCAGGAAGTCAAGGTGCTGACGGAAAAGCTTCCTCCGACTCGGAAAACATCCCTCAGGTTCAGGTACTTAAACCTAAACCTTACCCCGCAATATTTTAATTTATATTTAAATTTTGGATTGAAGCAAAAAATAATCAATGAATACTTTGATACAACTTTTCGCTTCAAAACAGAATTTTAATGCTTTTTTATATTTTTTTTTATCAATCTTTCGCTATATTCATTATCTATCCCGCTCGCTCGCTCATTTCATGTAAATATCGTCGTTTATGATTCAATTATAATCTATCAATCAATTACAAGCTACATTGACAATGTTTGTTGAAATAATTATCATATTTTAACCGTTGAGCACCTTTGTTTTATTGAATGATTTCATTGCACCTATTGAAATCATTAGAAATAGACTTGAAAATTAAAAAAATAGCTTTTTCATAAATTGTACATAAATTTTTGGGATCATAAAGATATAATAAATTTGAATTTGAATCATTGATAAAATTGATACCATGAATGTTACTGATACATATATAGGCAAGCGAGGGGGGTTGATAAATGATCCATTTCTGTTTAACTTTAAAGGGAATTATATGTTGTAGGGATCTTGTAGCAACTGCGGTGTTGCTTGTCATAGCGTTCGTGCTACGCCCAAAGGACACGCGTGTCATAGCTGCTATCTGCACTGGAGGTCAGTGGATTGAGATGAAAAAAAAAAATAAAAAAAGAAGGAACTTTTTAGAAAAAATTGATATTCATAGACATACACACATGCCTATAGATTTTCTAAGTTTTTTTAAACTTTGATATTGACGATTGGTTTAGGCGCACGGGTGTCGCGAGGCCTCTGAGTTCCATGCCGGGTCGCTCAAATAAACGGAAACCCCCACGTGGACTGGTAGTAAATCACGACGATCTTGCAGTCTTGGCTGGCCAGCCGAATCAAGCAAACAACAGTTTGCTGGCTATCGACACTGAAATTGTTAGCCTTAAACGTCAAGTATGTTTCTATTGCCACTTTATCGTGTGGATACATTTTTTTATCTCTATTAAATTTTAATTTTTTCAATTCTAATCAATCAACTGTATTATTTTTCTACTCTTTTAAAAATATTTTGCTTTATAGAAAAAATTACCATTCTTCATATATTAATAAATAATTTTATTTTTTAGATTCAAACTAATAAACAACAAGTTAGTGCTCTAAAACGTAAAACAGCTGATGGCATTGATGTTTTACGTCCTCCTGAAGTTTCTGGTCGTATTAATGCTCGTTGGACTAATGATGAATTGCTTTTAGCAGTTCAAGGTGTAAGGAAATATGGAAAAGACTTTTCAGCAATTGCTGATGTAATTGGAACTAAAACCGAGTCTCATTTGCGTTCATTTTTTGTCAATTATCGAAGACGATATAATCTTGATGCTGTGTTAAGAGAATATGAAGCTGAAAATGGACCTATTCTTATTGATGATGAAAAAGAAGAAAAAGTAAAATTTTTATTTGAAAAAAAATATCTAAGTTTAAATATTAATAGTTATTTAATGGAGATAATTTTTTTTTCAGATGGAGGTTGAACAAACATCGAATAACGAATCTCCAGAAACATCTCAAAAGTCTAAATCATCAGTTAGTGTTAATCAATCTACAAAATAACAGTCGACTTATATTGTAAGCATAACTATTTAAACAAATTTAATTTGAATTTCCAATTAAACATATAAATCAATTTAAAAGAATTTCTACTATTATCAATCAGATAATATGTTAAATTATTAAATCAACTTATTTATCAACAATGAGATTATTTCGTAGCTTATAGGTTTCATTGTAATCACACCAGATTCGATTTTTTTTTTTACAAAAAAATGATCAAAATTAGAACAAAAGATTTTTTTTAAAAACTTATTATTTATTTACTGCACATCATTTTTTTAAAATTTGTTCTCGACACTTGAAAAATGCCACTTTAATACATTAAAAAAAAAAACAAAAATAGAAATTATATATAAATTAGTAAAAATTTCATTATTCTTAAATAATTGCATAATTTTCCATTGAACTTCGCAGTTATGAGCCAGTGCAGCTTTATAGATTGAAAGAAAATTTGTATATACTTGAACGATTATTTATATTATTAAAGATTTCTGTGTTAGCTCTAACCTATGCAATTATGTATTACTAAGTTATACAATTATATATATTTATATATAATATATATATATATAAATATTTATATATGTATATGAAAAACACTTATAAAGAATGTTAAGGCAATAGTAGAAACATTTATTAATATTAAGTGTGAATTTGCTTTTAATTAATTCATTTATTATGCTTAAAATTTATTCGCAATAAAATAGTAAAACTTTCATTCTACGCATTAGAGATTAATTTAAATAGATTTTTTAGCTGAAACAGTTTTAATTTATTTTTTTTACTAGTTGTAAATGATCGATATCAATAATATAATGTTGTGTTTTTTTTTTCTGAATAACTTTCTGGATCGAAAAATAAAAAAAAAAGATTAAACGATTTTTCAGCTATCATGAAAGAAAAGCATAATTGACTTATAGAAACATAAAATTATCTATATATAATTGTTAGCATTTGTGTACGTAAAATACTGCCTGAATGTAACGTATTTTTGCTTACATGCAACGTACAAATTATTTGAAATTGTTCTTAAAATAATATTAAGAGCAATTTTCTTGTAAATAATGAAACAAAAGAATTGATAGTGAATTATTCAGTATCCAATAAAGAATGAAATACAACAATAAAGATTCAAAAATTGTACATATTACATGCTAATGATTATTTCATAAATACCATAATGTATTTTTTAATTGCTTATGCATCGAACACCATTCCGTGTACGGATAATTGGTTCTTTAAAAATGTTAAAAAGTTAAGTGTTTTCGAAAAAAAAAAAACCTAAAAGTCATAAAATAATTTAGTTATTCCTTTATTAACCATTAATCACTTAGAAAATTATAATGTTACATTGATAATTTATATTAGTTTATAGTAATTACTCAAAAATATTAAGAATGTTAATTATAACTAACTTAGTTTAAATAAAGATAATTATTGAGATATGTTGCCACATTATGAGCTATTAAAATATAAGATTTAGGTTTTATATATATATATAAATACCTTAACTCTATTTTCGACAATTTTTTTTATAATCCTTTGCGCTTGAATTAATTATGATGATTTTCTTTATATTTTAAACAATTAGAACTCCATTTAAAATTAACATATTCATTAGTTTGTATATTTAAAATATTATCAATTTCTAAACTCTTACCCTTTTGAATTCTTGCTGTAATATAATGTTCGTAAGAAAGATTTCCGGTTTCAATTATATCGTTGTATTTTATATCAGTGATAAGTGATCCTATGAAATATGGATAATATTGAGAATTCAAGCTAAAATAAATATTTAAGAATTTGGTACATTCAAAATAAGTTTCGTCATGATCGAATGGACTTTCTATTTCTTTTTTTAAAATTTGATAATTCTGGCTTTTCTGGACAATTTTATTAATTAAGTCAAGAATATAATTACTGTCTGGAAAGTCATTGAATTTAATTGAACAATAAAACTGAAGAATTATTGTTACATTAATAACTTGATGAAAATAATATTCTGGAATCTGTAAATAATTCGATTCAAATTGTGGTTCAATATATTTATCGGAAAATATTTCTTCAAATTGATCTTTGTCTAAAAAATTACGAATGTTATATAATTTTTTTCTTTCTAATACATCTTTACAAAACAATGTACGAATTTCTTCGTTTTCATCACTTACTAACTTTATTAATGGTTCAATAATTCTCCTTTTAAAGCTAAAATCTAAATTACATAAATCTAGATTCTTTAAACTATCAATAGCCCATTTTCTTCTCTCTACATCTAGATCATAAACTGCATCAATAATATCATCAAAATGTATTAAACATTTACAAGTATTACATAGTCTACTATAAAATTTATCTTTGATTTCTTGACAATGTCTAGAACATGGTTTCATTTGATTCAGAATAAGGACAAGTAACGACCGACATAATAAATGTATTTTTTTGAATTTAGATTTTTGTATCATTGAATCAAGTCTTAAAAAGAAATTTTTCATAAATAAAGGTCGTGTCCATAAGCTTAAGATATTATCTTTACTAATTCTAATAATATTAAGAATTGCTTTTAAATATTCCATTATTTCATTGTCATTCAAATCATCTTTAGTTATAGTATCAAAAGTTGAATATATATAATTGACCATTCGATGTTTGTCATATTTGTACACTTTATCTATTAATTTAGAAAAATAATTCCAAAAATTATTTTCAATCCTTTCATGACAGTTATATAACGAACAAAATTTCCAAAAACTAGACAAAATACTTTCATTTGGAATAAAATTCATACGAATTCCAATTTTTAAAAATTGATAAAATAATTCGAAATATCCTATTTCTTTATATGTTGATTGGCGAGGAAACATTATAAGTTTATGTATTAAATATGTAGAATACTTTCCAAATTCAAATGATTGTAAAATTTTATCATCATTTAATAACGGAAAGCTTACAATACTTTGTAAAAAAGCTGCTTCGATAACATAATTAATTGGTTTTTCATTTTTATGATATTCATTCCAATTTGAAATGAATATTGCACTTCTTTTTATTTTATTTTCAAAAATTCTCCGAATAATTTTATTATCATATGTTGACATATTTTTGAGGAATATAAATTTGTATTCTATCATTTGAATAATGCTGATTTGAGAAAGTAAATTTCCATGTATATAATTTTTACTGTATTTTTCATCATTTTTTGTATTTATATTAGCTAATTCTGTAACCAAATAGTTCATTGGTATCAGAGCAGCATATGTTTTAGCAGCTAAAAATCGTACATGCTCTACAGGATGACTAAATAACTGTTGTAGATGTATTTTTAATTTATCAACATATTCTTTTGATGAATAATCTGTAAATTCTGTCCCATCTACAGACATTTTAGATAACATTATCAACAGTGGTACAAGAATATTAGTAGTTTTAAAATCATTTTCATGACTAAGACTTTTGAGAATTAACGCAGCTAACGTTGGATAATGAGTTATAAAATGATTAATTAGATATCCAGTGCCAAATATTAATTCATTTTCACCTGTTTGTCCAACAATACGTGGAATTACTGCACCTAAAAGTTGTAAACTAGCATTTCTGATAGCCCATTCAGAGGATTGAAGATTACTAACAGCAACTAATGCAATATCTTCTATGTAAAAAATTAAATCTTCAAGAAGACTTTTATCAGCAACAATGCATCGTAAAAAATGTAATAAACGTGCTTGCGGGGAATCTTGATTTGAATCAATAAACTTACTTGATGTATTGATACTATTATCTGAATCATTAAGTGAATTTAAAATTTTTTTAATAGCAATATGAATAATTCTTCTTTTTTTATCGTTACTTATAATATTGAGAAACATTATTGAAAATCCAGCTCCCCGTCGAGTTAAATTAATTTGATCATTTGAATTCAAATTTAATAATTTATCTAAATATGTATCAAATACATGATCAAATTTATTTGTTTTAGTTAGATGACGCATTGATTCAGCAAGAGCACTTCCAGCAGCTTCTATAGCTCCTTTGTGACGACACTTCATTAAAATAGAAGTAATTAAATCTACTGATCGTTTTAATTCATCAAATTTTAATGATAATGTCGATATTTTAGCACATAATTCACTTATTGTCTTTAAAGCCATCCAGATAGTTGAAATGACTGCTTGATGTGCAGGAGTGACGACAGCATTATTAATATCTTGCTTGATTACACTACTTTTTATTAATTCTTCTATAGCTACAGCCATTTCTGCAAATGATGAAGAGTAAGAGATATTACTTGATTTCGGTGATAATGCTGATAAGAAAAATACTGTTGCTTCTTCTAATAAATCCAACAGTCTAGTGAAGTAGTCGACAGAAATGCTTTGAAAAGAATTCATTGAATTATTATTTGAACCCAGTTGTAAAATAGCAATCAATGAAGCATTAAAATTGCATTCATTAGCTAGAGCTTTTAAAAAATCTTTCTTCATCAGATCAAAACTACTTTGAGCATTTTTAAGCAAATATTCATACAAATTTTGTGGATTATCATGATAGAAAAAATTATTTTTGCTCGGAACTTGTGAAATTAATAATAATAACTTTACTCCGGCAGTTAATTCATAAAACTTCAAAGATTTATTCATTTCAATAGCTTTAGAAGTTAATGAATTTATTTCTTCAGGTAATAAAATTGTCATATCGAAAAAATTTTTTATAATTTTAGATGCAACTTCTCGAATTTCTTCTATAGGATCTAAACACAATCGAAGAAGAATTAACAAACTTTTTTTGTTATTTAATTTCCATTTACCAGCATATTGTGTTACTCGATAATAAAATGAATTGGGTTTTTGAGTAGTCAATTTTCGATTAGCTGACATTAATATTATTTCATATAACTTTAATCCAATAATCTTTCTTTGGTAACATGATCCAGGTTCCAAACAGTCCAAAATAAAATCAATTAACCAATAAATAAATTCAGATAATTGTTGGGTCCATGGTGAATTGCTAATTCGATCAATAAGAATTTCGATATTATTGAAAATTCCTTTTCTCAATTTAACAGAAGTCGTTTTGACATTGTAATAGAGGAAACGTTTAATAATTTCAAAATTGATGATTTCATAGGTTTCTTTGATATTACAATGATACGTAATAATATTCAATCTTATATTTTCTTCATTATGAGTTGTAAATAGATAGTGCTCGTGTATGATTCTGTTTCTTTCGTCAATGAATAACAATGAAGTTACATCGTTCCAAGAGATATTCAATTCAATAGATATTCTAGCTAAATATGATTGACATATGACCAGTTTTTCTTTGCAAAATGATAAACACAACTTTGACAATAATCCAGAGTCGTTTCTAAATTTATTCAAAGTAGGCTTCATCCAAAGATCCCACAAGAGTTGTAATGCATTCATTTTTCCCCTAAAAATAATAAAATGTATTGTAATTATTAAAAAAAAAAAACTTAATTTGTATTTATAAAAAAAAAAATTCTTACTCTTGCTCCCATGTAGTAAAAACCAAAATTAAATTACTCAAAAAATATTTAGTCCATTGTGTTTCATCCAATTTATTAAGAAGAGAAAGATAAAATTTTGTTGATACATGTTTTAATTGACTTCTAGTTAAACTCTCAATAATTTCTTTTATTTCATGATTTTCGAATTGTGGAATACTATTCCATACTTTACAAACTTCTGTTAGAATAGTAAATTTTTTTGTACTTGCCCAAGATAACTGTTTACTACAAGTTGAAAAAACATATTCTATGTATCCATGATATTTGTCTTCCATAATTTTTAAATATATTGCAAAAAGTTGTGAATTATTTAACTTTGCAACATCATTAATACTGTTATCCCAATTAGAGAATATAATTGTTTCCAGTCTATTTTCAATTTCATTATTATGTTCATTATTACTCCAAAATTTAAGATAAACACTTCTGGTTAACCATTCTTTAAGTACTTTAAAAGCAAAATAAGTATATGGAGTATAGATAATGCAATGTTTTTCAATTATTTGAAAACAAGAAATAAAATCGTCGTAATTAAAAAGACTTTCATTAATTACAAGTAAATAACCATGAATAAATGTTAATTGAAAACATTTTGAATCAAGAATATCAAATGATTCATTTAAAAATTTAATATTAGTAGTTTGTTGTAAAATATATTGGACTTGATGAAAAATATCTGAATGTATTTCTGCATTGATTTTAAAAAAAGCATGAGATGCAAGGAGTGATTTTTGATCCCTTATTTTTGTATTATTTGTTATTATTTTCATGAATTCTTTTAAATACAACCATGAATTCTGTAAGAACAAATAAAATTAAAATAGTCTATGTGTTTCTTAGCAAATAATTAGTTCAATTGGTTAATTATATATGTTTATATATTAATTTATTAATTATATTCATTTACCTTATCATTATCGAGATCATTTTCCTTTTTATGTCGTATTTGGTTTAATATTTCGTTGATATCAATTTCAAAATCCATATTCCTGTCTACATTGAAGCTAATTGTCAATCTGAATTATGATTTCTTATGAAGAAAATTCGACGATGTGGTAACGAAGGTACTGCTACTTCTTTGTTAGAACATTCTACACAATTAAGTGTAGATATGTTGCTTTTATTCCTAAAATTTATTTTAATCATATTTTTTAGTATTTTCTTAAATTTTTAAATGATTATATATCTAAAATTGGTTAATATTAAAAAAGATTTTAAATAATTAACACAATTAACTTGTGTAAAGCATCATTTGTTTTATTTAATTCACTTTAAAACTATTTTCAAATATAATGATTATTTACAAAAATTATTTATAACAAATATGTCTGTTAGTTAAAGCTAAATCACTCTCTTTGGTAGATGCTCATTAACATACCCTTCTTCTTCTAATTTTGCTTTAAATTTTAAGTACTCTCGTTTTCTGTCAAAATGTTTTACCTGAAAGAAAAAAAATTATTATCTCCAATGTTGCTTTTCTTTTAAACTTTCTCTTAAAAATAATAATATGTTGCTTTACCCATTGTGCTGGACAAAATTTTTCATACTTTTGTCGAAAATCTTTACATTCATCTGCTGATCTTTCATCCAGACATTTCCAGTAATCATCTCGCGAGTTCCAACAATGTTCTCGATCTGATTTATTGATAAAAGACATCCTGAAAATGTATAAAAATACATTATTATAAAATTAAAAATCTTTTTTGCTTAAAAATATGTACAGTATTATTTGATTATTTTTTATTGATAAATTTAATGTAAGCCAATTGATTATTATTTAATAAGATGAAGCCATTAGGAGAATATTAGACAGAGTTTGTTCAATTATAATGTGAAATTGGATAAATTTTGTTTTTATTTAAATAACTTACCTAAATGTTTTAATAGTACACTATCTAAATTAGAATAAAAGTAATTCAAGATATTGAACTATTGTCATCTGCACTAAATTTTTTTTGAAGAAAATAAACAATATAAAATCTTTTTTTAATATTTCGGTTAATATTAACATTATTGGAAATACGTCAATAAGAATATATAAACTTTGATAAATTTGTATACACAGTACAACTTAGATGTAGAGCCATCAAACAAGAAAGTCTATTTCAATAAACTGAACTGTATTTTACACCATTAACAATGTTGAACTATCGTTTGATTAAATTGCAAAAAAGTTAAAAGTCTTAAGAACTCTAAAAGTTTTTGATCTATTAATAGATTGAAAATTTATTACCAGCCATTACTAAATTCAACATAAATATTCTGGCAAATATCCCACACCTTTGAGATTTATTTTGAGTCAAACATTCTTTATGAAAAGCTTTTTAATACTTAAATGAACCTTGAATCAATATGAAAGAATTTAGTGCTATATCATTCTTTATATATTTAACTACAATAAAATGATTTAGATTTTGAATTAATCTATTATAATAACAGATTTATTGTGTACAAAAATGATTAAAATTTTCTGCTATAAAAAAAATTAAACCGTTTGTATGATGAAAAAACTAAAATTTTTTATAAAAAAAAAAGTATCAACTCAAATTTAAATGAAAATACATTTTTGTGAGTTATTATGTCATTCTAACAAATAAAATTACTATTATTGGTATGAGTTATATTATAGGTTAGAATATTTAAATAATAAATGCATGTATAAAATAAAGTTTATTTAGTAAAAAAAAAAAATGAATAATATTGCGTAAAAATATCATTAATTTGAATTTTTTCAGAAAAATAATTTTCCAATTTTAATTATTTAACAAACCTTAATTTTTAATTGATGTTTAACAATTCTCCACAATGTTTATCTTCTAAAGAATATGTGAATTTAGAGGTTAATATAAACTTTTGTAAGATTCGTGATATTAATTCGCATAAATTGTATTATTGACCAGCCAGTAAACAAAATAATTGTTGTTTGGAGCAACAAGCTGATTAGCCGGTAATCCAGTAAAATACAACCAGGAACTGTTCCATGTGCAATATCATTTTGTGAACAAACCAGATTGATTTTATGTCATATTTTGTGTAATTTTATGTAAATTACAATAATTCAGATTATAATTTTTATGTAATTTATTGTCGATTATATTATTTGATAAGAATTAAAAAATAAAAGAAAATATAAATTTTTTACTTACTAGTGGTGTTATCAGTTAATAATCCTTGTTCAACAAAAAAAAAATTATCTATTGGTAGTAATTTGCCGACTCATTTTTCAACAGCTTGATAAGCGTCAAGAAATTCATTTCCTACATTTTTGATTTTATATGAGGATGATTAAAGGCTCATGTGGAAGATTTAGGTAAGATAATGGAAGGCGAAAAAAATAGAAATGGCATTAAAAAATAAAATTTCGCCAAGTTCGACCATGCATTCTCATGCTAAAAAGTGGGGTATCAGATCGAAAATGTTGGAAATTAACTTCGTGACTCCTAGAATTCTATGAAACCGGAAATGGCTTTATTTTTAGCATAAATTATGCTCGAATCATAATTTTGACTAGTGCATTAGAAAGCTCTCGCTCTCACGAATCCATTGATATGCTTATAGTCTATGTATGTCTAATGGTTCGTGAGTTATAAGCAGAAAACAAAGTTATGCTGCATCGAAACATAAGAAAACCTTTAAACGCTCATAACTCGGAAACTATGCGAGATACGGCATTTTTGACGGGGATATCCTATAGGGGGGGTCGAATTTTTTACTTAGGTCCCGATCTATCATATGAGCCCTCGATCAACCCCGTAGCATCATTAGCATAGAAGTTATGCATATTTTTATGTATTACAGTTCTTCACGAATATCTTGTGATTTTTCTGACCAAACACAGTCAACAGCCAGTGTTTTGGAATCGTCTCATCAAGATCTTCCTAATGACATTCATGATTTTATGATCCAAGCATAAAAACAAGTATTTGCTTTTTTTTGAGGTCAAATAACAAAATTCTCCGATTTTGAGGATCGGGGGCCCACAAAATGATGATCGAAAGATTCCACGACAAGTTACGGAGGTTAAAAGTCGGAGTAAGGGTAAAAGAAAACCACCCCTTTGACTTCGGACTGCTACAACTCTTGTACAAATCAGCTAATACTAACTATAAGGAGCTATTTAGAAACTTTGGAATCTAAGCAACAAATCCATGTCTATAAAAAACGTTTAAAAAATTTCTTTCACCCTTAAAATCGCCAAAATATTTAGCTAACTCCCTTAAAAAGTGTGACTTCCCTTGTATTTTTGCGATTTTAAGGGTGAAAAGAATTTTTTAGACATTGTTTATGGATATGTATCTTTAGCTTAGATTCTGAGGTTTCCAAAACGTCCCTAAAATGCTTTTTTAGACAAACCGTTTCGGAGTTATAGAGGCTCAAAGTCTTGCTCGTTTTTAAGGGTTGTAAAATTTATTTTTGGAGGTGGTAACCGGATTCTAAATTTCCAAGAAGTACAACGAAGAAAATGGGCCCCCGATCCTCAAAATCGGAGAATTTTGTTATTTGACCTCAAAAAAAAGCAAATACTTGTTTTTATGCTTGGATCATAAAATCATGAATGTCATTAGGAAGATCTTGATGAGACGATTCCAAAACACTGGCTGTTGACTGTGTTTGGTCAGAAAAATCACAAGATATTCGTGAAGAACTGTAATACATAAAAATATGCATAACTCCTATGCTAATGATGCTACGGGGTTGATCGAGGGCTCATATGATAGATCGGGACCTAAGTAAAAAATTCGACCCCCCCTATAGGATATCCCCGTCAAAAATGCCGTATCTCGCATAGTTTCCGAGTTATGAGCGTTTAAAGGTTTTCTTATGTTTCGATGCAGCATAACTTTGTTTTCTGCTTATAACTCACGAACCATTAGACATACATAGACTATAAGCATATCAATGGATTCGTGAGAGCGAGAGCTTTCTAATGCACTAGTCAAAATTATGATTCGAGCATAATTTATGCTAAAAATAAAGCCATTTCCGGTTTCATAGAATTCTAGGAGTCACGAAGTTAATTTCCAACATTTTCGATTTTATACGAGGATCCTAATTAGAAAACTACTATCCTATGCATTCAATTAAAAAAAATATCACTGAAGTTAATTAAACAATGGATATTTTTGCATTAAAAATGCCGACGTTTCACTAATTCGATTCAAAATGGATTTGAGAATGTATGTGTTGTGTAAAGAAGTGATGACGGTTATATGTATAAAATGGTGGTTGTTGAGAGCTAGCGCCACTATTCCAATTGCGCCAAAAAGTTGAAGTAATTTCCGAGGGATTTGATTGTAAGTATGATGGTCGTGTGTGAAGAGAAAATTTAATATGGTGCTCGTCATTGAGTGTTTTACATCTGATGTCTGTATTTTCATTCAAAAATTTTTTAGTTAATTCATGTTAGGTATGAAAATTAGATTAAAATCATGTTAGTCCACTTAAAAACGCATGTGTGATGTTAAAGTATAATATAAACTTCTTCAAAGACTTATGAAAAATAATATCAAATTCAGTTTTTCACATAAATTCTGTGCCTCCGTAGTTGCGCTACGAGACTTGAATTTATTTTTTTTTTCCTATTTGGTACAAATAAATTTTACAGGTAAACTTATTGACTTAATTATACAAATGGAAGGCAAATCAGAACAAAGTTGTGAAGTTATATCAAGTAAGAATAAAATTGAGACCTTGGATGACTCTACAACACCTGACATTGCAAACTTGGAAATAAAATCTCGATTGTCTCAAGATACTGATGATTTTAATGAAGAACCTCGTATTAATGGTTTACATCAAATAAATGGTATTTGTAATTCTCAAAAAAAAAATCTCATAGATCATAATTCGTCAATTGTATCACAAATTACAGAGACTAGTCATTTAAAAGAATCAGGTAAAATAATTTACTACTTTAATAACAAAATATATATTTAACATAAAATTTTTAGTTATAATTCATTGACATTTTACACTTATTTTCTAGATAAAAAGGAAACACCTTGTACAGACAGTAAAGATAGTAAAGACAATGAAATAGAGTATGTTAGTTATACAAGTGAACTTCAAATGCCAGATATTATGAAATTAATTCAGAAAGATCTCAGTGAACCATATTCTATTTACACATATAGATACTTTATTCATAATTGGCCCAAACTCTGTTTTTTGGTAAGAAAATTGATATTTTCTTGTGTTATTATATTATTCTAGAGTTATTCAATAAAACATTATGAATGTCTTTACACTTATTTTTAATCAATATGTGTCATTAATATTTTTCATTAATTAATCAATAATAATGAGATAAATTTTGCAGGCAATGCATGGCAAAGAATGCGTTGGCGCAATTGTATGTAAGCTTGACATCCATAGAAAAGTAATAAGACGTGGTTACATTGCAATGTTAGCTGTTGATAAAAAGTATAGACAGCGTAAAATAGGTTCCAATCTAGTAAGAAAAGCCATTCGGGCGATGGTAGAGGATGATGCTGACGAAGTAGTCTTGGAGACTGAAATAACCAACCGACCTGCATTACGACTTTATGAAAATCTTGGTTTCGTACGGGATAAAAGACTATTTCGTTACTATCTTAATGGCGTAGATGCATTAAGGCTTAAACTTTGGCTTAGATGAAATTTATTTGCGTGTTCATGTCAATAGGAAGTAAAAATAAAATTAACGGCCATTGATTACTCACTTTTTGTCGGAATTAACGACTTTCTTTATCAAACAAAGGCTCAGTAATGTGACATTTAATTTTAAAAAAAATTATTGTCTTTGAAAAAGTGGATTATGTTTTAGTGGACTTTACAGATTTTTCTGGTCAGCTTTTAAAAGTCGCCAAATCTTGTATGACTAATTATAGCATAAATTTCAATTATTCTGAAAAAAAGTAAATAACAAAACAGTGCCGTTATGGTTAAAATATTCATTGAAAAGTGATAATTGACTTGATATTAATTTTGGTCGTGTGTACAGAAAATAATCAAATACAATTTCAACTGAGTATAAATCGAAACAAAAAAAAAAATTATCGTAAAATAATAATTATAATATTTACATCAAGAGAGTCTAATCCATTATAATGGCAATAAAAGCCAAAATAAAAATTAATAAATGACAAAACAAAATAATCATCTTTTCTTCTATCTCTACGAAACTACACTGCAATATTATACAATCTATCTATCATAATCTCGGAAAATATTATCATTTGTGATATAAAAATAGTTTTACGGCAACCTGTTTTATTATTAAATTCAAAATGTGAAATATTGTCTTTGTAATTATTGCCATTATGAATTTTAATATTATTATCAGTTAATTAAATATATATTTTTTTTTGTATAAAAATTACTTTGAATCACAAAATTTGTAATTTACGTATTAGACGGTGTAAAAATGTTAATAATAAAAATACATAACTGTTTTTACGTATTATCATATTTCAATTATTATTTAAAATTTATTTTCAATAACACGGAAGACATAAATTAGATAAATTTTAAAATTGTATGTTAACGCATAATTTAAAGTATAAATAATAAATTTATAACATTGTTTTAACACTTACTTTCATTTAATACTGTGATTTAAGTTAATTAATTGTTATCAATACACTAAACATCACATTAAATAAAAAAAAATAATAAAAAATATTTAAATAAAAGTTGTTTTCATTGACGCATAATTATTGGAATAAAATTTTTGTGTAAAAATAAATTTCAACAGTTTCTTTTTTATATTTAAAAATTATTTGAATAATTTATAAACATTACTGATTATCAGCTATATACACATAAATTTTTCACTCAATAAGTACAAAGGCTTTTTAGTTTTATAAATTAGATTCTTAAAGTATTTACAACATAATAAAATTTTTTTGCTCTTTTTTTCATGTTATTTTTTAAAATTACATATTCTTATATATATATATATATATCAAATAGCATGCAATTTTAAATGATTAACATAATATATCATATATAATATACATTTTTGAATGAGTTGATTTGATTTAAAAAAATACAAATAACGATTTATCGAACTTGAAGCGCTATAGAGTTTATTATTTTTTAATTATTGTAAATAAATTATGAAATTCTTCAAAGTCAAGTCTTAATCAATATTATTTTGTACATTTTTTTGTAATTCATCACTTGTAAATTTTGTTTCCAACTCATGTGTACATTTTTCAAACAAAAAATAGGTATGATTATTTTTTTTACGATTTCGTTTGGAAATTAATATTTTTATAACATCAATTAAATGAGTGAAAAAATGTGGATAACCATCATATCCTGGAAAAACATTGACATCAATAATACCATATCTTTTAGTGTGATTTTCAATAACGACATCAAATCCTACAAGAATAAGACCGAAAACTTTAATTATTTTTTTTACAAGTCTTTTAAAAATTTCTTGATTTGGCTTAACACTTAATCCTTCATCTTCTTTCGATATTATAGACCATTGAGACTTTGATCCACTTTTTGAAATATCATGTGAACTAAAAAATAAAGTTTCCGATGATTCGCAATCTTTTGGATAAAAATTCTTCAGACTTGGTCTTTCAACGACGTGGAAGTAATTTCCCACAATAAAAACTTTATACAAAATGGCATTATGATTAATAAAATCTTGTGCCACACATGGTAGCTGGCAGTCTTTCAAGCCTTTTTCGTTGAATATTATCATCATCTAGTCAAAAAATAAAAATTTTTTGAGTAAAATAATATGTTACGTTTGTATAAAAATTAATTAATTAATAATACTAATAATATTCATAATAATCTCAACTAACCTTATGAGCATCACTAGAACCATGAGCTAAAAGTGGTTTACAAATACATGGAAATTTTATTCCTGCTTTTTTTAAGTGATTTAAATTTTCAGTAATGCTAGAAAATTTAAGTTCAATTGATTTTGGAGTAAATACATCTGAAAATGAATAATTGTATTAATTTATACATAGTAAATATATATAGAAATGCTATATCAACTAACCAATGGACTCTATATTCTTATGCAGCATTTCGTTCAACTTCTGTCGATTACTTAGATTTTTTATATTCTCCAAAGGATCTATTACTATCATTTCTGGATGATCAGAAATGTACTTTTGAACATTAGAAATAATTGTCCTAGACTTGAATCAAAAATAATCAAGTAAAAAATGTTTTACAAGTACGAGATTTGATATAATTATAAAAATTATAATTATTCTATATTTATACATATAAAAATAATTACACTTTGATCACCACTTTCAGCAAAAGCTAATATATCTGTAAGTTTGTGTAGGAAGACATCAAATGGTCCTTGAGCTTCTAAATTCTTATTTAAATCAATCTGTAAATACATATAATCTGTTAAATAGGTTATAACCTCAAACAATCAACAAAGTATAATAAAGTACATTTATTATTTAAAAAATAAACTATAAAATAAAAAAAATTACATACTTCTTTTAAAATGAAACCTTCTTGATGACATATACGTATAAATTCATCCCAATTGAGTTTTTGACGTTTCTTTTCTAAAATCCAGTAACCTATGATTTTGGTGCCTTCTTCCATTTTATTATCTATGTAACAATGATCTCACTTGTTTAATTAAATATCATAACTATCTATTGTATATTTTTGTAAAACTTGACTAGTTTCATATTTGATGACCTTAAATTATAGTTTTATAAAAACTTGAGTTTATATCACGTGCAACCACCTGTACAACTCATAAATCTCATCTGGAAACAATAATTAAAATTATAAATACAATAAGAAGTCATAATTTTGTCACTTTTATGATTGTATTTTTATTAATTAATTACTCAAATAATTGAAAATTATTGGTTTTTTTAAAAATATAAATACAAATTACGTATATTCAAAAACATAGTTACTACGTCGTATTATATACGTTGTGTCGCTCTTGTGCCAAAACTAAAATACTACTTTATATCTTAGATATACAAAGGCGTAAGGTAGGTGTTATATCTCGTAAATATATATTTTAGATGGAAAACTTATTTATATACATATTAAATAAAAGCCGGACACAGAACTAAAGTCAGATAAGTGTTTTTTTTATACAATGTTTTTATCATCCTTCTGTTATTTTAATATAATATATTTCAATCATTTAATTTCGCCTGGCGATTCGAGACCTACAACAAAAAAAATTCATTTCTTTTGTGCTATCATTTAAATAAAGAAAACTTTTTGTCATTTTATTTATTCATTTCCTTACTTGAAGTCAATTCTACATCTGTATCCAATATTTCTCCGCAACTTTGCGTTTGAGACTGAAATAAATAATGTCAATTCGTTGTAAGGAATGGGTAACATTAATTATTATTTACATAATACTGATAATAAAATGAAATGAAAAATTATACTAACGCTATTTTTTTTCTTTAATTGTTTCGAAGATTCTGGAATTCGAATTTCACCAAAAGAATATGAACCAGAACTTGAATGAAGATTTTCACGAAACAATATTTCATTATACTTTGTTAATTCTTCAAGTTGAGATTTAGGAATTTTTATTTCACCAATAGAATATGAACAGGACTCCGGTACATGAATTTCCCCTTCTGAAAAATCTTCAGAACTAGACAATCCCTGAAACAATAATTTCAGTAAAAAAGTTGATTTATAAATTACACATAATTTTTGATTTATATTTTTCAAAACTTACTATTTTATTTATTTTTAATTTTTTGCTATTTGAGATAGAACTTGATATTGACTTTCTTGAAGAAGAACGAGAAATTGATGTAGATGAAAATAATTTATCTTCCATGTCATTGTTATTTTTTTCAAGTGATTTATCACTAGTATCAGCGAGTGAACTTTTGGGTTCAAATTTATTTGAAGGATTTTCATCTATTTTCACGTGAAGAGAAATTGATTTGCTCATTTCATTTATTTCTAAATCTATATTTGTATTTTTAATATTATAAGAAAGTATTTTTTCACTTTCATTCTCAGTTAAAGTCCTGTTTTCAATATTATCATTATTATTCCTTTCTATCTTTTTTTCTGATGAATAACTTTTACTTTTATCTGTATCATGTTCTTTCAGTATACTCTTAATTTCGGTTACTGAATCTTCGAAATTTTCTGAATAGATAGCTGATATATCATAAGAAGTACGGTTATGAGTATCATTCTTTGATGATGCAGGTGTTAATTTGTTATTTCGTTCGACTTTATTTATTCTAAGATTGTTTTCATCTGCTTCATTTTTTCCCTTTGCCATCTCACTATCACTACCTTCCGATGAATGATCGTGTTTTGTTATTTTATCATCAGCTACCGATTTTTCCGATTGTTCTTGATGATGTTTTTCAGCTATTTCATTCATTGGATTGCTTTTTTTATTATTATTACTTATACTAACATGATGGCTGTTAATTGGTGAGTTTGAAGATAAGTGTTCAACAGAATTGGAAATAATATTATGCTGTTGATCATCAGTATCATTATTTTCAGAAATATTTGAGCAATCAGATTTTTCATTAAACTTTTCAACTAAAGTAGATTTCAAATCCTTATTTTTTTCCTTCTGACTATCAACTATTTTTTCTTTAGTTAGTTCTGAATTTTTTTCTTCACATGAGATTGATGACAGTTGATTACGTGTAATAAAAACGTTCACATCATTTTTTACATCAATATTAACGTCTACATTACTTTTCTGTTCGGTGATGGAATGCTTTTTATGATCACAACAATTAATATCAACATTTTTTTTATTAACATGATGATGATGAGAGACTTCAATATTTTTATAATTATTTAATGGAGTTGAAAATCTAGCTTGTTGATAAAAAACATCACTGGAAACACTTTCGTAACTTGAAATTCGAGATTTTGGTTCTAAAATAAATTTCATCTCATCAGATGTTTTACTTCTGTCTGATCCATCTGATAATTCATTTTCATGATTATTTCTAAGATTAATAGGGTTCTTTGGTAATGTATCAGTGAAATTAACTTGTTCATGTAAATTGATTGATCTTTCATCTAGTAGGAATGATTCATCATTTATATTATCTCTGTTGTCTATTTTATTAGCAGTCTCATCAGGTTTATTGTAACTTTTAGCTTCAGTAAATAAAGTTTCTAATTTATTAGTATCTTCGATTATTTTTTCCATATTTTTATCTAAATTGCATAATATTTTATCCAAATTTACTAGATTCGGTGAATATAAATCTATTTCTTCAGTCTCCCATTCATTACAAAACTCTTCATACCATGATTTATTATCAGAAATTTCACTATTTTTGTATGCATTTAAATTTTTTGGTGAATTTGAAAGAATCTCAACAGGATTCTCAAATTCGTTGCTTATTTGGCATAAAAACTTGACAAAATTTTCCTTCAATTCTCCTTCCTTTACATTCTTCACATTGGAAATGTCATTATCACGTGTTTTGGTTTCATGATCATTTTTCATAATTATTTGAAATTCTTCTGAATTTTTTGGACTATTCAACATTTTAAGTGGACGTGTTTCTTCTTTATCTGTAAGTTCTCTTAACTGATTCTGTTCTCTATCTTTTAGTAAAGAAGCAGTCTCTTCTATAACCTGGTCTTTAAAACTTGTTTGAACTGCTTTATCAATCAGTATCTCATCATATTTTTTTTGTTTCGAAGATTCATTTCGTACTGAAGAAGCTCTCAAAGTTTTGACTTTTTTTTTTGTAAAATTATCACATGAATTTGATATTAAACTACATTTTTTAATATTTCTAACTGGTAGTTGAGTTTTCTTGTTTCTGGTACTGCTGTTACTATTAATAGTTTCTGTACTAGTCCTAGTTTCAACTTTCCCATTTTTGACTTGTTTTAAAGCTTCTAACTTACATTTCTCGTTCAATTTATTTCTTATCTTTTCTTCTGAACATTTTCTACATGTTTCAACTAATTTTACTGAAGATTGATATGTTTTGTTTATCTCCATTTGCCTTCCAGAAATAACATTTTTATCTTTTGGACTTTCTGACGATAAAACATTTTGATCCTCACTGAAAAAAATTTGCTTTTCACATAATTTTGGCTTATTTACTTCTTGAAGTTTAGTAATTACTCGTTGTCGAACTTTGGAATCAATTTCATCTAAGTCTGAAGAAGAAGCTCTAGAAAAAAGAAATTTACATTTCATTAATAAACTATACTGTCGATTTATTCACAAAATGTAATATCATAAATATATTATTTTACCGATTTAAAGTTAAATCAAGCCAAGGAACATCATAAGTTGACTTCATGATATTTTTTCTTGCTTTTTGTAAAAGTTTTTCAGCATTTTCAAGAGCTTCCCAAGTATCTGAACTGTTATTTAGACTTTTTGAACATTCTTCTGGAGAATGAAGATCTGAATAATATTCACGAGTAATCATATTTTCTTCCATTTGTTCGTCTCTATTATGGGCTTGAGTAGAGCTGCTTATGATTGTATTTCCAACATCCTTCCTAGCTCTCTCGTTCCTGTAACAATGGACGAAAATCGATTACTACGTTAGGTTCAGCAACAAGAAAGAAGGGTCAAAGTATCGACAAACTGTACGTCAGTTGTTGTCAGTTACTAAACTGTTTCGTACAATCTATTACGTCATATGCTTGACCCTAACAGGCTGAGTCAGTGGACGAAGGCCTAAACATATTGATTCTTAAAGGGGAAAAATTGTCTCAATTGTTAATCCATTGTGGAATATTTTTATCATAAAAACTTCTGTAATGTATTTATAAAATTAATTAATAATTCACATTACCTTATGGTAAACAATAAAAAAAATTATTGTGGTCTATTGTCATTACTCGGAAAAAAACATAAAATTTTTTTTACAATTACAGCAAATGCTGCATTTGTTGAGTTTTAAAGGAGATATACTGATATCATACATCCGCATTAATTTAGTAACTCAAAAAAATTTGTAATATCACTTATTAATATTAAATTAATTTCTAATATTTTATTCCAAGCTGGATGATTATTTAATTAAATAATTTAATTATTTTGAATTGAAGAATAATTACAATAAATAATATTTAAATAAATGCAGTATTAAGTAGGAAAAAATTGAATAATTTGTAATTAATATTTTTATAATAGATATTCATATAAAGATGTTTAATAATTATAGTTGATAATAATTGGTTTTATACGAAAATAGATTAATAGTGAAATGAAGGCAACGTTCATTGAGAGTAAACTCATTAAAATAAAATTAAAGATTCATTAGTTTTCTTGCAGAATGGAGTATAATTGTGTTAATTAATTTATTGAATGATCTAAATTTAAAATTCATTTAATATAGATAGTCTTGAAATAATTATATGGTAAAAATGAATTAAGATAAAAGTATTCAATGAAATGTGTTAAAGTTAACAAAATAGTTCTACTTGAAGTGAATATTACATCAATATATGTGTATAAAATATAACATACATAATATTAGCATTCGCATAAAACATATCAATGCTAGAAGTTGAACCATTTGCAGGGAATTTTCAAACTGTCTGGACCCCAGCGGATCAATATTGCGCGAACCTTTTCCCTCTCTGCTTATTTTTTCACCCTTCCATGAGCTCATCGTCACTGAATGCGTCGGCATTGATTTTTATTTCAGCACACACAATAAAATATAAAAAGTGAGAATAAAAAAACTCACAAAAGCTTCAGATTAAATTGAAATAGATCTTAATAGCGGAAATAAATATTTTTCTCAGAGTTTATCATTAAAATGATTTTCAATGCAATTGATAAAAAAAAATATTTCGTCACTTTTACTTTATATTATTATTACTTAAGAAATTATATAAATAATACAAATAAATTAAAAATTATCTTTATAATATAAATTTAATGTTTTAGAATAATTAAAATAATTTATCCGAAAAATTCGCAACATTCAGTCTAATTATCATGATGTAAATAATGAATTACAAATAAATGGACACAATTGTTACACATCAACATATATATTTTTGCTTTTTTTACTTCGTTTGCATACATACGATAAACAGTACATTATTACACATTCCAAGTTGTGATATACTAAAAAAAAAAAAATTTTTATTTTTATTCACTACTATAATTGCCATTCGATGACATTTTTTTCATTTTGTTATTTTACTATTTTTAATTAGTATATAGTATTTTTTTTTTCTTTTTTTGTAATAGAAAAAGAGTCAAGAGTTATATGACCCATAAATATAGATTAATTTCATGTTCCATTAAAATTGTTTTTATTTTTTGGTTGATTTATCAGTGATGTAATATTTCTGAAAAATTTATATTTTTTTTTTTTTTTGATGACTGCAAAGAGTAATGAATAGTAAAAATTAATTTTTAATGGCAATTAAATAGAAAATAAATAAAGCTATCAATGCTCACTATTTTTGAATATCTCAAAAAGAAATTCATTTAAAGTTATATCAATGCCACTTTTAATATAATTAACAATTTATAGATATTAAAAAAAAAAAAAAAATAATAATCCGACAAAATTACATTCTTACTTTTATAAAAAATCAGCCGTAATTTTACGTAATAATTATAAATAAACAATTAGATTATTTATATTTTTATTGACAAATTTATGATAATTCTTTTTCACAAAATTATCTTTTATGTTTTTATCAAAATCATTTTTATACATTTATTTTATTTTGATAACGAATTTTTTATTTTTTCTATTTAAAAATTTTATGAATTTATTTAACAAAATTCGTAATAAGATGAAAAACAAGATTAATAAAACGGGCGGAGTGTAAAACCTGAAAACGTTGACTATAATATTCAATTTAATGATTTAACCGCATTTCTAAATACTTTAATATCGCTTATATTAATAGATACATATCTTAAAGTCGTCGATTCGGTTGTTTTTTATACAAATATATACAAAAAAAATTATCACCCATTAGGGAGGCGCAGATTATTATAAATCATGACTCAAAAGTATTCCTGTATCACTTGCAAATATTTTTGAATCCAATAATTTGTTTTATTTCTATTCGGTATCACACTTCTATTTAAACAATCGCAATTCCACCACTTAAAAAAACAATATGGGCGGCAGCGAAATCATTTTTAATGCTCAATAAATGTTTGAATTAATTTTATTTTTTAATTCTTCAATTCTACTATCCTTTGTCTTAAAATATTATGAAATAGCGAGTGCTTAGTTCCTGTCGTTTATTTATTTATTTTTAAATATTCTATTTTTTTTATTCAGTAAAAATATGAAAAGTCAAAGACTTTTTCAATCCTTGAGATTAAATCTACTACTAATAGAAATAAAACCGTTGAGTCATTTATAAAAATAAGAAAAAAAAAAAATTGGACGATAATCTTTTAACAAATTAAATAATTTATAATCAAATATTATGCATTAAATCAACATTATTATGTATGATTTATGATATTCTTGTGGACGATTATCATTTTAATAATGATTCAATTTATTTGAAAGCTTAGAATGTGCAAATTTATGCACTAGTATGGAGAAATATATATTTATATTTATGATATTTTTTATATATTTGAAACTGCACAAGACAAATAAAAGACTCTTCGGTTTTGTTTTATTTTGTACATTGATAAGTTGGTTACTCCTTTAATTGTATATTTCATTTTATTTATTAATAATAATTGTCAAATTTATATACACATGTACACAATTTACAGAGAAATAAAGCCATTGATCTTTGAAAGAAATGGCTATTATTATAATTAACTGAATCGCTTTGAGCGATAGTTATTATAGAAAAGAAAAATGTGAAACTTAATGATTGTTTATTAAACCACAATGGATGAATCGTCAAGAGATGTTTTGCATTAAAAAATACATTGAAATCGTCTAGTGACGGTTAAAACCAAGGCGATTAAGCCTAAGTACAAAACCCTTTAATAGTTTTTTTTTCTTTTTTTTCTCTTTTTTTTTTTTTTTGTAAAGGGTACCAAATTTTTGTGACAAAGAGCCGTGGCATTTATTAGAACTTAACTTAGTATGAACAAAAGAAGAGAAAATGAATGTTTTTTTTTTTTTAATAATCTGCTTTAGCGTTATCGTAACGCAAAAATTGAATAATTTTCCAACAGACCTGATTACCGAAGACTTCTCCTCAAAACCAACTGCTATCAGTGAACTTCCAATGATGAAATAATTTTAAATAATTTCATCAAAAAGTTATTTGCAATATAAAATTAAAAATTTGTCCGCAGAATTATTAATATAACAAAAACAAATATTTGAATACGGACATGATTCTCTTGTGATAACAATAAGCATATACAGCTTACAATAATTCCAATTCTACGTCTTCGGCTCTATTCCTTGTTTAACTCGTCTTGCGAGTAACATTAACACGTCAAGTTTATTTTTTCAACCAAAAGCAATATTTGGTGGATCCTTCACGGTTTTCCACCAAGAAAAAACTGTTTCTCTTTTTTCATGTTAATAAATAAGAGAGTCCAGTTTGAAATTTGAGCTTGAACCTTAAAAATCATAAATAATTTTTTAAGTTTCTCGTTCTTTTTTAACTTTCAAGCCAGTAGCTGTGGTATCTTCAGCAAGAATTGTGGCAATTTCTCCCTGCATAAATGCCCAAGGAACATGTGAATCAGCCAAAGGACATTTCTCTCCACTCGGACAATAAACCTGATTTTTACAAAGAAAATATTTATTATTTGTTTCCACTTTCTAATATTACATATTTTTACAACATTAAGATATACTTTAATGCATACCTCAGAACCAGCACCCTGTCTTTTAATGCTTTCTCGGCTACAAGGAAAGCAGAATTTATGATGAGGAACACTGGGACACTGAACAAAATGAGTATCCTCAAGACGACCCTGACAAAGTGTACATTTAAGAGCAGGAGTTGGAACTGGTTCAGATCCAGTGGTTTGTTGTACATTGGCACCTTCTGAAGATGTCATTACTGTTGTTGATGATACGTGTCTTGATCCATTTTGTCTCTTTGTTGTTGTTCCTATCGAATAATCATCATAAATTATAGTCTATCCAAGTAATATATTTCAATACTTTTCTACTACTATGATTATGTTCTAGAATTATTTTAATACCTGTGTTATTGGGACTATGTTGAGAGCATCTCGAGACACTACGTTGTTGAGCATTGGTAGCAGTGGTTGGTGGACTTCTACTGGTGGGACTTGGATTATTTGGTGGTTGGGGAACAGGTTCAGGTGATGTTAGTGTATCAGCAACAGACATTAAGGCGGCCATAGGTGAAGGGCCACCGGCTGAACTCTAAAAAGAAATTATTTATGTTTTAATTTTTCAATAAATTAGAAAATAAAATAAAAAAAAAAGCAAATTAGAAACAAAATTAATACCTGATGATGATTTCCTTGTTGATTACCTGCTCCAGTCTCTTGGGGTGGTGGAGGTGGCGGTGGTGGACTAGTCCTTGGACGAAGTGGTGAACCACCACCACCATTTGTCGCAACATTAGCAGGTGCAAGGGGAATTGAAGGGCCAACGTAAGCACCTGAAAAAAAAAAGAATAGTTTAATAATCATATTGATGTCTGTGTTATGACTTACATAATTAATGGTTTGTAGTTCAATGCCAATGTCTACTATTCTGTTGTATTATATATTATGGAAAACGGTGAAAGTATATGATAAAATAAATTGAATCATCAAAACTAACATATTATCATACTCTGTTGCATCTATTACTAATGCTTTTCACACAATCATCAATGATAAACATGACGGAATGTTAAATATTCAATTTATCGACATTTCATCAATGCACGTACAATAGCAGAATCGTCAATAATATTTATAGAATGGTAAAGTGAGATAATTATATCACGTTTCCAATTATAAATGAAGACCAAAGAATTTCTTTACTGAATATTGATTAAGACCTTTCATATATATATATGTATTCATAAAACAAGAGACAAATGATCTACGAGTCAAAAGAAAAGGAAAAACGGAATTTTTTTTATAAAGATTATAGTAATAATTACTTGAAAAATATAGAACTTGCGTGAAATGTAACACTTTTTGAAGCAGAAACTGGAGATAAAAATGAGGAAAAGGAGAGAATTAAAAAAAATTGTCACGACAGTAAAACCGGTTTGGGAGTAGATCCAGCACGGAACCGGAGCGACGAGTCAGTCAGTCAGTGAGACGACGACGACGACAACATGGAACACGCAATCGCCTAGTGGACGGGACATGTGACCGGTACTTTTCCGTGACCACAAGAGAGATCATGATATAGGAAGACAAAGAGTGAAGAAACGTAAGGAGGGTAAAATAAGCACCTTTCCCTCGCGTGCACACACGCATCCGACATCGCAAGAACCCAAGCGTAAAGGAGAGACAAGATACCAGGGGCAAAAGGGTAATGGCTTAGTCACCGGTCGTTGTGTTGCGAGTTGTGGCCTTGTTTCAAAAACGCGAATACATACCGCATTATATCCTCTATAGCTTGACTGATGACGTAGTCAGTCATACAGCCAACTAGAGTAATAGAAATGTATATCTATAGAATAATTCAATAACTTACTATAGTATTCATCTATAACTGTATGCACCACCCATGTTACTCATAAACGTCTATCAATTAAAGATTAATTACTTTATGTATTACTGATTATATAACATAAGATATTAACAGATTTTTCTACACATTTTAACGTTGATAAAATAAAATTAGATTGTATTGATAATTAATTTTTTTTTTTTTAATTAAAATCTTATAATTCTTACTGTATTTAAAATCAATTAAAATAAGGAATAAGTTGTTTGATGGTAAAAAAAACATGAATATAAATTTTTCTTCTATTTCATCCACTTTACGTCAATACTTTCAATATGGATGCAGCATTTGGCACGCGTTACAATAAAAGAATTATTAATGGACTTAAAACTTGTTGATTCTAATTCTCACTTCTTGACTCTATCCTCAATGAAGAATTTTTTCAACATTTGTTAATGAAATTCTTTTACATATAATTTTAACCTTCAATTGAATTTATTTTTTAGTAATAATATAAAATAATAATATATTAGTCGTAGGCCAAGAATAAACATATCTACGACTGGAAATGTCATTCTAACTTAGCAGATTAGCAGAATTTTATATGTAATTGATGAGATAATTTATAACGTATTTTTAAATTTTATTTTTTCAACGTGGTGTGATACACTTGTACGGATGATAATGACGCACAGATAAAGTTAAAAGACAAACGCATGTGCTCTGTTCGTGAATATATATCTCAAGAGTCTCGTGTATTAAATTATCCCGTTATCTCACCATTCGTGCGATTGTCAATACGTTTTTGTTTTGTCAAATTCTCATGACGTGATAACGCATTACGTATTATATACTTGCTTCCAAGCTTTTACATAATCTTTTACTTCATAGAAAAAACATATACAAATAATACATTTACAAATAATAAATCATTGCAAAATTATTTACTCAATAATCGATTTCACTCATTCAAGTTTTCAATATACATTATTATTATTTTACCCTTTTTTAAATACAAATAATAGTAGGTGTCTGAAATAAAATAGAAACTGTTTATTTCAAAATCGTGGTATTTCTTGACAGTAGCAAAGAAGTTATTTTTCGACCGGAAATAAATACAGAGAGACAGTAGTTGATTCTTATGTTTTTATCATCATCTTATTCTTGTACTTTCTAGGAATAAAAATAATTTTTAAAAATACAGAAATAGAAAAAGATATGAATAAATGATTGAAAGAAAAATTAAAAAGTCATTTTTATATTATTTGACGAAAAACCTTGAAACTTAACGGTTATTTCATTAAAATGACCTTGAAATAACACCCCACTCTTTGATTCTTGGAATTATAGAGATCCTATTCAATCCTGGTCAGAATATAACGGTTCTAATATTTTTCTCAGAAATGACCACATTTCCAAAAGAACGTAAAAAAAAAAATATTCTAATCATAACAATAAAATTGAAAAGATATTTCGTTGAAAAACTCTAATTAACTTTCGATATAATATTATTGAAGTTCAAAAAATTTTAAAATACACCACTTATCAATTAATTGTTTTCTCAGTTTGCTTTTAAGAAAAAAAAAGGTGAATCTCATTAGATTAACTGAACATATGAAAGTAGAAATAAAAGATTATTCGACACCAAACCAGACTATTCTTTTGTTAAAGCTTATTTAATTTATGATAAAATTATCTAAGACATTGAATGAGAAAAAAAAGTAATCCCATAATATATAATATATTTATATTATTAAAGATATTTAAATCATTCGTTATACCAAAAATGGTCCATTCAATATTATAGATATTTTTGAAATAGTCACAAATGTATGTTTGAAATTATATATCACGTAATTGTCACATATATTATATAATTTAGATAATCGTTACAAAATAAAAAACATATCCACGTGTCAGAGAGAATATCAAATATTATTCCTTGAAGGACAGTGAGAAACAGATGTGTTATCGATCGCTTGACGTACCATATGTGAACTCCGAAGGGAGGGAAAGGGGAAAAATAAACAAATACGAATTAATGAGATATGAGTCACTCGAGCCTGAACCACATTAGTTACCAATTCTTTTGTTAAATTTATACCATTCTTCACATAAATATAAAAGTGAATTATTTTATTTATAAAAATAAATCAGATAATGTTGAAGAAGAGAATTTAATTGTAAAGAAATTTAAAAGAAGAAAAAAAAAGCATCAAGATGAGAAATATATGAGAGTCTTATTTTCAAAATTTATATACTTGCAACACTAAACTGAATAATCCATTCATCGGTTTGAAAATCTAAATATAACTCAATTTGACGTCAAATATCCGGACATTATACCACAAACATGATTTTCACATGTTACTTTCCAAGAATTTTTCAATCAACTTTGTCTTTGATAACTAATTATTAATTCAAAATATAAAGTAAGTTAATATTATAGAAAATTGTCATGATAATGTATATATGTATTAGTATTTTCAAAATAATAATAAAATTTTGGTAAATGATTAATGAATATTTAAGAAAACTCATAAATATTTTTTAATTACAAAGTTGAAATATGTGAAAAAGTAAAACTTTTATAATTATAAATAGAGATTTATAATGGAGAAGATAATCAAGTTATATTATTTAAATTAAATTCATTCATTAAGAGTTTTATTTCTGTATTAATTATAAAACTTAATGACCTCTTATATTTTTTGTGATAGTTCTCTAACTGAATGACATTCTAGTAGTTTTTCATCATCACCGTTATAAATAAATGACAAATTAATCACTGTTATTTAATTATTCGAAGAAATGTATTAAAACACTTGACTCTAAGTTTCAATGGTAACTATATAGTGGCCTAATGGATTAAAAAGGAAAAAAAAATGATAGAACAAATAAGAACTTACCGTTGGCCTTGAATGTTGTGGCAGTCTCAAAACTGGGTGCTCTAACAGGATGTTTTTCTTTGCTTCTATCTTGAACGTAGCTTACAGCAAGGCTGACTGCTGGAAGAGATTCTCCACGAGTAAGTGGTGGTCTAACTGGATGTTGTTCTTCCAGTGATAATCTTTTTTCAGCATGTTCATCTTCATCAATGGATGATATTCCACGTTTTAATTGTGTGTTACGACTGTGACTCATATTGACATGATGAGAAACAGCAGCCAGGTGGGCATTTGAAATTCGTACACTGTTATTTCTGATGCCATTAGCTAATTCATGAGGTTCATCATGTTGTTGACGAGATGCTGCAACGAGTTGTTGTTGCTGTTGCTGTTGTTGTTGCTGTCGAGTATTTGAATTAAAATCAGTTATAGAATTGCGATGATGAAGTTGCGAATAATTCGTTATATTGTGATGTCGTGAATGAGCCTGGCCGGCATTTTGAATCGGTAAAACATCTAAATTTGTACCGCCATTGTGTTCAGCGTGACCCGCGCTTCTGTATGCTTTAGAAGCTGATGGCCTTGTATCCTGAAAACCATGGGCTTTTTTCAACTGTTTAGCAGATTCTAAAACTAAATCTATCCTATCAGCGCCTTCATAATTGACGCATCCACGGCATACAGGCTCTGAGAACTCCATTATCATTGCCCATGGCATGCGCGGCAGATCGCAAAGGTAACATTGCGTTCGTTTTCCCATCATCTTGATGTTGAATTTTTCAAAATTACTCTGGACAATACCAGGTATACTTTCTTTATATTGCTATAAATATTACTTCACACCACTAAAAAATAAAGAAAAATTATCCTTTATCGCATGATTTCGCACAAGATCATTCGTGTGCTTTTTTTTTTTTTGTTACACTATCACTTAGAACCAATTGACGATTGTGTATTAAATATAGATATATATAAAAACAGTAAACAAAAATAACAGATCACTCTCGATCCTGAGAATAATCTCACTACACGCACAAAGTTATCTTTGTCGCGATTTTACTCTTCTTTTGAATACAAGGGTGGAGTCGCAAAAAATAAAACTTTCAATTTGATATTTCTAATCACAGTAGTTGAAATAAAAAAAAATCCGTGTAATCACCGACTTGAGTTTCCGGTGAAACAACACAAATTACACGTTTAAGCAAATTCACTTCAACTTTTCTCGTGTGCGGCCGTGTTTAACAAGCCAGTAACATAAAAACACCAACGACGACAAACGCGGAACGCTTGAAAATGCGACGACGAAGCAAACTTACGGGTGTCAATCCCTACTCTGTAACCAACGGCGCTCGAGTTTTAACCAATAAGCGATCATGGCGTCACAAAATTCGACGTCACGACTTACTTGCGCATGCGCATAACTAGTCGCGCAGCTTTGCCCCTTCCCCACGTCGCATTCTCGCGCTCGACCGACTGGCACTCTCTTTCTCTCTCTCTCTCTCTCGCTCTCTCTTGTCCCCGAGTAAGTGACGCCCGACCCCGGGGGACACGTACTCACGGCGCAATGGCAAACCGGGATCGCGCGATTGTGCGACTGAACAGACTAGCATCACACCCGCCAAAAACTCTCAAGACGTAGAAAACCAATACTATTTTATTCGCCTTCGATGAGTCATTTTTATATGCATATTTTGTTTTAAATACATCATTCTTTCATTTTGATTTATTTTCATTCTCCATTTTGTTTCCTATATTTCTTACAATTTAACCTCAACAATTTTTTGTAAGTATAATGAAAATGAATTATATCTTGTTTAAAATTATATTTTAAAGTTTAATCATACATTTTAATTTTTGTGTTATTGCACAATCGATGTATGTATACTAGAAACCGTTGAAATTTGCACGTGCGTTCTACTCCAGACGCAGTTGAATATACATGGGACGTAAATAGCATTAATACTCGTCAGGTCATTCTAGGTCACTGGCTAGTGTAAAAAAAAAGCAACGCACAATATATTAACGGGGTCGTCGAGAAGTATGGATTATTGTCGTTCATACTCCATGTTTACCTATCTATTGGTTATGTTTGGTATGTATTATAAAGTAATGAAATTTATGAATAAAATATAATCGAGAAAAATTCAGGAAGTTTACTTTACAATTTTTTCTTTTTTTCAGAAGCATTTATTTATTTTCAACTTTCAAAATATAAAATAATACTCATCAAGTGAATAGAAATCTTATAAATTGGAATTGCAGTGAAAAATAAACTTTAAAGAATATCACAAGATTTATTAAAATGATCATCTAATAAAAATTAATGAAATGTTTTTTCATTAATACGTCATAATACGTAAATGTATATAATTAATTGTCATCTATTGTTTACTATTATTATAAGAACTTCAAATGGAGAAATCGTTCTAGAATTACGTAACGTACATATACTCAGTCGTTGACCGCTTTCTTACGTCCATTTTGATTTCCTTCTCACTTTATGCAAAATAAAGCAATGAGAGAAAGCAAGTGAATAGAAAATTATTGGATTGAATACGTTAAATATACTTCACTCAAAATCGTATATAGAATCTCTAGAAATTAAGCTACGTCACGTTTGTATATATACCGGGGGGTAAATTGAGTGCAGATGAAATGACTATATATATATATATATATATATAAAACATATACCTCTGACTTTGTTTTCTATTATTCAGTGGTTCGAGAAGTGACATCACTACGTTCTCTGACATCACGTTAAAACCACTGGCAACGAACACGAGCTGTGAACGTGAACTTTTATCTCTCGGTAGAGAGGCAAGTGTAGAAAAAGAAAGGAAATACTCACAACAAAGAATAAGAAGATAAAATAGCTCCCTCCTATATATTTCACACATGTAAGTGTATTATATCCGTTAATATGAAGGTTTTTTCTATTTATTTACTTAATTTCATTTAATTTAAGATGTAAATAAATCGTAAAACCACTTCAATATCTTCTAATACTAACTTTAAATTTATATCAAAATGATTATCGTTTTTAACTTCTCCTCAATTCTGTTTTTATATTTATTCTTCAACCTCTATTAACCTTTTAAAATATAATAATAAAAAGTATATCTAAATTTGTTTGCCTTATTGCAATCTTCATTTTTATTTTTAAATTGATTAATAGAAATTTTAAAAGCCTATTGGCCTTGAACTATCTCATAGTGATGATAAATAATATCATACGATTGATTGATGATAATATATATATATATATATATCTAAAAATAATGAATATTACCAAAAATGTTAACTATGTTTTAAATTTCATATACATGAATGACTAAACCTGTTTTCTCAATGATAAAGAGATACAGAATAAAAAAAAAGAAATGATAAATTTGTATTTTATTGTAATGGCTACATAGCTGGTGTCGTTACACTGTCAACAGTTATACAATGAAGATAATTAAAAGTGACGTAATGGACCGGTGAGTTGCGTACAATTCGGTCATTACAAATACATTGAATGATTATTAAAGCACCAGAAATTAGCATTGGAATGGAATTTTTTTTTTCATAAATATGAAATTATAAATGAAAATAAATAATAATTAACTATTATTAAATGATTAAATGCAATAAATCTTGACATAATAATGGCGAAGGTAATGGTAATAATAACAATATATATTATTATTCAATGAGAGAACTAAAGAGAAAATAGGGAGTGGAAGATGAAGTCGAGTTATTTTCCGAGTGTAAGTCACGCTCTGTCGACAGACCAAACCAGGCTGACGGTGCTACGTGCTCGCGGTTTATCGTGCGGATCGTGACGTCATCCGCAGTCTACGACGACGACGACAACGACGATGATGGGGAATGGTGAATATACGGCAACGGATAAGTCTGGCAACGTCGTGGCGCTACAGTGTTGTCATATTTGCAAAATTTGTGCATAAAACTGCAATCAAAGAAGGAAAGAAAGAGATAGATATCGTTGCCAATGTTGCCAAGTTAATAAGAAGTATATAGCAGAAGGGGTGAGGAGAATTGCAATTCTCTAGCGCAAGCCCACGCACCGGAAATCCGACTCGTCGCGTTCATTTATTCTTACGTTCCGTTAGTTCTTTATTGTGTCATAATAAATTTAAAAAAGATTAATGAAAATAATAATTAAATCATCTTCCATCTTATTTCTAGGTATTTTTTATGATAAGTTTTTTTTTTATGAATTTTGATGATGAAAAAATATTTGATGATTCACCCTTCGATTTGGGGGTTATTAAAAATATATATATATATAATAAAGAAAAGGGGATTGGGGTATGTGAGAATAAAAATTTTTATGTCATGACACGGGTATACCGGTTGGCGTCGTTGAACAGCCGAGTCTCAGAGAAAATCAATCCGGTTCCTCATCTACTAACCTTCCGGCGAAAAAGCGTCAGAGCTGTGGTACTAACCAGCTGGCAAAACTTCGTTCGCTACATACATTCCTCCCCTCGCGTCGGCTCTTTTCGTCGTACAATCAAATACTCTGCTACGATATTGACCCGAGAAGAGGTTGGCTTAGGTTATTTCTGTGAGGTTCTACCACACTTCTACACATATAATACTAGTATTCCCCTCTACTTTTCAACGTAAAGAATTTCTGAATGCAATGTATTTTATACTCATCCTTTAATGTCTTTTCAGGATTCAAGTGATGTCCTTGGCCTACCGGAAGTAATATCAAGACTTTTAAAAATGATTGAAAGACATAAGAGTGGAAGAATCATTTCTCAAAGATGAATGAAAATGGATGTAATATTGGTGGAATTCAAGAAGAAGATAATAAAATAAGCATACAAATTTTTTTTTCTTCATAATATTACGGTTATTTTTTTTTTTTTGTTTTGCTTCATATACATACATTTTTTATCATTATTCGCAGTTCGTGATAGCATAAGTTTACTGGAACTTAATCGCGGAATTAAATGCAAAGTAGCAAAAAATTCTTAACGATTACATAGATGCTTATGCAATTGAAAAGCATATCAGTCGCTACGCTGCGTTAAAGACAATAATGATAATTGGTGACCGAGACGCGTGAAAACCCGACCATGGTTACCACAGACCACAGTAACATACTTTGCTACATTGTGCGTGAGCAATGACGTTGACGTCATGAGTCTCCAACAGTCACGAAACTCTACGTGACTGGGAAATCTAAATGCGTTAAAAGCTAACATACAAATGTCACGTGGTCACCTCGGACAAATAAAATAAAAAGATTTATTTTTTACTCATAACAAAGTCATGATGTTTTTTTCTACGACCAAGTTATGTATGTATGTCGTAAGTGTCGTAAGATATTCGCATTTATGCTTGTTTGTAAACAAGAAAATAAGCTAAAAGAGAGAAAGAAAGAGGTATAAGATAGAATACTCCACCCTTAGCCCGCCTATTTTACTTCAATCTCTTTCTCTCTCTCTCTTTTCCATTTTCTCGTACACGAGCGTGACGTCACATTGCAGCCCAACGTCGTTATCTACTACGAAGTCCACGATATATGTCGTTTAATGAATGTGTGTAAAAGTTGCATGTATCAGTGTGTGAACGGGATGGCGAGCCAGTTACTGCTTTCAACTTACGTCGATTCTTTGTACCCCACGACCGTTGGTTTTGCTTCTGCGCAACCGGTTTCAACGTGAAATCTTTCGTCTGCCCTTCCCAACTCGCGTGCGCACGTTCATATTCACGATATACTCCTTCTCTCTCGTTCTTACATCTTTATGTTTGAGTATACTACAAAAGTCTTCGAGGTGGCTCTAGAACAGCATAGAAACACAACAATTTTTGATCGTATCTTTATCAGTCTGCATTTTATCTAATATTTTTGATAAACAATTACTTATATATTATCTTCAACTTTTAAGATAACATTTATTTTCATTATATATATATATATATATATTTATAAATGTCAATCGTGTCTATTATCACTCTCTCAATATCTCTCGGGTCAATATCATTTGAGCGACGCGCGCACTTTTATGATACTGATTTTGTCGGAATCTACAGTCATGTTTTTTTTTTCATTTAATTATTTGTGTTACATTGTTGCACGTTTATCAAATTCAATATATTACAATTGTCTATCTTTATTCTTCCTCTTTTATTTTTTGTTTTATTTATTATGCTTCTTCGTTCATATTCATACATCAGCAGTGTTCTTTTTTGTCTTTTGTTCGTGCGCGGAATTCCTCTTTCGAGCCGTCGGACGGCGAATATTGCACTGGCAGTTTAATGGCGTGATGGCGTATCTCATTTGTTCTTGTTTTTTTATTTCTTTAATTTTTTTTTTTTATATACTCCCTCTTCTACCACCGGGTGTGACGAAACGTGTGTACAAACGCGATCTCGCGTGTTTCAGTTAAATCCTTAAAAGGTATTTTCTCATGTATGTCATTGTATCGCGTGACTTTAAATACTCACGCAACGGTTGAATACTTTACCTTTGACGGTTTTTCTTCTTTTCCTTATTACATTTCCAGTTATTTTTGCAAAATTGAAATTTTCGTGATTACTTAGCAGTATTTCATCTTTAAAAAAAATAAATAAATAAATAAAAGGGAATGATGTTGACTTTGAAAAACTATTTGTGTTAATTTGTAAGGTTAGGACTCTATATACAAGGAAGTTAATGATAATACAAATATTCAGATGGCAAATTTCACTTTTCTTTGTTCAAAAGAGAACCTAAGATCGCCCGTTAGACTTGAAGGAGGAGAAACACCTGATGCGATTCACCTGCTGCACGTCAGGTGCCTTACAACAGATGGCAGCATCTCGTTGTCTTTGTTTATTTTTCCCACTCCAGAAAACGTTATAAATGCTCTGTCATAAATAGTAGGTTACGAAGACTTGGCTATTTTATGCGAATTAATAAAGCTAGTCAAATAGCATGAACTTTTTTTTTTCTTCTTTTCATTAAATTACATATGACATCTTTCTCCTTCTGTTTTTAAAGTCTAAATGAGTTGATATTTATTCATGTCTGGAATGAAGGAGGGTCGAGGTCGACTACTGCTTATGATTTTTCAATCGGCGAAAGTCTCAACAATTCGAGGTTATTCACTCTTTCATTTTGTATATACAACATCAGTGCGGATCCAAGATTCACTTATGAGTGCATAAATTAAAGTTTTTACTGTTTCTGATGAGTAAATATAAAACCACAAGAACTTTCGTCATTTAAATAACAAGGAAAATATGTCATATAAATATCCATATGACGTGATTACTCGGAAATGAATGACCGATAAATATTCTTCCTTTAATTAATCACTTTTGTCTTTATTAACTTTTCATCCGGAACATTCGACCTACAATTTTCAACCAGCTGCACATTGATTCAAGAACAAGTTCGAGAACCAGCTGTTTCTTTAAATAATCAATACCAACGATCGTCGCGTAAATTTAATGTACAATTCTATTGTCAAAAAAAATCACAGCTGTTTCCGGTTAATCCTTTTTATCCAGTTAGGTATACGAATAAAGACGTTATCTTCAAGTCATTGGCAAAAAAGACCCATGATAAGAATTTACAGGTTTCATTTTAAAGTACGCAAAAAAAAAAAAATGTATCATTGAGGATATTTCAATGTACTTTAATGTAAAGAACTGCATTCAAGGACAACTTCTTCGTTCTTCTGCTTCTTATACATCGACGAATATGGTTTCTTGTTGCATCTACCTTGTTCAAGGTTTTGCAGAATTGACCTTGACTGTAATGTCGTATTAATAAGACATTTTTAGCAAGATTGAAAAAAATTCTTATTTCAAATTTGATAGTACAAATTTCTCAAACTGATGAATGCAACCAAAAAAAAATATCATTTCCCATATTTTCATTTATTTAAAATATATTAAAATGTTGAATGTGTTTAAATAAAAAGTACGTCGTAACGGAATGATACACATAGCCAATATAGCGCAAAAAAACATTAACGTTGAAGCGTATCGATATGTAAAGGGGACGCACATCGAGCACTCGAAACACGCTCGAAGGAAGTATATAGGCCTTATAGACTTTATAGTAGTTGTATAAAAAAAGTCACGTTGCGCTTGCGTGTCGTTGCTGATAATTTTCCCGGGGCCGCCATCATCGTCGATAGAAGAACGCGTTATCGGCGCACGACGAGCGATAATCCTGAACGAATTGCAAGAATTTCCCCTTCATTGGAATCGTCTTCCATTATTTAGAGATGATTAGGAGACTAAAATAACTCAATGACGTTAGTTTTTAAAATAAATTGCTTAATAAAACGTTGATGTGAAGTTTGGCTTTTAATCAGAAGTAGATAAGACAAGTAGGAAATTTTTGATAAAAATATTAGAATCATTCAGTTATCAAGTCAAACTTGACTTTTATTTCTGACGTAGTTTTAGAATAATCAAAAATTTTGTGATTTAAATTTGAAATCTGAACGCGTACAAAACATCCCCCCATAATTGCTGAATACTTTGTGATTCGTAGAGGATCTTTCTAGCCTTTCACCCTTATGCTAGTCACGTATTCTTGTAGTTCTAGAAGAGGGCGTACCCGAACCCCCACGAGTCTAGAATACCAGAGTTGATGGTCGACACAGTGAGAATGCACGACGAATACGGTAAATCGCAGCAACCATCATGTGGCCAACTCCCCAGGGCGACAGAAGAGGAAGGATCATCGTGAAATATCTGTATTTGTAATATTTAAGACACTTTTATGTTAAAAAAATCATTGAATTATTAAATACCTAAACCAATTATTTTTTTCCCTTTCTATATAATTTTGTTCTTGAATGTAAATAATTTTAAATTTATTTTCAGACCATTACCTTGCCTACATAAACTATTACGTGCTTTTAGAACTCTACATCAGTTAATGTCACTTGATGACCGTACGACAAAACCGGTCCGGAAAGAAGTACAACCGATCTTGAGAAAATAAGGGTGCCGTCGGATGGCTATTAAATTGATTGGTAAATATTTACTAATTAATTGGGTCATTATTATCAGAGATATTGGCAATGATTGACAGTATTTTTGCGAAATAAATGCAATATTAACATATTGCATTTATTTTGTTTGGAACTTTAATTGGAACCATTTTTTTTTTTTTTTATTTTAATCGAGCATTTTCGTATTACATCCTTGTAAAAATATTTTACGAAAATCGTGAGACTGTTTGAGTCTGAATACCGAAGAGGTCGCATGGGACTTGGTTCTCTCTTTCTTCCGTTCTTTCTACGATACGTGGAGTGCATTCGCGGAACATAAGAGAACGTTGTCTGAATTCGAAATTGCATTACTCATACAGTTTCTTTACATTCGATTTTTTCCTAACATGCAGCAAAAAATATAGGTTCTTTCTCACAGCATTGATAAATATGGATTTAATGGTTTTTTTTTTTTTTTTTATTTTATTTTTTACTAAAACACTTTGAAGTTGATTTATAATAATATGCGAAATATTTTTACAAAACCACTTCTAAGGAATAAACTCTTGATACAATATCATCATGTGACATTAGAATGAAATATAAGGGGCTTTAAATGGGACATACGAATCAGACTTTTGATTGATATAATTGTTGGGAAGGAGAATTATAAAGGATTAAAAAAAACTCTTGCCTCCTGTGAGGTTTGAACTCACGACCCCTGGTTTACGAGACCAGTGCTCTGCCACTGAGCTAAAGAGGCTTCACCAAATTCCCTCGAATTGGAATCTTTTGAAGATTTTTGAAAAAATTCGCACTTTTTATCCTAATTGTTTTGGAAAATAATGATAGAAAGTGAGATAATATGATCTTATTCCTACTAAATTACTATGAATTAAAGATAAATTACAAATAATGGCAATAATTCAAAACCCTTTGTCAATAAAAAAATGGTTTTTGCAAATTATGTTCTAAAAACAATGCAAAAAAAATCATTTTTGATAAATAAATAAATTTCTTTCATAAATTGCTAAAGAATTTTAAGAAATTAAGAGCAAATTTTTATTAATGTTCATGTATGGTGAACCTTTTTACCTTCACCTATCATCAAACACAATTATTGACCCTGAACCAATTAAATATTTTTCCTTAAATTCTAATAACCTGACGGAACGTAATATGTACCGAAAAACCCAGGATTGAATATAAGAGAGAACAATTCTTAAAGTAATTACAATATTAAAAATATTAGAAAATTTATTTTGAAATAATTGAAAATGTTGGTTGAAGGTAAATATTAAAAGTGCTTATAAATTCTCTAGATGATATTGAGCAGATGTCCGCTGTCACTTCCCGTTTTGCGTATAATACTTCTCTCAGTACGGGTGAAGAAGATTCAATATTTCCTTAAAGAAAAAGAAAGAAAGACAGATGAGGTGTAGCGTCTTGAATCTTAAGGATTTGACAGTAGCAGAAGTAAGAAGAAAGGAAAAAATTGAATGTTTTTTAGGGTAAACTATGGCGTATTTTAGGACGATATTCAACGATATAAGGGAGCTGTTTCATTGTTAGCTTAAGCAGATGTTATACTCATGAATGAATAAAATGATATCAAAGTGAAAGAATTAATGCAAAAATATAATAAAACTTATTATTGAATTTTTATATATTAAAACCGGAAGTCATTGAAAAAAAACAAACCATCAAATAGATCAATTTGTTTAAATAAATTTAGTGATTAGCTATAGTTTTGCAAATCGTATTGCTGACACAGCAAGTTAACTTTTAAAGGCTTTATATTAGTTGTGTTATAAGTGCATCAACACATAGACCCACACACACACACATTAAAAGCACTCTGTAGCACCATCACAACAGTGTGTTAAACTGTATTCCATTGTGGGATTATAGAATTAAGTAGAAAGGGATCTAAAGTTACTCATCTGCTTAAACTCACAGCAGAGTCCTGACGTCACATATTGACCATGACGTTGAAAATTGAGGTAAGATTTAAAAATTAGGCATTTGTTATTATGATGATGTATACCTGAGGAACTCGTTTTTCTACACAAATGCAAACACCCATTACATTGGTTTCTTTTTCGATCGACCTCTTTCTTCGTCATTTCCCCTCCCACACAGTCGTCTCTTTTCTTGACGTCCTTTCTCTCTTGGCTTCTCTTCTTCGTCGTGGGACCGACCTCCGCTCGTACCCTTGAACCTAGCAGACGTTTGCAACGTTGCCGTCTCTTCCAACTATACTGTGCTTTCATCACAAAAATTTTATATACCGGCTGAGGACCACTTACAGCTGTACGCGTGATCGTGATTGCTGTTGCTAAGTTCAAAATGCAACGTCTGATGAGGGGTAGAGTGATATATAGTATAGTAATAGTAGCAGTAGTAATAGTAGCCTGGCTTTTCTACTGTCAAGCCATGATGACTGTTGTGTAGTATAAAAGAGGCTCGTGTATCCGGTGGAATATCTGACGTCATAAATACCAATAGCGTTGTCGCGAATAAGTTATGTCAAAAATACACACCGGATAGAAGTACATGAAAATAAGGGACGACGAGGGGAGAAAAAGTGTTGAAATCTACTGATCACTTGGCATACTTTTAATGATTCCAATATTTTTTTTTAATTGCGTAAATGAATAAAATTTATAGCTAAAGATATATGTATATATGTATAAATAAATGAAGAAAAAATACCTATCGTTTATCATGCTATAGACTTGTTAGCCTTCTGTACTCTTGTATATATATTTATTTGATCATACGACGTTGTGAAAGACATGTTCCCGCGAATTTTAAATGAAAAATCGCTTTGTACACCCGTCTACCATTTATACGTGAAGAAAACCGGTTTGCAGCCTTTTTGCGTCAGTCTTGGCTCACTCGGGAATGTTGATTTTTGTTCAACGTACCGCTGGGAACCTAACCTACATTATTATCATGGTTAAGATGATGCGATGCTGCTTGGATAGTTTATATTATATTTATTGACTTCAAAATAACTTGATGTTTTTATTACGTTCATCTTGTGTGACTGTTGTTAATTCTTTTTATCTTCCTTTTAACTAACTAAAAGTACTAATTATTAGCAAATTTATAACGCAAGTTGATTCGTTCACCCGAATGAAATAAAAAAAAAAAAGTATTATGAATTCACATAGTACTCTACTGCGCTCAAGTATTTTTATAGGCGCATTATCATTCATTGGCAATTCGTGAAGCATCACTTAGCACTGCCAAAAATATTTTTGTTACAACTACGTGAATTGAATTACTTAATACAAGGCCTATTAGCACGCGGCTTTTGTTCTCACTAACCTACAGCACTGTCAGCCTTATTAACATTTTTAAAACGTGAATATCATATCAATAGTTATTAATACTATCTTCCTTTTATATATTATATCTTTTATAAAAATAAATTAGAAAAAATTTAATATCAAATTTCATTAATTACATAATGATTAGGTTTTTATATTATGTAGTTTTTTTTTTTTTATACAATCATCATTAACTGCCATATTCAGATGAATTTAAAGGTTAAAAAAAAATGCAGGTCATGCGGTCATTTTTATCTAAAAAAGAAGGTAGGTTGTAATAGAGAGAGAGAGATAAAAAGAGTACACACGAAACCGGTAAGTTTTTGGACACGAAAGACTTTCGAAAATTCTAAGTGATGACGTCGTATAATCCTTTCATGGCCAACATCATATGGTTCACAACACTTCCTTTGTTTCTACTGTCACGTTGTTTTCATAGTTATATAACGTTATATAGAACTTAATCTTATAATTTTATCGTTTTGAACATACAATGTTTGATGAAGATTATTCTATATTAATACATTGAATAAGACACTTATAGCCAATGTACAGCATTGAAAAAAAAATTTCGCGATACTAATCTAAGACTCATGTTAAATTATCGTATGTTTGTCAGAATTATTACTTATCTAATGTTTACTTTTTGGCAGTCATAACATTCAATGATATTATACCCTCCAAAATATCTATGTTTCATTCATTACAAAACTTTGATGTTTATTCGTAACTTAAATGCTTTATTTACTTTCCGTAGAAGATTATTCTTATCATTTATCTTGTGTTATTTTAACTTTGGTAAGAATTTAGTTATTTAAGATGACACGTAAATTATAGATAATACATGGCAAAAATGAAAAAGAAATACTCACAAATAAGATGAATTGACTTCGGTCTCATTCGAATGGTGAACTGAAAAAACTGGAGACGTGTGATGAATTGATTCTTCTGGAATATCTAGAAAATGGATAGAAAAAATTGTCACTAAGTATTGAAATTTACTTTACTACGAATCTAATAATTATACAATTATAATATTACAGTAGAATGTATCTCCATAAATTCTCAATATTTCCGTTTGTAAAGTAAATACAATTTTATCAATATTTGAGGATATATAAATATTTTTATTTACACGTAACTCTCGTTCACTCGTATCAATGACGCTTTTACAAATGTGTGTAAAAAAAAGTTGTCTCAATCCGGAATTTAATTAGTTCTGAGAAGTTTGTAGTCTCAGTCTTCTGCTCTTTTAATTAATAACAATTTAGCTTCTGTTACTTTTGAAAAATTGAAACTTTTTTTTAAAGTAATTCACATAAAATTGTTCTAGAAAACTAGTAAATAAACTTACTTGATGTCGCTGATTCTATTCTTCTGTGATAAAGTTTATTTTCAACTTGTTTTGATAATGTTTTTTGCTTCTTCCATCCATTTATTTCTTGTTTTAACATCATTAACGATTTATTAGTAATGTTAGTGTTTGTTTGGTTATTTTCTCTCGATTCTTTTGCCTCCAAAAGATTAGCAACATTATGACGCCTTGTAAATAAATGTTGTTTATCTATTCGTTCCTTCGTTGAATAAAGAGTTAAATGTTTCTCAGATGGACTCTTGATTGTTTTAATTATTTTTGCTTGTTTTTCTAACTTTGGATATGCAACTGACTTCATTTTACACTTAATTACTTTTTAGAAAAATAATAGCGTCTGTTAAACGCTGTTAAAAATTAGATTGACCAATTTTTAACGGCCTCTACAATTTGAAATAGAACAATAAATGCAATTAAATATAGTATCGCCATCTTGGGTATTTTAACCTAAAATATTGGAATATTTCTGTAGAGTCGATAATACAGGTTCGAAACATCTAGATGGCGTGTAATTCTAAAGATTCAAAGCGGTAAATTTGAAATTATTTAATTTTATTCGATCGGAAATTTAAAAAAGTATACACATGAATTAGTTCATAACCTTAAAAAGAATATCTCATTCATAAATTGTTAAATTCTGTTTAATTAAATTTTAATTAATAAATAATGGCAGTACCTGGTGTTCCTGCAGATGTTGAAGTTGAACAAATAAAATCTGTAATTAGTTTATATTTTTCTATGCAATATCTGTCATAAATTATATTTTTAATAATATTATTGTGAATTATTTGTTTTTAGTTTAAAGATTTTTTATCTTCATATAACAAACTTTCAGAGGTTTGTTTTATTGATTGTATATCTGATTTTACAACTCGAGAAATAAGAGATAAAGAAGAAAAATGTGCTCTAAATTGTATGGAAAAATATTTAAAGATGAATCAAAGGGTTTCTCAACGATTTCAAGAATATCAGATGGTAATAAACGAAAATGCGATGGCTACTGTAAAGAAACTTGAAGGAAAATAAATAATTCATTTTGATGTATAAAATTCTCCACTAGTTTATAATTAAAAGCATTTATATTCAAATTAAACTTTATTGATGAAAGAACATAACCATAATTTCTTTATATTTTCATTCTTAATATGTTTTACAAATTATTATAAACACCATTTTACTATGATTAAATATAAATGATCATTAAATTAATATATATTCTCAGCTTGTAAAATTGAGTGCATTGAAATAATAATTAAATATTTATTGATAAATATTTTTTTGTTGATTACATTTATAATAATGATTATATGTCTTTCAATGTATTGAATAAATAATGTTTACATATTCTCTTTTGAATAAACAAAAGCAATATCTAATAAGGTACATACATATACATTCTTGTGCATGTAATAGTAATTTACATTTTTTACAGCATGAATCAAGAGAAATGTATTTAATTTTACCACACAATTAATTATCAAGATGACTTAATGACTTGTATTATAAAAGAATACACAATAAATATCGTTTCACCTTTAAAGAAGTTTATGACATTACTCAAATGCCAGAAAAAAAAATTAATTCGATTTTGAATGGGTTATATTATAAAATTTCGGCAGTTGAGTTTCAAACTCCATCTTTGTCTTTTCTATATCAATACCCGAAGACTCTGGGATATTTTTTACTGATCCAATAGCTGGTATTTCAGTTTGCGGAATTAGTTCTGCTCCAATAGCTTCATTTGTCGCTTGTACTTCTTGATTGGGAATAAATTCAAAACTGGTTGAATGTGGAGGTGTTCTTCGAAGTCTTTTATAGTCAGCAAATCTTTTAAATGATACTTGATCAACACAGATTGCTTGAGTTGTTTGCCGGGTTTTATATAAAATCGGACAATTTAAATCACCTTTTAAATTAAGGCTATAAAGATTCGCTAATCTGCGCAATTTTTCGCGTTCCGGTTGATGCATCGGATGTAATTTCAATTCACTTTGTGAAGGATCTTGAAGAAATCTTGATACTTTTTCATTAGCTGATGTTATAATTGAATATCCAGGTTTATTATCAACGTGACGACGCCCAGCACGAATTTCTCGCCCATTTAAACCATCCCTGATCCATTGAATTCTTTGTCTATAATTTCTTTTTGCGTCATCAGTCAAATGTTCTAAACTACCATGAAATATTGCTTGAAATGCTGGATTAGAAGCTACTTTATCTTCACTTGTAGTATCATCATCCCACCAACTTGATTCGCCAAACCAATCTGATTGTTCATCATCACCTTCTCTGTCTTCATCATTTGTAATAATTCCAGTCTCTGAATCACTGGATGATATGCTTGAACTAGATATTCTTGAACAATCCATTGCATCTTCACTTTGAATTTTATTTCGATTTTTTGATTTAGAATTTCTTGGTTTTGGAGAATGCATTTCACAATCAATTGATCTTTCACGACAAGATCTTTTACGTTTTCCACACCATATAGACCCATATCTATTCTCACTATTATTTCTATAGAGTCTTTTTTTCTTACCAACTGAATTTGTTATCAATGTTATTGCTTGAGATGTTGATGGATTTGAATCCGAATCAATAGCCATTCTTTTAAATTTCCTCTTACGTTTTGTATTGATTCGGGGAACAAAATTCTCATTGACTGAGTCACTTTCAATATTACTGATATTATGAAGATTAGAAAATCGAGCAAATCTTTTAGTTTTATTAGTGTCATCGCTATCTGATTGATATTTAGAAGCAGAAGTAGTTTTTGGAATACGAATATCGCAAATAGATGAAGAACTATCGTCAGAATGTTTATTAGTATTTAAAGATGCTAAAAAAAAATTAAAAAATATTTAATAAAAATCACTGAATTGTTAATAAGTAATTTTGAATAAATAAATTGAATGATTTTTGGCCTTACACTTACGAATATTGCCCGTGGATCGAGCTCTCCGCCTAAGACCCCATCGACGTCTGACATTAGAAGAATTTCTACTTTCTTCTAGTGCTAATGTCAAATCGTGGACTAGTGCCTCCATTTTGGCTCTCAAATCCGCTGGAACAGCTTTGAAAACGCGCTCCATCGGAATATTAGATTTTTATCTATAAAATTAATATAATTTTTATGAATGAAATTTATTCAATAAATATCATCGTTATGCTTTGATAAATATTATAAACACACACATAAACAATTATAAAAATCAGAATTATAATAAAGAAAATTATTTACAATTAACAAATGTAATTATTTGTCACGCATGACACTCGTTAAATTGTTTATACTGTTCAATTTTAGATTATAAATACAAATGAACTAATAATAGATCATTTGAAAAAATGATATCCTTTCTAAATGTCCTAGTAAACAAAAGTATTTAATATTCACAAGTAAATTGCTTGATGTACAATCTAAACTAGTATTATTTCGTTAACACTTTTGAAATATTATTATTAGATGAACATATTCATTTCAAGTCACATGAATGTTCACGAAAAGTAATGAATGCAATGACATTATCTATGTGGAAATTAATGGAAAGTCGATGAACGAACTGGTTCAACTGGCAGATGGGTGAAATACACTGTAGTAAATTTACCCATCCTAAGCAATTTCTATCACGTATTATACACCTTATCTATGTGTGTGCATAAAAGGTGCAGAGCACATGAATTCAGTTAACTTTTGTCAATGTACATCTGTGTGTAAACTACATCTGGATCCTCAAATAAACCTAACCAAGATAAAAGCGTCTCTACAAGAACGGAGCTCATGGAGAATTGACCTGACGCAATTACAGTATACATACATAACATATATGTATATCACAATTTTTATATAGTTTGTGATAGCATTCAAGTTGTATTTGAATTCAAAAATGACTAACTTTTTACAATAAAGTTAATAATTATTAAAATTTAATCTATAATTAATATTACAGTCTTATATCTGTAGGTGAATTCATGCATCAATATTGAATTATTCTTTGATAAATTTTATATATTTTCGCCATTAACATTAATTACTTAGCTGAAAGAACAAATTAAAGACTCAAATTTGATGATTTTATTGCTAAAAAATTTTATATTAAAAAAAGTTAAGTACACAAATGATAAATTTTTATAAATAGTCGATACATATGAATATGAAATAAAAATCCTAGGCAAGATGTAAGGCACAGACATCGTTTACATAAAATATTTGTTAAGTATTTAAATAAAAACTATATTATTTACAGCTCATATCAATCACTATTAATTTTTAATGATAAAAATTTTTAAGGCCCTCAATGCACTACACATGTGAAATATGTAATTTATTATAACTATTCTATTCACAAAATTTAAAATTTTTAAAATTTTCAACGAATTAGTAATTCTTAATTTTCTTTTTACTTTAAATAAAAAACTAAAATGTTGTAAAATTTTAATAACACTATTACTAAAGACAATTTCAATTTTTTTATTTACATAATCAATCGGTCGATTGAATCGATAATTTCCATTAAAATTTGTGCTTTTTATAAAAATAAAAACCATATTATTAATTATTCTTTGTTAATAATCAATAGTAATGTAAATAAAATGGCAATTATCGATTATAATCTTGGCACAACCTTACTATCACTTTAAATTATCTGTATCGCTTATACGATGTAAAGAGGTATTCTCTATTTAAATATGTAAAATTCTAAAATTTCTAATTTGTTATTTTCACCAGTCTAAATAAATCAAAAATACAATTATTTCAGTAGATATAATATCAAACAAAATATAATATCAATACTGTCGAATAAAGCAGTAATAAATTGCTTCCTTATACTAACTTATTTGAATAGATGATCCATAAAAATTCATTTCTTTAGCTACATATTAAAATTGGATGAAATTTTCATGTACATTATGTCTTCTCTGTTAATTAAATTATTTTATCACTATTCTTCCTATTTACAATATGAAAAAATTTTCTTTTCATTGTTTACCCTATCTTCTTTACCGAGTTTTATCTTTTTCCAATTTACACATAATATAATTGATCAATAACTCGTTGTAAAAATATAATAATACAAAAAGTTACTTCAGTGAAGTTTTCTTGGTAATTTATCATTATTATCTTGAGCAATTTTGATTTTTAATCCATGGAGGGATGAGTTGGTTGGATTGAATCATTCCTGGATTCATTGAATCTTTGTGTACTTGCAGTAGGACCATCATTTCCATTGCTGGAGGTGTTGTTGATCTGGCCATTCATGAACGATGTCATCTCCATTAAGGGCTGTTGGCCATTCTGTTCAGAAACATTTGAGCGTGTGTTGTTCGTTTGCTTCGTTTTTCAGATCTAGCAGAGGAGGCGTGTAGGCATAGTAATGTATGGTGTGTCGTGTTTATTATTTTTTTTCTTGAAAATGAAATAAAATAAACGTCATAGTACAAGAGACAAAGATAGAGAGAAAGAAGAGTAAAAGAATGAAAAATTGCTGAGAAAGCGTTGCGAAGGCATGAAATATTGTCTGGACGTCGAGCAAAGGATCTTGACTCGTACGTTCAATTTTCTCCTTTAGAAATAATTGTTTAATTGTTGATTATAATCAGTGAAACCGTCGTGATCCTTGACTCCCGTCTTCAGGTTTCAGCATCACTGATATTAAATTACGAACCTTGGGTTGTATTGTGGTTTCTGAAGTATCAAGAACAGCTAGAGGATTTGATGTGATATTGATTTTTGAATCTGTTACTCCACCATTTATCACTAAACCATTGCTCATTGTTTTACCTATAGATAAAAATTTTAACACAATTTATTATTATTTATTACTATTTAATGAAAAATGATTATTTCTTTTTTTATTTATCATTTGTAACAAATTTATACCTTCACTTTGTGATGTTTCTCGGCTTTGTTTAATTCTACTTCGTTTGTAAACAACAAGAATTGTACTTAAAACTCCAAGTAAAACTAATCCTCCTAATGTACCTCCAATGATTGCATATAGAGTTCCATTTTGGGCATTTCTTGTACTGTGAGATCCAATTTCCGGTAAAATTTGTTGGACCGGTGGTGATTCAGTTACTAACTTTAAAGTTTTTGCAATTCTAATTATTGAAAATTCTGAAGCAGCATCGACAGAAAAACTTTGAATTTTAAATTCATATGTTGTTTCAGGCTGTAAATGACAGATTGTTACATTAGTAGCGTTAATTCCTTCAACAGTTGTTTTAATATAATCTCCAGCTGATGTTGAGGCACGATGATAAACATAAAAGCCATCGATAGGAATTGATTTATTCGGATTCTGCCAAGTCAAAAAAATTCGATCAGGTCCAAGTGCCTCGGTACCAATAAAAAGTGGAATTGGCATCTTATTCATTTCAAAGTCATTCATTTTTGTTAGAAAAAATTTAGCAGAATTATTACTTGGTTTATTATCATTATTAGTATAAACTGCTGCAATTCGGAATCGATATGTATGATTTGGTTGAAGATCAGTAACTTCAAATGATCTTACATGATTAGGAATTTCATTGCTAGGTGTCATCCATTTTCTATTATTTGATTTAATTTCTCTATATTGAACTTTAAAGAATGATATTGGGAGTCCCGTATTTTCTGGAACAGACCAACGAACCATTACCGAAACGTCAGAAAGCCGTGTAACATTTGGCGGATTAGGAGGCACTAATTCAATTCCATCTTTATGACCATCTTTATTTTTTTTCTTTCCACCTGATTTTGGTTGTTTGCGATTATTATTCAATGGCTCATGTAATTGTGACCAATTTCCACCGCTTACTTGTTGTTTTGGAGTTACTTTTAGTAAATTGCTGCCAGAATGTGATCCATAATCATTGCTTGCAACGCACTGAACTATTCCAGCATGTTTCTTTTCCACTGAAGTTATACAAAGTGATGAACCTTTAATTTTAACATTATAATTTGGCTGAAGAGCTTCTCCGTTTATTAACCATTCAATTTTAGGTTCAGGTGTTCCAGTTACATTACAAGACAATTGTAGTTCTTTACCTTCAAGAAAAGATTCTGATTTTGGTCCTTTTATAACTTGTGGAGCTTCATAAACGTTTAAACGAATCAACGCTTCAATTTTTGCTTTATCTGTAGTCCAAGCACAATGATATTCTCCTTGATCTGATGGTTCGACATTTTGTATACTTAATCCGGCACTGGTGGATTGAGAATACCGAGGTAAAGGGACAGCAAATCGTGACCAAGTGACATTAGGAATTGGATAACCAGCTCCAAAACACTCCAAAGTTATATTTCGACCCTTAAGAACTTTGTATTCTTTTTGAGTTGGTTTATTAATAAAAAAGGGATCAACACTCTTTTCTTCAGAATTAACCTTAAGTACAGTCCAATAATTACTTTTATATATTTGTCCAGTAATGTAATTTTCAGCAGTGCAGTGATAACTTCCAGAATCTGAGGTTTTTACATTCTTAATTATCATTGTTTTATCTCCAGTTGAGATTGCATTTTTTATCAAAACATTGTCTTTATAAAATTGAACAACTGCTTCTGGAACTGAATAAGGTACTGGACAAGTAATTGGAACTGTGTTTCCAGCAGGAACACGAATAGTTACATTACTTTTGTCAGTAAATCTGTCCATTTTTGCTAAGCTTAATCTTCCGGGATCTGATGCTACTCCACTTGTTCCTGAAAATAATTATTTTTAGGATTTTATAATAAATTAAAATGTTATATAGAGATAGTGTAGTTTTTTTTTTCATTTTACCAAAAAATGCAACACATCGATAATCTCCAGCTTTAGACTCATCATCAAAGTTTAAAACAAACTTAGAAGTAGACTTTTCTTTTTCATTGTAGGGAACAGGAACATTTAAAAGAGGCTTCCACTGTTCAGAATTGAAAGGTCGGTGATACCAGATGAATTTTTCAGATGGCAAGTTGACACTACACTCAAAAATTACCTCATCACCGAGAGGAGCTGGTAAAGGTCTAGGATGTTGTGTAAATGACATCCACCATTCCTTTTGAGAACCTAAAAAAATTATTGTAATGATTATAATGAATCCAATGTCTTTCAAATATTTCTAAATTTATTTCTAATTTATTTACCTTTAACTTGGATACCCAAAGAGAGGAGAAAAAAAATTAAAATTCCAAATAAATTGAATATTAACTGCCTCATCTTGACACATTCTAAAAAAAGAAATGATTAATTAGCTAAAAATAAGTTAAAATTTTACTATTAAACTAAAAAATATTTAATATCAATATATGATTAAAATTATTTGTTTTTCTGGATAATTAGAGTTTTAAATCGCATCAAATTACGTAGATTGATGTCAATGTGTTAAGGAGTTTTAACTTTAGAATTTGTCCGTTTAGTCGATTCTTTCCTTCTCTTTCTTCCGTCCCACCTATCTCTTATGCTTGCAGTTCACGTAGATATAGAAATAGACGTTCGCGTTCCGAACATAGTCACGAGTAATCGACGAGTCGTAATTTGGCAAATACTTGCGGTTGACTAAAAGAAAACTTGTATATATTCAGCTCAATGATCCTTTTAACAATCCTTTACAACATCTTTATACTTTTTTTCTGATATCTTTTTGCTTCTGACTTTTTATGATGTTTTATAGGGAAAATGATTATAGAAAGGAAACAACATCTTCAAGATAAGCTATTAGAAGCTTGAGTCCTTATTTGGTAAAGAATAGAGCGTGCCGCTTTCCACGCGAACAATTTTACACCCACATGCTCTCTTACGTTGACCACCAAGATCATGTATATTATCTTTTAAAAGAAAGATAAGTAGATGGAGAGACTTACTGCTGAGGAAATATCTATTTATTGGGCAATGTCATTGAGCGTAGGCAGTCTCATTCATACACTTACTTTTACTATGATTTAAACGTCTCTTGGCACCCACACAATTTTTTTCTAGCCTAAAGAGCTAAAAAATATTTAAAATCAACGTTTTGACAACTAATCTCCCTATTAAATGCTAAAATGAAGGTTGACTATCAAGTATCATTACTATAAATACAGAATAAAGTTTTGCTTTAGGCATTTGAATTGGTTGTTTGTTCAATTTTTTATCTATATTTTCTATCTAATTATTCCTCTGAGTCCATTTGACTCTTGATTTAAATTATACATGAATCTCAATCAATCATTCAAAGTTAATTGTTGACAGTTATAAAAAAAAATAATTATATTATTGTTCATTGTTCAATATAAATAATCTTCCGGTTTAAAATTTTATAAGCAATTTGTAAACATTATTCTTTACAAATTCTATAATATTTTTAAATAAATTTTATTACAATTGTCTTATATCCAAATTAATCATCATTTGATCTCCTTAAAAATTTATTGCATCCGCAACTTGGATATACAGTTCATAAATTCGATGATTGTTTTTCTTTTTATGATTATTATAATGTTTCCTTCACTTGATAGTTATGACAGTTGAGATATGTATTTTTCTGTAAGTGATTCAACTATTGATTTTAACTGTGAATAATATTTAACAGGTGAGAAAATGGCAACTGCGGTTTCTCTTTTCTCTTATTCGCAACATCCAATCTCTTTTCTTCTTCTTCATCTTCTTCTCCTTCTGACTGGCGCTCGCGTAAATATGAACGAGTCGAATTCCGGAGCAGGGATCGTCAACCTCAATACAACGATTTTATTGCATTTGAAATTATAAGCTATGACATTTTTATAGTTTAACTTTACTGGATAAATTTCATTTTCATGTTGTTATTTAATATGTTTTATTTGCGTATGATTTTTTATCAGAGCTCTTGTTGTTGATGGAGTAACTTGATGCTGAACATAGCATATAATATAATATTTACCTTACTGCTTTTGGACCTTTATCTTTATGCAGGCATTGAGATTATCGTCTTACGAAAACTCAAATATACATTCCCTCAAGTGTATATTATAAATAAATTCACAAAATTAATTTTTTCTTTATCAAGAATCAATAAATTATGTAATCGATTTGGTCCAATGTTTTTTCATCAATAATCTAATAGAAATTGCGAGCTAATTACAATAAAATATTCTATGGCTCATTATTTATAATTAAATAAATTATCGAATTTTTATTTTATCTTATGATTGTTCATCTTTAATTTAGAGCATATGTCAATTACCAAATGTTTATTTAAAAACCAATGGAAATTAGTATGAAAACAAATATAAATAATTTAAGATTGAATTATTAAAAAGTTATTCATTGATATTTATCAGAGACATTAGAATGAACACTGTGATGTAAAGCAAAATAAAAAAAAATTAAATCTGTCTAACATTTAAATTAACATTACTTAAAGATAGACGGAGCCTAAGGAAATTAAATGAATTAACGAGAATGATAAAGGAAACAAAATTAAGTTTGATTGGATTATTATGATTCAACTTAATGAAGAGGGATAATGTTGATTGTCTGATAAAAATTAAAAGGAAGCAGATTTAAATCTCGTATGTGTTACTAGACACCATTTTATCCTACACGTTATCGAAACTTTTTTATATCTTCCTTTCTCTTTCATTATCGACAAGACAATCGATCGGTTCCTGTTATCCTGTATGTGCAAATATATATTCCCACGAGTCTCTCGGAAGTTTCTTGATTATCTTTCTACCACTCGGATGCTACTTATATTATATACGGAAACTCGAAACTAATATTTAATAAAAGCGCGGAAATTGTATATTTTTTTGTATAGAATGATGTTAGAATTAAGAGATGAGCATTGAAAAGAAATAAATAACATTTCGACGACTGCTCCAACCAGTTTTGAGTACAATACGTACACTGGTTTGTGAATAATAAAAGCAAGTCTCCCTTCGCATCTCAGGTGTCGGGGGATAAAGTAGTATTGTAACTCAGGTGTTGAAGAAACCTTTTTCCACTTGCTTGAAGCATTAAATTTATTTCGGACGCTTCCACTACCGCCAAAAACTCTCTCCAACTTTTACTACAAAAAAATAAGGAAGAAAAAACAAACAAAAATAATCTAAAAAGTTTCAGCTATAAACAATGTATGCATTTACCCCTGTATCTTGTGTTCGTCCTTGTCCTTCCACTGTTTAGTTATCACAAAGATTTGTGTCTCCAAAAAAATCACAAGTAATCACTAATAAATCATTATACCACCAAGTTATCAACTATACGAATCACTCCATTTTCTTAGTTCCGCTTCTTTCTTATAACTCTTTGGAGTCTATTTTTTTTATGTGCTCGAATTCCGTGGCTTACGGTCAACGCGGCGTTGCCGGGCGACACGCTTATATTTCGTGACGATACTTCTTGGCGTCTTAGCGTCCACTGGCGTCTGTATAACAGATCACTGGAATGCAGACCGACGGGTTTCGAAGGCGCGCCACGGGAGGCAAAAGCCAGAGCCTGAGTGGTGCTGCCATTATTTTCTCGCGGGCGGATTGCTTTTATGGTGTTTTCATATTGAAAATGACGTCAGTATCATGTGATATTTTTCTTTTGGCGGGATTTCATGAACAATCCATTGTATTTTTCAAATTAATTACATTTTCAACGAACAAGTAAGTTTCATACACTTAGTATCTCAAAAATTCAGAATAAATAAAGTATCATGACTTTTAAAATAGGTTAGAAATTTTTAAAAGTTTAAATTGACATGTTAAATATATTTTTTTGTAGGTAATAATTGTTATTTTACAAAAATAATAAAAAAAACAATTGTGATTCGTAGAAACAAGTAGCGACATCATGTTATAAGGTAAAGTAGCTTTGTTTGGTAACTACGCAATAATTAGTACGTTTTAAAACCGTTAGGTGGCGTAAGTTACTTTTTCCAAAGTGTATTTACATGATTTTGGAGCAGTAAACAAAACAAATATATCAATTAAAAATTTAACGACTTTCTATAATTTTCTGCATAAAATTATATAAATATTCATGTGAAACGTATTCTAAATAATGTGAATATTATCAAAAATTATTGTAAATAATTAATAAGAAATGTTATGTTGACTTTACAATTTGGCCAGTGTGGCAATCAATTAGGCTATGATTTTTATTCTCTAATCAATCAAGACCTTCAAAGTAAATCTTTCGCTCCAAATGATTACACAGAAAATTCCATATCAAAATGGTATGAAATATCAGAAAAAAGTGGAAAACAAATAGCAAAAGCTATTTTAATTGATACTGAAACAAAGGTATTGAATCAAATAATTGAAAAAAATAAAAAAGATAATTGGTTTTATCGGAGTAAAAATGTTATTACCACTGGAGATGGAGGTGGTGCTGCAAATAATTGGGCTTATGGGTATTTGAAGAATGGTCCAGAATTTGAAGAATTAGTATTAGAAGCTGTCAGAGTTGAACTAGAACGTGCTGATAGACTAGACGGATATCTATGTTTATTAGGATGTGCTGGAGGTACAGGATCTGGTTTAGGAAGTTATGTAATAAAATCTTTAAGACAAGAATTTTCTACTAAAAATATTATAAGTATTTTAGTATTTCCATTTACATTTGGAGAAGTGGCCACACAAAATTATAACATTATTTTAAGCCTAGCTGAAATTTTTGATAATTCAGATTTAATTATTACGATACAGAATGAAAGATTAAAGAAAGAATTATGTTACAAATTAGCTGGATCATCAAAGAATGATAAAATTAATTATCCTAATGATTTAAATAAAATTGCTTGCCAAAAATTGATATCAGTTTTTCAGCCAACAATAGATGACAATGCCAAGTATAACAAAGTTAATTACATGATATCCAAATTGGTTCCTCATCCTGGATATAAATTTACGTCAATTGAATCTAATGCTGTTAATTTGAGTTTAACTGACACTACAGCATTAACATGGCAATCACAATACAGATACCTCAAGAAAAATTTAATCGTCAGCTATTATGAATCAACTAACTGTGTCAATCAAACATCAAAATCATTAGCAAATATTCTTATTACAAGGGGATCAACTAAATGTAATACAAAAAATTTCCTTCAACCTGATACTGATGATTTTAAAAATTATATAGATTTAAATAAAAATGATATTTACAGTCAAAATATGAAATGGATGATTAATGAAGAAAGATTTACACACTTTCATCAAGAAAGAAAATTATTTAATTATGATAAATTAGCAACAGTCATAACAAATAATTCTTGTATACAAAAAACTCTTGATGATATTGTAAGAAAAGCATGGACCACATATACTTATGGAGCTTATTTACATCAGTACAAAAAATTTGGCTTAGAAGATGATGACTTTTTAAAAGCATTTGCAAAAGTTGAAGCTCAGATTGCTTCTTATAAGTCTTTGGAAAGTATTTAATTATTGAAGAGTATTTTTTTATTTACAATTATGTATTATTTTTTTACAGATTAATAAAAATAATTTGATTAAATCATATCAGCTTGTGGTGATAATTTTTAGTGAATGCCATTTTCTTATGTATGAATAAGATTTGAGATGTCGACCTTCAACTCTCCTCCAACTATCCATCTTCATTCCTAATCTATTTATTTTGTTTCTAAAGATTTAATGTGACGTCATATTCAACATCGATCTTCACTGGTGGGGACTCACCCCTAAATGAGTTGTAGTACGTTGAGTTATTGAATGACGGAGCGGGTAGGAGTAACGACTTCTCGGAAGCATCCACAGACTTCCTGGCGCTAAATCAATGTTTGGTTGACCTTGATTAGAAAAGCAATGTCAAATTGGTAAATTCCGTATATTTTTATTTATTCTTCAACAACAATAACTTTAAAAATATTTTATGTAAAAACATAACATTACCATAAATGCAATGAACAAACGTAATACATTTTTAGTCGGCCCTGGTGAAAATCGACGTCTTTTAGTTCCTTCACTTTTTGTCTCTCTCTGTCTTTACTACCTTTTTTACTGGCATCCACCCCCACTGCTATGAGTATCAACCAACGTCGATGCCACCTCTACTTCGGCCACCCTTATTGCAGACAACATGACCCCACCATCACAGTAGGGGTGGGATATACCGCTGTACACCGACACAATCCACAGGCGGCGCAGGATACTGACGCGAAAGTTACATTTTGTTCAGTTTTATTGTTATTGTGCTCTCTAAAAATTGCATAAAAATATTCAGTTATAAATTGACTGAATAATGAATTATTGATAATTTGAGAGAAATTTTCAATTTTTACGATATTAATTGATCCTTGTGGGAGTAAGAAAATATTTGAGATATTAATTGGTTACCTCCAACACGGTGGAGGCCCTTGATGCCTAGGAATTCATCGAACACGCCATTTTGTTGCGACTCCAGACGCGCATCTAGAAAAAATATTGTAAAAAAGACCCTGTATACCTTTGAGTGTTTTTCATAACTGAATTATTATAATTGATTAGAATAATTGATAGTAAAATGTTATAGAAAATGGCGCAACAACAGCTGATAATATGAAAAAATATTTTCACAGCATCCTTATTTATGTGTACTTGTTTGATGAACTAAAATTATTTCGGAAAGAATTGATTGAATAATAAAACTGTCAATTTTTGGCATACATGTGATTTAAGTGTGATGTGTGATGAAATCTTGTAATCAGTTTTTTAAAAATATATTTTATCTTAAATTCCAAATTTTGTGAGGAATGGGATAAAATACGTGAAGAAATTAATCGGATAATTTCGAAAAAGTAAGATTTAAAATGTTTTTTATAAATTATTATCATTTTATAAAACTTTTAAATAAATTTTGATCATTTCTAAATTAATTAATTTATTTATTTTTATTATTAAACTACTTGGATACTTAAATTATACGTAACATTTATAATTTATTTCACATTTATCACATTAATACATTTATTATTTAATTTATTATATTAATTATTTAATTCATTATTGATAAAAAAAAATTTTAATTTATTTGTTTATGTGATCAATTTTAATTTTAACATAAATAAATACAAATCTTAATGGGGTTTTACACAGGTACGGCCCTGAAAGGCATTCTGAAAATCAGAATCACTTGTTCCCCTTCTCTTACACCTTTGCCACTCTTTCTTTCACTTTTTTTCTCGTTTCAACTTGTTTTATTTTCTTTCCTTCACAATGAAATATGAATTCAAGGGCAACAAAATGGACAGAAAAATATTTTTATCCCTAAAAATTCCATATCTATAAAAATATTTACATAGTCAAATTATTACAACTCTTGATGATCACAGAGTGATTTCAATGCCGGAATTTGATTTTCTGCTGTTTGGATTTAAATGTTATGTAATGCACTTAAATTCGACAAGCTTAATTATAAGATGTTTCTGAAAGTTAATTATGTTTTATTTGTTTTGATATATAATAATAAAGGATTGAATAATTATTTGAACAGTTTTTCAAAGAAGTTAATAATTAATAATCAATTAATTTTATAATACAGTTTTTTTTAATCTTATGAGTGACTCATCGCCCTGAGGCCTACAAGTTCCCTCCGCATTCTTCTTCCCTCAAATCCTCTTTTACATTACTACCTGTGCAAAATACTTTCTAAATGCCGCCTATCGTTTGGGATGTCCAAAAAAAAAAAGAATCTCAAGGAAATCTTTAACAATGATTACACCAGATCCTATGCAGGTGCAATAAGTGTGTAAAATAGGTTATAATTTGTATTTAACGTAAATCATGAATTACATTTAATTGAAGTGATAAAAGTAAGGTTATTTGGAGTAATTAATTATCAAAAAAGTACTCTGAATAATATAGAATAATTGGTATTTAAATTCAATAAAATATGATGATTGTGACAATGATCAATGAAATTTATTTATTTATTTTCAGTTTAACATAGAGGAAAACTTTCCTCGTTGAAAAAATGAGAACTCCAGGATCAGAAACCGAACTCTGTCGTTCTCATGAAAATTATGGATTCGAAATTCAAATCAGGAAGAAGACGTCTACGTTGTCATCTTCACCAATACCATCATCTTCTGGGATAATTGTCAATCCACTACCTCTTACAGATTCACAATCTGACAACCATATTTTTAGTAATAGGTATAATTTTAGAATAATCCATTTGATAGGAATAATTATTAAAATATAAAACGATTGTGTTTTAAAAAAAATTGAGAATGTTATTATTTAATTGATTTGGTTAATTATTTATGATGAGTTATCCACTCTCATAAATATCCATTTAATGGTTTAATAATTATCAAAAAAAAGTATTGTTCACATTTCTCGATAAATTCCTTATCAATTGGCGCTGTAATCGTTTGTTATTCTTTTTTTAGATATTTTACACATTTAAAAATTTCATCTTTGTGTAAATATACATATACGCTCATGTTGTTCACTTTGGTATTTATCAAAAATTAATACGTAGTGATAGTAATGAAGTTTATATACATATCAATTAATCTGATGAAACTATTATAACGGATGTAGATAAAATCAGGAGACAAAAGATAGCAAGTAGACATTAGTGATAGTGAAGAGGTGTAGTTAAAGTACAGTTACAAAAAGGCATAAATGTCTGTAAAGGTTATATACTTTAGTATTAAATACTTTAAACAATTGTACTTTTGAGATATAAAAGTAATCAACACGTATTTTTCAACATCACTATATTTGTGCAATCTTACTACTGTGTCGTTCGCCATTTTATATAGTTCTAATGATATTATTTTTCTGTATATCAAATATTGAACTTTTGTTTTACATGTGTTATCAATTAAAACAATGGTTTTCGCGCGATTTTTCGTTCGTACAAAAGAACGAGATAATAATTTAGCCGTTTGTCAAGCTTCAGTGAATAATGTAACGTCTAGGTGAGCTTGATAAATATAAATTTTTTTTCGTGTTTAGGAAAAAACAAAATTTTTAGTTTGTTTTATTCATTTTTAGTATTTTATTTAATGATATTGTTCAATAATAAATAAAATGTTTTTTGTTGTTTGTCTACAGTATGTTATGTATTCAAGAGGAGCTTGGACAATTGAGTAGAATTCCAGTTGGATCAAGTATGACAACAGGAGTAATAAAAGACGGCCAAATAATAAAATCCGAGACTGTATTAAATCTTCCAGAAACAAAAAGTGATGGAAGTTCTGACAATACAATTAAGAAAGAATCTGACAATAGTGTTGATAGTCAGAGAACTAGTTGGGTAGAAGGAATCTTAGGATGTATGCGACCTGTTTGGACGATGCTTTCAAAAGCTACAGCACCAGAAAAAATAAAAGGCAATTCAGGTAAAATATATATGTATATGAATGAATAAGAACAAAAGATTAAATATAAAATGAAATAATAATATTTTCAGATGACTGGGAAATTGCGTTTGAATCGATAAAAGAACTTCAATGGTTAGGATCTGGTGCTCAAGGTGCAGTATTTAGTGGTATGCTAAACAATGAAATAGTAGCAGTAAAGAAGGTACGAGAACCTCGAGAGACTGATATAAAGCATCTTCGAGAATTGAATCATCCAAATATTGTAAAATTTCGTGGAGTATGTACACAAGCACCTTGTTACTGTATTATTATGGAATTTTGTCCTTACGGACCACTTTATGATTTATTAAGAGCTGGAGAATTTATTCCTCCACCACGTCTAGTTTCATGGTCACGACAAATAGCTGCAGGCATGGCTTATCTTCATTCACAAAAAATAATTCATAGAGATTTAAAAAGTCCGAATGTTTTAATTGGTCGTGAAGAAGTTGTTAAAATAAGTGATTTTGGTACAAGTCGTAGTTGGAATCAAATAAGTACAAAAATGAGTTTTGCAGGAACTGTTGCATGGATGGCTCCTGAAATTATTCGTAATGAACCATGTTCTGAAAAAGTTGACATCTGGTCATATGGAGTTGTTTTGTGGGAACTTTTAACAGGTGAAATTCCGTATAGGGATGTAGATTCATCAGCAATTATTTGGGGAGTTGGTAGTAATTCCTTGCATTTACCAATTCCATCGACGTGGCCTGAAGGTTATCAACTTTTAGTAACACAATGTTGGTCAGAAAAACCACGAAATCGTCCAACTTTTGGACATATTGAATCTCATCTGAATATTGCAGCTGGTGAAGTGCGTTACAGAAAATACGATGAATATTATAGAACTCAGCAAACATGGAAAGAAGAGATTAGATTAGAGTTGGAAAAAATGAAAAAGAATTCGAAGAATACGACATTTGAGGAAGATTTAATTCGTAAACGAAAAGATGAATTGAGGCATGCTCAAGATATTAGAGAGCATTATGAAAGGAAATTAGAAAGAACGAATAATCTTTATATGGAACTGAGTGCAGTTTTATTACAATTAGAGCAACGAGAGCGAGATGTGGTGAAACGTGAACGAGAATCTAGTTATAAACAATGTAAAAAACGTTTAGTACATCCATTACTTAAAGCTCAAGAAAGATTACATCGAAGACGTAATGCTCATCAACAGTCAAGTTCTACAACTACCCCTACGACTCCTCCTTCTCCAACTGACTCACCTCAATCCCCAGTAAAAGCGACGCTCTGTACTCAAATTAATGAATGTACAAATCAACCAGAGACTGTTGTTGTTCCTAATAATAATGGTAGTTTTAAACAAAAAAAATATCGGCATCGTAGAGTTGGTTCTGGTGGAATAATTGCAGTAAGTCCACGGTCATCTCCTCATCGAGAACGTAAAAGTGGAGAATTGTCAATTAAATATGTTGATCATCAAACTCAAACAGATATTACTAGTATTTCTGATTCAATAGAGTCAATAAGAAATTCATTTACTAAAAAGATTTATAATTCACCTACTAGTGAACGAATGCTCGATTTTTCTGATAATGTATCTGAACCTATTAATGGAAATTTAACATTAAATATTGCTAATCTTTATGATGCTGAATCACGTAATGGTAATGAACAACTGCGAGATTGTAGTGATGATGATCATCTTGAAACTCTTGGAAGGAAAGTTTCCGAAATTATCAATGCCAATCGATTAATTTCTCCTGTTGATAATGATAACTGTAATGATTTACCTTACAGTGGAGTAGTTAATAATGCAACAGTTGATGGTGACTATAATGTTATTTTTTCTGATATAAAAAGTATCTTGAATGAACAAAAAAATAAACCAATCGTTGTAGAAGATGAAAATGAAAACAATGAAAGGATTATAAAAACAAGTGAGAATGAAAACAATAATGAGGATGATGGTGATGGTGATGATGACGATGATGGTGATGATGATGAGGCATGTGAAGATGGATGGTCTGATGAGGAACGAGAAAATTCAAAATACGGATTCAATTATTCATTACGAAGACGAAGGTAAGTAAATAGAGTCTTACTAATTAATTAACATTAATTAATAAAAATCAATAATTATTACAGTGTTGTAAGAAGACCAATAGGACCAGGTTGTCGCATTCGAAGGTTTAAACAAAATGTAGTAAGTATCGATAGAGGCCTAGTATCTGATGAAGAAAATACCTCAGAGTATTCTCATCCACCTTCAAGTCATTCATCAACTCTTGAGAGTAATCCCGATGTTCAAAGAGCCTATAAACGAGTTACTTCTCGTGGATACAAAGGAAATAATAACGAAAGCTTTTTGACTGTTCGATGCTCTAATGAGCGTGAAATCACCGTGAGTCTTTAAATAATACAAGTGATAGAAAAATAGTCTATATATCTCGCCAAACATTTTTGTTACTAAAATTTTATAGAATCTTGTAGGTATGCTTTACTCTCATACTACGTGTTCACATGATTACAATGCCAATGAAAATAAAAAAGAATTGAGATTAAATTAGGTAGGATTGAGAGGGACGCATTGCACGTACTTTATATAGTAGTAGTACGTATTATTTAATTGTATATAATATTGATGAGACTTTGTAAATAATTGAAATGGTAAATATTAATTTACAAAAGTATATTGCATTTACATAAGTTGGACTACCAATTAAAAATAGCTCTAAAGATAATTGAGAGTAAAACGTGTTAAAAAATGTAAAAAGAATCGTGCTATGTTGTTATTATTATTATTATTATTTTTTTTTTGTTATTGAAAATAATTATCGCTCATATTGATTGTACAAATATTTTTGTGTCTGCATGACAGTATGAAATGTACATATGAATGTTCTCGATCTCATATAATATGTTCAATTGTATGGAAACAGGAATGTGTGAACGGAACGAAGCGAACCTTTTTTTCCATTATTGGAAAAATAATTATTGTGATTGTGCAATTATGTTTACTCATTTTAGAGAATATATAATATTTATATATATACAAATGTGCCGCCCAAGATAAGTTAGATTAACTTTAGTATGAAAGAAATGAATTATAATGAAATAATGATAATAAAGTAAACGAGAAAAAAAAAATAAGACGAATTTTGACGAATCATTATGTTTTTTGCAATATTGTAAATTAGAATTACATAAATAATTAGGTAATTATTAATACGGAGCTGTACTGAAAACATAAGTAATAATGACATGATAAAGATGTTTTTTCTTGTACTTCATTTTTTATAACAACATTCAATTTTTGAGATTAATAAATTTACAAATGAAACTTTATTAACAGATGCTTAAAGATTCGAGATATGGAGTGCCTTGAAGTGGTTTTAAAAGAAATTTTTGCACAGTAAAACATGATTTAAAACAGCTGTACCTGCTTTGAAATAAAAATGCCTTAAAATGGATATATAAATGAACGTTATATCTTTAATAGGCATTTACATTTTGACAATATTAAAAAAAAAAATCAATATTTCGAAACATACAAAAAATGAGATAATTTACGAAAAAAAATTAATAATTAGATTAAGCAGCTCCGCATATTACATAATAAATAGTGTATTAGAAGTTAAAGGTTGGCAGCTAAATTAAAGTGGTTCGTCTTTTTTTTTTATTATAATTTAAACGTTTAAATATGTAGATAATTATAAACAAATATATTTCATATAATGTATGGAGTAAAATTTCTTTACCACTACAAAGTATATTAAATTTTTTCTCAGTCCCTGAGCTACTAAAAAATAATTAGTAATATAGTTTTTTTTTTTTTTTTTGGTTTAAAATTATTTTTTACTCAAAATGATTGGGAAAACTTTTATAACAATCAAGAGATTATAAAATCTTATCGTACAATAGAGTATGTTAATTTACAATAAATACATTGATAAAATGTCTTTTTTTTACAGCAAAATAAATGACAATGTGCTTCATAATCTTACACAGCCTTATAGGTATATTATTAATGCAGTTTATCCAGTCATGGTTGTAAATAATTTGTTGGAATAGTTTATTAAAATAACAAAAAAGAAATGTAACAAATAAAGGCGAATAAGTCAAAATAAATTTTCAATTAGTAATAACAAATTCCATTACTGAATGAACTATCTTAATATACATAAAAGATGAACGTGATTTATTTATATGACAATAAAATAATGAGATTAATTCTCCAGTAATGATAATACTATAATAAAAATTTCAAAACAATGACGGATGAAGAAATTACGAGAAATAAATAGATTAAAAATTTGTCTACATTTTTCTCTTGCCATTCTCTATATTAGTTATTCTCGAGGGACGAGAAAATATGTTGTTCTAATATGTAACGCATATTATTGTTTTTTTTTTTTGTTACAGAAAAATGTATGTTTGAAGTTTTAATAATTTAATACAATAGGGAGTTTGAAAAGTTGGCAAAGATTGGCTGTCGAGATTCTGATAAATAACTAGATTTTAAAAATAATAAAAGCTCACCAATAAAAGGAATTATGTAAAAATTCAGCAGTAGATTTATATAAAGATGAAGCGCTTTGTTTTAAACCAGAAAATAGAGAAACAACGCCTTCTTTTTGATTATCGTCCTCTTCTTCTTCGGGTAAGTATTCAGGTAATTGTTCACAGTCACCGTTATCAACGTTCAACTGTAAGGGTAAGAGAATTTTATTAAAGAAAAGAAGGTGTTGTTTAATAAATAAATAATGTAGATACCAATTTAACAAGGAATTCTTGATTAAATTTATTTTTCATGACTAGTCTAGCTTCCATATTAGGGATATTGTCTCTGATTGCCTCGGCAATACATTTAGGCGTAACATTAGCTAATGTTCTCATAGTAACTCGTTGGTGTTCAACATCTACAACCAAAGAAATTAAACCTTCAACTCTAACTAATGTTGCTTCTAATTCAGTTCGGGTTTCCTGAAAATGGGAATAAAGTAATTATCGATAATGAATAAATGGCATTTAATTTAAGGTAGAATAAATAGAGATATACCGGTAACAAACCACTGACGTGAAGAACAATAACATGAGTTTTGAGTTTCTTTGGTTCAATAACTCTTCTACATCTGCTTCTTAAATTATAAATAGGTGGTTTCATACGTTCAATATTATCTTTAACATTTTGTGCATGATTAGCAATATAAGGTGCTTCTAAACAATATTTATTTATTACAGATTCAAGTGCTTCTCTAACTCCAAAAGTGGAGGTTATATGAATGTAATTTTCAACATTTTTTGTAAATATTTCGAGAATGTCCAAAGCTATTTCAACGACCTCAGTATCAGGTGTCTCCAGAACATAAGCTAAGTATGATAGTACTGTCTTATCCTAAAAAGAGGAATGTATGTTATGATTGAATAAGAGTATTGATGGAAATTTATGAATTACCTTTAAAATAGTATCGTGGTTCATAAAGTCATTAGCTAATTTTCTATAAGTTTCTAGAGTGTTTTTTAATTGTTCAGAATCTAGTGTTTCTTCATGTTCCATTGTGAGTGATGAAGATAATTTGATCACAACATTAAATTATAAAAATGCCACTATCGAGTCCGAGAAACTGTAATGTTCGACCATTATTTTTATTGTTATGTATTTTTAGTTGTGATTTCTTGAGTGGTGTTCTTAGTGGCGCTAGTGTGAAATGTACAGCGCTAATTAGCAATCGCGCGAAATTTAAATTGATCGAATATCGCTCAGGGATTTTGTTATTGTATTATAATTTTGATTAGGTCTTCTGAAAAAGTGATCAAAATAATTTTAAATTGATTTATACTTGTATATTCAATTCTTTAGTTATAATTTATGAAATAATTGAAACATGTTTGGTTATCCCATAAATTTTGCTTTTTAATCGTGGTTGTAATGATAGTAATAATTGATATATCATGAACTTAATACTATGAAAGGACTTTTATTTTTGGATATTTTGATGATAAGCCTTTCGGTTTTTCATATCACTCATGGCACCCATTATAAACAAACATAAAAATTAATAGCATCATATATTAATGTATTTTTGGAGTAAAAATATTTTTAGACGGTGTATGTAAGACCATCTGTACATGTATAGATTCTTTGGTACATGCTTTTGACATCTATGATTGTAATTGATTCTAACCTCAACCCTGTGTTGTGTTGAAACACTTTTTGGTTGAATTATCATTATCAACTACAATTATTCATGATACGTTATTATAATTATAATAATCATGTTCGGTTCTTTGAAAAGTAAGTTTCAAACAGTACAAGATGGAATTTCAACCAGGTAATTATAAACAATATGATAAAGTTTATTCATAAGAAGCAACAATAATAATTGTTTAACAATATTTAACATAAGGTGACAAAAAGTTAATCAATAAATAATAATTTTATTTTTATAGTTTAAAAGGTTTGTCAATAGGTGAAAGTTCAAAAGGGAAAAAAACATCTAACACATCAAGTATTGATAAAATAAATTATAGTGCTGGAGCTGATCTTTTACATCATTTTCAACTTCAGTGGAATGAATTACATGAATTAGCTGAAGAAAATGCTACTAAAGCTCATGAAGTTGATATTCTTGTTGGTAATGTCTATGAAAAACTTAATCAACAATGGAATAACATGACTATATTAAATGGAACCTTAGCTACAATTCCAAAAATTAATCACGACATTCAAAATCTTATGGATCAAATAGGTATAATGATATACAAATATTAAACATTATTTTTACATCTTTAATTTCATTTTCTATCTATTAATTCACTTTTCATTTATAAAAAAAGGCTCTATGGAAGAAGCTTTTGAAGAAGTGGAAGCAGCATTATTCAAACTAGAAGACTTGAATGAAATTCTCGAATTACAAAATAAGCAATTAGATCACAGATTTCAATTGGCTTTATACAAAGAAAAAAAACTATCAGAACTGGATAATGTCAGAGGTAATAAGTTTGTTTAATTCAAATAATAAAAAAGATTGTTAATTTAAACTCAATGTATTTCATTGAAAATAGCGGCCTTAGCAAGTGAACATTCGGAGAGAGTACTTCAACAAGAATTGAAACAACAAAAAATGTTAAAAGAAAGGCAAGAAACCTTTGATGAAGTGTTCAGAAAAGAAATTGAAAATTATAAAGCAACGGGAGTTGTTCCAAGTAAGTGTTATGCGGTTATTATAATAATGTTTTTCTGAAAGAATAAATCAATAAGTAAATTTTTTTCAGAAGTATCATCATCTCGAGAAGGTCCAGCATTAGAAGAAATAGTTTTGGAAGAAGATTCCGCAGATTTTGATGAATTTTTGCAAAGTTAAAGTAAATATCAGTCCATTTATTATCTAATTCATCAAACTATAAAATAATAAATATTTGTGTTTGGAGGAAATTGAAGAATTTTAATAATATATTTATTTTTTAATATGAAATTCTGATAATTTAATAAAAATATGGAATTTTAAATTACATAAATATCGCGTTATATAAATAAATATGATCTTGAATTGAAAAAAATTCGAAATCATGAGTAAATAAAAAGAAACCTGCAAAGTAGCTGTGGTAAATATACTAGTTTATATATTAATATAAAAAATGATAATAAAGATAAATGTAGAGTGATAATATATTATATTTAATGTAAAACGAATATATGTATTTATATTAAAAATAATATTTATATATGTTCATAACATTTATTGTTTCGTTTAATAATTAAACTAAATTCACAAAATTAAATTCATTAATTTTACGTCACCATACATTAATGTTTGCCTTTATAAATGCAATGCATATCATCTAATTTGATAATAAATATATTTAAAAAACAAATGCAGTGAATTTTCGAAAATCTTTTTTATTACATTAAAATAAAAATAGCTCACTTTATATGTAAAAAAATATTGTAACATTTTACATCACGTTTTCTTTTTTTTGTTTATAAAAAACTTATCTATATCATTAACAACAGCGGTGAAATCATTACTTGTTTCTAAAGATCTCTGAATCCATCCAGGAAGTGCTTTAGTTTTTGTAGAATAACGTTTATCAAGCAACACTACTGTAGAATAATCAGCAATGTGCCGAACAGCACGTCCAATACATTGATTCACAGCCTTCATACAAGTATTTTCATAATATTCATTTCCAGCTCCTTGTTTAACATTTTCATTCAAATATTTCATTTTTTCTTGAAGCTCTAAAGACTTTGTATTAGGATAAGGCATTCCAACAACAACAACACATCGTCCCAAGTCATCAGAAAAATTAAGACCCTCACTGAGTTTACCTCCAACAACACTAAATAAAAGCGCACCGTTTTGTGGTGATTGTGGATTTTCAATAGCTTTAGCATAATTTTGCAAAACTAAATTAACATCACTAGCAAGTTTTGGCTCTCGAAATATTTTCTTTTTTTTTTGAATCTCTTTTATAACATCAGAATTTTCTAAACCTTTATATAAAGTGGCTTCATAATTATAGGATGAAAAGAAAACAACTATTCCACCGGGTACGATGTTGCATAAACGTACTAATGTACGTCCAAGTTCATTAATTAGCTCTGGATTTCCTCTATTATTATAATTAAATTCAAAAGTAACTTTAGTAGGTCCTTGAGTCACAATTCTAGTTAAAATGTTTTCTTTAGGCACAACATGATCACAAGAATATGTGACAATTCTTTGAGGATTAGCTCCTGCGCCAATAAATAGTTGATTCTTAAACTCAGATATTGGTTCCATAGTTCCTCCAGCAAGGATCACAGATCTTGCATCCTGTATAATATCATGAAACCGTGACGCTGGGTTTAATAACATAAACTTTATAGTTCCTTGACCTATTGTAGATCCTTGGTTTACAAAAATCCTTCCATCCTTGCTTTCACCTCGTAAACACTGAAGGAAATTATTTATAAGCATGATAGGAGTACTAGGTATTTCTTCTGTTGGAACGTTTTCTTCTTGTTTATTCTCAGTCACAACATCATCTTTTTTCTGCAAAGAACTTAAAAATGCGCTGACTCCACCTGTTTTTTTGACAACTGGACGAACTTTTAAATCTCCGGAATATTTTTCAACATATCCTCGAAGCTTATGCATTAATTTTGATTCATTTACGAATCTAGTTAGCTCAAACATGTTTATCATGTAAATATCAGTAACAGTTTCAAATTCCGAGATAGTATAAATTTCTGATTTCGGCTTTTCAATTTTATCTTCATGATGAGATTTTGTGGTACCACCAAGAAGTTGAATGAATTTTTTTAAAATAAAACTCAACCGTGATAAATATAAGACACTTTTAGCTGACAATAAATTTTCAAATCTAAAAAAAAATTAAAATGTTATAGAAATAAATACAAATAATGTTTAATATGATTTTTAATACAACCTTTTATGATACTGGGTAATTTGACTGTAACAGTGTAGGATATTTCTTCCAGTAATTATGGCATTGTGTATATTCTCAATAGCTTCTAGAAGATTATGAGCTTCATCGATTATCAGAATGTTATTTTTTAAATTAATTCCTGAACTTATCCTAGTACTTTTGTGCAGGACAAGATTGTAAGGCACAAGAATAACTTGAATATCTGGCAATGTCTTTCTTGAAGCATAGTAAGCACAGGTATTTAAATTCTTAGCATTCACAGCGATGTCTTCAACATCTTGAACATTAGTTACAATGTCAGCAACAAGTAATGACTGATTACCAGGATTAAATGGACAAGCTGTAGCAACTTTTGATCGTTTGAGATCTTTTTCTTCTTTCGATGATGTCTTTTTTTTTTGCATTTGTATACATTTGTCGTTAATTAAATTTATATGGTTTAGACTCTTTACAGCTTTGTTAATGCAATAATTTTGCCTAGAATAAATTTATTGTTATTCATTAAGTATAAATATTTTCTTTAAAATCTAATTACCTTGAAGCTAAAGGAACCAACGAAATCTCAGCCACATAAGGACTTCTTTTTACTTCACCAATAAACTGTGTTAATTGTGAATGAGTTCTTGAGCAGAAAAATATTTTTACAACCTCAGCTTCTTCTTCCTCTTTAGTTTCTTCATCATCTGAATCAGAATCCAATGAAAAATCTTCAAGTAATAAATCAATATCATTTCTTTCAGCAATAGAATCTTCTAAACCATCTTTAGATACTTCATCTTTATTCTTTTTATCATTTTGTTTCTCGCCAACACTCTTTGACTTCCAGAATCGTTTCTTCTTTGATATATTTTCTAATTCCAATCTTTCCTTAAATTTATTTTTTCGCTCTTCCCGATGCTTCAAAATATCTAGTTTTTTTTGAACAACTTGTTTTTCACTATTGATTTTTATCTCTGCAGTTTGCTCAGCAAACCAATCTTGTTTAAATTCTTTTTTAATTTCTTCTAGTTTATTGTCAAAATCTTTCAGTTGAACTTCGAGAGAATCCTTGTAATGTTTTTCATAATCAACAAGCCATTTAAATGCTCCACAAATAATTGACAATGATTTTCCAGTTCCAGTGGGACTTTCGAAGATCCCCAAACTCCCATTGTCCAGACATGAATACAGATTTTTCATGAAATTTTTTTGAATGTCATAAGGTGGAAAAGGGAATGGAAATTCTTCAGGTGGTTTCATGATGATATCTAAACAAATTAAGTTCAACATGAATTCAAATATCAAAAATAGGTTATGTATATTAATTTTTTTGTCAATAAAATACTCAAAAACTATAATTCGTTCTTCATATTAATTATATTAAACATTAATAAGTAATTATCTGCATATTTAAGTGATAAATATAAATAATTACGACTAGAAATGAAACTTACAATTAAAACTTATTGTTCAGAAGGAAAAAAAAAGTCTAGCAAATTATTATTTACTGATCAATTGTTACAAATACTGATTATGATGATTATAAAATTATTTATAAATAATTATCATTTATTGTTTATCGTTTAAAATCAGTAAGCATGCGTGTGTTTATATTGGAACATGTGCACATGTCAGTGCTTCCTTCTATCTCTGCTAGAGGACCGATCCATTCGATTGTGAACACTCGAACTGTTGGTTCGATACATCAGAAGGTTCGTGGCAAACGTCAGAACAAGACGCCGAGACGCTAGGCTAGATGAAAGAAAATTTTGATCGAGTGATATATTATATAGTTTCACCATACACACAGTATTAATAATACTTACATATCAATAAACTTTATTAACCAGTATTGTTGTGAACTGTGCAGTTTTTTATAGTCATAGATTTTTTCAAAATCCTAGAAGTCATGGAAATTTATTGAATATTTATCAAGGACTACATTAAATAAGCTTACTAACATGTGTGACCCTTTTTGGGAATCACTTGCTGACGTTTACATAGCTAACCAGAGTGATGATGTTCATGAAGATGAATATATTTATTGTCTTTGTAGCAGAGTTTTTATAAGGTAATAAAATTAATAGTTAAATAGACTTCCTGATTAAAAAAAAATGATCATTTAAAATATTCTTTGTTATTTTTTTAATAATTGTAAATATCGATTAGTAAGTGAACACATGATTAAACTTTCTCTACTATTATTAAATTGTGCTCTGAAGCTCAAAGCATACGTAATTATTTAATGTCAGAGGTCATTATTCTATGAAAAACAGTTAAAGACGTCATCTCTGCCCTTTGTTACATTATTATAAATAGATATAAATAGTATCTATTAAGCTTTTCCAATTCATTGTAGTAATTCTATTGTTTTTTTTAGGAATCCTGAAGTTTATTCAATACTAGCTCAAGACGAAGAAGGTGTAGATGATAATCCTGAAAATGATTGTTTACCAGAGATGCTCGATATTCATAAACAGAATCTTCAAGAAGCTCAAATCACTGAAAAACATGATGTAAGATTCTTATTCTACAAACAACAGTCAATTTAACTTTCTTTTGTTCGGTATATTTTATTGATATGTCAATTCAATTATAGGAAGAACCAGTCAGTTGTTATTGTAGTGCATCACATACAGACAACAATTATTCAACAGATGAATACGATTCCGTGAGAGACTCTGTACATAGGTCCACAGCACAGACTTTTAATCAGAAGTTAGGTTTACATCAGTCTGATTCAGGTGCAGATTTATCTGAATATCATGAACATGAAGCTAAAAATATTCATGGAACAACGATAAACAATGATAAACCGAAGACATTTCAGGCGCTCAAACATACAGGACTGAATTTTGATACTTATCGTGATAGTGTTTTATCAACTATTGACTCTACGATCTATGATCCTTATTTACATGCTAATATTTTATACGGAACTGATGAGAGAAGACCAATAGATATTGCTTGGGAAAAATTTTGGGGTGATAATGGAGAACAGTTAATTTGGTCTTCTTGGATTGCCAAATATGCTGATTATATTAATCCAGAATATTTAAAAGATGTTGAATCATCTGTAGAAACTAAAAAATCCCCTAAAGATCCACCTGAAAAATTTTCGGAGCAAAATACATGCTTTCCAAATCAAGCGCACAAAAATTGTGGACTTGAACGATCAAATTTCGAGGGAATTTTTCAGAAATCAAGATCTAGTGAATCTGATGGTAGAAGTAGAAAAAATAGTGTAAGTTTTTCATTTGACAATGTTGATATTCAAGCCCTGAATGAAAAGGAAGCTGAAGAAAATCGTAAAAAACTAGGAAATTATGATGAATCGGAAATGGGTGAAGGTTGGAACCCATTAAGTCCATATAGCATTGAAGAAAGCTATAATCAAACTTCAAATGCTGAAGATGAGAGACTGATTGCAATGTCTAGATGTGATTCTGTTAGTGGGTCGATCGCAAAAACGAATGCTACTTCAGATTCTATGACGAATGTTACTAAAATAACTCTGTCTGAATCAAGTTTCGATTCTAATTCAGCACGATCTCTAAGTCTTGTAAGTTCAGTAACAAGTTCTATAGAAAGCAATATAACAACTAATAGTAGTTCAGATCAAGATAACGAATTAACTTCAAACGATAATGATAAATATTGGCAATATCTTTGGAAATTAAATTTTCAAGTTATGTATCAAAAGCATTACGAACATTTTATATCAAAATATGATGAAAAAGTAACAAAAAAAATGCCTGCCTCTAGTAATATTAATCTACAAAGAACATTTAATGAAAATGACTTAATAACACCTGTTAAAGGAGTACGCAAAGAACGGAAAGATTCAGAGAGTAAAATTGGCAATAAAAAATCTCTATCCAAGAGACGTATTGCTGAATCGAAGAGAAAAATAATTGATTCTGTAGGCGTCCTCATGAAAAATTTATCCGTAAAATCTAATGAATTGGAAGTTATGGAATCTGAAGGTCAATCTAATAATCAAGAGAATCAATCTGAAAAAAACGAAAATGAGAACTCTCAGACGCACAACGTAGATCAAACTTCCAAAACTACAACCGATAATACTATGATAAATGATCTTTGTGATGGTGATGGTGACAAACCAGAAGAAAATAAACCAATAAGTTTGAAACGAACTCATGCTTTGGATCTTGAAGAAACAGAAGAAGGGATGGAAACAATAAAAAAAGCATTTTCATTAATGGGATATACATTTAATGAAAAGGAGAATCAAGAGAAACTTCAAGGAGAAGTAATTTATCGCAAAAGACATGTAAGACTTCCCAATAGACAATTTAAAATGAAATTTAATAGGAAACCTGTGAATAAACATAGTTATTTTGATGAGAATGGATTGGAAATTACTAGTACAATTGATAAAGTAAAGCAATATTTGTCATACTGTCCTATTGCACTTCCTACTGAAACAGAGCTTCAACCTAATGAGAAAGGTTCTTATACCAAAGTACAATTTACTTCCAGTTCGGATGAAGAATGTGATTCTGGTCTGAACAAAAAACTCAATGCGAAACGATTGGTATTCAGTAAACCTTCCACAAGTTCTATGGAGACTCCACCGGATTTGAATATTACTTTCAATAGCTGTGAAAGTACTGATGATGTGTTCGACAAAAAGCAGGAAGATCGAGCCATTGAAACAGTTGAAACTGGAGACAATAATGAAAGTCAAGCTAATCTAATTGGAATTGATTGTAACACAAAACTTCAAGAAAAAATTCATATTGATATAAAGATTGAAGACAATTGTGATGAAAGTGAGATATTGAATAATAAAACAGTTGATGATGATAGCGTTAAAAAATCTCAGAAAAAACGAAGAAGAAAACAGAATAAAAGAAACATAAGTCTTCCTATTGAAATAGATAACGATAGGGATTTAATGAAATATTGGGTGAGAAGATATCGTCTTTTCAGTAAATTTGATCAAGGAATTAAGCTAGACCGAGAGAGTTGGTTTTCTGTGACGCCAGAAAAAATAGCTGCGCACATAGCAGAGAGATGTCGATGTGACACGATAATCGATGCATTTTGTGGTGCTGGAGGAAACACTATTCAATTTGCAATGACGTGTGAAAGGGTGATTGCTATTGATATCGATGAGAAAAAAATAGAACTTGCACGTAATAATGCTAGGGTTTATGGTGTTGAAGATAGAATAGAATTTATCGTAGGAAATTTTCTTCAGTTGGCTGATAAACTTGTTGGTGATGTTGTTTATCTTAGCCCACCTTGGGGAGGACCAAGCTACGCACACGTTGATGTATTTAATCTTAATACAATATTACAACCGGTTGGGGGACAAGCACTATTTAAAGCAGCGCAACAAATCTCATCTAACATCTGCTATTTTCTTCCAAAAAATGTTAATACCCTTCAGGTAAAATTATTTTCCTATTATTTAGTATTTGTAGATCATTTGTGGAAAAAAATATAAGTAGTCGGAATAAAAACTTTTTAAAAATGTTTATATATTGGTACATATTTGCAGAATAAGTACAAAAGTAAAAATAAAATATGATAAATTTTATCTTGATGATGGTTTGCTACTAAAACTTAAAAAAAAATTAATTAATGGACACAAATGATCTATATTAATTCTTAACAAAAAAAAATGACTTTTAATTTATTTGATATATTTAATAGCATAAAAATAATCTTTAATATCATGTTTATATTTGTAGCTTGCTATGCTGGCAGGACCAGGAGGTGGGGTTGAAGTAGAGCAAAGTTTTTTAGATCGAAAACTTATAGCGTTAACAGCGTATTATGGTGAACTTCTCAGGGATTGATAGTATCAAGAGCATTGTAATGTCAACGATATGACACGGTAGCCATTTAAATAACAACAATAACGACATTAATGCAATATTTATGAAGGGACACTTGTACTATACTGGTTTCACGTTACCGCCCATGTGTGTACTCCAAAAAGAAGCGCTCAAGAATTAATCAAGTATTTTAAATGGCTTCCGAACGATAATTTTAAATTTTTATTGTAAACTTGTATGGTTTTACTATTGATTATAAATAAGTTAATCACCGAACGTGGAATTTTTAACCATGCTCAATATGATCATTTTACGTATATTAAATCACTGATAGTGAAAATATGAACTTGACTAGTTTTTTTTGTTTTTTGTTTTAATTTCAATATCCAACATTGTCAACCAAATATTTCTTCTTAATATTATTTATATTTAATATCACTTTATGATTCAACATTAAGAATCGTAGGTTGAGCATCTTCGGGCTCCGCAGGAATAGTTATACCACCAGTATCAATATTTTCTTCTTCTTCATGAGGTATTTTCAAAAAACAATGCATTGTTTCTTCGTCCTCTTGCTCGATCATTGAATTAGCTTTATTAACATTATTATCAGCAATAGGTAGAGAACCTTCTAAATGCGTTGATGGAATTTGAATTGTTATTGTTTGTGAAGTACCATCAGCGGAGGTTGAAGAAGACATCAAACTAGCTTCTATAGTTTTTCCCACTTTCGAAAATGCACCTAAGCAGCTATAAATTAACTGAGCTGCTGCCATGTTGCCAGGAAAAACTTCTACATTATTATCATCTGAAAATATACAAAATATTAACTTACATCTTTTAACAATCAAACACAAAAACTTACCATTCTTTTGTACTGGTGTTTTAATTAATCCTTTTTCATGATCACTAATATGTTCAAGGTAAGTTTCTTTCTTGACAGTTCTGAATGAGCATATTTCACAGGTAAATAATCCAGACGATAATGGATGTTTAGCTTTCAAATGATTTTTATAACTACTACTTTGAATAGCAGAATAAGAGCAATGTGGACATTTATATGGTCTAACACCAGTATGTCTCATTATATGACGTCGTAAAGAATTATGATCTCCAGTTTTAAAGTCACACAAGTCACAGTTAAATGGTTTATCACCAGTATGTTGACGTAAATGCATTTGAAGCATGGCTTTTCTTGCACTAGAATGACCACAAACATTACAAACATAAGGTCGAAGTTTTGAATGAACAGCTTGCATATGATTTTTCAAACATTTCGAATCAGCATAAGTTTTTCCACACATTTCGCATGTTTTCGAAGTATACCAACGAGGAATATCTACAGATTTACGATCTAAATGCATTACTCGATGATTTCGTAACTGACTTGATTGTTTGAAACGCTTTCCACAGTCAGGACATTCAAAATCACGATTTTCACTATGAACTCTCATGTGAGTCAGAAGTTTGACACTTGTGACACTCTTATAGGCTTTACAGATGTTACAAGAAAGCAATCCAATATCTATTTTATGCTTTTTCCATAAATGAACTGAACATGCACTCCATTTTGTAAACTTCATATCCTGACAATAATTGCATTTAAAAACATTTGCATGCTCTGATTCAACATGACAAGATGCATGTTTTTGCATTAATTCCTCGGAACTAAATTTATACAAACAACCACGATGAATACATTTGATATTTCTTTCATGGCCTTCTAAGTAAAGTTTATTTACACTTTCAGAGGTTTTACTTTTTGTTACTTTCAATTCACGTTTTTCTTTACTTCCGGATTTTTTTTCTGCAACTTTAACAGGTTTTTTGACATTAACCATATCATTAGAAGTCGTTTCATCATCTATTTTTTCACAAGTTCGATCCATCAACTGATGATCATTGATCATGTGCTCCCTACAATTTTCCATTGATGGAAAACAACTCGAACATTCTCCACACATGTAAACTAATTTAACATCTTCAGTTTTTGCAGGTTCTTTGTCCTCTTTTTCTTCATTTTTGATCATCGGAGTAGGATTAGCATGAATGTTTTGAAAATGTTTCAATAATTCACCACGATCTTGAGTTGTATAAGGACATATTTTGCATTTAAATGCAGCAACAACTTCAACGAAATCATTAGCATTGAGAGAGCTATCTTCTACTAAAAAATCACTATCCTTTTCTTGTATTAAATGATACTTTTCAGGAAGCTCTTCATTCAATTGAACATCGTGGATATTATTATCTAAAGCAAATTGTTCTATTTGTGTCTGATGTTCTTCTTTGACTGAAAACTCATCAACGATTGGTACAGTTTCTTTCTTCTCTTGATTTTGTTGATCATTATTTTGTAGTCGACTCAAGTCCAGTTGTTGAAGTTGACCATTTTCTAAAGCATAAATAATACCATCTAAACAAAGAATTGGTATTGATTCTTCATCTTGCTTCTGACTACTCTTATTTAAGAAACAGTTATCTATTTCTTTTGGATCAAAAAGTGTTTCAGCATCAACAATACCATTTTGAGTATTGGATGAAGTTTGAAACACAAACTGTGACCCATTTATTTCACAGGTTAAATACGATGGATCCACGAATATTGTTTCGTCGCTCATAGTTGATTTTGTGTAGAAGAAAAAATATTTAAGAAATTAGTCATCTGTATAAACATCTGAAATGTAAACAGTATGTATTATAATAAATATTTCACAAGATATAAATTATTACAACATAGTAAAATGAAGAAAATATACCTATTTGAAGAAAATTAGGTTATATATACCGGCAACGAAGCCATTTACTTTTCACATATTTATGAAATACATTATTTAATGTACTCTTCGATAAAACCTTGTTAAATATTTCAAAACAACAATATACATTATAGGTTAATAATAAGGAAAATCTAATTTAAAAAATCATTTCACTGGCACTTATTTTGAGGTTATATTTACAAGTGATGTATGTTGAACCGACACTTATAATAGACACTAAAATAAAGTTAATTGACGATCGTCAAAACTAATTTAAGATATCGTATTTGCCTATAAATCTTGGAAGGCACAAAAACTTGAGAAATATGACAGAAACTTGTTATGGATACAAATTTACAGCACCGATGAATTTTTTTGTATCAAAAATTCCATTTGTACTAATATAATAAATTTTCATATAAAATTTAATCACATGATAGTTATGTTAATATCTTTTTTAATTACCAAGATTCGAAATTATCCAAATGTTTTAATCGATACACTGCAAATCTTATCAACAAAATAGAACCCATAATATCCATTTTGGAGTGTGATTATATATTTCGGAGCAGCTACAGACTGAGAAGATCGCTCCTATAAAGATAATAATAATACAGAAAGTAGCGCCACATGAACCGGAAGTTTATTTAATAAAAGAACCAAAAAATAAAGATCACCAGGAAAATTGTGTTGGTATTGGAGAGATGAAAGATACCACAAATTGAAAATATTGTATTCATATTTTATAATAACTTGAAACAATTGATGTTTATTAATCTAGAAATCGAACAATTAAAGTTGTTTGCTCTAATTGTTATTAAGAAAATTTTTTATTTGTTACATGAACCAATTTTTGTCTTGATTTCAATTGATCTGAACAAATTTTGAGTTCAAGAGTGTCATTGACAACACTGTTAGTAAGTTTGGAAGCATTTTTTTAAATCTAAATATTTCCAATATCGAACATTAATACTGTTTAATTGTTTTTAAGGTTATACATGCGACTTCCCAATACTCCGATTTTTTCTCATTTTATATACAAAACTTTCAAATCGTTTGATGTTGTAAAATTAAATTATTTTTACATCATAAATCTCTTCGATAAACATTTTTTTCAATTTTCATAACAATAACCTTTGCTCCATTTCTTGTTATGACAAGGCTGCCAATTTTTCTAAGTAATGTCAATGCTACCAACAATTTTTCACATATACAGATACATTCAGATTCTTCAAAAGCTGTGTAAGATATGACTTCATTACTAATCATCGCGTCAGCACATTATCGTGTGATTCGTCGTTTATTAATATTTATAATACAATAATTATTGTAATTCTCAGATTCTAAAGTTATTCGAGAAACTTTACCAATCTTTCTGAGTGTTTTTTTAATAAAAATCATAAATGGAGTTTATTTACAGTGAGTTTTGATTGTGTCAATGCACAATGGCAGAGAGTAAAATAGAGAAAGTTTGTCATAATTTAATCAGTAGACTTGCTAAGTTTAAATGAAAATTGAATGTTAGTTATCCTGGAATGTAATAGGATGTATAGTTTTGAAGGTGATTACAGGCGTAAGCCTCAGCAAAATTTAGCTGGTGCTAGCAAAAGAAATGAAAAATCAGTGCTTCTACAACATGCTCAACATGAGAGAATGAAAAGAGAAGAATTTCGTCGAAGAAATAATGCTGCTGTAAAGATTCAAGCCCAAACACGAAGTTATTTAATTAGGCAATTAATGAAAAAAAAATGCAGACAAGAATTTGATTATGCTAAATCATTAAGTAATTCTAAATTTCTCAATGCCACTACTCTTGTGCCATTCACCAGTACTCTTTTGTTTTTTTACAACCCAGTAGAAGATTCAGCGAGACTTATTTGGCTATTAGAACAAATATTGATAAATAAAAAACAAATCTTCAGTATTGTTGGTGAATGGTCATGGAGAATTAAGTATGTAGAACTGATTTATTTATTTTATTTTTAAGGTTTAATCATTAACATTTTTTTTTACTCTTATAATAATTATTATCATTTTGTTTCACAGATGGATTTTGAAGAATAGTCTAGAATTTATTGCAAATGACAATGGTAGTTGTTCCACAGCAATACCTCTCAAGATATTGGAATCATTTATAATAACATGTGACGAAAGTTTAGATGTATCAAAGAAAGATATTTATTTACGAGATGTTCTTGAATATCTAGTTAAACATTCATACTTTGGGCACTTAAAGAAACTTCTTGAAAATCAATCCCAAGTATCATCTTCAATGCCATTAACTCCAAGAGTAAAGTGTTATTTGAGTCTTCTCAAAAAACCTTTAGAACTATGTTTAGGAAACAAGGAATTTTGTGTACCTGTACTCAATGAATTTATTTTTACAATTCTTATCCCAAGGATGTCTGAATCGTTGAGACTGTTTTTGATACCAGCTTTAACAGAACTAAATAATTGGCCTTATTTTGAATTATTGTGTTGTATTAATAAGCTCGATAACATTGAGCTTACTCCGAATTTATTTTACTCTGTTTTATATTTAGAACCAGCAAATTTTTCTCTAACAAATGATACCATTTTTATAAATTATGTACAAGTACTTGCATCATTGAGTTCTACTCAAAAAACATCATGGAATATAGTAGAATGTGTTGCAGGAGAATTCGAAGAAGAAGATAATATGTCTTCAGATAGTGAGACTGTAATGGTAGATCAACATCAAGCAGATATGCTGAAAGAATGCATGACAATGTTAAATGATGAACAAAGGGTGAATCGTATTCTAACAGCATTAGATCGTTGTGAAGATCCGCAAATTCTCGACTATCTCTGTCAGCTTTGTGATAATTTATTACAAACTGATAAACTTGCAACTCACAAATATAAATTAATTTATATGCTCGCATTCAAGCCACTATTTCTAAAACGACTATGGACTGCATTAATTTCAATTCCATGTCTTTTACAAATGATTTCAAGAGGAATTGCACCACCTCCTGAAGATTCTAAAAAATTATCACCACTCTTAGCTGTGTTTTGTTCACTATTTAGTCTTCTTATAGCGACTCTTCATGATAGTGAATTCTTCAGAGAAAGCAATTCAGAAAGTGAGCAGAGTGCAATGCCATTTACAACTTCGGAACTCGTTCCTTTATCTGCACAGTTAAAGGACATCTGTTTGGGACTTGTTGAAATAGCATACTCTGATTTAAGACCAGCACTTCGTGATGATAATATGCGTGCAATTCTGGGTTCCATGAGTAGCAATGAGGTTATACCATTAAATAAACAGGATACTCAGATGTGGATGTATTTATTCAAAGCTTATTCAGATCTTCTAAGACAATTACATTCAAGAGACTTACGTAGACAATTTTGTCCAGATGGTCATTGGATTAGTCCCAAGCCTGAACTTGATTTAGTTTTACAGAGACGTCGAGGAGTTACGGGAGTGCTGTTGAAATCAGGCAAAGATGCTGCTAATGGTCCGCCATTATCAACTAAAGAAATCAGAGCACTGGCATTACTTCGAAAGGTACCGTTTATTGTACCTTTCAGTGACAGAGTCATGGTTTTGCAATCTCTTATACAAAAAGACAAGTCAGAACAACAAGGTGAATTAACTCACTTTATGCAGGGCCCATCTATTCATATATTTGTAAGGAGAAATTATTTATACGAAGATGCACTTGAGAAATTATCTCCAGAAAATGAACCTGAACTTAGATTACAAATGAGAGTTCAGCTTGTTAATACTGCTGGAGTTGAAGAAGCTGGAGTAGATGGTGGAGGATTATTTAGAGAATTTTTATCAGAATTATTAAAGACGAGTTTTGATCCTAATCGAGGATTTTTTCGGCTTACAAAAGATAACATGTTATATCCAAACCCAAAGGTTCATTTACTCGTTGATGATTTTCCAAAACATTACTACTTTATTGGAAGAATGCTTGGAAAAGCTATTTATGAGAATCTTTTAGTAGAATTACCTTTTGCGGAATTCTTTCTATCAAAAATTGTTGGACGTCAGTCTGATGTTGATATTCATCATCTTGATTCTCTTGATCCTGTAATGTATCGAAATTTACTGTATTTAAAAAGTTATAAAGGTGATGTAACTGACCTTGGTTTAGACTTTACAGTTTTATCAGATGAATTGGGAGAAAGAAGAGTAGATGAATTGAAACCCAAAGGATCCCAAATACCAGTCACTAATACTAATCGTATTGAATATATACATTTAATGGCAGATTATAAACTTAATAAAGAAATTAGACCTCAATGTTATGCGTTTAAGCAAGGAATTGCTAATGTCATTCCACTGGAGTGGTTACAGATGTTTAATAACAAAGAAATGCAAGTTTTAATTTCTGGAGCACAAATTCCCGTTGATGTAGATGATCTCAAGCAGCACACCAATTACACAGGAGGGTACGCACCAGATCATCCTACGATCATGGCATTTTGGAGAGTTGTAGAAGGATTTAGTAATAAACAAAAGGGGCAGTTACTGAAGTTTGTAACTAGTTGTAGTCGACCACCTCTTTTAGGTTTTAAGGTAAATTTTGTTATTAAATGATAATATTTTTTAAACATATCTTTAATTATAAAAATGACGGAGTTAATCTATTTTTCAATTATAGGAACTTGATCCACCATTCTGCATCCATCATGCTGGCACTATTGATCGCCTACCAACCTCCAGTACCTGTATGAATCTTCTCAAGTTGCCTGAATTCCCAGATGAAGTGACACTTCGTGAGAAACTTCTATATGCTATCCAATCGGGCGCTGGTTTTGAACTTAGTTAAAAAGTTCAATGTCTTATTAGATAATAATTAAATGTAAATTTTGTATATTTTGAATGTCAATCAAACCTGATTTATTATACAATTCTGAAGAAGGGATGGGAGATATGAACATATACGTATCCAGTGTATTTTGTTTGATGTAAATAAAAAAATTGATCAAATAATTTAATAATTTTTTTTTTTTTTTAATATTTTGCTGCAATTTTATACTCTAGAGACAGTGAAAACACAAAGCACCTAGGGACCCTAGAACTGGATAGAAGATTTTAAAGTAAAAAAAAAAACACACTGAATGTTTAAAAAAAAAAAACTTCAAAGCAAAATGTGTTTTTTTGTATTTCTTAAAATAAATGCATGTAGTGTCACGTACGTAAAATTACTGCAGATAACATATGCATATCTACAAAAGAAAAAAAAGCAGATTATTAACATTTCAACTTTGCCTTAGAGTCTTTCTTTCATCAGCATGACAATTTCAGCATCAACGTGACCGCCATTTTCAAGATATTCCAATTAAAGCCTTTGCCAAGATCTTTGTCTGTGAGCTTAGAATGTTTATTTTTGTTCATGACCATCATTATATACCATTTTATATGGAATCAATCCTATATTGAGATTTGTTTAATTATACATTGTACATTAATTAAAAAAAAATTAGTCAAGATTAAATTAGAACCTTTATTGTTACTACACAACGTCAACAGCATTATGACACATTATCAACTCCCTATAAATCCTGGCTCTCTCCCATTTTATGAAAGTATCAAAAATATCCTTTCTAACTCTCATCCCCCAACAAGCAACAAAAACAATACAAAGAATTGATTATAAAATAAGATAAAATTAAAAATTAACTTATTCGAGGAGTTCACCTGCGTCTGTATACATATATATTTATATATATAGATATATATATATAAAACAGGTTTCAATATTGACATACCATTATTAAAATCTTCACTTTTCACAAAGTAGTGAATGACTATAACATAATCATTCTAATCGATAACTTTTTCAGTTAAAAAATTATTTCAACTTACAGATTCAAAACTAAATTAAATTTATAAATATGATACAATCAATAATAAGCAATAGAGCAATATAATAATAGTAATAATTATAATAATAATAGTAATAATAATTATTATTATTAAAGGTACGTATAGATAATAGCAATTGTATCGCTGAGTCGTATGGCGATGTAAGTCATTTTTTTGTTATTAAATATTATAGTTCATGAATTTAATATTAGATGTTTGCTTTCATTTAACTTGAATTTTGTATCCAAGTCAAGTCTTCAATACAATCTAATAATCGCCACTTTTACAAGTCACCATCGCAGACTAGCAGCCACCTTGACTAGTTATTTATTTTATTTCATTTTCACTTTTGTCCATACTTTATCTCAACATACCAATGATCTTATATTCTATAATTTTTTTATGTATAAAGCAGTCCCGGAACATGATTCACTGTATAGATTTTTCTCTTTACTTTTTCAATTTAGACAATTACAAATCAATCACCTGGATGTTCTGGACAGCTGCGATTTACTTGAAACCATCTGTCGATGCAGCTATAAAAGTCAAAATTTTACAATTATTATTATTGAAATTATTACTAGAATATTATAAATTAAAGTTTATATATATATATTTTTTATACTTTTTGTGATATATGCATAAACAAGGCAAACGTGCTATCACATCTCCTGATTGTAATTCCTCCAAGCAGATAACGCATTCACCTTTTTCATCTGCTAAAACATCCTCTGAAATTCAAACAACACCAAACTTGTAAAACTCTTATTATTTAACAAAAAGAATAATTTATCGATCTATTTATTATATCAATAACTTACCATTATAGCTAAGTCGTGGTTTTGTCAGGCACATTACCAAGTGACATTCGATGTCATTTGGTAAAATAAATTTTGAACATACGGGGCATTTAAGACCTGGAACATGAATAATTAAAAATTTTTATAATACATTTTATTAAATTTCATTATTATTAACAAAATTAAAAGACTAACAGTAATACTATGAATTACATTAAAAATAAACTACCATAAATAACTCGTCGTGTATGATGGTGATGATGATGATGATGTGTTGGAACAACCTCTGCCTCGGATTCATTTAAACATGAACTCACAATCACTCCCATATCGTGCTATTTTAGCTTTCTAACAAGTCTAGCTTTATGTCATTTGCAATGATTTAACCATTTTTATGAAATAATTTAGAGTTGAAATTTAGTCGAAATAATTCTATAGTTAGTGGATAAACACAATTAATTAAATCAAGTCATAATACTAGACTTGCACAATAAAGCCTATTCAAGTTGCTGGGCCATTGCCGGCATCGATTGTACATGGTTACCAGGCCAACCACCTCAGCAACACGCGCCAAAACAAAACCTTTATATCTTTTACTTATGTATGTAGTATATACCTAATTTTCTCTACCTGTTTCTTTTTTCTTTTTTTTAAATCATATCAAGTGTTTGCTGTTGTTACCACTGTCGTTAATACTGTATTGTTTGATTATGTGTCTTATAGTTATTTATTGAGTTAAATAATTCCTTTTATATAAGTATGTATTGTTAGAAATAATTTAAAGTTTTAATATCAAAGTACTCAACATAATTTATCAATAAAATTTGTGAATATCAGATATATAAATTACACATCAAATTATTCTTTGTTATTTGATTTTTTTAAATAAAATATCTTAGATACTCGAATTCAAGTGTACAAATGTATGATACATAAATCTTTTATTCAACAGTAATTTTATCGTTACTGAATATTATTAATAACATTGAGAATTTTATTGAATTTCAATGGGAACTATTTTATAATATGTAATTGAATCATTGATGATCAATTAATCATAAATTGTTTATATTGTTTACCATTTAATTGTCGAGTATCCTGGTTTTTTTGTTTTACTATAATTTGTAGATTCGAAGAAAAATCCAATCCTCCTTTCAACAATATAAACCTTGAGAGTATTTATTTAGTGATGTTGAAAATACATTATAAAAAATAAACACATAATTAAAAACACTAAAAAATTGTCGTTAAGTTATCTAAATTGTACCAACAAGCAAGTGATATGAAATATTATAAACTTTTATTAGCCCAATAAATGAATATCAAGTTATTATTTTGGAATATTGTTATTTATATATGTTTAAACAAATGAATGAAAATAAAATAAAGTGATACACACCATTAAGGGACCAAATATGCGATGGCAAACTGTGGGCAGCATAAACTCTACCACTGTCTTCATCTCCGTCATCTGAGTCAAGATTTCCTAAGCCAAGAGCTTGGCCAACGTTGACACCAACAGCAGTAGCCAAGTTATTTTGTTCACCTGAGAGATCTGGTACAGAACTAAGAGATCTAGCTCTTTGTCTACTATCTCCAGAGACTCGTGAAGACTGTGTTTGGCTGTTTTGCTGGTGTTGATGTTGAAGTAATGAAACTCCACCTGGCAATGAACGTAAAATCGAGAATCCCTGCATTGTTGTTTCGTTGGCACCGGCGGAAGATTGGCCATTACTCCCCGCAGCTTGTGCTACGGTACTTGCTTTAGCTCCCATACCAATGTCAATTCAATCAAAATTAATTTTTACACTCAGTCACTTACTCACTATGTGCTCCTCTTTACGTTGTCTAGTATTGTTATTTTAGAATTATTACGGTTAATATTATTATAACTGTAATGAATAATTTTATAATAATTATTGTTATTACTTAATAATAAATTAACTTATATTTTTGTTTTATAAATTTTTTTAAAACGTAGTCGATTTGTATCTTGAAGCTTCTATGACCCTATTGCTCTCTTTAATCTCTGTAATGGTACTCACTCTACGCACGGTACTCAAATTGTCACTCGATATAAACACCGAATGATTGTCGAATTTTAATTGATTGTAGTAACTAAAATTATCTACTGTATAGTAAGATTTTATTTAGGCCAAAATTCCATAAATTTTCGCCACGACAAGCAAGTCATTTCGGGAAATGATGTATTCGCTGAGGTTTATCGCGAAAACAATTCCCGACATCTTGTGACAAATTTCCTAGGAATAATTCAATACGTTCGAACACACAATATATTTGTGATGTTGGCAAAATGAGTTTCACTTTCTCTTTTCAAGAAAACACGAAAATTTAATTTTCTATCAAAATACTTGCTCTTTTTTCAATAATAAATATACTAATTAATAGTTTTTATGTATAATTTTAAAAAGTCACACATTTATTTAAATACACAAACACTAAATAATTGTATAACCAATTTTTCGAGTATTCTATGTATCTTTTTGTGTGCATGTATTTTTTTCATACAACAGAGCATGCATTGTACATACAACAGATGAGATACTTTTGAAAACGTGTATATATGTATACAGTTTAACCTCATCTATATGTATAGGTATATTTTGTTTACGCTAAACAAAGTATCTATAATTTGGCGATACTGATTTATTTTTACTTTTCACTAAAGACTATTTTTTAAATTCTTCCTCCAAAAATTATAAGAAAAAAATTTAAATAAATTCAACTAGCTAAACAAACAAACTTATAGGTTAAGTAGTTATAAGTACAGGAATGTGAAAAAATTATTCTCTTAACCCTTTGACGACTACGAGGATACATGTGTTCAGGCCAAAAATGGATAAAATTAATATTAATATAAATTAAAAAGCCGATGTATACCTTTAAAACCTTATGGTCATGAAAGGGTTAATAAGATAGTTGTACAAACAATGGAAATATGACAAAGTGTGAATAAACGAAATTTTAAAAGTCAAAAGTATTTTTACTCGTCCACGAAAATGATTACATCAAAAACAAACTCAGACAAAAATGACAAATTTTTGTTTTTATATGAATTAAACATATAATAATTGTAATATTTATATATATATATATATATGTACACACATATAGATCTTACGTTATTTTTATTAAACAATGACTGTGATGTTTTATGACTATTATGATATTTTTTTAAATATAAATAATGGCACAAAATTTACTGTATACAACTATGTTTCACTTAAATGATCAATTTCAGACTTTGGATCAGGACTTAAAGAACTCCAATTAGTTAGCGAACATTCTTGCATACTTTCTGTTCGTTCTGTGTTTAATAAAATTGGATTCACAGAGCAAACTTGTTCAATAGTATACTGTTGCTTAACAATGTCATCAACCCATTCATCAAGTTCATCAACAACTCTTTCTTTCACTTTTATTTCAAATTCTTTGTTTTGTTGATGAATTCCGATTTTTTTAATAACATCTTCATACCATTTTACACTAAATCTACGTTTAAATTTATTGGATCCATGATTTAATTCTTTAGATTTTATCCAACTAATGTTACGATTTTTCCAATATTGTAGTGGTGTTACAAAAAAGGACATTTGGCCAATAAATATTGTATTAGATAATACTACAACATGCCATTCGCCTATTTGGAGTGGTTCATCAAGTGATGGTTTTACAGATCCAAGTAAAGATGTTTCCTCAACTTCAAGATGATTAATATCAACAATAAATCCATTTGGTTGAATCCAAAGTACTGTCAAGTTCTTTGGAGTAATAAGCACATCATTAAATTCATAAGAAAAGACTGGATTCGATAATGGACCGATTCCGTTTAAAAAATTACGGAATGTTTGTTCTTTTTTATCATAATCTGTATTAACAGACAGTTGAACAACTCTATCCAACCATTTTTTATTAATTGAAATATGACGTTTAAATTTAATAAGTGCTTCGATACGTTTAACATTAATATCATATAAACTTGAGTTTGATTTGGAAATGTTGAAGGTAGCTTCTGTTAATATTAAAATACCTTCAAGTTTATTTTCTCGAAAATAAGCAGTCGTTTCAAGCAATTGAATATTTCTTGCAGTTTTAAAGTATTTAAAAAATACTATTCTTGCAAGTGAATTGGATATAGTGAGTACCAAATCATCATTCAATGGACTTAAATCACCATGATGATATATATTCTGCCAGTACATATCACTAGCTATCCTAGTGTTATTGTCTCTTTCTGGATAAAGCCATTGTTCAACTTTATCAATTATTCGCTGATCAATTACTGGTTCAAATTTTCTGGCAAAAAATAGATTTTTATCTTTTGTCATTTTTATTCTAATAAAGTCATCTAATTTAAAATCATTTGGACTGCAACCGCACCAATCAACAATCGCTTTATACTGACATTTACATCCTAATTTTCGTTTCCAATTAGTTACGTGAAGATTGTTATCCACATAAGTATCACAGAATTTCGAATTTCTTAAAACTGTATGAAAAAATGATTCAGCAGGCAGTAAAGTGTATTGAAATATTTTTAAAAGACCTGATACAAGTGCATCAGGTTTGGGATTTGATACATACTCTACAAAATTACGACTTAAAGCAACCCAATCACTACCACCATCAATCTGTATTCCTTTTGATAATTTGCGATCACCTAATCGCCACATTCGTGCTTCACACTCGAAAAAAGTTTTATCTAAACCTTGTTTTGATATAAATTTTTGTACATCTCTACCATGAGATTTGACAAAATTCAAACCTTTATTCAATGTTAGAAAATCTATTAGCTGCTTATTTGTTTTAATTGGATAATCTGATTCTGAGAGATTAACTAAAAAATCCCAATCTAAGTATTGAAGCATTTGTTGAGCAGAAGTAAGAAATGTTGTTAATAAACTTGCACCACCCCAAATACTTGCATGACGTAGTCCAGCACCTTTTGCTACTATTATATTCTTCCTTTTACATGCCTTCTCCACTTTCAACATTTCGCGATACATATAATCTTGTCGCTAAAAGAAAAAAGAATTTATTATCATATAATAATATTGTAGTTTATCTAAAATACAATGACAGTAAACTTACTGCATCAACGTGAATATAATAAAAGTGAGATGGATCATAAAGAATGTTAATCAACCGTTTAACTTGTCTACTAGCTCTACCGTTCAATGTCAATAGATATGCTATCCTTATTGGTGGTTCTTTTTCAGTTTTAAGACTGATATTTCTAGCTTCTTGAGCTTTAAACTCTAAAATAAAATTAAATACTCTATTTAATACACACGAATGCAAGCATAAAATATTTAATAATAGCTAGAACTCACTTTGAATACCCGTGTGCCAGACACTAATTCTTAAATAACCACCACAAAATTGAGTCCTATTACCAGGACATTTCATGTTGCAGTGAGAGTCTGGTAGGCGTTTAAGAGCTGATGGTTCTTCTGATCCACAAAAGCACTCTATTCTACTTGAGAAAAAATCAGAAATGTTTAATGATAAAATGGTTATTTAATAATCAATAAAGAAACTAAAAGTTGAAAAACTGTAAGATACCAACGAATACTCTGTTCCTGCATATGGATATCCTGACTGCAAACATAAAAAGGCACAGTCCTTTGGAGAATTCGTTGATTTAAAAACTGCATAATAATCCCCAAGTATTCTATTAATTTTATCATCTTGAAAACATCCTAAACTGGTGGGTTTTTTAATAAAACCTTTTGAATGTGGGCATAATGAGTAAAGTCGCTCAGGATATAAATTTCCATATTGATTTAAACATGAAATATTAACGATTGATTCTTTACAAATTTGAGTACGAGCTCTTGTAACAGCACTAATTGATTCTTTGCCAGTTATTTCACAAGCTGGGACAAAACCCAAAGTATCTTTGTCCAATTTTAATTTTGGTGTACGATTTTGTGATGACTGATTATTCGTATTAGATTTATCTGGTGGAAGCTTTAATTGTTTTGATTGTTGAAGTGAATCTTCCATTTTAATATGTTGATAAGTTGATGAGATCTACAAAATAATACAATTATTTGTTTATTATAAATATTTAAAATTGTATATATTTTATAAATAAATAAATACTTCTGATGGTTGAATTGATCTTCCATTTTGATTATCAAGTATAAAAAATGAATATGCTAAATAAATTTGAATACACATTATAGCACTAACAATTACGAAAAATATTCGATATTTTCGTAAACAACTTGAGGTTCGGCCTTCAAGTATTCCTTTTGTTACGGCCATTTTTTAATTTATTCACTCGTTTCAACTAATTCGAATATTTTTTATCCTTACACGACTCATTTTGTTATCTAAAAATTTTTAGATCCAATAAAATGGATAAATTTTATAATCATTCACACATGATACACTTTTTCATCTGACAAACGCTTCTCTCATCATATGATTTTAGCTTGCATTTTTTTTGTTACCAAACAACAGTTGGCAGCAGTGTTCGCATTAAACCCGCGATAATTTGAAACCAAAAATTTCGCAAAGACTACAAACAAGGGATTTCCATCTAATTTCGAAGTATTAATTGATATATGCTAGTACAATAAGGTAATGAAATAAAATTGGATTCCATTAAAATTTTATTTAATTAAAAATTTTTCTTTAGTTCGGAGACATATTTTTTTAAAGAAGAAAATCATCGATTTCATCGAATTATTTCTTATCAGACAATTTTAGTAAACAAAGAAAAAAGATTAGTCATGATTTTTTTGAAAAATATTCTTCCTATCATGTGAAAGTAGATCCGGTAAATGAGATTAATGCTCATTAAGTTTATTCGGGGAATATTTTTAGTGTTACCAATGTAAAAGTTTAATAGTAGTAGTGTTTTTAGTCAAACAGTTGATGAGTAAAAAAAGCAATCATCGTGTGTCAAAATCGGAATAACGCGGGGATTACAGAAGAAATGAATGAAAAAAGAGCGAAGTAAAAAGAGAATAAAAAGAAGTGAGAAAGAACGACAGACGGAGCTTTATCTTTATTATGCGCTGTTGAGTGAATTGTCAAGTGAAATCAGAAATGGCTGCCAACGATCAACAGCAAAAGGTGAGCGCAGTGCTTTTCTTCAAGTTTTTCGTGTCATTTTCGTGTGAAATTGTGATGGATAATATATACATTTAATTCCATAAAGATTGTATCAAGTGAGCTTAAAATCAGATACAACTATCGTCGTCTCCATTATTCAAAATTCAATACAAAAAATAGTACTTAATGTTGCGGCTAAAGAAATACGTGTGTATATCCGAAATATCAGCTGAGGAAACGTATCAACCTTGAGCCTGAAAATTCCGTAAAATATTTGACAGATGATAGAAATATTTTACTTACATTTGATACAAGTTGATAATTGTTATTCAGATATTTCATCAATCTCTGTGAATTTTTTTACATATAAAATTGAACGTAATACAACTTAAAAGCATCAGTTTTCATTTTACTTTGGCAGTATTTACATTTGAGAGTCCAGCTGTCACATTTGTCATCTGTGAGGGTCATAGATTTTTATCGTTTTACATATTAATTATGTCGTTGAACTATTAATATTAATACATTAATTAAAATTATTATTGAAATAACTGATTTTTTAATAATAAAAATTATTATCGTTGTTAACGTTGTTTTGAGTCACGTTAGTGATATATCGAGATAATTCATGAAAAATCATGCAATCTATAAATCTGCTTGGTGACCAAATGGAGAAGGTATTTACAAAGTTTATAATGAAACAACTACTCGATTATATAGTTATGGCTGACTTTTTTGTGAGACATTTTTCATTTAGTTTATAAACGTATGTCAATCTAAATTTGTAATCTATGCTGTTCATCCATTTTTTTTTCATCAATGATTCATTTACTGTGAGCATATGCTTAATAATATTATTAAATATATATTTGTGGACATTTTCAAATAAAATTTTAGTGACTTGCAATTATTTCCACTTGATTAGTGATGCTCACTCATATTAAACATACATCATACGCAATTCTACTATTACAACGTTTAAAGTTATCGTTATTATAGTAATTAAATATCAGGAAGTTTTCATTTCAATTTTTTTTCATCAATTTAAAAATTGTTATTGTTCTTATCTAGAATTCTATTTCAATATAGTGTTTATTTATCAATTTAAAGCTAATAAATTTATGATTATTCATGTAATGTATTACATTGTATTAATCTTATAAATATTTTTGAGAGTTAAGTTTATTTAAAATAAATATTTAATTCATGGAATTTCTTCTTTTTTTTTAGGAGCAGAAAGAATCAAGAGAACCTGCTCATCATGCACGACGACCAATGAATGCTTTTCTTATATTTTGTAAACGGCATCGGGGATCAGTAAGATTACATTTTCCTCATCTTGAAAATCGAGCTGTAACCAGAGTTCTTGGAGAGTGGTGGGCAACTTTACATCCTGATCAAAAACAATCTTACATTAATTTAGCTCAAGAGGTATATAAAAAAAAAATAAATATTTTTTTTAATTTAAAAATATTTCACTTAAAATTGTATTATTATTTTTTTTCAATAATTGTTTTTAGTATAAAGATGCATTTTTAAATGCCAATCCTGATTTTAAATGGTATAAATTACCTGCACCACCTTTGAGAACACTAAGTACACGACCAACAAATAAGAAACAGGAAGTCGGATCAAGTTATGAGCAAAATTCAACTACAACCAACTCCAATTACGAATCTTCCAACTGTACAGAAACAATAAGTAATCAAGCTATTCAACCTGGTAAATTAGCTGATGAATCTCAGATTGGTGGTTTAAGTTCCTTATTTACACCTCAAAAAATACCACAAATTAATAATCAGTCAATGATTATTGAAGATGACACAATTAATAATGAAACTGATGAAGTAATTGTTCCAAAACCACCGAAGAAAAGATATACAGAGTTGTCTATTGATGCGGAACAAAAAAGAGACTGTAAAGCTGATTTATTTGGTGATAAAAAAGATGAATCTGCTGAATCTAATAATAATAATGATCATAATCATTCAGATGATGAAGAAAAAAAGCATGCTATTGCTGCATATGTTGAAGATAATCTTCCTTCGGAGGGAAATAGCTTTCGAGGTGAACGAAGTTGTAAAGGATTACGTTATCAAAAGTTTCTTGCTGAACAAGTTCGAAATGTTGGTTCTTCATTAACTCAACAAACTAAACGACGACGTATAACTGGGCTTAATAAGTAATTTCAAATATTCTTTCAATTATTTTTTCACTACTTTAATAATAATAATAATATGAATTAATGATTTTTCTGGTCTTAAGGTTGACAAATGTTGATAAGCAAAAAGAAAGGCGAAATTCAATTTCATCTAATGTAAGTGAAAAGACTGATTCATTGAGCAGCGAAGGGGGCAATAGCTCACGCAGTGATTTAGAACATCTTGTTGATAGGTAAGTCTTTATTTAAGATTTTTCTTCCTAAGTAAATATTATTTTCCAAAATTGACTCATAAATTGTAGTGCTGAGGGTAAAGTTGAAGCTTCAAAACCTGAAGATACTGAAACAGAAGACGCTGAATCACAAGATTATGGGTCGTGGATGTCACGAAAACGATTTAAAGCCGAGTATATATTTAATTTATTATTTACTATAGACATAAATTTTCTTTTTGTTTATTTTAGTTATTTGGAATAATGAATATACAATAATATATCTTTTTTTAAGGGACTTTAACTTGGAGAAAAAAATTGAAGCACTACCATCATTGAGTCTTGAAGAATTTCAAGAAAAAAAAAAAAACAGCAACGTACAAAAAAGAAAAAATCATCTCAAAAATTAAATACCAATTCAACAAAAAGAAGTCTTTCAAATCAAAGTAGTCAACAAAAAAATACTCAAAATAATCGAAAAATGTCGACTACGGCCGATGATTCTTATGAAGATTCAAACAATACACTTGTAGGTAGTCAAAAGCGGAAAGCAAGAAAGCAAAGTATTACTCGTAATACCTCTGCAACTGTTTCTAAAAATTCTTTAGACCAAGGAGCCAATCAACGTAAGTAGAATAATCTTTCTTAATGTTGTTTTTTTTTTTTTTATAATAATAATAACAATAATAAAAAGGTAAAAAACTAATTAAAATTTTTTTTCATTTAAATTATACAACAATAGCTTGGTGTGCATCACCCGATCTCGAGGCGTTAGCATGTCTTGCGGAAATAGCTGCTAATCGAACGAAACTTACCAAGTAACTCAATTTTACTTTCTCTCTTAATCATAATTACGTGTTTTTCAACATCCTGTTTATATTGTTATCACAACTATTATGTTTACATGTGCCACTATTATTACGTTAACTTAATGGCATAAAGTAACGAATTTACAATTTCTATCTACATTAACCGTATTACTATTATCACTATTACTCTTATTGTCATTCTAATTATTCTGTACGAGTCAGGCTCGTATTAATTATTTTCATAGAGTTATTTGTTTTCTTTTTTTCACGTGTTAAAAATTTTCAGATTTTATATTCAAATCTAATGTAATTAATAGTTGAATGATATTTATGACTAATATTTTTATTACTTGAAAAGTTGTATTAAGAAAATAATCGGAGTAAATTTATTTTTTTCACAATATTTTCAAACCATTAGTGATAAAACAAGTGTAAATTTGAAAAATGATAGTCATGTTTAATTTTACCATTGAACTGAATTTATTAATATTACACTAGATTTATTTATGATAACTGACGCTTCCAGGCGACTAATTCATTATTGTCGTGGTGCTTAAATTTAATGATATAAAAGAAATATTTATATACCTTATTAGAAAGAAGTGCTAAAATATAATACGAAGATTTAAAGGAAAAGAAAAAAAAAGATAAATTTTACGACTTTTTGCACGATTTTTATTGGCGATTTGCAGGGACATTGAGTAGATTAATAATCGGGCATTTTAGATAGAGATATTTTAAAAATATTGGTGATATATAATAAAACAAAACGAACGTAAGATTATTTTTTACAATAATCAATGTTCTTCTTATCAAGATAAAAAAAAATGAAACAATTATATATTCAGATTTTATTATATACATAATTTAAAAACTTTGATGTATATAGATTATAGTTGCAGTATTATTATAAAGTGCTCTTGCGATCGTCAGAACAAACAAAAATTTATAATCAAAATGTATAAAAGATTTGTTTATATATGTAAACCTGCACGTACGTACATACATTGAACCACCGTGACTTATGTAGACAAATTTTTACTAAGAAAAAACAAATAAATAAAATATAATATTTTAGTTATATATCCGCACTAATTTTTGATAGTATCACCTATCAAAAGGGAACAAAAAAAAGATGTAAGTACGTATAAAGGTGTTTAACATAAGATTTATTAATATACATATATCAATTAATGTATTCTTTCGATTTTAAAGACTAAATGGAATTAAAATAGGAGAACGTAACGTTGAATGTGGCATGATTGAAGAAAGTAAGAGACTCATCTGTGATTTTGGCTAAAGGAATTTTTAATCTTTTATATTTTTCTATTAATTATTGTCTTTTTAATTTGATGATTAAACTATTGTTATTGAAAAGGCATAAAAGCATATTATGTGGAGGACATCATTAGCAGCTTAATATTGCTAGCCTTATGTTGCAATGTTTACTGGGTGGATTCATAATAACTTTATATATTTCAAATGTGCCTTTAAACAGATATGTATAATTGACTAACAAATGACCAAACTACTCCATAATTCTTCAATTTATTTCCAATTTTTCTTTAGATATTTCTCGATAAATATTTTAATATAATATCCTATATTATAAAGATATAAAAATCATCTTTAACCAAATAAATATTTTTCATTTCTATCGAGATAGGCTTAGTATGTCTATACACGACCTAATTAAAGTAATCAGACATTTCCTCAAGTGTGGAAAAAAATCCTAGATGGATTTTATTGCACAAAAATCCATGTAACTATTAGCTTTAATGATGTAATTTACACGAGTTTACGAAAAATTATTTCATAGATATATCTCTATCAATATATGTATATATTATATATACAAATATGTAACATATTGTATACTGTTTATATGCGTAAATAAAATTGCATATTTTGATGTAATTAGTGTTATTTATTTATCTTTACAGTTAATCATTTCAAATTTTCCCGCTTTTTTCAAAAGTTTGCTATATTCACGTCACCAACGCACTGTACACAAAGTCGGCCATCTTTAAATCCCATTACAACGCGTTATAAATAAAGAAAGTGTGTCGTTTGTGTCATCAACAGCTAAGTTTTGACATTTTTTTTATTACAAACAAATTGTTAATACAATTAAAAGTCAATAAAATTTATTTGAAGTTGATAAATAACTTTTCACAACAAAATGGGCGTCATTTTTCTTGAACATATTGGAGGAACAAGATTGTTTTCCTGTGCTTCATGTGACACAAATCTTACAAACAGAAGTCAGCTGATCAGTACTCGATTTACAGGAGCTACTGGCCGAGCATTTCTTTTTAATAAAGTTGTTAACCTAAGTTATAGGTTAGTAATTCAATTAAAATTATTATCACATAATTTATTTACAATAATAATAATAATTTATTAATGATGAATTTTGGAGTAATTCGTCCTTGTATATTTTAGTGAAGTCCAAGATCGTGTAATGCTGACAGGTAGACACATGGTGAGAGATGTGAGCTGTAAAAATTGTGATGCCAAACTTGGTTGGGTATATGAATTTGCCACTGATGATAATCAACGATACAAAGAAGGACGAGTGATATTAGAAAGAGCATTAGTCACTGAAAGTGATGGAATGGGAGAAAATATTTAATACAATTAAAATCAATTGAAAAATATTACGTTAATGAATCGTATAAATATTTATGTACTTATCTATAGTTGCCAATAGATCAGTTTACATAATCCACTCGACTGTTCATTATAAAAGAAAAAAAAGTGAGAAAATAATGTGTTCGATAAATACTGCTGTATTAATTTTCATATTATAATATGAATGAGTGTCTTATCTTATTACATATTTGATTTTGTATTATGTTCAAGACATGATAATTATCATGATAGTTTTTTAGTATATAAATGAATAAATATAATGTAATAGTAGTTAGTAATGTCAATTAGTCATGAATCATATAATATTTATTGTTAAAAAATGATTATGTCATTTTTTATTATCAGGATTGATTCCAATTATTAAGGAAATTACAAGATAAGAAAAAATATACACATTAAATAATAAAATAAACTATTTTATATATGTTATCTCTAATAAATTGCAATAATAAAATAATGTAATAAAAAAATTTAACTCAATATTTTTTTTTAAATTATTTATACAATTACTATTGATATTAGTTAACGGTAATATATTTTTCGAATAAAGTCTGGGGATTTTTATTTGATACACATATGAATGTTTATCAAAGGAGAGAGAATTTTCAGTTTGATAAGTTTCTTCCATTGGTTAGTATTACCTTGAATCAACCAATCATATGAGGTTATAGAGCTCAACAAGAACAGAGCAGTGAACCAGACCACCACCAGACAGCCAGTGTGGTCACGTAGGCTCACCATACCGCATGGTGGACATATACATATATGTATACTTTTATTTGTATTTATTCGACAGAAAAAAAACGCATCGTTAAAATGCTCTAATGGTGAATAAAGAAGTGTATAGTGTGGAGTTAACCGTAGATGACTGTTTAAAGGTAGATAAACTGTCAACAAAGCTTGGTAAAAATTTATCTATTTTTTAAAAAATAATATATTCATCGGTTATTGAAAAAAAATATCGAGATTGAAAAGTACCGCTTGAATTGTTTGTTTCTACAGTTTAATGGCCGAATCTTATATTGAATAAAAATTCATTTTTCAGTTAAATTCATGTAAATATGTGATTTTATTTTATTTACAATAATTAAAATAATGATTATTCTTTTTTTTAGAAATTTAACGGATTTGAGAATTAAGGATAACGTAAATCCAAACATTTGAGCTGGTAGCCAGCTGCCCTCTCTTTTCCACTATCCCCCTCGTCTAGTCTCTGATAGGCGAGTGACGCTTACTTATACAACGCAAAACGGCGCCGTTAAGACGAGGATCCCTCGGAAATTTGAGCCGCATCAGAAGCACACGGATTCTTTAATAATTGAACAGTTACTCAGATTCATAAGTTAATATATTAATAAAATTTTTTTGACGCCAAAGTTATCAGCCATTGTCTCCGTATTTTGATTCCGAATGACGAATATTGTTCAAGACGAAAGGGAGGGAGCGCGTAAGTTTTTTTCTCACTGCAATGCCGGAATGGATTATGGCAGGCGAGTCCTATAAATACACACAGCACGGGGTAAACAAACTTGACCTCATCGGAATTCTTATCGAAACATACGACAATCTGAGAATATAAAAAAAATTCGTTAATTTCAATTTATAAATATACATACAACTTAATGAACAAGCTCGAGAATCAAGTCAATATATTATCAGCATAATAATAGACAAATAAGAGTTGGGAAAGGTTCGTGTCGACGAGAAATAGCGGGGCGAATGACCTGTTGTGCGTTAGGTGGTGCTCAATTTTACTTCAATTCTTTTGTTGTTATTTTTATCTTTAACGTATTTACTCTGAAATACTTGTTATTTATTTATAATATTATAAATGATAATTACTTTTCATTAATCATTAATAATTGTATTTAATTATTTTCAGGATACCGTGCAACGTACTATAGGATAAATTTATTTTGATTTAATTAATCGTTAACGATTAGTAGAAGAAAAATTTCAAGTAATTACTTGAACGAAATAACGGATAAACCAAAAATGAAGTGGTCACCGGGTGCTTTATTTTGTGAGCAAGTTGGCGAACTCACTCGTGTTTTCTCACAGTGGAATGAGTGCGAGCAAACGGTCGTTCTCTACGCTCTTTTACGTCGAATACCAGCAGTTCAAGCTCGATTTTTGGCACAAGCTGTACAGCATTCTCTTCATGCACTGTCTGAACTCGATACTCAAGAGCTTAATGCCAACAATCCAGGTTTATATTTTATTTTAATCCTACTTAACCTAACTTTTATTCTGAAAGAACAAAAAAAGATTTAATTCATTATCTAATTTTCAGCTTTCATTAATTCACTGCTATCTGAATCAACTGAAGTTGCAATTAATCAACTTCTAGCACATCTTCCTCTGTTACGCCCTGGTAACGTTGAGTGTAAACAGTGTTATCTTGTAGCCATTCCCGAGCTTGTGAGCCATTGTGTAAGCACCGGACAGTTTACAGAACAGACACAGCAATTATTGAGTTACACTTTAATTCATCCTGCAATAACTAGCCAAGATCGACGATCATTGACCCAGTGGCTTAGACATTTAGAAGAAAGAATTAGTGGCACACCACCAATTCATAGTCTCGAAGAGTATACTAATACAACTGGTAGATGGGATACAACATGGCACAAGAGTTCTAAACAGCAGCAACAGCAATCATCCAAGCAGTCTAGTTTGTTTAGTAATCAAACAGGAAATACATTTAATGTTCAGTTTCCTCCACCAATAACTCGTCAACGTCGATCAAATAGCTTAACGCCACCAGTTGCTCCTCCACATCATCTCGAAGTTGCAGAGCGTACTAATAATACTAATAATGCTACTAGACATAAACCCCGAAGCTTTAGTGTTTCTGGTGATAATTCAAGCAGTTTAATCGGCCTTGGACCTTTAAGTCCTCAAAGCTCATGCACTAGTAGCGGAAGTGAGGGACGTCTAGATGAAGCATCGAGTCGTCCACTCAGTAGTGGTATGAGAGACGTACCACGATGGCTAAAAACTCTTCGTTTACACAAATATAGTTATCTCTTTGTAACTATGAGCTATGAAGAGATGCTTCAGTTAACCGAGGATCAATTAGCCGAACAAGGTGTTACCAAAGGGGCACGGCATAAGCTCGCATTGTCAATTAGTAAATTACAACAACGTTATACAAGTTTAATTAATTTAGAAAAAGATTTATTACAACCTGCCTGCGATTCTACTCAGCCAGGATCTTTTTCACAAGGTCCAGCTCTTCTTGTTTCTACTCTTGATGAACTTAATACTATACTTGTCACTCCAATGAAGCCGAGTCAAGAAGATGATCCCCAGGATATTCCTGCACAATTTACTAAAGTTCTTGGAAAATGTAATTTTTATTTATCTACTTTACTGTTTATTCTTAGTATGTTTTTATTAATTATTATTATTTTTTCTATTTACAGTGTGCAGTAGACTGGCTTTAGATAGTGTAGATGATAACGTGTTGTGTGGTTGTATTAGTATCTTAGAAAAAGTTCTGCAACATGACTGTTTCACACCGAATCAGAAGGAGAAAGTACAGCAATGGCGTAGCCGACTTGGAAATCCACGACCAACACCGAAGTAAATAGATTTATACATTTTATTTATAATATAAATAATAATAATAATTTAATTTATTATTTAATGATTAATAAATAATTTTTTTTAGGTGGCAGCATGGCAATTATAATTATAACAACAGAAGATATTGTAGTCCACAACAGCATAATCGAAAACCGAGCCTTAACCTAGGTCATGTACATTCAAACCATTCACAAAATAATTTTATGATTAGTCCACATAGAAATAGCATCTCAACACCATATTTACAAAATAATCATAATCACGGAATAAACTCGAACAATTTAAGAGCCATTCACGGTGCAGAAAAGAGACCAAGTCTTCAAGAAAATAGTTTGGAGGTAAATAATGATGTCTTTATTTTTATTTTAACACTTGAAAATTATTTTTATTAATAAATAAATTTATTTTTACCAGCAATTACAAAGAACTTTACAGCGAACATTTAGTGCATCTCGCGATCATTTTCTCAGTCAAAATAATACTTCCCTTGAGACAACTGAGCCAGAAATAAATTCAAGACTTGAGTCATTATGCCTACGGATGACTGAACAAGCCATTGGTGGATTTGGTGAGGTTTAATGATTACTTTTATTTTATTTTTCCTAAAAACACACACACACACACACTTTGCCACATAATAACACGCTTGCGTAAGAAAATAATTATAAATAATATCGACACAGGGAAATAAAATAATCCTCACGAAACAAAAAAAAATATGTCCAAAATGAGACACCACGATATTAGAGTTACGTTTTACCATTTTTTTCTTTTAACGAATTTATAAATTATAATTATATTGACAGCTTGCAATTGTATTATTTATAAACTGACACAATTTGGCATGCCAAATGTTATTAGAAAGATTGATTCTTTCCTAACTATTTACTATTTCTATATGAAAATATTATTATATTATTATATATAAAATATATTATGATGATAGGGAGTAATTGGGAATGATCAAATTTTAAAAATAAAAAAGAAAAAAAAAAGTGAGACGAACGCGAAGATTTATTTAGAGAAAAGTGAAAAAATGAAAAAATAAATAGAAAATTGTGCGGTATATGCAATATTGTGTTATCCATTTCGGGAAATGGAATTATTCTGATTTTAAAACTTCAAGTGAGCATTAATGAAATGCAATGTATTAATTAACTGACTGATTGATAATTTTTAATGAATTCTGTCGTACTAAGATGAATTTTGCAATTTCGACTCTGCCGATAAAAAAATAGAGTCTGTAATAAATGAGATGAATCTTCGTGGCAATTGTAAAGAATATTTGTTTTGTATTATATATAATCGCTGATAAATTGTAGAAAGAAAATATCTTTTGTTCTCATAATGACAAATGCATTACATTTAAATTAATTAAAATGCTAGTGTATGCTAATATAGTGTATACTATTCAGTTCTTATCGTACTAATATTAATTTTATGATATCCCGGTGGCAGTATAATTAATTAAGATTCAAGACCGTTCTCTATCGTACATAATTCCATTACTATAGATATATTGATATTTTTGTTTAATATTTTTTTTTTTGTCAATTTTTGAAATGCATAAGAAAAAAAAAACGGTCTGTAAATTGACAAAAGGTATATTGAAAAGTAAAACGAGTGCAAGTCGCTGTATATGTACTATTATTGTTTTATTTCATCAAAGTTAAAATATAGTATGTAATAGTAATAATTAATTAATTAATGTAAAAACAAATATCATGTAATGCTTATAACATCGAAGTATGTGGCTTTAAATTGTAAACATATTACGTACTATGCGTTAGCACTTGAAATAGCTTTGCGATATACCTTAGTAATATTTCTTGTGCAACAATAAATTTTACTAAATATTATTAACTAAAGCGAAAAAAAAAAAAAAATACAAAGAAAGACTGACTATTTCGCGCGCCTGTGTAGTCAAGAAAAAAGAAAAAATTAAATTGTCTTGATAGATAATTACGATCTCTTATCATTGCTTAAATATTATACTTATTTTTAATATTATTGTAATTAAATTTATCTTTTTAAATATTATAATTAATATAAATATTATTAGCATTATCATAATATTAACATTGAATATACTACTTGGCGCGTGAATAAAATAATTGGAAGACTGCGGAAAGGAAAAAAACCTGTCAAAATAATAATGATTAGAGAAAGGTATTAAATAAAAGGAATAATAGTAGTAATTAGAGTAATATTGCCGACTATAGCATTATATTACATTTAGAATTAATAATCAATATGACTACTTGGTGATTGCTTCATTCGAGTATCCCCAGTGGTCATCATATTAATGAGCTGGCTCGATAAAGTTACACCAAGCAATTACCAATACCCAAGATTATAAAAAAAAATTAGAAAAACAAAAAAATAAATAAGAAACATAAACTCTAGAAGAAATATTAAAATAATATTAGGGAAAATAAATAATATGCTCACAGTGGTGTAAAGAAAAAAAAAATTAATTTTTGAAATTTAATTATTTATACTTTTTTTAAACAAAAGAAATAAAAAAAAAAAATATGTAACTTAATGGACGTCATGAATTGTTTTCGCAAACTTGAAAGATGATCAAAAGCTAGTCAAAGGATATGTTTTCTAATTTTTATGATTTCAAAGACACATAGTGTTTAATTAATCATAAACATATACAACTCTTAATAATGCAATATCAACGATTTATTATACTCACTTATGTATGAACGCGAAATATATAAACATTTTACAACATAAGAAAATTGAATAGGCTTCACGTACTGAATTAATGAAATTCACATGAATTAATTGATGAAATGATGATACGTAGATACATAACGAGGCAAGAAATAATTAAGACTGTTCTTGGATCTGTATATGTATAATTCCAAGAATTTCTTTAAACGTAATATTCAGTGAAAGGACATAATATTTAATCAATTATAAAGGCAGGACCTAAATTACTTGAATGATACAATTCAGAGTTGCTGAAATGATTGAACAAAATGTATCATTCAGTTCAAAGTCGCCGCCTATTTATTTATTTGACGGCATTTTTTTAATCATTATCATGTTTAACGATAAGGTCTTTTTGCATTAATAGCTATAATCTTACAGTTAATATTAATAATAATAATTCATTCACTATCATCATAAAAATCACTGCAAATATATAAATTTAGCATTTCAATAGAACCTCAAGTTGTTCATATATATATATACTGGTAGGAATCCATATGATACCTTGAGAAATTATATTTTTACCATCAACTGTATAACAGGTGTTCTCGTTAAGACTGGCAACTAAGGTTGTACTTAGATAATTGAGAGGTATAAAAGAAATAATAAATCATATTTCAATCATATAAATTTGTATGTGGTATATCAACGTTGCTTTAGATCAATTTCAAGGCGGCGGCTATTGTTACATTAAGAAAATTCAAACAACTAATATTGAACTTTATAAAAGTACGATTATGTTTGTGTGAGTACACCGATTTTTTTTTCAATTGGCCAAACACTTGTATTTTACTTATACAGATGCTTCTTTAATTATACTGATAATATTAATAATAATGATAATAATAATTATAATAATAATCATTGAATGTGAATGGTTGTATGTAAAAATTATCAAGTGTTTGGCCAAGGTGTCTAATAAAGACAAACCCCAGATAGCAAGCTTACACTTATTCAATATGTAGTTTAGTAAAAAAATTGATAAAAACACAAAAAAATAGAAAAAAAAAGAACCAGATAGATTCTACCAAGATCTATCTTTTTTACTCTGCCCGATTTTGCTGGCATTTTTTTATCGATCTATAAAAAGGGCTCTTCTTAAGATCAGGTGTTTGCTAACTGGGATATTTAGTTATGTAAGCCAGACAACTTGTAAAAAACGCAATTTTTGTACTGTTACAAAGTTAAAGAAACGTTGTAGTGTGAAAACAAAAATCACTTTTCAATAAAAAAATTTTTTCATACGCAATACAGGTATTTTATTTATTCTTTGCTTCTTTTAAATTAAAACAATAACAATAATAATAAAATCCATTATTAATATTATTACTATTATTATTATAACACAGTTTGTAAAAAATAATGAATTCATTGAGTATTACTTGAACAATGTTTTTTTTTTTTTATATCTCACGAGTCAACCATCTGTTTTTATTTTGTTTGTATATTTTTAAAAGGCTCAGTACATAGTTTTAACGATGACAAATATTTCACTAATTGTATCGTTATAGAATTTCCAGTAATAATAATAATTATTTGTTACAAATACTTAAAACTATTATGCCGTTTAATTCAGCTTATCATCTACATAAGTATGACTTGTCTCTATTAATAGTAGAGCGTTGAACTTTACAATTACAATGAATTTATTTAATAATAATTAATGCTAATAATAATAATAGTAATAGGTATACATACAAATGTTAAATATATTAATTCACAATTTAAATACTCGCTTTAATACTAAAAAAAAAAAAAATTGAAATATCATGTATATAGAATCACTAAGAAAATTATTTTATTCGTTTGTATTTAGAAATTATTCTAAGATAATTATTTTATTGAAATATTTCGTGCTCAGTCACTGTTAACTTGTGATTCAACAGTATTTTTTTCTTTTATTAAATATTCTAATATTCTAAAGTTGACTTTGTTTATTTTTTTATTATTATTTTACGCGATTATATTAACAAATTTTTAATCATAAAGTTATTATTTATCGCTTTATTTATACCGTTCTTAATCATACTATCTTTCCAGACATATATGTATTGTATTTACATTAGAATAACCATAAAACCCGCTTGATTAATAAATTAATCCTTTTCTTTGGTCTCACACATGCAAATTAAAATCAACATTAATGTGTTTTGCAACATTTAACATCATCATTATCATTCATCTTTTGAGTGTATCTATCAAAACTCATACTTAATCCTGTAATGACTGATTGATCTTAACATTTTACGTATTAATAAAGTTTTCATGTTTAAAAATCATGATATTATAATTAATAGAAAAAAAAAACAAAGAAATACGACCGATAGTTAAATATTTCTAATAATACTTATCGTTTTCATGCAACAATATATTTTTTTTTTCTGATTCAATGTTTAAACTATTATTTCTTTAATTTGTTTTTCAATAATCCAACGTCATTAAATTTCTTTTTTTTTCTGCATTCCAAAAATATTTTATTTATCAATTTGCCATCAGCAAATAAATACTCTTACACTGGTTGATTTTGATATTCATTTCAATTTTATAATGATTATTTTATCTCAAATGTAACTAATATTATTTGAGATATCACAATTAGCACTTCTATTCAATTAAGAAATACATGTCTAAAAAATTTTTTATAACAATTTTTGAATGATATTAAAATTAATTATTTAATAATTATTTTGTTAAAAAAAGAAATCATTGTAATAAATAAGTTGATTAAAATATAATAAATTTAAAATCTATTCAAAAAATATGAATTTAAAAAATTTATATTGAATTTTTTTAATGATCATATCTGGCCCAATAGTTGTTGTGTAAGGCTTATGATGCTAGCATCACTAATGGAATGACTAATACTATTTAACTAATTTAAACTAACTGAATGTTAGTCTTGCAACATATGAACAAAACTTATTGGAAACATTCCTCGACGTTCTGGTGATCTTTCCAATGCACCTTCCATCCAATTATCATCATCCGTTTGTTCATTTGTGACAATTATTACTTCGCCCTCACGAAATGAAAGTTCATCCTCATTATCAGCTTCACAATCATAAAGTGCTCGACATCGACGTAATCCATTTAGGCTTGAAGTTATTGGCTGGATAAACATACAATAAATTTAATAAAAGTTCAATATAAATAAATAAATATATATAGTCTACAATCAATTTAAACAATCTTGCTTTAAAATATTTTTTTATTTAGCGAAAATAAACTTAATGTAAAATTCATGCTATTCAATAGTTCAATCACGATAAAATTACTCGAAAACCAAACGTTATGAGACAGTAAAAAAAAAAAATTTAATTATTCCATATGTCCTTTGGAATCATCAGCAAAAGGTATTATTCAATTGTATTTGATGTTAGAAAAAATCAAATAAAAACTGAAAAACAAAATTAATTTTTTTCTTTTTAGTACACATGAAAACATGATTAGTGAAATGCAATGCACAAATGATCATGCCACTGGGATTTCGTGCAATGTTTACCAGGTTCAAAGTGGAGAGCATAGCTGAGGGCTCCTCGGCGTAGCTCTCTAGTCTGGATCGGTCCCTTCGCTGTACCAACAATGGTTAAGAGCAAAACCATAAACCCATCATGTAATATCCACATACATGCGTTTTTTTTATAAGATCATTTATCCCATCACAACCTAGTCCCTTCACCAATACTTTATTTTTACAGAATATTTAATCAATTTTCCTTTTATATTTTATCATTTATCAATCATGATAACGAAATTTTTGTGAAAGAAAGCATTGATAGGAAATGAGATGAATTGATGATTATTCTATATTTATTAATTCGAATTGATAAGTGAACATATGATATTGAATAATTTTAAATGATGATGATGATGATAGATTATATTCTTTAGTAATGTATTCTTTATGATTAGTATGAAGTATTAGATGTGCTCAAGCATGTCAAACGTGGGTAAGTTAGAAAAAAAATGTAATGAATGCAAATACTACTTGGCATAACTTGTTAATAAATAAATATTATCATTGAGGATAAACGTGTTTGTTTTTTTTCTTATAAATCTTGATTTGAATTTTTTAAAATCTTATCTTATCTTATTTAAAATGAAATAAGAAATTGATTACTTACCTTTCTTGGTGGAGGAACTGGATTACCTATTCCATGTTCAGAGCACATCGAGCTGAGAGATTCACTACTACGACCATTACTTAATCTAGATGAAGTACCTGATGATGGTGCTGGTGGGGGTGGATTTCGTGGTCTTTGTAATGTCAATGTATTAGATTTGTCTATACCTATAACAATAATTTAGAAGTTTAATAAAAGAATATCCTTTTTAAAGCTAGAATAAATCAATGGTCTTATATACTTACTGTGATTTGCTGACGAATCTCCACTGGGAGATCTTTTATGATGTAGGCTATTTATTGTATTTAATGAATGTGGTAAACTGTGTAGAGTGTTACCAGCTAAAATAGGCTCACTTGTTGTTCTACTATGTGATGAGCTTGCTAAAGTAGCTGAGGACGGTAAAGTTCCGTAATGAGCTGCTGTTGTCAACATGGAATTTCCGCTAGTGCCTGGGGGTGGTGGTGGTGCAATTCGCTTTTTTAATGAACCATGAATGTTCAAACTATAGTCAGGTGGTGCCATGGGATTAGAAACTAATAAACAATAATAATATATTATTTACTAAATAAATATTTAAGTAATTTTTTTTAAAATACAGATAAAGATATTTACCAACAACAGGTTTTCTTGATTGTGGTGGTGGAGGAGGTGGCATTTGTTGTCTATTTGTTACAGAATTAGGTGAGGAACCACTTTGAAGACTATCACAAGTGCTACTTCGACTTCTAAGAGTAACAGGTGAATCTCCAGGTCCAGATCCTCCACCACCAGCATACGATGGTGGTCTACTACGTGTTTTCTTTTCTGGTGTTAAACATCCATTCTAAATAAAATTCAGCATTTTATAGTAATCAATAAAATACAAAATAACTTACTAAAAAGACAACAAAAAAAATTAACATCTATGACTCACTCTGTCTTCAATTATCGTTTCATCATCCGAGAAATCCGTTGAACCTTCATCGTGTGATAAATTCCAATCAATATTGACATTATCAAATAAACTCTTTTGTCGTTGCAAAGCATGTCCTAACTGTAAAAAAAAATGATTCATATATTGCATAAAAATGTACAAATAAATTATTTGCAATGCTTAAACTATAAATAACTTATTGAAATTCAAAACTAACCAATTCTTTGCAAGTCGGATGTCCCATTTCCGCAGCAATGTCTAATGGAGTTTTTTCCTGTTTATTACGAAGGGTTGGATCTGCGCCAGCTCGTAATAATAATTTCATTGCTTCTGCTCGATCATGTCTTGCAGAAAGATGAAGTGCCGTTTCACCCTCAACAGTAGTCTTATCAATACCACCAGTAGGCATATTTTGTATTAAAAAATCAACAATATGTAAACTACCACCCATTTCACGAAGAATAGCTAAATGCAGTGCTGTTTCGCCAATATCCTTGAAAGAATTAAATGATAAATATAACTTTTTTTCAAGATATTTATTTTTAAACAAACAATCACTACTTACTGAAGTAGGCAGAGGTGCTGCTAGATCAACATTTTCACCGTATACTTGAAGTAAATGCTGAAGATCTCGGTTATTAACAGCATGTTCAAGATCTGATAATAAATCTCGTTCATCTTCACAAGTACTCATCACGTATCTTTTATCCACATATTTAGCTCTTATAAATTCATATCTTTCTTCCCTAAATGAAATAGCATAAATTGAATACACATACATTTATAATACAATAACGAAGAGAGGAAATGTCTGTTGGTTGAATACCCACATTGTCGATGTCGCAGTTGGTTTGAGATTGTGATGTAGTGTGGCTTCCATAACTTCATTGAATGCCTGGTTAGTCATGTATCGTGCCAACAATAATTGTGCAGTGCCTACATTATCTAAAGTTAAAGACTGTATCCTAGATATATGAACACCCAGATCCCTATGAATTCCACTACACTCAATACAGACAATGACTCCAAAGTTGGTCGACAACCACGTCGCATCTGTAATTGATTCAATAGTTTATTCTTACTTATAAATTTTAGTTAATAAATATTTAATGAAATGGACATTTTTTTACCATTTTGGGATGAACAATCACAGCATTGATCATTACCAGGAAGTCTCATGACACAACGTATTACAGCTTGCTGTAGTTCAACAAGACTAGGATTACCTTGACCAGCTTCAGCTTTACCACTAGCATCAAAAGCTTTTAATAAAGCTCTCTCTTTACAATTTACAAGTACAGACATCCATGCACGTTGATCGTTTTCATCTTCTGCTTGAAAGTGATAAGTTCTATTATCTAAATAATGAGAAAAAAAAAATTATCTGTCAATTATTTTTATAAAATAATAGAAGAAAAAAAAAATATGAAAAGTTTTAATTGACTTTCAAGAATTTTCCTTGTTGAGGCAATAAAATAAAATGATAAAAATAATTATCATGATAAAAAATATAAAAATATAGCATTGTTGACAAATATACATACAACTAATGAGATCAAATCCTCGTTTGTCATCAGGCACCAGTTTAATCTGGCACGTTAATAAATTTACTCGTGTTGGTGGTTTATTCTCATCCGCATGACAAATATCAAGATAGCCCTCAGCTTGAACCGCACATTTCCTTTTTTGCCAAACACGTCGCATTTTACCCTCGCTTTTTTTTAACAAATGTCCGGAACGGGTGACTCCATGCTGTTTATCACCTTGAAGCTGATGAAGTGAATATCCCACACTAGCATTTGCATTCAACTGAAAATTTATTTATTTTAAACATAGTAAATATGAAATATAATAAATCAAAATATTATTAAATAAATTATTTACTTCTTTATCACATCCAGAACTCCTCAAAAGACTTCTCAACTCTGTCAGTCGTCTTCTCTCCTCATCTTGTGTTTGTCTAATTTTTTGTAATTTAATGCTTAGGTCAGCTATATATGAGCCAAAGTGTTCAATTGTTTTCAAACCATCTTGAAAATAATTGGTCTGAGCATGATAATATTCAACAAGATGTTGAAGTAGTTCAATGCCTTTTTTCGTTTTTATTTCATTAACTTTTATAAGATATTCACACATTTGTAATTGAAATAATCTTCGTTCCTTTTCCATTTCATCAGCTATTTCAGCTGGAGTTACTTCAGATCGTATCAATCCCGCTTCCTTTGCATGTTGCTTTTTTTCTTTTTCTATTTTAGCATATTTAGTTTCATAATCCTTCCAAGCTTTTTCAAATGGCCTCTTCAAATCACCTTTGACACCTCTAAGGTCTCCTTTTAATACAGAATCCAATGGGAACATGACGATGTTGTTAATATTTTGCATCTGTAAATAGACGTCAGACATTTCTATTAATAAAAAAGATTAGTTACGTTGAAATAAAGTAATAGAATTAATTTCAAAAGTGACATAGCATGAATGATTTTATATTGAATAAAAAATTCTATTTTTAAATAAGAATATATATGTTTAAAAATACTTTTAAATATTATTTTTAACGAGACAGATTTTTACCCTGAATGAAAAGAGAAATTATTGATGTATAGTAAAGGGCCATTGATGTGTTGAGCATGTCACATAATACCAAGTGTCTAATATGGTAACGTCGACAGGATGAATTCGCGTAAGGCGACTAATAAGTAATACTAATGAGTCTGTTATATATGTATTGTAACTCGAGGTTGGTATTAATTAATCTATCACCATTTAGAGACAATGTTAAAATACTTACAAGAGTCTTCATAAGTGCGCTAAGTTCTTTTGTGACGACGGCAAACTTGAAAAAAGCTGCTCCAATGTCATGTTCTTGTTCTTTCAAAGCAGCATCTCCCAATTTTTCCAATGCTCGTCCAAGATAAACTTCATTGTCCACATGAGCTGAAAGAATTCGAAATTTTATTATCATTTTATAAATCATAAAATTAATCAAGTCAATTTAGAATGAAAATAAGAAAAAAAAAATATCCTCATTAAAGTGAAAGTGCGACTGTTAAGTAATTAATTTTCTTGATAAAGATGAAGTTTGATAAATTTAATTAGTAGATGAAAAGTGATGTTAAGAGTTGATTCCAAACAAACTCTCAACACTCTACATATTTGGTATGTATTGATAGTAATTTCAAATTAAAATGTTAAATATTCTTAAGGTGTTGAAATGAAGTCTACCTTGAAGACATGAGGTAGTATGAGCTTTAGGTTTTGATGTAACTAAAGGATAAAACAGACGCCAGTGAAATCGATTTTGTCTATATGTCTATCATCAATGTATGACTATTATTATGCATTTTGTGCCTTTTATAAAGTTGAAAAAAATATAATAGTACTTGATATCCATGATTTACAAGTCTATTCTCAAGTTTGAAGAAGTATATCACTTCTAATATCAACGTATATCTTGATAATATTCATAGGATCGAAATAAAAGCAGTCATTTACCATTTCCAGAGTTGTGGATTGCTTTGATTGCTTTCTTCAACTTGGTCAGACCTTCTCGATCGAAGTCCAGTGTCTGAAAGATAAGAAAAGACAGTATATTAAATCACAAATCAATTTTTTTTATAGCGACTATATCTAAATTAATAGTTTTTTTTTTAGAAATAATCATCTTACATTAATTTGTAAAATGTAATATTAAAAAATAGATATATATATATTGATTATTATTATTATTAATATTGTATTTAACAATGCTTTAGATGAAATGTAGTATGTAAAGAAATATAAAACGTTGTCAGAATCATTGTTTGCAAAAATATTTAATTACAAATGAAAAAGAAATTAAAAGAAATAAATATCGAATTAAATAATTCAAAGAAAGTAAAATCTTATTTAATAATTAATTTTTCTATTATTTAAATAATAATTTTAATTAATTATTTAATAAAATTTCGAATTAGCTTTATAATTCTTTTGTCAATTTATAAATAATCCTATTAATATAATTTCAATTATTTCCTATTTTTAAATTAAATAATTATTTATTTATTATTTTAAATATTATGTAGCAACTTTTTATAGGCTAGAAAGAAGTCATCTTTTTGAATCTCTTTTAAATAATTAATAACATCAAAATAGAATGTTTAAATAATTTTTTCAGATATCAAAATTATTAATAAAATTATTATTCATTATATTTATATAGAAAATTGGATATTAATGACAATAATTTGATTATCAATTTGCATTAAGTCACATATAGCACCTTTATACAATGTGTTAATTAGTAAAAGACCTATTACAAGCGGAAGTCATTTACGGCACGTGGAACGGAACAAGTGAGAATGTGTAACACAATTGTAAGCCTTTCCTTTTTTTCACTTCTCCTTTTCTTGATTTTCTCATTCACTTATTCTTTGCAGTTACCTCCAATTAATTTCAATTCATACATATTTTTTTTTTTTTTTATTCTTTCTGTATATAATTTATTTTTTGTATCAATTGTTTCCTTCTTCCCATATAAATGAGCGGTAAAAATCTGGTTTTATAATTTTTTTTTTTTTTTTAATTTCAATACATTAAGACATGAGACGCTGACCTTGGACAAAGAAGAAGAAGAAGAAGAAGAAGAAAATGAGGAAGAAGAGAGAAGAAAAGTAGTTTTTCTCTGATAAAATCAAGTTAATGTTAATGAGTTTTTACCAGGTAATTTTATTATGATAAATACTAAAAGAAAAAGTAGTCAAATAATAAATATATTTTATACAAAACTTCCGCATTATTGCAATGAGAAAGATAAAGAAATAATTTATGTGAAAAGCATCAGAAACATCAAGTGCATGCAGGTGATACACAACTGGTGTCGAGAAACGACGGAGGGTACCGAGTAAATCCGAAGCCACCAGAGAGTGGAAAGAATTCCTGGAGCTCCGGCCTTGGTAGGTCGTTCATGTCGCAACAGTTACGTATCGTAATTTACAAATAATATGCTACCAAGGGAAACACACCACCAAGAGTACTCCTGGTTTATAGTGTCTTTTACCTCAAGAATAATTTACATATTTCCATCGAGCTTTTTCCTTTTACACCTTAACTGTAATTAAGAATTCCCTACCACGATTTACAGGCATATTTTTTTATATGAAAGAATAGACTGGAAAGAATGAGATTAAATTTATTTGACCTATTTACTACATCAGAGTACTACATAAAAGTTGATATTGGATGACAACACCCTCACTTAAGAGACTCCATCGATCTATCGTTTAATATTTTATTCCTTATTTGTATTTCATATCTGCTTTATCAATGTTCTTTTATTTATTATATCTTTTTTTCCACTCGAATCGATGCAAAAAAAGTTGTGTAACTGAAGTCATATTTTTCTAGCTGTAATTTGATTTAAAACTTGCTATCTAACATCATTACCATTTAAATAAGTCATTGACTAAAATAATCTAATTTCTAATAAATTAAAAGGTAATGTAAATACGTATTGAGTACATTTATTTAATATCAATTAAATTAATAAATAATATAAATAAATGTTGTCTAGACGTGTGAAGCCTTTCAAGAAACTATTCGCTTGCTTAGGCATTTCTATAAAATGTACTCACCCTATACTCTAGCTATAAAGCTGAACTAAAGGTACAATGACAGCTGCGGTAACCCTCCCTTCTAACAATAAAAAAATGTCTAGCTAACATCCATAATACAAAAATCAATTTTATCTAACTATCTATATTAATTAATCAAATATTCATTGAATTATTATGCTCACTCTACTCGACCTAAATGAATTAACAAGTATTGTAATCTAAAAACAATCATGCTGGATAAAAATAAAATAAACTGAGGTTAATAGTTTTCTAATTTAGAAGTTTATCATTTAGATTATAATTACCAAAAGGTAATGAGAAGAGAAGAGTTCATAAGTTAGTTTAAAATTCTGATAAGCCTTCACCTTGAGCATAGTAAACAATGAATAATACTATAAAACATTTTCAATCACATGGTATGATCTTTGAATTTTTTTTAAACTTTTTTAGAAGAGTTTTCTACCTTTCCTATTGATTTTTGTCAATTGTTTTTTTTTTTTATTATTTTTGTTTTCTTGTACTCATCAATTTAAAATATCTATTTTTAATATCAATGTTCAGTCAATCGTGTAATAGGATTTGATTAAATCAACGCAGGACAAACCCTAAAAATAAAAATAATAAATATAATTATCAGTGAAGATGAAAGAAGAATTAAAACGTGGATGTAATAACTTCAGTGGTGAAGCAAAGTCTTTATAATTTGTATGATTTTATTTAATTTCCTGGCGCAATGCTATTACGTTAAAATAAATGATTATATTTATGAGATTGTCTTGCTAAAAAATTGTTTAAATACTTACTTCTTCAAGAGCTGTAATAGTTTGTCTGCATTGTGGCATTCGCGAGACAAACGTTGAGGTGGTTGGTGAATTGTAGTCCTCCCTAGTTTCTTCAACAAATTCACTAACTGCTATTAACCCTGGCATTTTTGAATCGTGATTTACTATTCAAATTATTCACACTTTTAATGATATGACATATGATCACATGGATATGACTGTAATATAGAAAACTGTCACACAATGCAAGTTTGCAAATCACAGCTAAAGAAGGAGGTGGAGACTAGAACACACCTCTCGTTTTTCCGCCCCCGCTTTGCCTCTCACTTTTTCTTTCTCTCTTACTCACGTGAAAAATGATCAAACACCGTGGACTCTATCGCTAAATTTTGTTTTAATCTGTCACTTTTTTTATACTATACCAATCTTCGTCCAATCGTACATGCTTTTAGCATGAGTACAAGATTATTTCTGTAACATGTTATGTATTTATTATTGTTCTTCAATAGACGCATTTATTCAAATTTTCAATTCATTATACTGTGTCACTAACTTTGGAACTGATAAAACATGGCCTAAACTTTGCCATGGATCATAATGCATTTAAATTCACTGTCTTTCATATTGTCGTCTTTATATCATTAACTTTATTTTGATTATTTTCTACGAATAGCTGGTAATGAATTCACAATAAATTTATACACTGTTCAGAGCGACACTTGTGACTCAGTCGATGCTCATCAACTTTACTGAACTTCGTAACCACACTCATATACCAATGCTTTCAGCACACTGTATTACAGAGAATGGCAGAGGGTAGACTATACTTTCAGAACATTTTTATTTGCAGTGTTGCTGCTTGCAAACCAATGAATTTCAAAAAACAGATTCGCAACCCAACTACTACTCTCAAGTGGTGTATGGCGAATGACACACAACAACAAAAGTGAAAGCGACATCTACAACATTTGAAGCCATCTGGTGGTTACATAGGGAAACATTGGTTTTATATTTTTTTAAATAAGAAAATAATTATTTAAATTTTTGTAATGTTTATTATTGAAATACAAATTTAGAGGACAAGAGTTTCTTGGAGTTTCATTTGTTTTTTACTATTTGCTTTTATCTGTGCTGCAATCCTATCCAAATCACGACGACCCTGGCTCGTAAGTCTACGTCCTCCAACTGAAGTTTTTTCAATAAGTTTCAATTGCTCCAAACTCTGAAGAGCTTTGCGAGCAACTCCACCAGCAGATCTACAGAAATGACTTGGATGTGTACCATTTCGTTTTCTTCCACCGAAAATTTTTGTTACAGCACCAACTCCAATGGGACTCCTGATGTAAATATGCCTTACAAGAGCAGCACACCTGATGTAGTACCAATCAGGATCATAAGGTGCCAATTCCTTGAATCGAGCTGATTTAACGATATCAACCCATTCAGGGACACGCATTTTACCTGTCCTGTAATTTAATATTCATCATTATTATCAGGTTCATGTCATACTTGAGTGTGTTAGATCAAAACTAAGGTTATGTCGACATGTGTCAACAACATTACTTACTTTTTGAGGAAAGCTGCGAAAGCTTTCACAAATTTGTGTTGATCTACGTCTTTAAGCGTAACAGACGGCATCTGAAAAGTATAAATAATAAATTGAATATTGATAAATTATATTTTACTAAAAACTATTGAGATGAAAACACATGGAGTGCATAGCAATGAAATGCTTTGTGTTTGATTCTACAGAGAACAATGAACTTAGTAGAGGTTAATTTTATAAAATCAGGATTGAAAATTTGTTTATGCATTATAATAATTGTCTAATTAATCTATAATATTATGCGTTTTTATTGAATATATTTTGATAGGACTAACCTTGTACAAGATATAAACCGGAAAGAGCTAACTAAAAAATGGCGACTGCGAGTTGATGAAAGCTGCATGACTTCCTAGTTAGATCAATGCTGATTGGACTAGCCAATCAGCTGTTTAGCTGGCGCTATTTTTTAAATATAGTTTCAAATTATTTATTTATTTCAATAGAAATAATTTTAAATAGATTTTATGTTGGTATAAAAATTCAATAAAATATGTTTTATCAAATATTTCCTTTCAAGGACAGAGTTACTACAAAATTCATTAATTATTCCATGTATGTATTGTTGCGAATTCATGAATGCAATACATTCGACGTATGCAGATTGAAGAGGAGGTTAAGTTATTGAAGGATCTGAAACTCATCTAATCTTCTGATGTTATCATTTCACTCAAAAGTGAATAATGAGATCATGAACTTGCGAAATTTTGTGCAATGTACCTCTTGAACGTATATTCAGTCACCTCACATATTTAGTAGCGGTACAATATTCAACTTTTATTCCTAAGAGGATGTCTGTTTTAATCGGAAATGTCACTCGATATTTATTGAATATTCGCAAATATGTTGGATTTCAATCATCGTTAATTGGTACTTCGAATGTCAATCAAAAAGGAATTCTATGTAAACCTACAGTTCAATCTGAAGATTTTCTATTTCGTCAGGTAAGTTTAAAACTGTCAATTCATTCGTACAAATATCAACGCATGTTAACTTCTTTTCAATAGATATTTATAACGAAAATATAAAAATTAATCATTCATATTATTTTGTAGCTATTTGACACGACATCATGTACCTATACTTATTTGTTAGGTGATTTATTAAAAAGAGAAGCAGTGTTGATTGATCCTGTTCTTGAATTAGCAGAACGAGATGCAAAGTTGATTCAGGAACTTGAATTATCATTGAAATATGCTTGTAAGTGATTTATTCCAACAGAATTATTATTACATATTAATTCAAATTCGAACATGATAAACAAGCTTATCGAATTTATTATTCAACTACGTCATTAAAGATTTAATAATCTATTTATCAAGGAATATTTTACGTCGAATCTTTGATAATTATATCAAGTTTCAGTATTGATTGTAAAAGCTACGAATATTTTAATTCTTGACATTAATATTTTTTTTTCTTTAATTTTAGTAAATACACATATGCATGCTGATCACATAACGGGTACAGGGAAGTTAAAATCATTATTACCAGGTTGTCAATCGATAATATCTCAGAGCAGTGGTGCGCAAGCGGATATTTTAGTTCAATCACACGATAAAATTAAATTTGGACGACATCAGCTAGAAGTTTTATCTACTCCTGGTCATACAGAAGGTTTGATTGAGTATTCGAACTGATGAGAAAGAAAATGAAGCTACGTTGGAAATAATTTTTTTCTTTTTACTTTAGGTTGTGTGACTTATGTATGTAGAGAACAAGGTTTGGCTTTTACCGGTGATGCTCTTTTAATTCGAGGATGCGGTAGAACAGATTTCCAAGTCAGTCTTTTTACATTTTTTCCATTAACTTTTTTTCAATTATTTGAAGTTAATTTGAAAATATCAGTAAAAACAATGCCTTGCAGGGTGGTTCTGCAAAAACTCTTTATGAGTCTGTTCATTCAGTAATTTATAAATTACCAGATAATTTTCTCATTTATCCTGCTCATGATTATTTGGGAAGAATGGTTACAACAATAGCTGAAGAGCGAGCTTTTAATCCTCGACTTACAAAATCATTGGATGAATTTATCAAGATCATGGATAACTTGAATCTACCCTATCCAAAAATGATTGGTATATTATCTATTATTCTTTTTTAATTCAGTTTAATTTATTTTTGGATTAAACATTTCTTATCTCTCTATTATATAAAATATCAAAGAATGAATTATTGAAAAATAAAAAAAAAAAAAAAACTATTCTTAGCATAAAATGAAAAATGTTTCCTTTGGCTGATGATATTGAACAGTTTTATTGTTGAATATTGTTTCAGACAAAGCCGTACCAGCGAACAAAGTTTGTGGCTTGTACGAATGTGCACCGGTGGAAGAAAAATAGAAAATAGAGTTGGAGAATAAAGTGGTAAAGTACATCTCACATATTCCTTTTTTCAACTACTGTAAAGAAAAAATTTGACATTTTCTCACTTTTAGTATAATCGTTGTTTTTTGTTCCACCACGAAAGAGATGAGAAAAAAAAATCCACTAAAACGGTGTGAGTGGCACGCGAATGTCAAAGGGAAAAAGGAGAATAGCGGTACGATCAAGATTCTATTGTTAAAAGAGAAATAAAACGATTTCACTGGACTTTGGTGAGGCATGTGTGATATCGTCAGTTCTTTGTTGACAGATAATCGCATTTTCTAATATTTTTTTTTAAAAGTGTTAAGAAATGAAATATTGGAGTATTTTTTAAATTATTAAATAGCTGAAATTTTGTAGCATACTATTTAAGAATTTAAGTATTAAACAGAGAGGATATATTTTTTTATATTATTCTATATTATTAAAGCAATCAATATATTCCATTATATTATTGATTATATATTAATAAATTTGAAAAATGTTAAATTATCAATGTCATATTTATATTTTTAATAATGACATGAAAAGTGTATTAAATTGTTTATATGATATGTAATCTGTTTGTCGGAATCAGTGATTTTTGATAAAAACCCCTATGAATGTGATGAAAGAGGGTATAAAATAATAAAGGAATCTCAAAGCTTAAAGGAAAAGCGAAAGAGTAGGGAGGAAAGGTTCATGGTGTTAAGTTTTAGCTGTAGCTATGTGTGGAAGTACGTGTGATAGTGGCTTCGTTCCTGGGTTTTCCTACTGCATAGTAGGGGGTTGAAATCGATACCGTTACCAAGACAACTGGTGGCTACACTACGCCCGACACATGAGCGAGAAAACCTATGGGCCAAGGCTATTTTCTCTAACTTTCATTCTTTGATGTCCTCTTTTCTACCCTACAATTTGTATCTTTGATATAAAAATTAACAAACATGTCAACAGAATAAATAACAATGAACAAAGATTTTATACTATTGATGAGGGGATGAACTCTGGAAGAGATCAAAAGTTCTTTAAAGTAGAAAATTTGATTTATGAAATAAATTTTTTTTTTCTAATTTAATTTTTTTTTTCTGTTCAATAACAGTTTTGAAACTTATTAAAGTTTGGAACATCGATGTCAAATTCATCAAAGCTGTCAAAATAATGAGGAGATTATCAGAAAAAAAAGATATGTCAAGAATGAGAATAGGATGAAATAAATGATGAATGAGGGTGACTTCCAGGCTTATAACTGTTTGACTACTTTTGGCTTTTCTACCGTAACTTCCACAAGTAAATGACACGAACATCTAGCAGAGATGAGCAAAGAGTATGAACTCTGGTGTGAAAAAACCAATGAAACAACGGCCACTAGAACTTGCAATTTAGCAACGTCATCACCGAACAGATAATTGACAACTGTAGGTCATTATTCAAACCTTTTTTGTTCAATTTCTAGACTTTGTAATTGCTTATGAAAATTGAACTACTTTTATTATAAAAATAATTTCAATAGATAGTAATTTAACATTTAAATTTCAGATTGATGCAGACAAAATATTATCCACAGGTTGTTAATTTGACTTTGGGGATACAATATATCTGGACGCCCCAGGAGATCGATTAATTCAAGAGACAATCATCGTTCTATTCTGCTTATTTATCTCTCTATCTCTCTTAGTCTTTGGTACTCCCTTATGGTATATAGATCGAATAATAGTACACTCAAGTAATCGAGGTATTCTAGTGCCATTTCAATTTCTGCGGGAATCCTTAGGTTGGAATCTACCAGAGACAATTCCTCGATAATCGAGTTCCTCCCGTTTGTTGTCGTCATCTTTTCATTCTTCATCACTTGACTTTTTGATTTTTTTTTCTTCTATTTTATTATTAAATCACACGTCTCTACGATTCTCTAATGATATTGATCAAGAATAAAATTCTCATTTTATCAAGTTTCAATTGTGGAATATAGCCAATCTTTTTAACCCAATGATAAACGGATGACTCACTTGAATTAACCACAATCGGGACGTTCTATTCAATTTGATTTTCTTCAACTTATTGACTTAAATTCTTGCGTTAGAGTAAACTTTTTTTGATGTACTAAAGTCAACTTATTTCTGTACTTAAATAAAATCAGTCATAGTATTTACTTTTCTCTATAGTTTTTTTTTTTGACGTAGTTTACAATTATTATTATTATTTAAATCTGTTTTAGAATAATTATATAAATTTTAAATAAATTTTATAATATATTCAAATATTTGGGTATTTTGATTGGAGTAAAAATATGATTTTGGAGTAAATAGTGTCATTTAATTAAATACTACATTAGACTGAAAGATTATTAAAAAAGAAAAGGTTTATTTTGATAAAAAAAAAATCGATTAATTGTTTAGAAATTACACAAAAATTATTTAGTATTATTAAATCATTACTAATGGATCTATATTAATATTAACATATTATAATTTTTTTTATTAATCAAATAATTTATATTAATTCAATAAATTAAATTAAGCTTTTTATATTTTTCGAAATAATAGTGCAGACAAATTAATCAATGTGCAAAAAGTTATTGTATATATTTAATAAAAAAACATTTATTTTAAATGGTAAAATAGTCATATAAATAAAAGTTTTCCATCGATTTTGAATAAATAAATATTTTCAAAATCGACTTAGTGTAATGTATTGTATGCTTGTCGTTATTACTCATATATAGGTTAAGCACGCAACCTGTTACACTTTCAATATGTTTCGAGTTAAATTAAATATCTTATAACATAAAAATGAAGTATTTTAATTAAACTAATCAATATGTCTCCAACTTGAAATAATTTCTATAATTATCAATTGTCATTAGAAGAAAAAATCAATATTTTTTTTCACTTTAAACGTACTTTCTAGAAGCATCATTTATCTGAAGTTTCTCATAAGATTGGAAGGTTAATCTTCCTTCTAGCAGAGGATTTTCTTGTGGTGTGATTTAGTGCTACTACTTAGTCAAGTATTAATGCGAAGACTTGAATACGGAGTTGATTTGATAGACGGAAAAGTGGTTTATTGTTTAAAATGAGCGGGTTCCCGCCGCGATATCGACTGGTGTTTGTGCGCAAATTCACAGCGCAGTCGCTTTGGAAAATGTCCGTTGATTGGTTGTTTATTTGGCCACTATTCTGCGTCGCCATATTGCCTTGTCCGTGGTGATCGAACGACCCACCCAGTGGGGAGCAAGAGTACAGAAGCACAGTTACGCGGTAGAAACCGAGAAGAACTTAATTGTAGTGTTTGACAGTGTAAGATAAACGTAAAAAACGGTGGAATATTAAATATTATATTCATGTGAATAATTAAAAATTAATTCTAGTGTTAAATACGTGTTAATTACGCGCGATTTCGCGTGTCCAGTATCGATTTTTTGTTTATTGTGAATAAATTTCAAGAAAAAAACACCCTTTGCAAAGACGTTTTTCATTAAACCAAAGCGAGAGAAGAGTGCTAGTTACGTTCTGCTGCGCCGGCAGCGGAAAGAGAAAGGAAACTGTTCCCGTAACTGAAGATTAAACAATTTAACCTGGAGTAAAAATGTCAGGAATAATGCTAAACCTTTGCTTATTACTTAGCAGCTTGCTAGTTTATCAAATACAAGTAAGTATCCTTTAACATAGCTGACAATTTGTAGACTTTATTTTGTTATTCAATAGAATTACAATTAATATTATTTTGTTTTTCAATGTTGCAGCATAAATAGGTATCAATATTCTGTGTGCTTTGGTTTCTTGACATTCTAAACCCTACTACTTTATTTATTCTTTTTTTTCACCCCAGGAAAAGTAGTAGTGTTGTGTTGAAGTGATTGATTGTTCGATTGTAATCGTTCAATTAATTATATTATGCACGAAAGTTACGTTCAAAAATGGGAGGGTTTAACATTCATGTTTTATTTCTTTCTTTTCTTGTACTTATAATAATAACAACTGTGTAACATCCCTAACCTAATTAGATCATTACTACATAGTACATAACAGCTCGGATTTTAAGTGATAATACTTTTTTTTCTCGATAATCTTTAGAACATATTAAGTAATTGAAATACACTGTATCACGTATGATTTGTTTAAAAATTCTTTTTTTTTTATAATCACATCAGTACCCGATTAAAAAAAAAAAAAAAACCTTAAAAGGGTATTGATGCTGTTCATGTTCTTTTTTATTCGCTGTTTTTTTCTTATTCCCGAGTGAATTTACCATCTGCTGTGTAATTTAAATTTCAAATAGTTTAGCATCCTCTCTTGTTGTGGGTTTAAATATTTGTTGAGACTCTATAGAGAGGAGAGAACGTCAACTACAGACTCAGGAGATTGCATTAGGTTTGGACTAAGCTCAAGGAAGAGAAAAAACATGGGGTGTCGTGATTTTTTATTTCATCGTTGCATTATTTAATAATTTTATAATATCTCAAATTAACTGCAATATTTTATTCTTATCAAATTTACATGAATTATAACTATTTTTTTAAATTGAAAACCAAAAGAAAGAAAAAATCAATCTTTTGTGTTAAATCACTTCTGTGATTGTGAGTATAAATTCTCTCAAAATTCGATTCACATCTTTGACTTACAAAGTGAATAAAATCAATTCAAATCACATTCAGAATATGTAATCAACTGATAAGAGAAAAAGTTTAAGTTAAAAATCGTGTCAAATTTCAAACCTATTATGATATTGATATTATAAATCTTCTTCTCTTTGTGCTTTACTTACGATTTGACACCTTTAGTTGGAATAAAAAAAAACGACTCTTAAAATCCTTGATAATTGATCGTTAGTGTATTAGCGAGAAGTAGTTATCGTTAGGATACTTCTGCTACCTACTAATGTCAATTCTTATATCTCTGAAGATTATCATTAATGGATGTAAAATACAAAAGGAACAAAGAATTGAGAAAAAAGAAAAACACTAATGTGCATGTAAATAACATTACAAACAATAAAATGTTAAATACATTAAATAAATCCTCTCAAAGTAAATATAATGTTATGTAATAAATGGAATTTTAATGGAAGAAAAAAAAAATGGTATTATATTTTTGTTATCAACATGCATTAATATTTCAAACTTTTCTACTAATTTTTAAATGTATTAATGAAAAAGGCAGTGATTGTTTCATCTAGTCTGAGATAAATATAACTATTGATTCAATGAGAAATAATTGTACATCACCTACTGGTTTTAAAATTTATAATGTCATTGAATATTGACAATATAAAATGAAAATGACATTATGGATCAATGATGTAAGCAAGGTGTGGCTGGATAATAAAATACTACTAATGGTTACATGATAATTTAAATATATTTAATATAACATCTTCTATTTTTTGTTTTAGGTATGATTTATTATAAAAAGCATAGTTTTCTCCCATGGAGATACTTACTTTAATGTTGAATTCATTCTTTAATTGTCTGCCGAAAAGAACGGTGGCTCTTTACATATTTATTCATTGCAGCTAAAACCCAAGAAAGAGGTCGCGAGTCAAAGAACTGAGAGACATGAAAAAATTGTAAGCGTAAAAGGATGATGGTAGAGTGTGAGATGTGATACGTGCAGTGAAGAGAATTGAAACATAGAGAGAGTGACGATGTAAGAAAGAGGAAAAAAGTTTACGTAGACCTCAAAGTTTCAAAGATGTAGACATTGTCAAGAAAACCTATAAAAAAAAAAGAAGCATTAAAAAATGAAGAACAATGAAAAGAAATGATGAGAAGAGATATATTTTCAAAAATGACAAAATAAATGTTGGATTACAGAAGTATTCCTAATTTTTTATCAGTTTTTAATACATACTACTAAGCTAAGTAGTTTTATTTATTAAGTTTGAGCTTAAATGTGTAATTTTATACATGTATATAAAAACTCAAACCGCTCAAGTCCGGCTTCCGATCATGTTTTCAAGAAGTAATATACTTGATTGCTAAAATGATAGCCAGAGTTGTTTTAATTACTTGAAATGATTGATATTTTTTTTTTATCAAGAAGATGGTGATATATTAAACTGATGATTTGGTCAACAAAAAAATGTGCAATAAAGAATATTTCAAGTGTAGAAGCAAGGATATGAAAAAATGAAGAATAATAGTTGGGGAAAAAATTTATTCATGAGAACAGAAGATTTTAAAAATTCTCATCACGTATTTAATAAAATCAAGCTAGAGAGCCAATGTACATATCTAGGCCTACTTCTACTATTCTCTCAATATTCGATTCAAGAAGTAGCATACGTAATCGTCACGTGCACCAGTTTCTTTCGACTGTTCAGCCCATTGCTCCACCCTTCTTAGCTTAGCTTTCGTCTTTTTTCTTTTCTTCATTCTCTTTTGAAACAAGAATTTATCATTTTTTTTTTGTCTTATTTTAAAAGTGCTTCTTGAAAATTGCAAATGAACTACGTAACCAGATATGATTCATGATCGTACTCCAACATAAAAGTCGTATAGTGATTCACTCTTGAAAAGTGCAACCCTCACGAGGGACGTTGATTAATCAATATCATAAGACTTGAATTTTAATAAATGATTTTTTTTTATTTTGGAGTATTTGAAATTTTTTTTTTTTTAATTAATTATAATTAAAATAAATATCATGAAATATAATATTTATATTTGAAGAAAAATAGACGAGGAAATATTTAAATAAATGTGTTTAGAACGTAAAAATGTCAAGTGAAACTTGAAAAATCTCCAAAGGAAATTTTTCGCGTGGTTTATCTTCAATCAAGTAAATGATAAGACGGTAGCTCTGGTTGAGTTTTAAAATGCTTGGTGTACCATTGATCACTCTTTCAAGCTCTCCAAGAAATTCATACTTCAACCAAACGCACACTTCATCATTTATTTTTACTCTTTGCATTTCATTCTTGATATGTATTCAATAAAATACTAGTATATATCAATTATTTTTTAATATTTTTCTTTTTTTTCAGGCTGTTTCAGAACGACTGGAATTAGCACCAGCTGGAGGACGATCAGAACCTCAGGTAAGCAATTAATAATCATAAATTTATAATGAAAATTATTTTTATTACAATAATAAAAGAAATTATCACTAACATAAATAAAATCATTGTGATAGGTTGCTACACTTTGTGAAGCAGGAGAAACATATCTTGCTCAACATATGAGTGACCAAGGACGATGGATTTCATCGGCTGATACGAAAAGCTGCATGACAGATAAATTGGAGATTTTGGAGTATTGTAAAAAAGTAAGCTTGAAATCAATAAATCAAAAATTCTTGTGATTTATTGAAATATTTAAATCACAACGACAGGAATATTGAGAGAAAACTTATCATTGGATAATTCATCAAGTTTTGTTTTACAAAAATTATCAATAAAAATTGAATTGATAGACTTAATGAATGAGGTATCATAACACAGATCCGCCCACTTGATGAATAAAAGCATTGCTTAATACTTTATCTTTATTGTATTAACTACTAATAAATGACTGACATTCAACAGCTTATTTTCTACTACTCTTTTCATTATTCGAACATTCAATCTCATATTAAATTATTGATAATTAACTTGAAGTTTAAAGTCACTTTTTCATTTATGTTCTATGTTATTTAAATTCTATTAAACACCATACTCTTTGAATAGTTAAATAAGAAACTACAGATATCATTAATAATTATTTAATGAATTAAAGATTTACTAATAATCAAAGATTATCTACAGTTCATTGTATATACCACTTAATTATACATATGTTAAACATAATATTAATCGTTTGTGTAATTGAGCTGAAGAGAGCTTAGAATTTCATAAGATCACCATAATCTACTTAGCTCTCAAATTGGTTTTCTCGTAATATCTGTATTATATTCTCTATTGATGTCATAACGATTATTAAACTATTCAAAACCGTGAATTTAGATCAATTATGTCGAATATTGATTGAAGTTGTATAGATGTATCGGTATTTGAAGAGATTCTAATGATGAAAACAATGAGTTCATTAAAGTTTATTAAACCAATTTTGAAGCTTTTTTTTTTTACTCATTTATTATTTTTCATTATAAAAAAGTTTTTAATTAATAAATAAAATAATTAAAAAAAAAAGGTGCAGTATTTTCATTGTGATAATTAGAAGTGTAATAATGTTTTTATATTTTTTTTTTTCAGGCTTATCCAAAGAGAGATATTACTAATATTGTGGAATCATCACATTATGTCAGAGTTGGTGGTTGGTGTAAACCAGGCCGAACAAAATGCAAATTATCTCGATGGGTCAAACCATACAGATGTCTAGGTATTTAATTCAAATTACATAAGTAAACATGGGGATAATTAATAGGCATTTTCATAGTCATTATTTTACATGTTTACACTATAAAGTTTAATGGTTTATGAAGTATAAAATGATTTTTTTTTAAAAATAATTATTCACTTAGTTATAAATATAAATGATGTAAATAATTATATAATAATGAAATAATTTGCAGAAGGGCCTTTCCAAAGTGATGCTCTTCTTGTACCTGAAGGATGTTTGTTTGATCATTTGCATAATCACACCAAGTGTTGGGAATCTCATAGGTAAAGTAATTTTTAGAATATTCATTATAAACTTAAATTAGACTGATAAATAAATAGGAACAGTTAAGCGAATTGAGGACGAGATATGTTGAATTTATAACAAGCTAACATTTATTGTATACAATGATCAAGGTGTATTCATGTGTGTGTTTATTTATGAATCTAGATGGAACGCGACAGCGGCGGACACATGTCGGGAAAGAAACATGAACCTTAGAAGTTTTGCTATGCTACTACCTTGCGGAATATCTCTTTTCTCTGGAGTAGAGTTTGTTTGCTGTCCTAAGCATCTGAAAGGTACATAAATGTCTGTAAATAATTCTATAAAAGTAGCAATATTGAAAGATACTGGAAAAAAAAATGTATCAATGAGTAATACAATTCATAGTGAAATAATAATAGTTGTAAACAGGACAAAAATGACACTTGAAGTTGAACTATCCTTGTCATTAAATAGAATGAGACAAAGTAATAGTGGATAAAGAGGCGTAATTTATCGAAAAACACGAGGGTGTATAAAATGAGTATAGTATAGAATACGACCTTTTGCCGTAACACGTTTTGCTTGGTGCTGCTGAAGCAATCAATAATGTACGTCTATGTCGACGACTGCGCGTCGCGACGACTCTGTTCAACATTTCTTGTCCTTTTCTACTCTTACTAAAAATGTATATCCACACATATATATATGTATTTTATATATTATATATAAATTTATGTATAGACATATATATTGCTATCCGTAGAATATCTATAACATAAAACGTTATGAAATTCTAGAGATAACATTAATGCAACTTCCCTATCCACTGGTATTAGTAAACGCCAAGTTACACATAGACATGACAACTGGAAACCTTGGACCAATGTTCATTTTTGCCTATTCAGCATTTGACTTTATTTGCGTCAGAATTGCGGCTATAGGACATCTATTTTTCTTTTTTTCTATCTACCACTACACCCTTGTCAGGAGAGAGAGAGAGAGAGAGAGAGAGAGAGAGAGCTCAATCGATCCCTCTTTTCACTCTTGGTCTCACTTTGATTATCGAGTATCTAAGCTATATGATGCTCCTCGTTACGTCTATTGCGCGCTAAATTAGCCATCTCGGAACTTTGACACACCAAAACTGAAGATTTTCACAATTTAGTCTTGAGGACATGAAAGGGTATTGTTATACTACAATTATAAAGGAATTCAATGAACATTAATCAATAACTATTTAGTCATTTTTCAATAACTGTTATACTCTTTTGTTCTTTTTTTTTATTTCTTACATGCCAAATAACTTCAACCAAAGTCTTAATATTGGCGTTCTACTTTTTTTTTTTTAAAAGAACAGAGTAATGCAAAAGAATAGGAAGACTTTTCATACATAACTACTAGCAAATACTTAGCCACGTGGCCTAGATATAAGTGCAAAGTGGAGAAAGCAAAGAAACTTGGAGGTGAGGAAGGATGTCGAGAAGATGGCTCATCAAGTCCAGCTCTCTATTTCTCAAAAATACTAAAAACAAGTCTCTTAAGATTCTAGTTAGTTCATATAGCTGTAGGCTATAACATCTTTTTAACAATGTTTAAATTAGTTCCTTTCTTTACTTCTTTTTTTTTTTTTTACTTTACTCAACTTCAAATAAAAATTAAGGAAAAGTGAGAAATGATTTTATCACAGTGAATTAAATTAGATTTTTAAAACTTCTTCGTATAAATGAATTCATTTAACTTGCATAATTTTGTAATTTTTTATTTAATATTCAATAGATTTAATAACTCACAAGGTGTCGTACTAATTGGTTGATTAATCAATTTTATTGCTGTTTTTTTTTATTCAGATACTATGAAACCAAAGAAACCAATAGATTTACCAGTTGTGAAAGGTACTGAAGATGATTTGGACGAAGATGAAGATGATTTAGATGATGAAGATGACATGGATGGAGATGGTGATGGTGATATCGACAGTGATGATGACTCTGATGGTGATCTCGAGGATGTTTTAAGCGATCAAGCATATGGAGATGAAAGTGATGAAGCTTATCTAGATGATTATGACACTACTACTGCTGCAGCAGTTGCTGGTAATAAACCAATAACGACTGTGTCAACAACTGAGAAAAATAAACAAGAAGCTACGGTAATGCCTGTACCAGTTAACGCAAGTTCTCAAGCTCCATCGCAATCTCAAGGAACACCGGATCCTTATTTGACACATTTTGATCCAAGATCAGAACATCAGAATTACAAACAAGCACAAATGAGACTTGAAGAAGTTCACAAAGAGAAAGTTACTAAGGTAAAACTACTGATAATTTTAATTGAAAATAAAAAGTAACTCCGTTGTCGAAATCTATGTGCTACAACTTTTTCAGGTGATGAAGGATTGGAGTGATCTTGAAGAAAGATATCAAGATATTAGAGCACGAGATCCGGTTGCAGCAGATGCATTCAAGCGTTGGATGACAGCTAGATTTCAAGAGACTGTTGCTGCATTAGAGGCTAGTGGAGCTGCTGAGAAACATCAATTGAGTGCAATGCATCAGCAGAGAGTTCAAGTGACCAATCAGTTCTTTTAAATTTTAAAAATAAAAATATTCTTAATAACTTTCCAGATGAAAGTAATGTGAATGAATATTTTTCTAGGAAGCTGTAAAGCAAAGAAATGAAGAGGCTATGTCGTGCTACACTGCTGCTTTAAATGAAACACCACCAAATGTAAGTGTGATAAAAATATACTGGACAGCTCATTAAAGGAATCTTACTGATTCTTTTGTTTTTTCTCATTAAAATTTTTTTTTTATAAAACGACCAGAGTAATTAAAAAATTTTAAGAGAGAGAGAAAAAAACTAGAACGTAGGAGCTTCAGAAAGCTTGCTAGTGCATTGAAATTTGATCATTTTTAGTGAAAATAAAGTTATCTGAACTCTACTGATATTTTTTTAATTTTGAATAAGCTTCTTTATCAGTTGTTTGATAAAAAAAATGTTGAATGATTAAAATATGAATTTATAAATCGATAAATTTTTAGATGCATCGTATTCAAAAATGTCTGCAAAAACTTCTACGTGCTCTTCATAAAGATCGACATCACACGATTGCCCATTACAAACACCTCTTGGATAGCAGTTTAGAACAGGCACAACGGGAAAAACCAGCAACGTTAGAACATTTGGCTGAGATTGATAGGATCACCAACCAAAGTCTCTTGATGTTGGAACGGTAGAGACTTTCTAGACATTTATCATCCTCTCCATTTGATCATATGAATTATTAAAATTTTTTAATACTTAAATCTATTAATTTGTCATGGAAATTCATCTATAGGTATCCAGAATTGAGTGCAAAAATTGGACGGCTGATGGATGATTATGTGTTGGCCCTTAGGAGCAAAGACGAGACACCTGGACTTCTTCTTGCTATGACACGTGAGGCTGAGGCTGCTATTTTGGACAAATATCAAGCTGATGTTACTAGTAAACAACAGGGTAAATATTATTTGAAATTTTTTATTTATTTTTTATTAACATTAATGATATAATTTTATTTTTATAGAAAAGGAACATCAAAAGCAGTTAGAACGTGAACGCAAAGAGCAACGTAAAGCAGAACGAGGTGAACTTCGTACAGAACAGGAACAACATGAGGAAGGAGACCCTGTTATTGAAAAAAAAGATTCGATTCAGCCGTTGGAACAACAGCCACAGGCTCAACAGCAATCTTCAGCAGCGGCTATACACAATGAAGGAATTATTAAGGCTTCTCGTAGCATGACTCATGATGTTTCACATTCCGAACCTGTAAGTTATTATTATTATTATTATGTTTCACTAGTAAAATTTACACAAATATTTTGATCTAATTGATTAACTCTCTGAATATTTAAATGTTGCAGAGCTACTCTTTAAGACGAGAAATTTATCATAGAGAAAGCCGTTCGGTTTACTTTACCGTGGCATTTGCTGGTATTGCTTTGATGGCAGCTGCGATAGTAGGTATTGCAATTTTCAAAAGACGTAGCGCTAGAAGCCCACACAGTCAAGGATTCATTGAAGTAGATCAAGCAGCAACTCCAGAAGAACGGCATGTAGCTAATATGCAAATTAATGGCTACGAAAATCCAACTTATAAATATTTTGAAGTGAAAGAATAAGTTAATTTAAATGATAGATGATTGATGCAGAATGTTTACACACCATTCGTCTTATTATCTTTCTCACTTATTACTTTGTGAGAGATCTTAAACAGTAGTTTGTAATTGATTTTAAATTGCTTTCACGATATCCTACAAAGATACTCGTATAGTATACAGAGAAAATTGGCCGGCTAATAGAAAAAATAAATGAAAAAAAAACAAAAAACGTTCGAATAATATCACAAGACGCATGATATTCTAAATGTGCCGTCCGTCATCGTAATCACGTGCCATAAAAGGCGAGGAATCGTAGGAATCTAAGTATTGAAAACACAATCATGTCTTTCTACTCATAAAATTTTAATATTCAATGCTGTTACTTAAGTTCTGATATTTTGTGGGATAATAAAAAATTCATTGCATTTAATATAAAACATATGCGATGCAGCTTTGATCTGGCAGCTGTATAGGCAGCTCTGTAGCTTTAACTGCAGAAAAATAATTGTGGATATTTATTGAAAGATCATAATGGGGAGGTAGATATTTAAAATTTAGTACGTACGTAAAAGTATATGAAATACTTTATTATTAAAACAAAATACTCTTAAAATATCAGAACGTCCATTAATAAGTATTTTAATTTTTCGATGTATCATATTTATTTAGTATTCTTATTTTATCTTCACTCCTCGTTATTATAATAATTATTGAGTACTTAATTTTCTTTAAGATTAATTGATTTTAATATTTTTAAACACTTTAATCACTAACGTATTTTAAGAATTGTAACAATCATAAACAGACAATTCGAAATAATAAGTATTTTTATTTGAAGAATTATTAATATTTATATTTTAAAAAAAAAAATAAAATAAAATAAAAAAGTACTTAAATAAATAAGTCTCATTTCATTTTTACAATAATAAAAGTTATGTCGATTATAAAAAAAATTCTAAGGTTTATAATTAAATTATTTCTCGTATAATATTAATTATTATGTTTACCTTTTTATTATTTATATGTTAGAAAATTACTAAGAAACAAAAATAGATAAAAATGAAAACAGACATTGAGCGAATAAAGTAATTTGATTTTTCAATAAAAATCATTCATACAATAACTATATCTTAGGTTAATATTTATAAAACATCATGATGATGATGATGATTGTAATAATAATAATGATATTATATTACACGTTCAATGCTTATATATTTATATACGATCGAGAGATAGAAAAACACGCACCTTTGGCCAGATTAGTATGAATAAGTAAACATCATAAAAAAAGTTTTTCTTCATTTTAATATTCGCAAAAATCATTCAGAAAATCGAAAAATAATAATATCAATCAATTCTTACGAAATATTTTTAACTAAACAAGTTTCATAAGAGGCTATTAATTCTTCATTGGAATTAGATGCAATAATAAAGCTGTATCAGATTAATATTAATTCATAACTATTTATTAATAAAAAAAATCTGCCGATTATGAGGTAGAAAAATATAAAAATATTTATTTATAATTGCTAAAAGTTGCGTGTGGTCGTTAGTTGCTTAAAAAATATGAGTCATGAGAGTAAGATGAAATAATAATAATAAATACAATACGTTGAAAAAATAAAAAATAATTTATTTCTCTCATGTAATTCCAATAAAATGATGATATTGGCCGAAGTACATTCACTAATACGACTATACACAGATACACATAACATGCAAAAACAAGAAAAAAAAATAGTAATCATAATAAAGAAAATTAATAACAATAATAATAATAATAATTAATAATAATAATAAATACCCCTATATACTATACTGCTAAATGTTATTAAAAATATTATTTTAGATATGTTAAGAAGATATAGTAATTACTACGTGAGTGTAATATGGTGGTGATGAAAACAACAAATAGCATCAATACACTGATAATATAGTAATGATATATAATTATATCCCTTTGAAATATATAAATACAATACAAAATAAAAAAATTAAAAGTATATACTTATATATCATTATGATTGGAATATTATGTACCTATAGTGTGTAGCAAATAAATACATTAATTGCCGCATGTAAACAGGACTGATGACGAGTTATAGGTATCTTTAAAAATCAAGATTTATTTATAATTAAAAGACTAATTTTTATTATTTAACTACTTTTAATAATAGACTTGTGTTATTTAATTTTTTAAGATGATTATTGATTTATATTAAATATCTGTCAATTTTTTAATATTTATTATGAACTGATAATTATGTTTATGTGATAAAGAAAAATATTTAAATGTTATTTTTAAAGTTCCTTTAACTCGATATCAGATTACTCTATACGTAAGTTTGAAAATTGATTTTTGTAAAGTAATTATTCTATATTAAATTAATCGACTTAGCTTAAATGCACGTGAGGTGTGAAGATATACAAACAAAAAAATATACGTCCTTCAGTAGTGATCCAATTTGCAAATGGATTTAATAATTAAGATACTATTTATTTAAATCATCTATTTATCAAATATTTATTTATATTTTATACCAATTATAATCAATTTATTATTTATATGTATCACATAATAGTTGTCACACATTTGAAATATTTTTTATCATAAGTATCTAAGTATTTATTGTTGCACTTTTATTTTAATCTTTGTTATTTTTATTCTTCTTTTATTAATACAAAATGCTTGAATAACCGTTTATCATTGAATAATAAGCAATTTTATTGCATATGTAATATCTATAGTACATTAAATAATTTTTAAAATTCAAAATGTACAGCCGATTTGCCCAAATTTTGCTTCGCACACGGCATTATTGAAAATAATGTGTCGAATAACATTTGTCACTGTACAATATTTATAAGAATAAAAGAGAACGAGAGAGCGAGCGAGCGAGCGAAAGAGAGAGAGAGAATGACAGACGGATGATGATTGAGAGTAGGAGATGAAGCTCGGAAATAAAAGCTTATTTACAGCAATATCTTTTAGAGAAAAAGAATAATTTTTTTTTTTTGTTTTATTTTTTCAATGTTATTATAATATTATACATTTATCCGCAGCACATCTTATTATTAAACTTATACTCTCAAAATATATATATATATATATATATATATATATATATATATATATATATAAATATATATTTATTTCTTTGAATGATAATATTTATTGATAGATATAATATATTAATATAAAGTGCAGATGACAAAATTTTTTTACACAATTTAGTTTCCTTTGTCATTATTAAAAACTCGTAAAAAATTCATTGTGTTTGTGGATACATGTAACTCTACTTATCAATAAATATATATTAAAAATATTTTTGTTGGAATTTTTATTAATTAAGTGAACCCAATTTGTTTGAATAATTATTTGTATATTTTTATTGTAACTGACCCTTTGTAGCTACATGTGACATTAATAATTAATACAACAATAATAATAACAAATAATTAATTAATTATTATTAATATTTAACAATTTAAGTATTTTAAAATTTATTTTATTATCAACAAAAGATACAAAAGATTGAATCACTAGATTTATCATTGAGAAATGAATTAAGAATAATAATTAAAAATATTCAAACAAATTTAAGTATTTTAAAATTATTATAAATAAATGAGAATTATTTTAGTTATAAAAAATTTTAAACTTATAAAAATATTGGATTATATTTCTGTTATCATTTATTATAATCTCTCATTTTTACTTATTTGTTTTATTATAAAATCCAAGATACGATGAAAGATAAAATTATTTTAAAATCTCGTTTACATTTTTTTTATTATACAATTTCTCAGATCATGTAATTGTTATCAATCTATCAACATCCTTCTAAACCTGATATTTTTTTACAGCGATTAATTACTAGTTTGCTAGTGTACAAAGTTGCATGACATAAAGTTGCTTGGTAATCCAATTAAATTTATCCAAATTAAACTTAATTCACAACAAAATCAAGCTTAACAATATTTTATATATAAATAACTAAAAAAAATTAACCAACCTTATAAAAATATTAAAAATTAAAATAAAAGCCACAGTGAAATATTTATTATACACTATAAAAAATAAATTTTAAGACCAAGTAAATAATTTCTACTGCTAAATAAATTAATATTGATTTTAATTAATTATTTACTTAGCATAAGTGATTGAATAATTTTGAACCTTCAACAATTATATGTTTAATTGATGTGAAAAATTTTTTTTATTCAATGTAGACTGCACTGTAAATCCCAGTTTTCCAAAATGCATTATTTTAACGCGGATAAGTGTGTAAATATAACGTCACGCATTTAATTAACATTGTAGTTACTTTGTACACACTTAAATCGGCGTTACAAGTGACTACAATGTTAATCAAATGGCCGACGTCATATTTAACACACTTATCCGCATTAAAATAATGCATTTCATCGAAAACTGTGATTTACAGTGATGTTGAGAGATTTGCAAAAAGATCAGTGATTATTTGTCAATCATCTTGGAGCATAATATTTCAAGCTAAAACATAATAAATAATTTGATAAATTTAATTAAAACAAATAGTGTCTGATACACGCAGAGAAGTATATAGTAAAAATTACCCTGAATTTTATAGTAATTTGGTGACACTGTAGGGTGAGGGTAAAAATTACTATACACATAGTAAAAATAACTGTGCACATTGTTAAAATTACTAAACTGCATAGTAATTTTAGGGTGGAATTAGAGTAAAAATAACGATGCAGTTTAGTAATTTTAACAATGTGCACAGTTATTTTTACTATGTGCATAGTAATTTTTACCCTCACCCTACTGTGTCACCAAATTACTATAAAATTTAGGGTAATTTTGACTATACATTTCTCTGCGTGTAATTTTGACAAATAAGACTCTTTCTACCATTTTGTATAATAAAGGGGCGGTGCTTTCTGTTTGCACGTTCAACGTATATCCCTGCTGCTGTTGCTGCTGCTGCAATAATCGCACGAGAGGTGGTTCGTGCTTGGGTCGGGCGCGCGCCGTTTTTGATACTCGAGCCTAGTTAGTCTCGCGCATTCTGCAACATCATACAATCTCCTCATTCAACGGTCTCACTTCAAAATCTCTGTGGCAATTTAGTGTATCTATTGTTGTTTTTTGTTTATCACTTTTCTATCACTCATATCATTTTTATTATTGTTAATAATATTTTGCGAATTTTAAACACGTGTTGATAGATCGCAAAAATTAATTAGTTAATTAATTATCTTACTTCTGCATAATTGTTTTGCTAAAGTTTACCGTCGAGAATTTATAATCTTTCATGCATAAATGATTGATGACTGTGTAAATACAACTGCGATTAGAAATAATCAACTATAAATACGTCTATTTGTCTGCAACAAATTGATGATTGACTTTTGATAATTTATTTAACAACATTGAACATAAATTTAATTAATTTTTTATTTACTTAATCAAAGGATACTGTTTTTCAGATATTTTTATTGTCAGTAAAAAATTGTTAAACACAAAATAATGATGTTATTTTAATAAATGAATAATAGTTTTTTATAATAATAATAATAATATTAATATTTTTTTTTATAAAATAAAATGAAATTATTAATAATAAAAGTGAAGTGCTGAGAATAAAATAGCGATGATAATAATTTTGATAAAATAATTGAAAAAGTTGGTAATAAAATATCTGGTGGATTAATAATTAAAAATAAAAATTATTTGTTAACATAATATAATCTGTATATCATACCAATGGACTTGAGTACATCATCATCAAAACGTTCACCATCACCGAATAATGTTGATGTTAACACTGAGAAAGTGAATCATCGAGTTGCCAAAAGTGTCTTTAGTATTCGCAACATTGTCGAGACTGCCAATCATCATGCCACTGATACATCTGCTGAAAAAAATCCTAATGGTATGTATTTACATTAAATTGAACTTCAAAAAAAAAAAAAAAGTAAACCTGTAGACAATAACTAGGTATTATAATAATCACTTCTGAATCTTACAATGAGAAAAAAATTTAATGTGAACAAGAAATATATTTTTTTTTTTAATAACAAAATAAAAATTTAAAATAGATGCAATGTTTTTAATTTTTAATTTTTTTTTTTTTAGAGATCTTTATTGTTGATAATGATTTTTAACTATCATAATAATATTTTTCAATAAAAAAATGCAAAAAGAATTTTTTCTATAAAATTAAATGGAAATATTAATTTTTCCAAATGTCCACTTTTCTATTTATTTATTTTAATAAATGTAATTAATAAACAAAAAGAAACATATTATTGATTTTGAACTAAACATCAAAATTCATTTCATTAAATACAACAGAAATTTTTATTAAAAATATTCCAATTTTATTTAAATTAATTAAATGAACATTTTTTTATTGGCAAAAATTTTTTTCTCACTGTCAGAGAGCCTTAAGGTTAATTTTAGAACACAAAGTAACGATATGTAAAGGTGTAAAAAGATATTTATAAAAAATTGCAATAGATGATAAAAAGTAGTAAAATTTGTACAAATGATTAAACCAAGTTGAAGGGTTTGAGCGTTAAAATATATTAATAAATAGTTAAATAAAGAGAATATAATAATTAAAGTTGAGAAAAAAATGCAAATCATCAGTATGAGATGAGCAGCCGTGAGGCGGTGGTAAGACTAGATCATAAATAATCTAGACAGCAGGGTTTTTACGCCTGCGTTTACCCGCGCCTCCAAACTGTTGATTGGTTGGCCTTTGATTCACTAATTGTGTTTTATTATAAATCTATATACTCCCTGTATATTAAACTTGGCGCATCATTGACTACGTCTGGTTAATTTTTCTTTTTTTTTCCATTTTATATATGCACACATATGTATACATTAAAAAATTTATTTATATTTTTATAAGAAGGAATGAAAGAGGGAAAGTTATTATTATAAGTTGAAAAATAAATATTTTTATTGAGTTTTATTTAATCTCTGTAAGTTCAGTATTTTCATAATCTAATCATGTTGGTTAATTTTTTTTTTTAACGATGTTTGTGTGAGTATGTACATGAAAAAATTTTTTTTTTTGATGATATGCTTAGAATGACTAGACAAATCTTAATTTAAAATCTCTTTTTCAATATAGTTTTTTAAGTAGCTTGATGTTAATGATAGATTTTAGAGTTAATAAATGAAGTCATTTTTAAATTTATTTGAATAAATATAAATATTATTTATCTTTATTTACTTTATCGGAGAACAGTCGAATTTATTATTTTAAAATAGATAATTAATTATAATAATAATTAACATTAAATGACAATTTTAATTTTCCAGACAAAATAAACTTAGTAAATTTTAATTTTATTTTAATAAATAAACTATCTGTTGGAGCTATTTTATTTCCTCATATCAAATGTACACAATTGTTAATTAATATAAATTAATTTGTTAATTGCAAATTAATTTTCCCTGAACAAAAATTTGTAATCGGACTTAAATCCAAGTTTATTTATTTATTTATTCATTTAAAACAATCAATTGATATTTTTATTATTAAATAATGTATTTATTAAATTAGTTGACATATGAATGAAATGAATTTCTTATAAAATCTTATAATCCTTAACTCAATTAAATAAATAAAATTGATTATTTACAAGATAAAGTCAAACTATAAATCCTCAACAGCAATGATTATATATTTTATTCATTTCTCTTACAAATCATTACAATCATTATTTTCAGTAATTTTCATATAAATTTAATCGAAGAAAATGAAATGTAATTTATTATCTTAATAAGATAATATAAACAATATAAGAAAGGTATAAAGTAAAATGCATAATAGAAATTATTGAGTAGAAAGCTCACTGCACCCTGTAATATTTTTTAGCGTGACATATTGCTAGTATGGCCAATTAATCGCATCCGTCAATTTAACTGATGTTTGCGCACCGATGCAAAAGTAATTACTAATCCCATTAAGTGTAATGGATATGGAGTTTAAGGAAAAAGTTTGTTAAATTTTTTTTCGTATTTTAAAATGAGTAATACACGATATATTACATTGCAACGATAAATTAATAATAAATTTTATTAATCTTACTGTAAATAATAAATTAATTTTTCCTAATTATATTTTTTTCTTCTCAATCAGTGTAATACACATTGGTATTATAATCGTGATTTTAAAAGTTAAATTTTATTTGTCACAAATCCTTCATATTATCAGTACAAAAATTTACTTACAAAAATACTTAACAATAGAAGAAAATAAAGTTATACAAGCTATTAAAATAATAGATCTCCGTATAAACCTGTATGCTTTTGCAATTAACAAAAATATTATTTCAAACTGTAACAGCTATAGTTACTTACTGTAACAACTAGTTACTATAGGCTCTAGAAATTTGCCAACAATATAAAATATAGAGAAGATAAAATATATGACTGATAAAAAATTCTTCAACAGTATCGTAATCGTAATTTTTTTTAGGGGGTATTATGTTATACATAAAAAACAAAGCAGTTTTTTATCGCAATAATAAGATAACAAATATAATTAGATATACTTTTATTTTGTGGAAAGAAATAAAGTGTGCTAAAGTATAATATAAGAAAGACCTGATATCCGGGTGTCTCGTCGTCGCGCGGTTTGTTTTAGTCTTTAATTTCCGGCATGTTGGTAAGGCCAATTAGTCGTTTCCTCTTTTGCGGCTAGGGCCTAAGACCGGAAATTGACAAGGAAATAAAAATTTAAACGGCAACTAAATCTTTCGGAAAAACATAAAAAATTTTTGTTTGTTAAATACTCTTGGTTGTATTTTGTGTTTAGATAAAATCATTTTATTGATAATTGAGCTTAGCATGTGGTATAATTTGAATTAAATAAAACTGTATAGCATTTAAAAAAATAATTAAATCATTAGCAATGATTGTTCATTTTTTTTGTGAGTAATTTTTAAACATTTAGATAAATATTATTAATTCTAATTTAGTTATTTAAATAGCTTTATTGAATTAATTTATATTTACAAATGAAGTAAAAATATGATTTTGGAGTAGTATTTTTAAATCTAATTTTTTTTTTTAAATAAAAATTGTTTAAAATGAAACAATATAAATTATTTACAACAACTGTAGAATATAATACAGTTGTTTAAGGTATTTTAATTGAGATTAATCTTTCTTAAGATTTTTTTTTTACTGCATTAGAATGATAGATTATTAGAAAATGTTTGTTTTAATACAATTAAAACGATTAATTGATTAAAAGTCGAGTTGTTCGAAATCAAAGTTGATTGTTATCACCATTTAAATCAATGACAATAATTTATATTTATTAAAGAATAAACAAATAAAGTAATTACATTCTTTTTCATTACGAAAAGAAAAAAAAAATTAATTTGGAGTAAAAATAATTTCGGAGCAATTTTTTTTTTTTTTAAATACTCCAATAATAAATTAAAGTCATTTTAAACTCGTTAATATGCATCATTTCATGAGGTTTATTTAAAAATATCTCAATTACTTGAAAACCATACAAACCAAGTGACTTCGTTTTGACAAAAAGTCTCATTAAAAATTGCAGCGAAAACTCAAAAAAATATTAATCTAATTAAAATGTATAATTCATGAATTAATTCCCAATTAAAATCTAAAGTTTAAATTCATTTAAAGTCATTCAATTGCTCTTAAACCAAAACAAGAATTTATTTGACTCTCAATTCATCAGAAAAAACTTTCAATAACTCAACAATCATCAGTAAAACTACTAATTATTCATTTCACTGATTAATTATCTCCCCCCCCCCTCCCAACCCAAAAAAAAATTAATCACAACAAAGACTAATTTCCTCAACATTACTCCACTCTAATCTCCATCATCAACTTCACGACAAAAAAGTCGAAAAGAATAAAATTCAAGATAAATTATTAGACATTCTTGAAAACAAATAAGATCAATAAAAGCTGCGAATAAAATACAATCATTAATATATAAATACATTTAAGTGGGCGGGAACTATGACACTATTGGTCATGATAAGTTGTAGGGGGCGGTACGTGTGGTTATTACGTATTATCGAAGGAGTTGTACCACACACACACACACAACTACATGGGGGAAAAAGTGGTGGGGAAGTTGGCAACATGAACGAAGGAGTAGGGATTGAGTAGATCAGGCTGCCACTGCGATCGTCGCAGTGTGGTGGCGACGGTGAATTCTATACGTTTACCTTCAGGTTGTAGTAAATCTGTATATATAAAAGACAATATCGTTATGAATAGAACGCAGACGCGATAAGTGACTCTCCACGCGCAGTCGTTAGATTGTGAATTAAATTTGTGTATCTGTCATATATGGTGTTTATGTGATTTTTTATTTATTTTATTTCTCAATCAGTTTGCAAAAACGCGTGATTCAATTCTTTTTTTTTTTTTCACTTCTCAACACTTTGACTTTAAATTAGCATTATTATTTTTTCTACTTTAACCTGAGTATTTGAAAACTATCAACATTTATGTCTATATAAACACATAATGGTTTTTTAATTGATCTCTAATTAGACTCTTGAGTGTATGAAATATTATAAATGATTTAAATAAATAAATAAATTGGTGTAAAATCAGTGAATTGATATTTATGTAGTAATGTATTTGTAAAGTATAGAGAATAAGTTATCATTAAAATGTGTTGGAATATTGATTATTATATAAAACAATGGAATTTGTTGAGAAAAATGTAAATGGATGAGTTTAAATATTTTTATATGTAAAAAAAAAAAAAGGAACATTGTCTTTGATAAATGTGTACTTGATTGTAAAGTGCATTACCGTCGCCAACGTACCTAGCACAGCTGTTTGATCGTATCTACTACTGTGTAAATTACATGAAATATAATAAAATAATAAAAAATACACCAGTGTAATCAAGGTACGTAGATTTTCCCCTAGATTCTCATATGATAGATGCTTATTAGTTAGGATATGTTACGTTCATTTTTCTTTTTTTTTATCATTTGTCAATAATTATAGAGCCCGTAAATTAGATTTATGTAACATACTCAGCAAATGTGATGATTTTGTAGCTGATGACTGCATGATAGAAAAATATCATCCAATCTACTTCTTTATTTATTTAGATTTCAATCAGTTTAATTGTTTAAATAATTTTTATATTGCAATATTAACATTTTTAAATGAAAGATAAATGTAGGAAATAATTAAAAATATAACGATCAAAAGCCTTCAATGATAATTATTTAAATAAATTAAGTTTATTTTACATAATTAATTTGGTGATCATAACAAAAGAAATTTGTAATAATAAAAATCATTAAATTACTAAAATTTATATAGATTTAATGTTCTTGATTTTTTAATTATTTTTATTTTATTATATTGAATAATGTTATTATATAAAATAATTAGGGAGATGAGATGAGTAAATAAATGGATAGTGTTGATATGAGAATAATAATATAAAGTTGTTTGTAAATTTATGTACGTACGTGTGCGCATTTGTTTTATGAAAGTGTTGGCAATTTTATTTATTTTCATTTGAACACATTTTATCATCATGAACGTGTCGATAATATATTGGAATTGATTTGTCGTGACACGTGAGCATAACATGATGACAGAGAATCAATTTATACATATGTATATGTGTCGAAAAAATTCGGGGACAGAAAGAAATATTTCTTGTTGAAGTGAACGCGCTGACACTTGGACACTTTTATTCTAGTGTTTCTATTTTATGTTAATATGAAGAATATATTGACAAGTCCCTCTGGTTTGATCTAATGAACTACTTCTTATATTTATTTGCAATGAAAAAAAAAAATTAAACTCTAGAAAAAAATACAATTATCTAATTTTGACGTTTTTATTAATTATTTTTTTTTAAATTATTCATCACAGAATAGATCAGTAATGGAGTACCTTATTGGTTAAATTTCTTAACCAATAAGAAAAGAGTCACTCACTTTTCGATAAATCGAAATATATTGATAAAAATGAATGACTCCTTTCTTATTGGTTATTTCATTTACGCGGGAAATTTAAAAAAAATTAATCATTTGCATTGAACATCTACAGCGCTAATTTCCATTATACTTAAAAATATAATCACACACTTGGATTTGTAGTGTAGTAATATTCTAAACCAAAAAATAAAGCAACTCAATTTATTCTTAACACAAAACTATGAATATTTCTGTAATGAAATGTATTTAAACATGAAAAAGGATTAATTAATATCTAAAATAAGATGATCAGACTATCTTTAAACACCTGGAAAGACATTTTACAGTAATATAACATGATTGGTAAAGTAACGATAATTTTTAGTAAAAAAAAATCTCGCAATTATACACTGATGTATGACTGAAGTAACTGGTACTGCTATTCAGTCTGTACTATTATTCTTAACGTACTTATATGTAATACTTATACATAACACATATACTCACTAGAGTAATATAATAAGAATGTCAAGGGTGTGCAGTCCGCGTGTTTATACTTGGTCAGGTTGACTGTAGTGGGGTGATCCATCGAAAATTACTCAAGCTACATCGTGTATATAGTCACGCCAGGATCTTACTAATGGGCTTTAATTGTGTACTCTACCGCTTGCTATATCTTTCATTATTACTTTTTATATCTTTCTCTTATTATCCAACCATTTTATTGCTAATGTTCATTTCTAGTTACATGTACATGCTGTAAGCTTGTCACAAAGTATATTTCTCATCCAACCCTTATCCTATTATTATTATTCCCATAACATACCATCAACAATTTTGTTACACATATTATGCACAAAAAGAATACCTGTATGAACATTAATCAACAGTGGATTCCAAAAAAAAATAAATAATAAATGGCAAAATACAAGAAAAGATATACGGGTAAACGTTATTTTTCCGTTATGCAACTTAAGTTTCATTATATCGACACGTTGGTATAACGCGATTAAAAAGACATAATGATTATCATCAATTATTAACAATTACCAAGCAGAACAGCAAAAAATATAATTATATGCCATTAATCATCATATACATACCAATATTACTACATTGCATCTGCTTTTATATATATTTATATTTATGTATATTATTCACTATTGCATTTTTATATTAATCTATCATGTGTATATCAATAATCATGTCGTTACAAATTATTTTATCTTTTTCTCTTTTTTATTCATACTTTAATGGTACAGCAGTATAAAAAGAAAAAAAAAAATTATTAATTTATTTGATGCATGGGAAAAATGTTACTATAGCAATTTGTATGATTAGTTGGATTAATGGGATATTATTCATATTATATGGATATTATAAGTTTTATATATTGGTGTAGTGATGAGCTGTTTAACTATTACAGCTACGTGGATGACACAAATCATACAATTGACTTGGATTGTAAGCAATACTTATCTCACTTTTACTTCAGAAAATTATTCTGAGGTAAGCGGTTTAATAGATAGGATTGTTAATTATTTCTTTTATTTAAATTCTTACTAATTTTAATCAGTCTTGTCGTTTCTTTTAGGTTCTCTCTCTAATTTACTGGTTTACTGGAGTCATCAAAAAGCATTGGTATTAATTAAATTCTAACAACTATTCTGAGATTAAATTGGCAAAAAGTATTGATGAAATTGGCTTTTCAATTAATTGAAATCGTGAAGTTTCTTATGCAATTGATTTTCTAAAATCAGTTAATTAATTTAATTTAATTAATTTCTACATTTATGTCTAATTAAGCTTCAAGCATTGCTTTAAGGAATCATTCATTATATCAATGGTTATCACTGCAAATCCAAGTGTTTGAAAACTAAACACTCAAAGTGTTTAAAATATTAAACCCTTTAAAGATTTCATTACTAAACACTTAATATTTTCCAGATTTACGGTGCTTTCTTTTAAAAAACAATAACCAATAAAAATTATTTAATTATTTAACTCCAATCAATTTTTTTAGCAGCTTTAATTAGTATTAAATTTTTAACTCATTATTTTTATCTTAACTTTAATTATCATAAATAAATATTTGTTTAAATATTTATACAGTACCTATCAAAAGTTAGTAAAAATATTCAAGTCAAAATTTCCAGGTCTTCATTGCAAATCCAGTGTTTAATGAGTGTTTAAACAATCTAAACATTTAAAATGTTTAATAATAAAACACCCAAGTGTTTACAATGTTGAACATCATCATTTTTCTGTTACTTTTTTAATGATTTGTTTGTTTTTTTTTTTTTTTTAGAGAATTCGATATCAACTAATCCTGAGGCTGTGGTTCAAAACATCAATAAATCTCCAAACCAGTCAGATGAAGTACATTCACATCATTCTAATGCTATCCAATCCTTATCACTACCTCAACAACAACAACAGCAACAGCAACAGTCATTGCAATATTCGCAATCTAATATACGACAAAATATAAGTCGGATTCAAATGGGTATATCAACAACTACAACTGATGACGATAATCGAATGGAAGACGGAGAAGAACCTCATTCACGGAGTGTTGTTGCTGCGGCTACGCCTACAAGTCCAGAAAGTGATGCAGAAGTTGATGATTTTGCGCCTAAACGAAAACAAAGAAGATACCGAACGACCTTTACCAGCTTTCAACTTGAAGAATTGGAGAAAGCATTCACACGAACTCATTATCCTGATGTCTTTACCAGGTATGATAATTTTTAAATTTTTGCTCATTTTTATTATTATATTTATTTTAATAATATTATATAACGAAAAAATATTCAAAACTTTATATAGAATGTTAAAATTTATTTTTTGTTATAAGAGAAAGTTTGATTGGTTAAAAAATGTCACAATTCTTTTTTTCTTAAATTGCAATAATTATTTTTCTCAACAGGTCAATAACTTTTTATTGGAGTGGAAATAATTGAATTGATGATGAAATAATGATTTTTCAATTAAAAATAAAAATTAATATTTTGATAAATTATTAATTATTAAAAATTAAATCACTATTTTATATCTTGTAAATTAATACAATGTCATTAATAATAGTAAAATTGATAAACACTTTTTTTTTTAATTAATTATAACTATTAAAAATGTTTAAATAATTTTATCAGTTAAAATCTGATATTAAAAATACTATAACTAATAATAGAACACAAGTTATTTTTGTAATTAATATTTTATAAAAAAAATTCAATTATAGTGATAATAATCGCAATAACCAGGCTAAAAGTACCTTTAGAATGATTATTTGATTAAAAAGATAACTTAATAATTTTAATTTTTCTTTACCCAATAACTACTTTGTATTCATCCTAATTGTCTTTCATTTTAAAATTGCTATTATTATAAATAAAATTTTTAAAATTATAATTGTCAAGAAAAAAAATATTTTAATTAAAAAAAAAAGTCATAATTGTTTGCCAATTTACATGACATAAAAGTATCTTGAAATATTTATTTTCTTCTAATTATTTATATATAATTTATATACATGTCAATGATACACATATGGTTATTATTCAATGGGCGTTTGCAACTACTACCGCTTTTAGCACGCTAATTGGATTTTATGGTCGTTCGTGTTTATTGGCTAGACCTACGGGGCGTATCTGTAGTTTTATTTACCTTTTAATACATATTTATCGCAATCACAACGACACGATAACTATACGATGACGATGATGATGATGACAAGGTGTTGTGCGTATGTATGTAATAAAAGTGTACAACATATTCTGTGAGAGTTTTATTATTTTTTTCTTTTTTTTGCGATTACAATTACATTACATACACATACACATGTAGATGAATTTTCTTTACGTCAAGTATAGTAATTTAAATATGAAGATAAAATATCATAGTTGTAGAAAAAAAATGTGACACCTTATTAGAGACCATTCATCAAATTTAATGAATGAAATATTTTTTATTTCCACTGATTTGAATGAATATTCAAAGATCAGATTTGGAGATTAACATATTTTATCGATAAATTGTAGATCATCTCATCTATAATATTATCTAGAGACTGAAAAATTTGTGTGAAAATCAAATCAAATGGAATTGAAATTATAATAATGTATTTGATTAATAAAAAGGACGTGGTGGTACACTGTTGTAATAATATAGATATATATCTGTTGCGAGATCACGGAAACAATTATCGTTATTAAGTTCCACACTAATGTCCTTGAGACTCTCAACGGCGGCGGATCTTCGCATTTTATTTTCTCTCTCAAAAAGAATCCTCCAAACTCGCCGCGTAATTCATCTGCAGTGTATTATATCCAACTTTTTTCTTATTCCCAGGAAGTTGTGTAGTCAAACCAGCTTTCCGGTAATAAAATAATATTTTACTCAAAACAATCTGGTTTAATTTTAATTGCACTGATTATTTACTGTTATAGATACTCTATTGTATTCTGATAATTTTGATTATTCTATTTTTTATTACCTTTTATATTTCTTATTTTTCCTTTTTCTGATAAAAAAATTCATTTTCTATTGTTATTCATTAAATGTCATGATAAGTAATAATCATGAACAACAAATCCGTTTAAAAACTAAATTATTTATAAAATAAAAACAAATCATTATTCTGTAAAAATAATTTACCTTTACATATCTTTAATTACAACAAAGAGAAACAATAATTTTCCTTGAAATATTAATTATATAAAAAAAATATACAAACAATAAGTGAAATAATTATAAGTAATTGATGTATTTAATTTAAACTGAATGAAGTTCATTAAAAATAAAAGGAAATTTTTTATTTAATAAATATCTATTGATAAATTGATTAGAATATATAAATAATGATATCAAACAATTTTAAATAATTTTTTATTGATTCTTTTCAGGGAGGAACTTGCTATGAAAATTGGTCTTACAGAAGCTCGAATACAAGTGAGTAAATTCTTCGAGTTAATTACAATAATTAAATATATATATATGAATAAATACTTGTCACATACATTAGGCTATTCAATGAACATCAGAGTGTGTGAATATATTCATAAACAATAGTAATAAAAATAAAAAGTAACAATTGAGAACCCCTGAGAATAACAGAAAATGACACGCATCGTGTAGCATGGCGTTAATCATTTCGAAGAAAATAACCATCTAGCGAAAGGGATCTTTATACACAATACAATATTATTGTCGAGCGATGTAATGAAATATTAGTTACATTGTTTCCAATAGAAAGAAACCATTTAACTGGTAAAATAATATTCAATGTTATATGATGAATTAATATTTAATCCCGTTAATGAAGTTATTTAAAAGATTAACTATGACATACTTTTAAGTACTTTTGTTGCAGTAAAATTGCATTATATATTACCGTAAATGATTATGTTCAATATGTAGTTATGTATTTTGCAACGTATAATATGTACAAAATGTGTGCAATGCAAGAAAAATATAGATTAAAAACGAGGGATAAATAAATAAATAAGAATAAAAGTAAAAAGTAAGTCCAAGGTGGTCCAAACGTGCGGTAACAAACCTGCAGCAAAATGTCCGGGAGTCGTTTGTCGGCACTCTCTTTCATCAAGTCTCTCAACTCTTTCCAACTCTTTTCCGCCAACTCGGTGCCCGCGCGCGATCATCGTTCGAGGGATTCTGGGAAACACTACACGACATATCGCGTGAGTCGCATTTTTTTCCTAAACTCTACTACCTTTATTATCCCATTCTTATTTTCACTTCTTTTTCAATAGAAAAATTACATTTCCTAAATATACATACACACACATATTATATAATTGCATGATTTGTATACTAAATTACTAATGCTATTTAACTAACACTTTTGTCTATGACACTGAAGATTAACTTTTAATGATGAATCGCTTTTTTGTTCGAATTAAATTGTTTGTTAGAAGATGAAAGATTTTTTGTTATAATTATTTTCAAAGAATTAAGGAATAATGTAGAAATTAAATTACTCTCTTATTTTAATGATTTGTTTTAATTAACTTTTTCTCAAGTTTTAAATTGATCTTGATACTTTGGAGTTCACTTCAATTTCAAGATTCATTTTACTCAAGAAATTTTTACGTCTTTATATATTGGGTAATTTCATACCAAAGGATACCAAAGTTAAATAAAAAAAAAAAAAGGTTAAAATTACATTTTTTTATTTCGTTTTAAAAAACTGAAAATTTTTCGAATAATTCAGTGAATTTAAAGAACTTTTTGTATCTGAAAATTCCAATTTTTTTTTTTTTTTTTATTCTTTCAATTATTTATTTCTGTAATCAATTGAATGAATTTCAAAGTCAATTATTTATTAAATTTTGTAAGTAATTAATTTTTTTATTATAAACAAATGATTAAAATTATTTCATTGTGGTTTTTATTATTTAATTATATATTGAAAAAATTTTTAGCCACTCTATTATATTTTATGATCCATTAACTGTCTTGTGAATATTTTATTATTTATTAAAATTACATTCTATTTTAACAGCTAACGTTTAACTGGTAGAGAAAATCATAAATCATTTTTTCAATGAATAATTGAATTTATTTTTACCAACTGTCAACTTTATATTCTCTGAAATAATACTTTTCATACTACTAGGATAAATATTGTAAAATAAGATGAAAATAATAATTATAAAGCAATAAAAAATGTTTATTAAATTAATTAGAAAATTTTAATAACATAGAAAGTGTTCAGTCAATTCATGTCTCATTCAGAAACTGAAAATAAACAAATTAGTCATGCATTGTTATAAAAAAATTAATTAACTATCAATGTAAGCATTAATACACCACCATCAGAAAGTTTAAAAACATCCTTTTAAATTTCAATATTTATAAAATAAAAAGAAAATTTTTTAAGCTTTGAAATTTTTAAAAATAATAATTTCCTATGACAAACATCAAAAGTAAATAATACCTTTTTTTAATTTAATTAATTAATAAAATTTTATTTTGTTCTTATCGTTACTCTATGTCATCATAAGACCATGATTTAATCAACTTTTAGAAGAATAAATAAAAATAATTATTAAGCAAATAAATTTTATAACATATTTATTACAAGCCATATTATAATTAGGAAAAGTAATTAAAAAATCATCATTTCAATTTCGTTAGCCACATGATAGTATATTATTAAAAGTGTAATAAGTAATTGTATGGAAATATGAATATAAAGAATAAATAAAGCAAAAAGAGAAAAAAGTACACATGATAAATAAAAGGAAAAAAGTAGATTGATTCGATGGATTGGGGCGATCATCTGCTGCAGGCTGACTTACAAATCGAATGGATAATAAGTCCCGAATGCCGGCGGCTGTAGTAATTAATGTACCGCAATTAAGGTGGAAACGGCCGGGTTTCGCAGAGAGCGCGTCGGCGCGTTTTGTTTTAACCCAAAGATTGTTTAGCTCCCTGCTGCTGGAGAATTAGTAGTAGAAGCAGTTGGGGAATGGAATGAGGATAGCTACGACGGCGGCGGCAATAGTATAAGAAGGAATCAGGAGAGACAATCGTCTTCACCATAGGGGGTTATTTCTTTCTTTATTTATTCTTACTTCCTTTTTCTTACATCTAATTTTTTCAATATTTTTTCTAAGTATCAAGTATTGAAGTATGAAAAATATCCCGAATTTAGATAATTAAATTTTTTTTTTTTACATCATTATCCCAACGTAAATCACAAATCTTATTTTGATTTATCAATGAGATTAGATGTATATAAATTAGCAGAATATAGTTATATATAAATCTTATAATTGGATAAGTTTGATGAAATAAATTCTGTTGAGTTGTATCAAGTACAATTTTACACATGTATGTATGTGTGTATACATATATTTCATTGCATGCTGTCACGAGAGCCAACGCACACCGATCATCATACCCTTCTGTATGATATACGTGTAATAGGTATATAGGTGCAAGTATTACATATATATACACACATCAACTGAATGTGATTAACTTACAGCTGTCTACAGCACTGCATCTTTGGTACCGGCATGTACTACTGGAACAACCAACACTGCTATTTTATTCTTATTATTATTTTATAAATTATTCAATGATATAATTATTACTCACTTTTAACAGACGTTCTTCAAAATTATTTCAATTTCTAGCTGTAATAATTATTAATTTAATCATTGATTGGAATTATAATTGAGTTGGATATTTAATTGATTCTTTCAATGCCTGATATTCAGTTTGATTGATTAATATCAAGTATTTTAATTGACCAACAAAATCATTCACAAAGCTATAACTTTATAGAAAAATACTCCATGTTAATGAAACGGATTTGATCTTTATCGAAGGCAACATGATTATCCATGGTGATAATTTGTTTTTGGAGTAAATTTTAAGTAATATCAATGATATCGTCTTTTTTTAAAGCTCTAATTAGTGATGAAAGAATAAAATAGTATTTATCCAAGTGAATTATGTTTATTATTTAAAAAAAAAAAAAACTTTTGTTAGTATTAGCTAATAAAATTAAAAAGAAATTGTATATATTCATTGCAGGTCTGGTTTCAAAACCGTAGAGCTAAATGGCGAAAACAAGAAAAAGTGGGTCCACAAGGGCATCCTTATAACCCCTATCTAAGTACACATCCACCATCAACAGCAATTGTTGCGCCAACTTTACCACCTACTGCACCACATCCATTTGCCTGCACTCATTTAGGAACATTTACCTTACGAAAGCCATTCGACACTGCATATCGGTATGCAACACCATCACTTCCTCTAGGACATGGCCAAATACTAAGTAGTGGAGCTGGTGATAATGATAATGGAGGTAGTAGTGTGACTGGAGCTCACTTACATCATCGGACAGTTCCACCCCCTGGTTTACTTTCATCAACATCAGCTGCTGGTATAATGTCACTACCTTACTGCACAGCAGCGGCAGCAGCAGCATCATTTCAAACCCTTTTGGCCAATATTTCAGTAGCACAACATCCAAAAATAATGGTACATGGACCATCTTCATCACAACGACCACCACCTTGTACAGCTACTGTTACAACTCCTTCATTAATGTTAACTTCTTCACCACCATCAACAGTTGTTTGCACATCATCCTCTGCTACTGCTTCCATGTTACCAACAGCAGTAGCTACAACTGCTAAACCAACTAATAATCTATTGGCTATTGAATCAGCAATTACTGATAATATGAATAAAAATATTCCACGTGATATTGACAGAAGAACAAGTAGTATTGCATCACTACGACTCAAAGCAAGAGAGTTTGAACTGCATTTAGAGATGCTTAGAAAAAATGGAGACCTTATTAGTTAAAACACAATCTTATTTGTTAAATATTGAGATTGTATTATAAGCTACATATTATATATATATATATATATTTTATACTTTTTAAAGTCAACTATCATTTTGAAATATTTACTATCATGTTTTTCTTTTTTTTTTTCTTTTTAAAATTCTATTTATAATATTCTATTATAATTTTTATCATTATCATAAAAAAGTAATAATAGTAGTTATTATTTTTATTTTATTATTATGATTAATATTTTTTTATTCTAATAAAAATATATAAAATAAATAGTCATTTATATATTTTTATTTTTGCCATTAAAATATATTCTAATAATTATCACCAATATTCATAGACATATCAATGAATTTCCTAGTGAAATATCATTTTTTTTTTTTTTCATATTTGTATATAAAATAATAAAATTTTTTTTTCATTCATTCATGGGATACTTGATATTAATTTGAAATAAAGTGCTTGGCCATGACACTAATAAGTCCCTTAATGATATAAAACTTAGGTACAACAGAAGTGTTTGTATATATGTATACATACCTGGAGTTAGGATTTGTAGTGTGTAGAGATTAAGTATATATATGAGAAAAAACTTTTCGTGAAGATGAGAAATGCTCAGCGTGACGGTCTAATTGAGGCTTTCTTGATTACATTTACACCTGCAGTACTTTGAGCCGCTACTTCTTGATGTATCTCTCATATTCTATACTTCTCCATAGCACAACTCACTTATCATTTTTTCAAATGGGTTACAACACACATATACACACCATTATCCACCTATAAATCAATTAGTTTTATTTAGAAATCTTATAATTTAATCTCAAAAAGAAAAAAAATGTGAGAACTGATTTATCATAAATATAGATTACATATTGCTGAACAATAAATTTTCAGTCAACTAGCTAGGTGGAGATACATACTGATGGTTGAATCCATTCCAAATAGTGTTCAGATAATTTTAGATCTTTTCCATCTGTATTGGAGATTAACTGAAACACTTGACTGAGTATGTATAAGTGTATACATACACTTATTTAATCTAAATGAGCATGTTAAATTACTCGCAGCTACCGCTTGTGATGTGGTCACAGCATTACTTGATGCGGTTTGCACCTTGTGTGGGAAAATTCAAGATTTACACAATTCTTAGACATCTGCACCTTGTTTTGCCTTCTGATGGATATTATATTCTGCAAGTGTTAACGGTAATTATATATTATTATTATTATTATCATTATTATTATAAAAATAGTGTTTTATTATAAAGATGTTTTTTTTTAATAATAAATATAAGTATTTTTGAATTTTTATTTATATAAGTATGAGGTGATACGAAGAGGGAAATTGGATACTATAACTCGCAGGTGAGCAGGTAAATTCAGGTAATAAAATTCGGTGTTTAAATACGGCAGTTGTTATTATCTTGTCTATTAGCGAAATAATGGAGTAAGCATGCTGTGTCAAGGTTCTGACTAATTTTTATTTCAGCGGTTTAATTAAGTACGTTTGTGTTTAATGTTACTACCATTAATGTAATAAAGGAAAGTAGATTTCCAGATGATTTATTTAGTCTTGAGAAAATGGAGAATTTGAAAATTAGCACAATGAAAAGTTGAATTTCAAAATGAAACTTTTTTGACAGCTGAGGAATTTAAAGTATTATTTAAAATTTTTTTTAAAAAAATCTATTTAAGTAACAATTTTAAACTTAATTGAATTCAAGAAATTGCAAATTACTTTATTAATTAATAATTAATTTTATCAATCACTGGTTCAAACTTATTCAAAAGTTTTTTTAAATAAACTCTTGCTAAAAATGATTTGCAAAAAAAATGTATTGACAAATCTTTTCAAGTTAGAGTGAACAGAGAATTGTTTAAATTATTCTAAAAATAAAAATGACTGTAAAAAAATTAATATCAAAATATTTTATTGATGTAAATTCTCTTAACTTTGTCCACATAAGATCTTTCTTTTCCGCAATGGCAAATGATAGTAAATTGGAGTAAACCAATAATTCCTAATTTGTATACCTGCATTCTAAAAGACGCTTATTTGATATTTTGTTGATTTTTCTTTCTTTTTTATCGTTTGGCATATAATGTGCTGTCCGTAGCAAACTACGTAGTGTGTTTTGCGGTTTATATTCTGCTGCTATATACGAATAATCTTTTATGAGAAAAAGATTAGTGCGGTAGATGATTTGTGGCATGACCTTGTTTGTAGCTATGCGTCCTGCAACACACTGCCGCGGTACTCTTATCTCATCTTTCTCACTCTTCGATTGTTGTCATTAAAATCATCGAATCCACTACAATATAATATTGTGGTAATTTATATAAGTATAGGTGATGATATACCTACGTTCGTTCAATACTATACTTGACTAAAATACACATATACATTTTTAACATTTAGACTTTATATATGTGTGTATATGAATATGCATAACCTATCATTTATTATTATTTTATCATTATTAAAGACAATAAAAATAAAATGACATCCATTTTATAATTTACCAATTTCCAATGGTTCCAATGTAATAAGATACTATAAATAGACGTCGATTTAGTCGAGTGATACATATATTTTTTTTTATTTTCATCCATTATGGTTGGAGAATAATAAAGAGGTTATCTGCTGATTTTATCGCAATATTAATAATAAAAAAAATTTTCTAAACTTGTATTATTAATTTTAATGAACTAATAATGTTTTATTTAAGAAAATAATATTTGAAAATAAATAAAAAGAATTTATTAGACACACTGAGGTGCTTTTACAAAACGTAACTGACTTCCATGAGTCACTAATTTATTTAATTAATCTAGATAAATCCTTAGCTGCGCGCGCACACATTTGATATCGCAAATATATCAAAATGTAAACAAACAAACATTTGAGTTCAAGTATACCTGAATCTGACTATATCTAACAAAATACTTGGAATTTAAATCAATTTAAACACTTGAATGACATTAAATTGAAATAAATTAAATTATCATGATTAATTAATTTTTATTATCATTGTTTTTATTAAAAATATTTTTATGACTTTACAAAATGGTGATATCATGAACTAATAATAATTTAAAAACCAAATATTGTCAATAAATAAAATAAAATAGTGAATTACATCATAAGGAAGAAATGAAATATTTACCAAAGAATTATTAAAATCAACAAGAATAATAAATTAAGATGTTTTAATTTAAGTGAAATATTTAATAAGCATCGTTATATTTGCAACATCTGTGTGGCATATTCAATTAAAACAATAAATATTAATGCATTGAAAAGAAAATAATAATAATCATTTTAATCAATCGAGATATATAATAAAACATCTTAAACATAAATAATTAATTTTCTCAGTGTGCTAAAATTTCGCAACCTCCCATAATCAATCTAAAAAGCATCAATTAAAGGAAGACATCTACCACAATATCCCCTTACGAATTAATCGAATATACAACTTGATTCTTCTCATTTCTTTCAAATAAATGATAAAATGAAGTTTTTTAGTCTTGAAAGTACTTAGCTGTTATGGTGGTGTAGTAGTTATATACAGACACATGTTTCGAAAATTGCATTTGATTGGTGGAGAGAACTACCGCGGCCGCTTCTTGTTGCAATTGCCGCACACGGTATAGAATTCAGGGGACGGGTTTCGAATTTTTCGGTAATAATGCGTTGGCTACTGCACTACAGCGAATATAAGTGGTAGAGAGAATAAGCAAGAAGAAAGCTGCGAATAAAGGCAACAAGAGAATAAAGAAGTAAATAAAAAGAGAAGAATCAGCTAGACAGGAGTTAATCGGAGGGCATTATCTCAATCACGTAAAACGGCAAAATTGCATTTACCTGTTTAAATGAATATTTGGTGGAGACGCCGATGCCGCTGCCGCCGATGAGCAGAAGGGATCCGCCTTGAAAACCTCGCGGCCGCTAAGTTAATTTACCGTGGAATGCCGAGTTGGTAACGCCCTCTACCACCCCCGTCCTCTGATCTTATATTATTATTGTTATTATTAATACTATCATTGCTTCTTTTTTCTTATTATATCTTTTAAAATTAACAAATATATTTATATTCATTCATGTACTCTGACAGTTTTTATTATGAACCGTTTGTAAGATTTTATTTTTAAATTAATTTTCATTGTCATCAACACTTTTCTATCTACCATACATGAGAACACGATCAATCAAATAATTTTATATATATTTATTTTTCTATGTGTGTGTGTGTGTTGTGTATGGGTGAATAATCCTGTACCTTTTTGTATCTCAATATCTGATAATTAGAGTGGTAATTACACGATGATTAAGAGTGATATGGCTTCTGCACGGGGGTCATTTTTTTTTGTTTGTTGCGATTATCATATTCTACTCTCATTCTTCATCCTTATATGTTTATGTATATCATTATTCGCGTTGGTAATTTAATGCACCTGTGTTGAAAATTAACTTTTTATATCGTTTTCATTCAGTCTATTATCGCTTGTATTATTAAATTATATTTTCTATATGAATGTACAGGTTTATTTTTTATTATTAGATATATTTATAATAATTGTTGGGGGATAAGTTTAAGAAATTTAATCGAGTATTTTATGTAAAGATGAAGGTGTCTCATAAAATCATGTGTTGATGACGGTGGTGATCAGCGGTGGCGGCGACGGCTGGCAAGTAGGGATCCATGCTGATTGTCACGACGGACTATATTATCACTTATTATATTATTTACATATATCTAAATACAATAAATTGGCACTACAGGAGGGCATCAAGGTCAATATTCTTCATTTATAGAAAAATCTTTAACCAATTTCACTTTACAAAAGATTTATTGATCCTTCAAGAATTTTTTTTTTTTATTAAAACTTTTTCAATTATTTTGCACACTGAGAACAAAAATTTCCACTACACAAAAACAAATGTATCTTTTCAATGAATTATTTTGAATAACCATTAGAACTGGATCTATAAAAAAATAGCTATCACGTCCTAGCGTCCTTTACTTATTTTTAGGTTAAAATCCATTGTTTAGATATTTATAATACATATATATTGTAGAATATATTAGAATAATAAGAGATGTTTAAAAAACAATGGTTTATGTATTAAAAATGATAGAATCAATCAAAATAAATAAATATGACATCTGACATGCCCTAATCTCAATCCTTAACCAACATAAACAAATCAGTCGTGCATTGCTAATAAAAAATTCTGTCATTTGTCTATCAATGTCCAGATCGAGACATAAAATTATTTTACAATATGTATCTATCTTTATTTACACTTTCTCCTATTGGAAACTCATCATAATATTAAAGTAATAAATCAGGACATAACAGCTACACGTCAATTCTAAAAAAAAATTTGATTTTATTAATTGAAAAAAAAAAAATAATTACCTGAAACATCATTGTAAAAATGATGATCTACACTTGAATCAGAACGAAATGAATTTAAAGAATCCATTTCTGGATATTGTTTAAATAATTTTATTTAAACAAAAATCAATTTTTTGTGAACGCTGATAATTAAGGTTATGATACCCAAGACATTGTTATAATAAACAAATATAAATTTTGAAAATAGGCGTGTCACTTTCTGTCATCCTTATATCAATAGTTATTATAGGCTTTCTTAAGTAATAGTATTAAACGTAGAGAAACTCAATAATAATTAATCTATTCATGTTACCTGGCGCTTGTGCCCAAAACATAATCTTTTTTAGTGTCTGATTTGTAGCATCCTGCAGCACGCCTAGACTGCTTCCTTTATTGTCGACGTCGTGCTTTATATATTTAAAATCTTCGCAGGTTGGTCCAAGAATAATATTCTCATTTTTTATGTTTTAATGACCGTCAGTTACATTAAAAAAAATTTTTTCTTTTTTTTTTTTTCAACTATACATTATTATCCTTCACATCTTTTCATTTTACGATTGAGTTTCATCATCAATTTATTATACAAAACTCAACGCATGAAATTGACTATATTGCTAAATATGTTACCATACATATATACAGCTTTATTATTTAATATTTAACTCCACCCATCATATCACACATTGGAGGAGATTTTTTTAAAAACAATTAATAACGTCCTATTAATGCTTTAATTTATAGTAATTAATTAATTTCAACAACGATAATAACAAAATATGAATAATAATAATAATAATAATAATAATAATATTAATAACAATAATAGGTATATGAGCAGAATTAAGGTCAAAAGATATGTCAGAAATTCCAGCTCGGAGCTATGTGCGTCTGCTGGTGCTCATTACGATGATTGGCAGATTCAATTAACAGACACAACCCGGATTAGCCTCATCGCGAGGTCAAACCAACTTAACCTGACTAAATATTATTAATAATAATCAACATATTACCAGTTCTATTAATTAACTTAATATACGGTAGTATGTATCTGTAAATATAATATACATTTCAGTATAAAATAATAAAGATTACGCACAACGTCAGCATTGAATGGCTAAAAATGCTAGAATATTGGTACCACAAGCACGTAAATATTATAAGTATTATTCACACTATTAAGGTAAATGATAAATATGGATATATAAAAAAATGACATTAATACTGGGAATAATATTAACGTGATATTTATTTAGTAGGAATTCATGTCAACTGAGGATAATAGTAATAATAAAACTGATTATTTTACTTGATTTGAAAAAATTAAAACTTAACAAAAAGTCTGATGGTCGAAAAATTAACCATGAACAACATTAATCCACTTAACAAGCTCATTATCGATGAGATATACTGAAAGTTTATGCTGCAGTGTGTAGTGTGTTGCAGCTAAAGTGGATATAGTGTATATATGTATACCATCCGAGAAAGCGATTCTCGGGAACGTGCAAACGCTCACGGGTATTAGCGGTTGCACCCCTGCGGTTTGATTTACGAACGCGCGCTAACGAGTCTAGTAAAAGAATAATAAAGAAAGCAGGCGGGCTATATACGTGAATAATATAAAGAACACGGAGATAAACGTTAAATGTCCACAAGTCACTTTACTTGAAAGAATCTTGCTCTAATCTCGTTCGTCATATTGATGAGAAGAAGAAATAATTGGTTCGTTGAAAATTAATATATACTAAGTTTCGTCCTATTTCATTATATTCATCATAAACATTTGTGAAAAACAAATCGAATGAGTATCAATTGGATAATCAATTATATTACTATCATTTACTTACATTAATGACTTTTAGGCTTTTATTCTATTTACGTGTATTTACGTCAAATGTTGGATTTTGGAATGTCGTTGTTGCTTTTCTATAAAGTGGATTTTCACCCTAAAAAAAATTACATCAAGAGATCAATTGAAATAAATCCACTATTGGCATCATATTGCTTTAGTCTACAAAATTATTGCTTGCAAAATATAAATTATTTATTCTAACAAAATTTATTTCATGTTAGAAGATTGAAAATTAAAATTTTGTGCTACTTTATTTCTGTAATATAAGACAATTGATTGAAGAAATGATTTTTGCAAGCATTAAAATCACTGTAGACTAATCTAATTTAATCATATTTACTCGTTCCCATTTGGCCATGGCACGTTCTTTTTCAAATTTAGCATATTCACGTTGATCATGAATTGACGTAACAATCTTCCAAATGATGAGTCCAACTAGACCAAGTACAACTGTACTAACAACTACTCCGATTGCAACACCAACAATTGGAATAACTGACGGGCAATCTTTATGTTCTTCAACGAAAATCTTGAAGACAGAAATGTCACCTCGATTACTCACTAGTTGATACTTGTAAACTAATACACAACCATCATCAGTTGGAACACGACACAAACGCATACCAGCTTCATGTTCTGTCGTATTAATCTCCACTTTATCTATCCTTTCCTGAAAGTCAGTAATGATAATAATATCATTTATTAGAATAACATACAATTTGATATTATGTCAATTATGCACTGAAACATAATGTCTATGAAATTATCATGTTTTGTAATGTCAACTTACAATGTCTATTTCATCATGGCAACTGCTGCAACTATCATCCTCAGATTGTGTTCCATCATTTGTTGCTCTTGAACTATATGATGTCCATAAACATTCGACACAGTTTGCTAATTTTTCACAATGTTGGCCTGAGCAAGTCTAAAATGGAAATTTATTATAAGATATTTTTTTTTTCTTAATAGTTGATAATATTTTTATCTATTTATGAGTAATACTATTTTTAATTTAAAAAATTACATTAATGCGTGACTAATCTAACTCAATTTTCTATTACATTCATTATAAGACCAGTTTCTCAGTAGACTTGTATTTCTTATCAAGTAAATAATAAATAAAACTTGTACAATTATCGGTATATATTTTTTGTCAATTTTAAAATAATTTTATTTTACTGTCTATTGATTTATTGAATTTTATTGAATTTATCAGAATTATTATTCTGAGAATTCAATCATTGTTATACCTCTAAATCTTTTGATAATAATGAATGAACTATTATTATTATATTTTTGTAATTAAGTTACTTAATATTCAATGTTATTGTTAACAATATTTGAAATAATATAAATAAATGTAATTGTACATTACCGGACAATCTTCGCAGTAAACACCTGAGTAGAGTATGTTATTTTGAGGTTTACAATGACATTTTCCACAAATACAATCACCATGACCACTGCAAATCTCAGTATTCTGCTTTCCTGATGTTGAAGGTGGAAAACAAGTAGTATTGTCATGGCAACCACAACTCTCACCAATCCAGCCAGGATAGCAATCACATGTGCCGCATACACAATCGCCATTACCACCGCAAAGCTAAAGTACAAGTGTGAGAATCAGATGAGAATATGAAAAAGGAAAAATGATGTAAAACCAAAGTGACCACGTTATACATTAACTAAAAATGAATATAATATTCAAGAATATTATCATTATTTTTATAAAAATAAATATTATACGTACTATACGATTATGACGTTGGCAAGAAAAGTTGTTACATTCACAATATGTACCGCCAAATCTTTCCGTTGGATTCGGTCGTACTTCACATTCACAAGTACCACATTTACATATACCATGACCACTACAATCTACAGTATCATTAACTGAAGCTCGACAATTTGAAGTTATCGTGGAGTTTGAATCATCAGACATTTTATTATTATTTCCATGGCAGTCGCAATATTTGCCATTGTAACCTTCGTGACAAGAACATATTCCACAGACTAAATCTCCATGATTATTACAATGTGTTGATTTTGCTTCATAAGTCTATATAAATTAATATTTCCTATCTTTTTAAAATGTTTCAATAATCAATTTAATAAAATAAAATAAATAACTACCTTGTAATCAGGTTTGTCACAAGGACATTCACACATCAACTCTAGTTCAATTTTAAGACTTTCATTCAAACCTCGTGGTTTTATTTCAAATTGTTGATTCCAGAGTGCTCGATCTGATGGACACTCTAAAAGCTGTAAATTATTGTTAGTATTTTTTTGTCTTATTTTAATAATCATACTTGCAATATATTTTTACCTTTAAAGTGATATTAAAATCAACAACATCACCATATCGAAGTCCTTCACACTTGGAACGTTTCAATTCTTTGGTATCGTTCAAGCAATGGGAAAAGTATTGAACACTGACATATTTAGGTGCATTATCAATTAATTCAACAGACTCTACTAGTTTCTACAACGATATTTATTATTTATATATTTTGAATTAAAATAATATTATATTATTATTAATAAATCATTACCTCATATTCTCCTGTTATTATTTGAATGACATTATCTGTATCATTCTTTTGAATAAGACCTACTGAAGCATCAACAATACTCTGACTTAATAACTGATACGTTGTATTTTTACTTTTATCCACAGCGAAGATTATATGAATATTATGTTCCTGTGCTTTTCTGTTTATCTGAGATATTGATGGATAATCTTGAACTAATGAGTAAGTATAAATACCATTCTCATCTAGATGACATAATCCATCATTCGGTTCAACTATTCCAGCAAGCTGAAAAATATTCAGTTGATAACAGAAACAAACAATAACTTGACTTTTCTATGAATGATAAAATGTACTTTTCCGTCGCCTGCAAGATGGAAATTAGCATCTGTTGAGAATACAAGAAGTCGACGTGCTTTCTGTCTCCAGCCGATGTGTTCTGTACATACTATTGATTGTATTAAAGCATCAAATCCTCCCTCTGGAGCATCTATATTTCCTGAAATAGGTGCTGCATCAACGTTCCTCTAAAATGGTTTTTTTTTCAAATTATTAGCTTAGAATATTTACTGAAATTAAATTAACTTACCATGAATGCATTTGAATCTTCAGATAATGACATTTGGTGCTGATATCCATAAGGAGGTGCACAGTTGACTTTTTTATTATATTCATTGTAATAAGAACAAGGTACTTTTAATCTGAAGAAAAATGATGAACATATTTGCTTAAATAATGATCTCAAATAGAAAATCATTGATGTTTATAAACAAGATATTACTTATCAGGTTGTGTATCTGTCATTGGTAGCACAACCTTGTCAACAAAACTTCCAAATCCAAGACGAAAGTTACCAGTTAATGCTTTCATAGCTTTTGCAAGGTTACCACCTAATTTAGAAAGCTGATTTTTATATGGTTGCATTGATGCAGAAAGATCCATAAGATAATAGAGATCAACTGGATAATCTTCAGCTTGGGTATACTGTAGTTTTATTCGAATCTCTTCACCTGATTGTTAAATGTTATGCTCATTGAATAAAAAATCATAAAAGAGATAATACAATATTGATTTTTCAAACAAATTCAATTTACTACCTTTTCTAAGATGAATTCGTATTTTTTGAGGTTTTACTTGTACCGGTTCTGCATCTTTTCTTGAAGTAAGTGGAAGATCTTTTTCTACAAGAATAGCTGAGGTTTCATTAATCACCTGAGATGCTGGACACCAGTATTGATTGTATTTATCTCGAGGAATACATCGAACTGGTTCAACATCACTGCTTGTACTAGGTTTCTAGAATAATTTTTATTTATTTTATTTTCCAATTGCTTGAAATAATCTATTGTAATTTCTTATTTATTACCATGACTTTGGCACACCAGATGCAATTCGAAGTCTGAATACAGTCTTTACATGTTTGATGGGCAGCACATAGTTGTTCTTGTTTATTTTTGTTATTTTCACTTATCACCACCAAGATGCAGTAGTTTATGAGAACTATGAATAAGATTTTTGGTAACATTTTAATTGTTTTTAAGTATATTATCTCATACTTTAAAATATATCTTGTAATTAAATAAATAAAAATAGAAGTATAAAAATTTGTACTGCTTAAACCGAAGCAATGTCATAACTAAATGACTAACTCTAGATACTGTTGAACGGAGGTATTCGCCGGAAACAGAGTTACAGAGAACGATAAGTCAATATCGTAAGGATGTGTCACATAATTGCTTGAGGAAAACAATCAGACTTCTTAAGTCTTTTTTAAGAACCAGAAAACTTTGAATAATCCATTCTGAATGATTTTTTACTGTGTTTACTTGTAATCATGTCTGTATTTTAATTGATCAATCAATCAATCAATCTTATAGTTATGATTGTATCATCATTGCAAGTAAATGTTCTGGAATGAGAAAATGTTTAATATAAATATATGATATACATGATGATAAATAGAGTAATGTAAATCAGCATATAAAAAAAAAACGATGACACATAGATGACTAACCTTTTATTACACACATGTTCTATTAACATAGAAATATTCATTTTGCATAACAATTACATCATGAGCAATCTCATATGTATGCTAGATAACGATTCTCTTGATGTACTGCATCGAATGTAAATCATTATTTGATAATTCATTGCGTGAAATCACAATTAATTGATTGATTTTGTAATCAAAGAGTTGTGTGTGGTTTTTATTTTTCATTAATTGTTATTAAAAAAAATTCAAACGTGATGATGAAACAGTGGCACAACAACAGTCGGTAAGTTTGATTTTATTAACCTCTTAATGATGTGTGAAGTTTCTTTGTTATCGACTGTATCATTTTTATTTACAACGGAGCATACAGCACGTGAGTAAAACGTAAATGATATTCATTTTGTTTTTTAAATAGCATGAAATACATTTTTCTTTGAATAAATGTAAATACACTGATGTTATACGTAATATAATTGTGCACATTGATACTAATTATCAATAAACTTATTTTTATATATTTTTAATGTATGTACTCGATAAAACTTTCGATTGAATTACTTCAAAACAAATGATAAGAGGTTATAAATGCGGCATTTGTTAATAATTAAATAACAATATTATTGTGAGTTGTTTGGAAAGTACAACAGTTAACAATAAAAAAGAAAGATGTTGCGAAAAATACTTCATCTATCATTTGAGAATAAAATAATTATTAATCAGTTAAATAATCACAAAAAGGTTAGTCAGTTTGTAGTTCAGAAAAAATATTTTTCTGTATCTAATGAAAATAATGAACAAAAAATAAAAAATGAACCAAGTATTTCTCAAGATGATGAATCTGAAGATTCTGAATCAATTGATAAAATAAAAAAGTTATCAGATTTACTGGATAATTCTGCAAATTTTAATGATGTAACAAATAGAGAATGGATGACAATGCCATATCCTGAAGATGCAGTTAAACACCTGGATAAAAAACAAGAAAGACGTAAAATAAGTCCAGAGGATACTTCAATATTTTTATGTCCTGGACAAGGTGCTTTGAAAGTTGGAGCAGTAAAAAAATATCTTCGATATCCTAGAGTTAAAGAGCTATTTCAGATTGGCAATGACATATTAGGATTTGATATATTGGATATATGCTTGAATGGACCACAAGAAAAATTAAATAGAACGGAATACAATCAAGTAGCTACAGTAATGACATCATTATCTGCGTTAGAAAAATTATGGGAAGACAGTCCTGATATGGTTACCAGTTGTAAAGTTATTGCTGGTTATAGTGTTGGAGAATTAACAGCCCTAGCATATGCTGGATCAATATCAATTGAAGATGCAATCAGATTAGCTAGTGTTAGAGGAATAGCAATGCAACAAGCATCAGAGTTAGAACCTCAAGGAATGATAACTGTAATTCATAATAAAGAAACTGAATCTATGGGTAAAATATGTACAGAAGCTCGTGAATGGGCAGTTAATTTAGGTATTTCGGAGCCTGTTTGTAGTGTATCCTCATATTTGTATGCCAATGCTAAAGTAATAGCAGGTCATTTACCGGCAATAGAGTTTATTGAAAAAAATTATAAACAGTTTCGTATACAGAGAGTAATAAAATTACCAGTCTCAGGAGCATTTCATACACCTTTAATGAAACCAGCAATGCAATCTCTTAGAAGAGCTTTGAATAATACAGAAATCGAAGATCCTCGAATTGTAGTTTATTCTAATGTAACAGCAAAACCATATCGTTCAGCTATAGAAATTCGACAAACACTACCACTTCAAATGATAAAACAATCGAAGTGGGAACAAATTTTACATGAAATTTTTAATAGACCGCAAGATCACGTATTCCCATATTCATATGATCTAGGCTCTGGTGGAACAATGAAAGTTATTCTTTCTCGATTGAATTTAGCTGCATCGAGATTTTGTGAACCAATTTAATTAATAAATGAACTATAATAACTGACATGATTATATTTATTATTTATCCATTTTTCAATATTTCATAAATTTAATTCATAAGAGTATTGTGGTTTTTATATTGAGACTAGATACACATAGATATTGATGAATATATATGTATTAATTGTAAAAGGTGATAAAAATTATAATTAAAAAAATGTATAATTTATAAATACATACTTTTTGTAACTTAATACTTTGTGCTGATTAAAATTGACCTTTGTAGAAAAAAATACATTCAAGTCTGTAATAATAGAAGTAATAAACGAATAAAAATATTTAAATTACTCCAACTATGATAGTATAAAATTGATCATGCCTAATTATTATAATTAATATAAAATAACTAATGTCTTATATATGAAATCTTATATCGTTAAATAGCTCGATAATATATAATTTAGATTTAGAACATTATTATCAGTAAAACATTATTAGTTATTGATAATTCTAGAGACTACGAATGTGTCTTGGTTTTCGTACTAACAAACAACATGATGTTAACCCTAAACTAACTTTAGCTAATTCTGACATATGTAGTTCTCTAGTTGGAATATCAAGTTTTGTTGAAAATGTATCATTTGATAATGGAATTTCATCTTCATGACGACGAATTAAAGTTCCATTAATGAATATTACATTTGCAGCAACATCTTCTGGTACTGTTAACGTTGTATAAACATAAGTTGCTTCTCTTTCAATTCTCTGAATTAAATAATTTTATTAAAAATCATATACTAATAATTATTATTCATTTTTATTCATTATTAATTACCTTCAATACTTGTTGAGATTCTATACCTGCTCCAACACAAATAACATCAGGGCTAGCCATTGTAAGCAATCCTTTCAATCTTTTATTTTCTGGTACCTTTTAAGGTAAATAATAATCGATAATTAAAGTGTTTTAATTTAAAATAAAAAGATAATAAGATTGAGATTATTAAATACTTTAATAGGAACACAAGGGTATTCTGGAAATGCTGCGGCTACTGCTCTAGCTCCTTTTTCATTGGTAAACTGTGAGAGTCCAACAAAAAATTCTCTACCTGTTATAATTGAGATTACATATTGGTTATAAAATTCTTCATCATGGTATCGAGATTGAATTAGTTAACTTATGTGTACCTGTAAATAAAACATCTCCTCCATCTAGTTTAGCACTGGTATCAGTGATTTCAACAAGAGATATTTCTAATTCTTTTTTCAATACCGCTCTCATTACTTCAATCTGAAATAAATAATTTTTATGTGAACAAATAGATAATTTGAAGAAATAAACTAGAGATTATAATATGTGAATAGTTTACCTCTTTCATTCTTGATGCTTCGGCAGGTCGTGCTATTAGAGCAATACCATTACAAAGTACTGCTATATCTTCAACAAAAGCACACATTGGTGCAGATTCATCTGCTGGCATTTCAACAACATCTATTCCTAATTCACGTAAAAGTTGTGCCAAGGCTAAATGTTGACTACGAGCTTTCTCTACATCAACATTTGCATTAATATTCACTATTGAATTTGGAATTCGGCATAAAACTGCGTGTGTATAACGATGTAAAGGCATATTTATTCTTTATTTTGAATCACAGTAAATGGTATTACTTAATATCACTGTTTATCTCGTTCTACTTTTGTAGATTTGATGATCAAAATATTTGTCGACACTGAACTTTTCTTTTCAAATGAATGAACAAAATTATTTTTATAGGGCGTTTTAATAATGTTAGTCTATGTAATTAGATATGAATCTAAAGCTTAAAATAACAAATACGTACAGAGCACAATTTTTTTTATTAATTTGGCATTGAGAGTGTTGATCAGAGAGAAGACTTCTCTCTGGTGCAAAGTCGATGTTTATTACCGACGCAAGGTCGTTTATCTGTTTATAAACATGGAATACTACATTATCGACTTATAATTAGTAAACATCTAGGGTACCGCGACTTTAATAAATTTCAAAATAAATTTTAATATCATTGGAAATAAATATAAAGATGCAACAATTAGTTAATCTACTATATCTTGTATGGAATAAAAAATATAAAAATTAATTCTTTGATGAATAATCACCGTACGAATTTATTTAAAGTTATTTAATTAGTAATTAAAAACTAAATAATAACTCACCACTACTGAACAAGATTCAAGTGATACAGGACACTTATAATTGTCTTATGAATTCATTAATTTTTGTAGTAATTGCTTAATGCACAATATTATTCAATAATTTTCACATTTATGATACTTCCAGTAAGACATACACATACGAAGCAGCAAAAATGACTGATTGAGGAGCTAAAACTCAGCGTGTGCTGAAGAAAAGGTCCTGCTTATTTTTTATAGAAGGGAGGAATTACTGATTCCCAAAAAAATCTGGGAAGGATTAAAGAAAAAAAAACGGGAAGGTGGTTTTTCCCACACGTGATGAAAAGACAACAGAAGTGTCGGTAATTTTTGATAACTTCATGGCTAGTGAAGGATTAAGCTACAAAAATAAATATGTAATGATAAAAAGCAAAATAGCAATTAGAATAATCTGATAAATGTTGTTTAAATATATATTAATGAAAAAATAAAATTCCTTTTACGATTTAAAATGACAATAGAAAAAACAAAAGAATTATGTCTGCAACCTGGATTCGAACCAGGATCTTTAGGAATCCACTTTTAGATTAGGTACTAAGAGGTTAGGTACTAGAGATTAGGTGCGGGTCTCTAGTCTCTACTCTCTAACGCTAGATCTTGGTATTGAGCGTACATCCGGTAGTAATCAATCTCATCACACAAAGTGGCACACAAGTTATTAGGCACAAATTTCTGTACAACCTCCGCCGTCCCTCTTACGGCCTAAATTTAATCATCAATAATTAATTCAGAATATCGTCCTAACGCGTTACCACTTACGCCATTGCAGACTTACGAAGTACACTTTCAAAATTTCTTTCTCATGTATTTATTCATATACATACATACAAGTATTTTGTAAAAGTAATAATTTCTTATTTACACACAACACTTACGAAATTATATGGAATTACAATTTTTATGGATTTGTACAGTTGTATATACATAAACAATAATTAATTTATATTATTCAATATAGACTTTTGTAGTTTTTCGATGGTTTAATTTTAAAAATCTATCTTATTATTCTTAACAATAAGGATAATAATAAATTTTATGTTTATCACAGTCGAATCCTACTGATATTAAATCTCTTTAACACATAAAAAATATCAAATAAAAAAATCATTAATAATAATTATTATTATAACACTATTTTAGATATTTGGCTGCCCAGCTTGATCTATCAACTCGATGATACGAAGAACCATTTGCTCGTGATGAATTAAAAACACTTCCAAAGATATTTGGTTGAAATATTGTTCGATTTGGAGTTGATTCTAGACAATAAATAGTAATTAATTATTTTTTTTCTGTTTATTTATAAAATTTATTTAACCGTGTCAAAATATACTTACTAATTCCTTGGGTATTATAGACATTTGGATACGGTATTTTTCTTTCTGTTTTTTCCGACACATAACGATTACTTGATGGAAGATAATGTTGTTTCATTTTGAGTTCTCCATTATCCGGTGGCATTGGTGATCCCCAGAAACTAGAATTATCAACTATTGGATCAACTGGTTTTGCAGACACAGGCTGTGCCACCATACCATTTAATAACAATCTCGGTAAGCCACCTTGATCCATTTGATTTGGATTTCTGCCACAATAGTTAATATAATACATAATTTCATCAGTGCATGTATGACACAAATTAAATTTTTCCAAATAATAATTTATTAATGTTGTGCAGGTACAGATATTCTACATAGAATTTATGAAATAATTTTATTCATTATCCAACTTAATAAGTTCGCTGTGATAGATGATTCAAATAGATAATCAACCAAAGAACTGAGGCTTAGATTAACGTTAGTGTTCTTCAAGAAATAGGAAATGTAATTTGGAATTCGAAAAATGTCGTAAATTTGAATATTGTGAGAAGCAAGGAATGAATCAAATTGTTCATAATAATCATAAAAATAATAGTAATAATAATAGTAGTAATAATAGAAAGTATAGTAGTAATAGTAATAGTTGTAATAAAAGAAACGATGATCAACAATTAATGGAGGATTTTGGTAGTAACCAATAGAACTAAGAATTAAATAGAAAGTTTCTGTTATTTTTTGAGTAATGAAACAATGATTTAGATGATGAAGAATATTGAATCGATAAAAACAAAAGCATCCAAGAAAATATAGCATTGACCCAGAAGTAAAATAAATGCTAACAAATAGAATAGTGTGTTTGATGTTGTGATGGTACTTAGTTCGATACCTGAATGATAAATTTGTATTTTGGCCTGCGACGTACCGGGCGATACTGAGGTAATGCTGTTTGGCTGAAATATTTCGATTATTTTTTAGGTTTATAGCTTGTAATTTGTTTTGATTTTGAGAAGGTATATCATTTCGACTCCACATTGGTGATTGTATTCTCCAACTTGATGCACTGCTGTTTAATTGTTTCTTACTATCTTTCACTCCATCATCATTCTCTGCCTTCCCTTCATTCCAGTTTATTCGATTTTCTTTATGAATCAACTTATCAGCAGCATTTATTATTGGTTTTAATCCTATTGAATTTTTCTCTGACAATATTTTATTTCTATAAAAAAAAAATGTTATGATAACTTTTGATTTTGAACATTTTCTATCATGTGATAAATATTAATATTACCCAAGAGAATTGATTAAATCTTCATCTCCCCAGGTTGGCACATTTTTTTCTGCTTTTTTCATGTCATTACCATTAAGGAGGGGCAGAGTGGACTGTTGATTAGCTTGTGGGATTATAACTTTATCAATGGCTTGAGATCCAATAATATTACGATTAAAATCTTTATTACTAGGTTGAAAGAAAATATTCTGTGAAGGAATATGAATTTTATTCATCATATATTCTCGCTGAGGATGAGAACTACTTCCAAGCTTTTGTCCACTCATTGCAACACGTGTTGCATTATTAACTTGGAAATAAGGATATCTAAAAATAGATTAATTGAGTTTATAATTAAAAACAAAAAGTATTTAAACAAAAAAATATTAAAGGATTATTTTAATACCTGAGTGCTTGCTGAGCATTAGGTCTTTTAATTGGATTCCATTCAAGCATATCTTCCATAAGAATAATAGCATCTTGACTAGCATTCGGTATAATATCTTTAAGAGGAGTTTTCTTGAACAGAGGAAACCTAAAGTTCATTGCTTCAGCTAGCTCATAGCCTTCTGGCCAGTCATCTTTATCTGGTGTTCCCATTACAGCACAAATTTTAAAAATTTCATCAATTTCACTTTTACCAGGAAACAAAGGTCTAAATGTATAGAGTTCAGCCATTATACAACCAACCGCCCAAATATCTATTGGACTGCTGTATGTGGTTGAATGAAGTAAAACTTCTGGAGCTCTGTACCTAATATTAATCAATAATAATTAATTATAATTATTTCCTAAATATAAACAGCCAATTTTATTAGCATCACAGGCATTTATTATTGATTAAAGTACCATCTTGTCGATACGTAGTCAGTGTATGGTGGCCTAGAACGGATTTCACGTGCCAAACCAAAGTCAGCTATCTTAATTAACTCTGGACCCATGCATAATAAATTCTCTGGCTTCATATCTCGATGAAAGAAACCATGCTTGTGCATGAATGCTAGACCCTGAAGCACTTGATAAACCATATTTCTAATAACTGGCTCCGGAAATAATTTATCTCTGAAAATATATTGATACACAATAATTGATTTTCATAAAATACATAGCTAGAAATAGACAATTGATTAGTTCATTGTTTTAGATTGAAGTTATTAATAGAAATTCATTTTATAAATCACCATTTTTTATAAATACACTTATTTGATGAGTTAATATTTAAATCATTACCTATCTTTCATTAGTTGATATAGATTTTCCTTCATGTATTCAAAGACGAAATAGAGAACATCATTTTCCCGGATGACTTCTTTCAATTTTACCACGTTAGCATGACTCAGCTTCTTCAAAGACTGTAAATGAATAAATTTCACAGTAAAATAGTTGAAATGATAAAATATTCATTAAGTGATAAATCATTTAGACTATAAACCTTGACTTCTCGAAGATTCATAGCTTCTTCCCAGGAATAATATTTTCTTTTCATCCTTTTAATAGCAACCTTTTCACCAGTGTCAATACGTTGACCAAGTACAACCGATCCAAATGTACCATCGCCTAATTGACTCAATGTTATGTATCGATTCATGTTTAATCGACCTTTCTTAAGACTATTAACAGATGAAAGGTACTCTCCAGAATGTGCTTATCTAAGACTGCATTTAATTTTAGTAATTAATAACAACTTCTACACTTAGGAGTGTAATATTATCGTTTTAATTAAATCTGTTATGTCACTGATGATGATCGTGTGATGATTTAGTTCTATATGTAATTATTTCTGCGTTGACGTTAACTTTATAGAACATCTTGTTCAATCATCTTGATAGCATGGAATTGCACATAATCTGGATTATCGTTTAGGTTTGTATTTTCGTGCGATGCAAAATTTGACCTCTATTAGTCATCATATTATACCAACTAAACTGAAATTTTATATTTATTTATTTTTTTAATAATTAAACAATTTAATTATATCAACTTAAATTAATTATTGAATATTTTTTTCAGTTTTCAACTTTTAATCAATAAATAATAAATTTTATTTTATATTTAGTACTTGAGAAATTATTTACAGAAGAAATTTTTGATAATTTTATGGATTATTAATTAAAAATAAAAAAATGGAAACAAAAAAAATCATTATTTAATATAAGTATAGAGCCATGCGTTATAAATTTATTGATTTAACAAAGTCCTTAGAGATATAACGAAACAAAAAGTATTTTGAATGAAAAAAAATACTTTGATATGAAGAGAAATACCCCAGTAGCTAACGTTAATGAAGTAATATAGAAGAAAAATAATTTTTATAGCGTCAATATATTTTGAGGTCAATGTTGATAAAAGGTACCCTTGATCTACATATTAGAAAATAATATATACCGTAAACCCAATGTAGTTCACTATGCAGTATATTTATCAATGTACGTAGACTCTAATTAGCATTCTCATAGGACATTCAAGTGATTAATTATCGTTTAATTAAGAAATTGATTTTACTTTCCATAAAAATTAGACTAGAAAATCAATATGAGCTTTTAAGCTTTAAATACATTACAATTATATTATATTTTAAAGTAACGACATGACTATTAACTTTATTTTATTAAATTAATGATCCTTACATTATTTAATGTAATAAATAAACTTTTAATTATCATCATTATAAATGAATGATAAAAATTAAATTGAAACTAATTAGATTTTGGTATGTTTAAAATTTATGTGACTTATCTACAAACACATTTACTATTAATTAAACACTTTTTAATAACAAAAATTAATTAACAATTTTTATATGAGATTTTTTTTATTTATGGTCTTTAATAGCTAAAGTTCTCTTAAAAAAATATTAACATTGTGCATTTATAATTCTACGTAAATTTGAGTAAAATATACAAATAATTACTTACATAATAAATAATAATACAACTGTAAATAATTTTGATAGAAATTTTTTTAACTTGTTGTCTGTATGACGGACAAAAATGAACTGGTGAACTAAATATTTAGTAGCCATGTAGTGTATGTGTAACCATGACAACTATTGTAATAACTATTTCCATACATTCATGTACTAAAATGGCTTACTCCAAACGCAATTACAATTTTGATAAAATATCATTAATATAAATATACAATTATTTAAAGACAAATTACAACTAATTTCTTTCAAATATATTAATACTTCAAAATAAAACGCAATAATTTAATAAATTTTGTCTATAATAATTTATTTCAAAAACTTATTATTGCCACGATATACTGAGATCTATAAAACAAATTGTAATTAAATGCATGATACATAATAACAGTATATAATAATGAGTTATATATGTAAATAAATAAAAAATATTCAATCATAAAATATATTAACAAATAGAAACTATCAAAAAATTTCTAAATTGATAATATTTTTTCAATACTAATTTTTCTACTTATTTAATAATAATAATTCTATTGCTAAAACACTAGTAAAGGTATCATTTATACTCCATATTACAATAAAAAATTAACATGTATAATATAAATAAATAAATCATGATAACGACAGCTGCTTAATTATATGGAAAATTGAGGAATTGTCTGTATATAATATTTAAAAATACTAAAAATTTTTTAATCAATCTAAACTACATATAAAAACATTAAAATTGTATACAAAATGAGCATTTTTTTTTTTCATTTCATTGAATGATCAATTGTATTTTTTATGTATAATATTTTTTAATTGTGTGCAATAACGAAGCGATAATTTTCTATTATATATGCATATTTACAATAATGATAAGTTATAAAATAATTATGGTAACTTCTAATGAAACAAAAAAATTTTTATTCAAATTTAGTCCAATGATTTTGAGATTTAGCTGTTATGGAAGAGAAAGATGAACTAAAAGTATTATTGTCAATAATATTACCAGTCGTTCCAGGCATTTTTGTTGAGGTAGAGTAAGAAGTTGACGAAGAAGAAGAAGAAGGAGTAAAAGTAGAGGTAACAATAGAAGTGGAAGCTAAACCAGATGATGTACCATTAGTTAAATTAAATTTATCGAAATCTAAACCATATTCTTGGAGTAAATCTGAATCAGAATCTAATTTATAATTATTATTTTTAAAAGTCTGCCTACTATTGTTACGTTCACTATTATTCTGGTGAAGTAAAAAATAAGGATACAGTGGATTACTTAGGCCTTCAGTTAATTCAGGTCTATGCAATGATTGAGTTGTCTGTTTTGAACTCGTTGTAGATTTATTCTTATTGGCTATAAGTGGATCAAAATCATCATCGCTGCTTGTTGTAGAAGAATAATCTAACCTAATTAAATCTTGTACATCTGATGTTTCCTAAACAATAATTATTTTTATTATTTACTTGTTTATTATAATTACTTTAATTAATTTATTCATTAATCTGTTTATTAATTTTCTTAAAATACAATATATGCAAATACTCACAGTTTTATCTATTGGTGTGTCATGTGAAAAAATCACATCCTGAAGTTCATTCATTAAATCTATATTTATTCTCTCCGGAAGAGCATCAAGTTCCTCAGTTGAATTCGAGTTAAGAGGAGAATATTGTTTCCTGATAAATTTAAAGCATTATCATCAATAAAATTATCAGTCGAATTGATAATAAAATTGTAAAAATATTATTTTTTAATAAATCCTAAATAGAAATAATTATTTACCTAGTTTCAGAGCCATGGCTATTAGAAAATCCTAAATCTTTTTTATAACTAGTAGTTGCTGTTAACCCACTGGGAAATTTCGTGCTTGTACTAAATATATGATGAATTTTTTTATCCATCGTAGGAGAACTAGGAGCGGAACGAGGTTGATGAAATCGCATGTTATTCGATTCATGTGTTCTCGATCGACCTAAATAATAAATAATATTATTTATTCAATTATAATATTATACCTGCGTGACAAAAAAAACAATTACCTTTCCACTTCAGTCCTTTATAAGCAGTTTTCATATCTTTGCCTTTATCTTTAACAGATTTAACAGCATATTTCATAGCAGGATTGGCTTTATCTTTGACACTACGAAAAAAAGCTGAACCTTCTTTTTTCATTGCATATGTCCATTCACGATATTGTTGCACAAATTTACTTCCTGATTTATCGGAATAATTACACGCCTCCATTTCAAATTCATCAGAAAAGCCAAGCCCTGAATTTAACATATGTAGTCTTTCCTCTATAAACTGATAAATAATTGAATGAAAATTTTTATCAATGAAATGATTAAAAAATCATTTGTATATTGAATTAAATGTAATATCTTACTTGCTGAAAAATTTGTAATTCTAACATCTTTCTTAAAAAAGGTTGCATTGAATAAGGCCGACTTTCAACAAAAGCATTCTGATCAAATGTAATACGTTGACCTTGTTGAAGTGTTAATGCTTCACGGTAACCAGCAGTAAGTTGTACTAAAGCTCGTAAAAATGCTCTAGATACTCCATCACCCAATAAAGCTGGTCTATTGCGTAACGCTTTTCTCAAATTATTCACTACATCTTGTGGTAATGATTGTAAATCTTGAAAGGGTGACTGAATAGTATTGTTATCTGCATCAAGTATAACTACATCACCTAAGTCATTTTTTTGTACTCTCTAAAATTAAAAATAATTTCTTTGTTATTACGAATGAAATATTTTTTTTTAAATAATTCCAAAAAATATGTATTATTAATTATATTAATAATAATTTTATAATAAATATTTTATGGGTATTAGGATGATGATAATTGATATACTTGGAAAATTGGAGCTGGTACGCCAATTAAGAATGGCATTGGTGCTAATAAATAATCCATTAGAGCTAAAGGTAAAACTGGTATGTAAATGTGTTGCCAAATCATTGGATATATCAAAGCATTGCAAGCTTGAACACAGGCACTCAACCTTGATAATCGTTTTGATGTGAAAATAATACGTCGTTCATACAACATTGATGCAAATATTATCATCATATTGTGCGAATCTACTGCACTATAATATTCCGTCAAATTTCGCTAAAATAGATATTTTCATTAATATTCATCACTATGAATTATCAAACAAATATTTCATTTTGGTACTCACGTTTTCTGGTATACTAGGTAACTGAAATTGTCTAGGACTTTGGCAAACATATGTCTGAAATTAATTTTTAATCAAAAATTATTAGGGATACTTATCAGAGTGATTATGATAATTATATAATTAATTGTTCTTACAATACTAGGATCAGGTAGTGGTATTGTAACCGATGTACCTGACATGGGTATATTACTTGCATAAACATTACTAAGAAATTTTTTTAGATCTTCACTATTACTCATCAGTGTTGCAATATGATTCAGAAGTCTGAAAAAATAATTTTTTTACTTTAATATCATGTTTTTTGAATATTTGAAATTTAAATGGAATTAAATGATGACATACTTGTAGAACATTTCATGCCATGGTAAAGAACTCAATAAAACTAATGCACTATCCTTTTTAGGATCGTGGCGACAAAAACCAAATGTCCACTTTGAATCGATACTTGTCAATACAAATGAAAAATGCTGCACCATAACACTGCAAAAAAATGGTATAATATTATTTTTATTATAGATTTTGAAGAATATATATATAATAATTACTTTTCAAATTCACATGGATAGGCAAATTTAGGCACAGATTTCAATAGCTCCTCATCATTGAAGGATTCAGGATATTTGTAAGATATCCATGCTAATTTTTCACCAACTGGAGCTGCTACTTCACAGAAGCATTCAAACAAATGTTTAACATTCTCCCTAAAAATTGACAAACATCATTATTTTTATGACACTTATTCAAGATCACTTGAAAATTAGGTTAACTCTTGAATCTATGTTAATGAATAATAATTAATTAGATATTTAAGATTCAAAAATAGATGTTTCTTTAATAATTGATTATTAATAGCAAAAAAAAGACAAACATATGATTAGAAAATTTACCTCAATCTAGATCCCATTGTGTTATTTTTCCGTATTAGTTATTGCATATTTTTTAATTCTTTTAACACAGTCTTGTATTTATATATATTTTACAATATATATGTATATATATATATATATATTTGTAAGTAAAACTTATAAAGTGTAAAAACTTAACAATGCAATAATTTTATTAATTTATATAAACACATTGTTGCTTAGATCACTTCAAAAGATATCAAATATTTAATAAGGCTCCCACATAGTGGGATAGACAATATTTTTCTATTTCAATATTTCATTTGCTTATTGTTTTTCACTTTCACTCAGCCTAACTTTATTCATCATCTGGTATTGAGAATTGATAAATATAGATAAACATACACATACTGAGATTTACGTATGAGTTGTGAATATTATGATCTAATTGTGTGTATCAAATGTTCAAGAAACATATGAGTTGCTAAACATCATGAGGACATTTGAAGACTTTCGAAAACTACAGCGCTCTCTAATGGCCTAGTCATTGAACTTATAAATTAGATATATGTATACCATATATGTACTTCCATAAGTGTGTTTCGGAGTTTATATATACATGGTATACTTCAAAAATATGAGAATAAACGATTATTATTCCATCCACATGTTCTTGTTATAATAATTAAATGTGAACAGTGAACTTTAATTATTTTTATTAATTATGCTATAAAAACATTGATTTAAAAATGAGTGTCATTGATATCATTGGTGATCTTGATCAATTTTTAAACATCAACAATTAAATTTAATTAAATTATTCAACATTTTTTTGTCCTTTAACAATTGAATTTATTGACATCATCAGCATCAATGTCTGGTCCAATTGTAAACAACTCTTTGGAGAAAATTTTACTTCTGCTTGATAAAAGTGAAGATAGTCATTGTCAATTGGCAATTCGCAAATTTATATACAAACATCTAGAGGATATGATTGATGATACTAAGCATGTTGATAATGATAGTAATAATAGGCTAGATATAGTTATAAATAAATTTAAACAAATATTTTTAAGTCAGGAAATTGAAAAGTATTTTATACTACCTACTCAATATAAACAAAAAGATGATAAATTGACAATATTGGGTATCGATAGTTTACCAAATCTTGAATTGAATTATGAAGAGAAAAAATTACTTAAATCAATTGTTGAAAAGCAGTTATTGGAAAGTATTAATTCTTATCTGACGAAGTATGTTTTTTTCTTTAAATAAATTATCCTACGATTAAGTATTTAATACTATTTACAATTAATTATTCTATGTAATATCGACATTTTTTTAGATATGAAGAAAATGGAGGAAATTTAACAGAAGTCATGAAAAAGAAGGAATCTTTGGCGAAGGAACAATTATTAAAGATGAACGATTTAGATATTTTACACTGGAAAAATAAAATAGATGAAATATGTAAAGCATACTGTCAAGATATCAATACCTGTCACAATTTACTCAATGAATGGCAACGATTGAAGTATGAAGATATGAAAACTTTAAATCAACAAAAAGCACAATCAATTTTACTCCAAAATCAAGTGACTGATTTACAAACAAGAATAGTTAAATTACAATATTCACTACAAATGTTTCGTGAAACACCGGAAACATTAGAAGCATTTGAAATTCTTGATCGGAAGTTAGAGGAGAAGTTGATGGATATCCAAACAGAAGTTAAAAATAAAAAATTATTATCAAAACAATACCATGATCTTTTAGGAACGGAATATGATGATATACTCAATAAATATTTAGAACTAAGAGCAATTATTAAAAAAGATGAACGTTTATTAAGTAGTTTGTAATGTAAATTAAACTATAAATTACTATATAATTAATACAATACTTATATTCTTTTTTAATACAAAATGTACCTTAATAATAAACTTTTTAAATTTTTTAATATTATTTTCTTTTGAATTGAGATCATGATAGTCGTTATCTGGTGTTTAAATTCATCATCAATTCCGTTATTATTCTATTCAATGTTATTTGAAATTATTTTAGGAATATTATTTTTATCTATTATTATTCCGTTTTCAAGGAGAAAGTTTTCAACATCTGATACATAGAAATCCGTTCCTAGAGTATCGGTGACGTGAACATAATTACCAATTACTTGGCCATTTTTATATACAAGAATAGCTGGAACTCCTTCTTTTTTAAAATGTTTACTCAAACCGACTACAGATCCTAGAAAATAATAATAATATTAGAGTAGGAAAGTGCTTGTAAACATAATAAATAAAGATTATCAACAATTGTGACTTACCAAGTATTTTACAAAATTTTACATGAGGATATTCCTCAGCTAAGGTTATTAAACAACCGTTCATGGCATCACAACCAGGAATTTTTGGTTCATAAATATGGACTACTACAGTTACAGATTTATCTTCATCATCAATAGCTTTTAGAAACTCATCAGCATTGTTTAAATTAATTACAGTGCCAAATTTAAATTTTTGTACTTTAGACAGCATTTCTTTCATTCTCTGTCTCTGATATTCAACCAAGAATTCATCTTCAAGGAACTCATCCAATTCCTCGTCATTATTTTTCTCTTTCTCTTCATCTAATGAGCTCTTACAAGACATACTAAATTTTTTCAATAGTTTCAAATATTGCTCGTCATTCTGAGCCTTCTTTTCAGACTCCAATTGTTTAAATTTCTTCCAATCCTGTAAATATTATATAAGAATGATTTTAATTACTTGTATAAAGTAAAGTAACATATAAAATTGAATTAACATGATGACATATGTGAAAATGATCTTGAAATTAACTCACATGAAGGACACCTTTTGGTCCAGTATTACTACAAGTCCCATTCCATGTATCAATATTATTCATTTCAGAACATGAAATATTTTGTAAATCAGCATTTGCATTTTCTTCTATTTCTGAATCGTCATGGCTATCGTCTTCATCTTCACTTGAACTACAATAATATTCTTTCTTTTCACCTAATATTTTATCTTCTAACGTACTCATGATTTATTAGTAATAACAAAAATTGTTAGAACTCGTAATATAAAAAAAATTTATTCACTATTGTGCAAATATTTATGATAAGTAACAATCAATACTCCAAAAGAAGATTGTATAATATTCTGATCTAACAAACAAAAAGAACTGTCAAGTTATGCATGTTTTTGTATGAAACTGATCCTCCCTAATCTACCTATATTCTACTTTTCCAACATAAACTACCGAAAACTCTAAGATTAGAAGATTAGATTTGATAAAAATTGGCAAACAATAAATTTAGCCCTCTCAGCTTTTCTGATGCAAACTTTAGCTGTCACATCGGTATAACAGAGGAAATTTTCATTATTGAGTTTTCTCTTTTTTTAGCCGCTGCAGCTGGTCTGTGCTGCCATCTTGTTACCACTGGGGTCATTGAAGTTTTAATATTTTTCTCTCTTTTCCGGTGGTTCTGTAGCGTGTAAAAGGTAATGGAATTTATCGTGAATTTAAATCCAAATGAATCGCCAAAAAATATGATAAATCAATGATAATTTTAGTACTCTACGTATTTTCTTTTCATGTGCTTTGAGATTATTATAATATTTTCTAATTATCAAGTTATTAAAAATACGACGATATCTAACCTCTAAAAACGGAGTGGAAGTGTCATTTATTATTGTTGAAGTCATAGAGTATTTGATCAAATTAATTTATATCCTTTGTATTAGATTACAACTATTTTACAGTGTAATCTTTTCTTATTTATTTATTCAAAATTGCAAATATGTAAAAAACTAATAGATAACCTTAAAAGTTGTTACTGTAAACAGTGATATTTTTTAATTGTTGTATCAAAATAATTGATATGTCTCTTTTATAATTTAAATAAAATTTTATATTAATTTTTTCATTTTTCAGCTGCAGGATGAAGCAAATAGTGACTAACCAAACTGTTAAAATCCCAGAAGGGTTGACTGTATCAGTCAAATCACGACTGGTGACTGTTAAAGGACCCAGAGGTGTTTTAAAGAGGTCCTTCAAACATCTTGCACTGGACATTCGAGTAAGCAAGAATTCATTCATCTTTAGATTAATTATTTTTCTCTAAAAGAAATTTCTTGATACAAAAATTACATGATGATTTAGTGGATTCCCCTTCATTTGTTATAAATGACTAATCCTTACTGATATTATTTTTTATTAAAATTCTTGCTATCAATAACGAATTAATTTGACTTGAAATTTAATGCTACTTTTTTCTTTATAGATGATCAGTCCTAGATTGTTAAAAGTAGAAAAATGGTTCGGTACCAAGAAAGAACTTGCAGCTGTACGAACTGTCTGTTCTCATATTGAAAATATGTTGAAAGGTGTAACCAAGGGTTATATGTATAAAATGCGTGCAGTGTACGCTCATTTCCCTATTAATTGTGTTACTACCGAAAATAATAGTGTTGTGGAAATTAGAAATTTCCTTGGAGAGAAATACATCAGGCGAGTTAAAATGGCTCCTGGTGTTACAGTTTCCAATTCAACGAAACAAAAAGATGAACTTATTGTTGAAGGAAACTCTTTAGAAGATGTTTCGAGATCAGGTAATTTAAACTAATAGTTAACATTTTTTTTATTTATCCACATAATTAATTCTTTATATTATTTCATAACTCACTATTAGAGATTAAGACGAGTCATGTATATTTTTTATAACAATCTACCTCATTAATATAAAATAATTTAATTGATATTAAAATATTTTCTTCTTTTCAGCTGCTCTTATTCAACAGTCAACAACTGTAAAGAACAAGGATATTCGAATGTTCTTGGACGGTCTATATGTGTCTGAAAAAACTACTGTTATCCAAGATGATGAATAAATTTTTCTTACATCAATACTTTAACTGATTTTAAATGTATTAATCATTTTGTCTATTATATTTTTAATCATTATTTATCAACTTCACTTTGAATTCATACAAAATGGAATTATTTTTTAAATTAGCTCGTAATTGTTTGACTTCTTGAAAATTTACATATCTATACTATTCAGTATTGTATTTCAACGATTATATCATATAACACAAATGATTAAAAACTCAAAGTATATTACTTGTTCTTTAGTATGAGCTAATATAAAAAATAATTATGCTTTTGTTTTAATATAAGAAAGAAACAAAAAATACTGTGTATAGGAATGGAAATACATTTTATTTTTTGAAATAACATTTGGGATCTTACTAAGAAACGTTTGATCTCATTACAAGTAACAATTCAATAATAAATTGGCAGTGAATGATTTTAACAAGATAGCCAATTATTTAAGTTAACTTATAATTCTTGCCAACATTCTTTCATTTTCGTATGTTTAACATAGTTTATCATAAATTCACTGAACACTTATTCATAAATCCACTTTTCAGCCCATGATGCCCAATCGATAACTTCTTTCTTATCTTTTTCGCCAAACCAAAGTTTAATTTCTTTCTGAGCTGATTCGACTGAGTCCGATCCATGAATAATGTTACGTCCAACTTGGATACAGAAATCTCCACGGATGGTACCAGGTGCTGAATCTTTTGGATTTGTTTCTCCAAGCATTACACGGCCAGTTTTAACTGCATTTAATCCTTCCCAAACCTAATTGTTAAATCAAGTATATAGTGTTATGTAAGTGGTTTTTTGTAGGCTTCTTATCGCATTTATTTTTATAATTATGTATGACTTCTGATTGATTACTAACCATTGGAACTACTGGACCAGAGCTCATGTATTTAACTAAACCTGGAAAGAATGGTCTGGAAGACAAATCGGCATAGTGTTCTTTGAGAAGGTCCTCGGATGCCTGTAAAAAATTGTTTATCATTATTATAAACATGTACCATATGCAATATCAAAGTATTTTCATAAAATACAATGTGTTAATTAATTTAAAATAAATATGCTCAATGGCTAGTATAGCATTATTTTATTTACAAATCTGAAGAAGTTTGTTTTACTCAAATTTTTAGAATTTTAAAAATAATAATAATGCAAAAAGTATTTGCAGACAAAATGAGATGTAATAACTGAACTTTTCAGATAAAAAAGAAATTTTTTCATAAAATGATTGAGATAACAAAAAATAATGAATGTTCTCCAGCACGTGCCATGTGTCAAGACAAGTTGGAGGACAGAATGTATGGCAAATGACTTACCCAAACCATTTTCATGGCCACAAGTTTGAAACCTTTTTCTTCAAATCTTTGAATAATTTTTCCAACGAGTCCACGTTGAACGCCATCAGGCTTGATCATGATAAAGGTTCTTTCCTTATTTTCAGCCATTGTAAATGAAATAAATTAATTTATAATAAATCACAAGATCACACACTGCCGGTAGTCCAAACTGAAAAGAGAGACTCGGAAACTGTACTCAAATCCGGTACGTAACGTACCCCAGGAAACATGGAGGGGAAATCATGTAATACAGCCTGGAAATAAAATTTCTTTTAGAAAATAATTCATAATTAATTACTAATCAGTAAATTTATATTTATTATTTTTTTAAGTTGTTTAAAATTTTTTATAATTAATAACCTCTTCAAATGACTAGAAAAAATGGAACATGACTGTAAATATTAGTAGAAAACGGTCATATTGACTACATTTGGGTTTGAATTTTAGTAGATTTGCCGCCATTTTATATAGCAAACTCTCAAACCCAAAATCTTTACAAAATAAAATTTAATAATTATTTCTTAAATAGAATAATAGTTGAATATTATAAGAAATTATTATCAAGTATAAATTTAAATAAATTGTGTGTTTTTATTTTAGTTTTAAAAAAATAGTTGCTCAATTAATTACACCGGAAATCAAGGCGACGCACGACACACTACGATCAATTAAAAATGGCGTTGCCGAATTGCTCGTAGATTTCTCGCGAATGAAATTGTAATAATTTGTTTAATTAATACTAAAATACATGTGAGTGACACAGTGTGTCATCTCAAGTGTTAATACACTAACGAATTAATAAATTATAATAGACATTAAATAAACTAGAAATTTCGCGGTGATATTTCATACTCGTGATTCAGCAGTGGTTGCCTGAAACAAAAACGATTAACAAAATACAGATCCTTCAGGCACGATACGTAATTAAATTTGGAACCACGATTTCATTTTTTGTTCCGTCCTGTAGTCTTTTCGGATCAAACAAAAAACTAACATAATATGCAAGCACCCCAACAACCTCAGCAAGGACATCAGCAAATTGCAGGTGCTAGCGTTATTCTCAAGATGAATGAGATTCAGCAACTGTCAACAGTTGGTGAGTGTATTTTTATACCAATATTTTTTTGGTAAATTAATTTACTCACTTTTGTTATCATTTTTTTTTAGATTAATTAATTCAAATGAATTATTTTAAATATAAAAATAAAACTTATTTGTGCTAAAAATTGATTTGAATGAAAACATACAAATTATCTGAACTAAAACAGCTGAACTATTCATAGCCATTAAGCTAAAAGTGATCTAATATAAAAAGATAAAGTTTTATAATAACTAGTTAGGTATAATCATAATTTTTTATAATTATGAATAATAAAATATCAATATGTATCATGTTTTTAGCAATCTTATCTATAAAAGTTGTACTAAAGTCCACATTTCTTTGAATATTTTAAAATTTATTATATATAAGCGTATATATAATTTGGAATCAATAATTAATTATAATGATTCTTGTGATATATATTTTGAATAAGCTCCCAGATTTTGAGATAGCGCAAGAGTCAATCATGAGCATGTGCGTAGAGAGTCGACAAAATGAATTAAACACGTGCTCACGTATATTGATCTAGGGTTTCTTTGTACGTAAAAATAAAGTATGGCTGATGTGTGTAATTTTTAGTTGAAATTAGAACTGATTGCTTGGTAAAACAATTAAACTCTAAACCCAATTAAAATATAACTCAATAAACATAGATGGACTAACTAGTGATTGTTTTTAACAATTAATCAACTGAAAATCTATATGTAGTCCATAGAGTCTATCATGTCAGTGAATATTTTAATAACACTAATTAACAAATAGCTGAAAGAAAATTAATTAATTAATTAAATAAATTATCAGTGAAATATTGTTCATTTTAAACATGAAAAAATGGTGTAAGAAAGATATTCCCACTGGTAATTAAATGTATAAAAAATAATTAATTCAACTTATTCTAAATGACATTCATTTATTTATGATATATTTTTGCCTTTAGGCCTTTATAATACTTATAAAATAATTTTAGCGTGAATATAAAAGTGATACAGCGTAAATTGGCATGGTTACTCTTTGCCCCTAAATTCATCTGTCCTTTCCCCTTCTCTAATGTTCTCTCTTCATCCTTTTCTCCTCACCTCGTAACTCCCCACGGTAACCTTTGTTTTTTATCCTTGTCAATCTCTTAAAAAGAGTGGAATATTCCACTGACTAAAGTAAAGGGGATAAGCTTCCATCTGCTTCCCAGACCTGCTGAATGTTCCTGATGCCCTTCCTTATAAATGTTCACTATCAGGAGCGTACAGTTATTTTATCCAAATTATTTGCTCAACTCTTTATCTTTATGTTTATTTAATTTCTTTAAGCTTTGTAGATAAGTTGAAGGAAAAAAAGATCTGTCAAGTGAACTTCACTTCTAACATAAGTTCATGATTTCATTGCTATCAATGTTAGAAATGCAAATACTTGATGAATTAATTGATCATTATTTTGCGAAGAAAAAAAATCAGTGATTTTTTATTTAAATTTAGGGTTCTTTTATTTAATAATACACTCCTGATATGCTTCCTCCCCTCTTATTCTCATTGCTTTTACCTTCCCCTTCTACAAACGACTACAATTATGCTATAGTATCTATACCACACCGGTTGTGCTTGTAGTCCCTGTTCAATCTAGCAGGGTAAACCTGGACTCCAGGCAGAAACGAAATTACGTGTAATTGTTGGTGCAAGTTATTGCTAACTTTCATACTGTAATTTTTGTCGAGTTTTAAAAATAGAATCTATCGAGAAGACACTTCTGATTTGGATTGGAAAAAAGAAAAATCATTATATAAAAATAGAAATAATAACTTTAAAATCAATTAGAAATTGAGTGATTTCACAATAAAAGCAAAAACAAAGAAACTCTAGAGTGAACTTTTTTAATAACTGCTTTTTTTTTTTTTGTGGAAAAAATGAGTAGTGGACAAGTGTCAGGTGTTATCACCGTTAATCAACCTACGAACAATAAACTTAATGGTGGAAATTTCGAGAATGAAACTGGAGGTTGGCGTGGAGATAATGTTATATTATTGAGCCAAGATTCACCGAATAAAGAACGTTCTAATGATGAACAAAGCATTACCTTAGCTGTAGATTCATATTGTTCGTATTTTAGTCATTTTTTTTTTTTTTAATATTAGATATTGATATAATCATTAGTAAATTTATTCAATTAATAGATTAATTCATGAAATGAAATATAATCAATAAATAATTATTTTAAAAAAAATATATAAATATTAATATAAAATATTTAATAAAATTGTTCTAGGGCTATTGGAATTGGCGCACAGAGAATATCAATCAGGAGACTACGAAAACGCTGAGAGACACTGTATGCAACTATGGAGACAGGAATCGAATAATACTGGAGTTTTGCTGTTGCTCTCATCCATTCATTTCCAATGTCGACGGCTTGAAAAGTAAGATAATTTATTAATTAGAAAATGTTTTAATTAAAAGAATTTAAGAACTGTAAATAATACAAGGGTACTAATTAAAATTCTATAAATAATAAAAAAAATAATATAAATTAAAGCGTTTTAAGCAATAAATTCATTAATCAATAAATATTCTTTGTTCTTTAGATCTGCACACTTCAGTAGTCTTGCTATAAAGCAAAATCCACTTCTTGCAGAAGCTTATAGTAACTTAGGAAATGTATACAAAGAAAGAGGACAACTTCAAGAAGCGTTAGAAAATTATAGACATGCAGTTAGGCTAAAGCCAGACTTTATTGATGGATATATCAACCTAGCTGCTGCCCTTGTTGCGGCTGGAGACATGGAACAGGCTGTTCAAGCCTACGTCACTGCATTACAATATAATCCAGTAAGTGATTAACATGTTTTTACATATGTTATAAGAATAAAAATATTGATAAATAATATATGTTAATATCGAATTAATCAGCTTGATTTTTATAACTTGTTATTTTTATTTCTAGGATCTCTATTGTGTGCGTAGTGATCTTGGTAATCTTTTGAAAGCATTAGCCAGACTTGATGAAGCTAAGGTAAGATTTAAATATAATAAAATAAATACATATACAATTCCACATGTCACGATAATATGAATTAGGACTCTTTTTGAAAAATTAACCAAGAATGGACAATGATTTTGAGTTATATTATTTATTTATTTTGTATTTTTTTTTATTAAAATAAATTTAGTTATATTTAGACAAATAAAAATAATTAATTTATTCATTTATTTTATAATTATTTATTTGATAAAGAGTACTAATACATAATGTGCATGTGTGTTGGGTCAGCAAAGTTTACAGGAATGTATAGAGCGATTGTTTAAAAATGTTCTCATTGCTCAATGCAGAAAGCTACCTTTTTTTAGCTATATCAAAGTAATATTGCGCGATGCGCGAGCGTTTTTATATTTCTGCCATCAAAATAATAAAATTCTATTTTATGATATACTGTGTATGTATTCAGTATATATAACAATTTTTTAGTACTGATAAATTTTTTCTTTTGATTGCAGACTAATTACTGATATATTCTCTTCATATTATCTGTAAACTATACATTTGTTATCTTGAATTTTATAACGAAATAATTATTGAAGGTTAAAAAATATTTATAGTTCTGTAATAAAGTTAAATATAAAGCATATTTAAAAAAATATTCTTCAATATAGAAAACAGATAACAAGTGTTAGTTTGAAAAAGGCGCGACGTGAAATCATTATTAATCATACAAAAATATTTATTCATTATGAGATAGTGCTTTCACGTGTAAAAATATTTTATTCATTGATTCTATTTATGTATTTCTTCCTTAACTTTGTATAATTTTAAGTTTATTTAATAATTTAAATTATTTTTTTATGATAAGTTTAAAGAAAAAAATAATAAATAGAATCAATAACGCGCGAATTACATTTTAAGATCATCATCATAGGTTCTCATTTTTTATTAATTTACACTTTTTTGTACAGCAATATATGTATTCATTAGATAAACTCATACATTGTTTAGCGCGAGAATATTTGACAGTTTTATGTGAATAACTATTTTATTATTTTATTAATTATTTAATTGATACAACCAATAATTACATTTTATTGGTAAATATAATTTATTTAATATTATTTTAAAATTGAGTAGAATATTATTTATTCCAATGTTTAAATAAATTTTTATACTCCAAAAAGATGTAATGATTTTTTTATATAATTCTTTTACTGATATTTATTTTTATTTTATTCAATTTTATCTGTTTACTTTAATGCTATTTATAAATAATTGTCAAGTATTCTACTGCAGCGCGGCGCTGGCGATTTTCTGTAAATTCCATCACAGTTTTTTCGCTACATTGTACAGTTATTTCATCTTCTCTGTAAATATCTGTAATAATTTATTTTATAATTATGCATTGAATAATTTTAAAATTAAAAACTAAAATAATTAAAATAAATAATTTGAAAAAAAAATATTTCTATTATCTGTGATGGAATTTAATGAAATTTAAACTTTGTTCTTAATTAAGGGAAGTTTTCTGCTATTTTATTTATCATTCCTACAAACTATTGCTAACATTTTTTATTTCTATATGAACTTTTATTCAACTCGTTTAGCCCCATTTCAGTAGATGAAAAAAATAGATAAATATACAAAGCTCAATTATAACTGATAAATAAAAAAAAAGTGATAAATATTTGTATTCTTCAGTATAAAAGGATTGATTGCTTTTTTTACAAGTGTTGGCTATAACGAGTCTCCTTAGGTTGAAATTAGTATTTTCTCACAAAGAATAAAATGAAATAAATCAATTACTTGTTGAAGTAATAATGATAATAATAATAGTTGAGAAGAATAAAAAGGTTGAATGAATGAGTGAGAGATGAACTAGTTATTGAAGAGACATTAACGCAGCTGTCTTATTGTTGTGGATGGAATGATCAACTCTAGGATGGGAACGTTGGAGCGCAATACAATTGGTCGGTATCCACTGGTTACTTCGTCAAAGGGTGAAATCTGAATCTGGTTCGTTGAGTAACAGACACTCAGTCTAAGTTTTATATGAGAGCTTGCGATCCATACCTACCGTCAACCTACCAAAGGGTACAGTAAAGGTAATGTAGCTCCCGAGGCCGATCTTCATCCACTCCAATGTCCTTTCTTCCAACTCAACCTTTCCATCTACATCAATAAAAAAATATATATATAAGATTATTAGCATTATCTTTTAGCATTTAGGAATAACTAATTATTAGTATAAATTAAAAACTAAAATACTAAATAATAATTATTAAAAAAATTTTTAAAGAGGACAATAATTTTAGATAAAATTAATTCTAATGAATAAATGATGAGTTAGGAATAAATAAAATGATTAAAATAAAAATTTAATATAAATATTTAATGATCTTTTTAAACTAAATATTTAAAAGAATTATCTTGAAATTAAAACCAATTCATCAAAGTCAGTGATAGATTTTTTTTTTAGAAAGTATTTTATTCCTCTCAGTCTTTAGAAATATTGTCCTTTGTTTTAATAATTCCATTTGAGATCGGCCAACCGAAACTCCCCTTTTACTTATTCTTCTTTAGGTACGGATTTTTACAGTGTGCAAGCCCGCCTCTCGAATTGCGCGTTTTTTATATTATTTGCAATAAATTAAAGCGTCATAGTAATTAAAATAATTTAAAATAATTATTATTTATTTATTTTCATTATTTGACTGTGTTTAATTCACTTTAATAATTATTTTCTTTTACAGAAATATTATGAAAGTAAAGTATATTAATATTTATAATATAATTTTCAGTGAAAAAGACTGAGTAAAGTGTTTTTGATTCCACCAGACGCATTCTGGAGAATCATTAGCACATTTTCATCAAAGAATGATAACTATGACGCTTTTAGTGCGCGTCCTTTGTTCCTTTTTATACAATGTCCTTTTTTAACCTTCTCCTTTACTTTATGTCCTAGAAAATTCTTCTGGTATAATGAATTTTACATTTGTTTTATATTGAATAAATATTTCTCAAGGAAACAATCAATCTATTAATTAACAATAAATGTAGTTATTTTTAATTTGTAATACGAGATTTACTTTTTATAAAAATAAATATGATATCAAGAAAAAAAAAAAAATTGAATGATATAATCAAAGTATATCCTTTGACATTCAAGTTTCAACAAAAAATAGAAAACAAATTTTTTTTCATTGTCGTGAGCTACATGTTGAGTGATTTAAAAATATACTTTACAATAATATAACGAGATAAAATAAAATAAAATTTTTCTATTGATTCAAAAATATAAATAATAAATCTATGTAATAAAAATATAAAAAAAATTCTTTGAGATATTTTTTTTTCAACGTTGATCAAAAAACAAGGAATGGAGAATCTATTTTATCTAGGAGGACATTCAACTTCATCCTGGCTTGTTGAAATCATTGTGACGTGTTTTCTCAAGGATACAGACTCAGAAGTAGGAAGAGAGAACGTTTTTATAATAGATGAATATTTATTGAAATGAATTTTTTATTACAATACCTATTTCAACATGTTTTTTTTATTTTTATTTTAACTTAACATCCTTTTCGAATCTTTACAGAATACAACAACGTTCTTTCTTCCTTTGATGAAAAATAAATTTATTTAGGGCCTGAGGAGGAAGAGAGAGTGTGAGAGTGGTTAGGAGAGCAAGAGAGAAAATAGAGAGAGCACGTTGCAATGGCTGCAGCGCGGCAAGGAGAGGACGGGCATAAGAAGCGCGGCGCGCAATATCAATTTGCGAACATAATTAATGTCTAATATGTTATTTAACCTTTGACTCTAGGCTTGTTACCTGAAGGCTATCGAAACACGTCCAGACTTTGCTGTTGCATGGAGTAATCTTGGCTGTGTCTTCAATGCTCAAGGTGAAATATGGCTTGCTATTCATCACTTCGAAAAAGCTGTAGCATTGGACCCTAATTTCTTAGATGCCTACATCAATCTTGGCAATGTCCTCAAAGAAGCTAGAATTTTTGATCGGTAAGTTTCATCCAATTTTATCAGCACATTTTTTAAACTGATAATATAGTTTACTATTATTTTCTAAACAAAAAAAAAAGGTATTTATTTCTAAGTTCTATTGAGATATTTAATTATCATTTATTTAGAGCCATTTCTAATTTTTTTGTGATTTAATAAAAGAATTTATTTTATAGGTATGATTATAATTTAAATATAAATGAAAGCTTTCTATTTGTCAAAACTATTCGGAATTTTTGTTGGAAAAATAAATTGAAAAAAAAAAAAATTCAAAAAGTTTATAGAAAACTAATTCAAAGAGATAATTGGATGTCTATCTTCAATCATATTTGTTTAATATCAGATCACGAAATGAATAAATGTCCATTTTGAGGATAATCGATAATTTAATTACGCTTGTAAAATGTAATCCTTTTAATGGATTATTTGCTAGTGGATTTGTATTTAAATCCATGCTTGCAATTTTATTTGCAATGTATCTGATCACATTGTGTTTTATTTTTAATATCAAAAAAGGTATATTAAACCTTTTATTGATTCTCATATCCTGGAGATACATTCGCCTTCAAGCTATTTCATTTGATCCCTTTTAACATTGGTAGGGCTTTTTAATATTTAACTGTTATTTTCTGTTGAATACTGCTCTTTTTTTTTTTCTTTATGATATTCTTTTTTTTTTATTATTTTATCTTTCTAAAGTTTAAAAATGAAGTAGCACTGCGTCTTAAGTTTCTTCAGTATTTTCTTCAAGATAAATTGAGAAATCTTGTAGAATTTAAAATAGTTCAATCAGTTAAGATTGATTTGGTACGTTGATTTTCTTCTTCCGAGTTTATCAATCCTTGTCATGATTCATGGTTTAATTAATGTTTTTTAATTTTTCTTTTATTATTAGAATCCTCACGTTCAGAATTAAATAAATCTTATCATCTAAATTGTAGAAATAATTAAGTCATAAACAAAAATAATTATTTATTAACTCCAATAATAATATACTGAATAATTTTAACGTTAATTCAGTTTTTTTAAATTTAAAATATATTTATTCTGAGAATTACTTGTTGAATAATGTTGCAAAATATTATTAAGAGAATCAAAATTTTTTTAAAGTGTTAAAATAACTTGACATATTTATACAATAAAGTCTAACAAAAATTTTCAATATTATCGTATAATTTTATAGTCAAATAACTTTCTTAACTGACATTTAATTAATGGTAAGTCTAGACATTCTTGTTCTAATGAGTAGTTGTAAAATCTTCACATTAAACTTTTCTACCAACTTGAACTTTCTCATTGTTGAAGTTTCACAAAACCATCCTTGATCTTTAGCTATGATAAGACTTCTAGTGATACAAAAAATTACAAATATTTTTAAACATATCAATTAGTCTAGAATTTTTATGAGTTTATTTACTTCAATTATTTTATATATCTCAGTAGGATATTTTTTATAGGCTGTTTTTCTTTGTAATAATAAACATAAAACTTTTATTCAAATTCTTATTTTAAGGAAAAAATACTATTTAACTTTCTGACAAAATGAAAATACTTTTATGTATGTTGGATTTATGGAGAAAATTTAACAAGTTATAACATGAGAAGAAAAAAACTTGATAGTTTGCTGAGGAAAAGTTATTATATTATGAAAAAATATAAAATATGTAATATTTTTCTTTAGTTAAATTTATGATCGAAAGTAGATTTCATCTCATAAACATTCAGTATTAAATTTTTTTTCCACAAAATCGAGAGCCATTCTATTTAATTGATCTCAAAGTCAAGTTATAATTTAATAATTGTTCATTTTAATTGAAAAATAAATTATTTAAGAGCACACTTAGTTCTTGATAATGAATTAATTCATAAAGGTTCACCAGCAGCTTTCTATAAAATAATAACATCCACCATATGAAAGTTAACAAGATAAAATTCTAAATGATATCTGAATTTGTTATTTAGAACTTGGAAACTTATTTTTAAAAAAAAAAAAAGTTTTACTGCACAATTTGATCGGCTGTTATTTGAACTTACAATAAATAACAGTCTTAAAGTTTGTGCTAAAGTAAAAGAAAAAAAACTCACAGTTATTTCCGTTATGGGAACACAAGCCCATACCTGATAGTCATGAGTTTTACATTGAATTTTTTTTTTTAAGAACACTTGAAGTAATTTAACATTCCTGGCATTAAGTTGCAAATAGTAAGCAAAGTTGCATTACACAAATCAAGTCACTCGGATAAATCTCTAAACTTTTTTGTTTAATTTCTTGAGAGTTTTTAAACAATTATTGAAACTAGAAGTTGAAGAAAATAACTCTGATTAAATGTTCTACTTTAAACTAAATTCAATTTAGTTGATAAAAATTTTATGCGTTAAAAATAAATGCACTTAGCTTTAAAAATGTATCACTTTCTTGATAGGTGTTGAAGCTTTTTAACGTATTATTACCTTAAAAGCTACAGTCCATTACATCGTCTAGACCTGGGAAAACTTTGAGACTTTCACCTATCTTCAATCCCCAAAGGCTTTTGTTAATATTCCCTCGTATTCAATCCCTCGAGTATAAGACGTGTTTTCTAACTTTTCAAAGCGAATTTCATGTTCATTTTAGTTTCTTTGTTCACTTGTTAATAGTAGGTTTATATGATGATCCACATACAGAGAAATGTCTTAAATTTCTTCACGGTCTAGGCCTATGTGAAATCGTCTTTTTTATCTGCTTCTCCATCATGGATTCAGAATAAAGGCAAAGGTTATTTTTTCTTGCCTTTTATTCGCTAAGCTGAAGGTTCATTGCTCCAAAGAAATTTCTTTGTGTGACAAGTCGAGCTGATTTGTTATTCATCTTGATAAATCGTCCTTGCTTTAATTTTTTTCTTCATTTTATAATAAATTTAATATTTATTAAACTTATAATTGTAGTTTTACATGAATTTGTTTTCTTGATTACATGTTTCTGTTTTTCATATATTTATTTTTTTTTCAGGAAAGATAAAAACAATGTACCATTTATTGATTAAGAGCTTTTATGTTGGATCCAAAATTATCTTTGAACTTTATTAGACAATACGTCTTTATTATTTGTATGGATGTCCTTAATATAAGGATTATAGGACTGATAAAGTTAATTGAGAGATATAAGTTACATAAATCTCTACTTTGCTGAAAAAGCTTTTATTTTTGTCTTATAAAATCCATCCATTGATTGGTGTTGGAGATGGTGCGTCATCTAAATTGTTTGATATAAATTTATTATGTTTCATCATATTTATGTTAAAGAGAAAAGAGTGTCTTTTATTGAAATGGCTTTGCACAAATCTATACGTAATCATTTCAATCCAAAGTCATTTAAGATATCAAGGCAAAAAATAGGCAAATGTAATATTAAAAGAAAAAATATCAACTAACCATTCGTAAAAAGATGTTTGATTGATAATACTTTTAATGTTCTTCAATTAATGTACTTGAATGTTCACTTAATTCATTAATAATTAATCTTTTAAAATCTTCATTTTACTAAAATTGTTTTATAAATGATCAACTTTCTTTTTATCAAGTTTCTTTTCGATAATCATGACCTAATTTATTTTTTTATTTCATTATATCATTAATCTAGTGAAATGCATTCCATCACTTAGAAAGGATGATTTATGAAAATTAAAAAGAGAAATACATTATTTTTTATTATGATTGTTGTAATGAGAAATTGGGTGAGAAAAAAGCGCATGAGCAAGAAAACTGTGAATGGGAGCTCTTTAGAGTCTGAGCCCTTGGCAAATCGATAGTTCACTAAATTTGTAACTATTACAACTCCACCCTTGTCATCAAAAAAACAAAAAAAAAATTAATTCAATTATTATCATAAAAATATCCATTAAATAAAACCACGAAATAGCTTGAATTTTATTCATCGACAAGATTTCTTTAAGTGACAATTTTCCAAGTAATCGAAACAATGAATTCACAGTCATACATCTGTCTGGCGCCGCTAGAGAAGAGCAATGAACGGTTAATGCTCTATTAAATTGAACTATAAATGTATATCTATTTTTCTTTTATATATACAAGAATATTGAGCATTCTCAACAACCTCAATTAAATTTGTAATACATTATTTTTACTTGAAAAATATTTTTCAATACTTTTTTTCGAAGCAATATCAATAAAACATTAAATTTATTAATAAATGTACCATTAATATTTGAATTTATTGCCAACTATAAATGATATTATGATTAACTTTCAAGTCATCAAGTAGTTATCAAGGTAATGAATGATAGTTAATGATTAGCTAATATTTTATTATTGCTATTAGGTATTTTATGATGAAAAATTTTCATTATCCAATTAATCATTTATCAGAGTTGATCAATTACTCATTAAAACCAAGTGTATTACTCAATATAAAAAACCGATCAACTTAATTAGTTGAATGAAAGTAGGAAAAAAAAGTCTTCGATTTTATTCTAATGATCTTCTACCTCATTTTCCCTTCATATTACAAATCGTTTTTCTCTGATAAACTAATAATATTTTCTACACTTTAGATAGAGAAGAACTTCTTCCAATATAGCTTTATAAAAATATTCAAAGATATAATCTTCTTTTACTGGCTTAAAAGTATATAGAATAGTTTACTCTGGAATTTAAATGTGATTCATTATGTCTAAATAGGATATTTTGTAGCTCTATGATAGCTACAGTATTGAAAGAGTAATATGGAGTTTGTAAAGGGTGTAGCACACTAGAAACTTATGTACTACAAATCACCTAGCAACCCGTAGACCCACTGATTTGTCGCCAGACGCGGCTTTCGTTCGACGCCGACGCCAACACCGGTTCTACTACTGCAAATTTCATAGTCCTAGCGCTACTCTGCCGTCCTCGATTGCCGACTAAGTCAGTAGTTTAGTTCGTAGTCCCCGGAACACGTCACTTTGAAATCTTTTACCGGGTGATTTCGATCTCATTCTTCTTTCTATTTGTCTAAAAATTTTTTTTTTTCTACTTACTTGCAATGGTTATTGCTAAAATTTTATACTCTAGTTGATACCTAGTTAATATCAAGCTTATTACCATTTTAAAAAGTTTAAAATCATTGGAAATTTCTTTTTGAAGTGTCTTCTGCTATAAAATTAAAAAAATAGAAGATATAGTGTAGCAACTTTTTTTTATTTAATGAGAATAATGATTTTTTTTTTTTTTTCCTGTTGGACTTATGATTTGAGTACATTGCTGATCATCATGTTGATTAGCAGACTTCATGACCTTGACTTAAGGTGTAGGCACGCAATAGTGTAACATTTATAACTAACTGGAAAAAAGCAAACAGTATAATTGTTGATTAAACTGATAGAAAAAACGAATGAATTTTAAGCTGGTAATGTTATGGTGAATATTGAAATAAGAATTGATGATTTATGGCTGTTAGAAGCAGAAAAATATTGAGTTAAATGGATAATTAATTTTGAACAAATTTCTGGAGAATAATTATTATTATAAAAGGTGTGAAAAATTGATAGAATTAAATAAAAAAAATTGATGTCATTTGTTATTGATGAAATTTTATTACAATCATAATGGAAGTATTTAATAACTCAAAATAAATGACGTTCATGAAGATTAGTAAAATTCAAATGCATGTGATAAATTAAAATAACAAAAAATAATATACGGTTGTTGCATCATGATGATTTAAATTAAAATATGAAGAATCATAATGAAGATCAAAAAAACTAATGAAATATACAAGACTGATTGTTTGATAATGCCACAAATGATTGTAAACAGGGTTTACTAATTACATCCTTCAATAACAGGCCAAAAAATTTTTTTACAAAAATTTTTATTTTTGTAAAAAAGAATAAATCAATAAAAATATTCATAAATAATAATCTAAGTGGAATATGTTAAAAGTAAATTATTAATAACCATTATGAATTATTGAATGATTATTGAAAATATTTAATTTTCAAAATAACATACAATATAAAAAATTTAGTCTTTTTTGGAATTAATGATAATGGATAAGATATGGATTATCAATGTGTTATCGTATACACGGTGATTTCACCCTCCACATCAATAGCTCCTTCAGTTCGTCTTCAACTTGAAAACATTGTGACAAGTCCAGTACCTACTGGATGTATAGCTTGGATCAAATCTTGGATCAAGAGGTTATTAAAAGTTGCCTTGTACTTTTTTTTTAGGGTTTCATACTTCCTTGACTTTATCTCTTTATATTCTACTTGTTTGTTTAAGCTTTTTTTAAAACTTCCAGTTTTTTGTTGAATATTTTTTAGCATTTTTCTCCAGTTTTAAAAATAAACGTCGTCATAAAAACTTTATGTCGAGACCAAGAAGCTTTTATTGACACACTACTATGAGCAAAGAAAAGATTTTATTTACTTGAATAAACATTTCTGCTCGTTGGATAGTAGATAATTGTTTTTTTAGTGTATTTACTTGCACTTTTTTTTTTGCTTATTGAAATCGATATGTACATAGAAATCAAAATAAATAAAAATTGCAATGAAAAAAAATATCAATAAATTATTGATAAACAATATCTTTATGTTTACAGAGCTGTTGCAGCATATCTGAGAGCCTTGAATCTAAGTCCCAATAATGCTGTCGTTCATGGAAACCTGGCTTGTGTATACTATGAGCAAGGGTAAGTAAAAAAATCATTCATGAATCGTACGATAAATATTGTGATAACTGTAAAAAATCAAGATTAAAAAATAAATCGAATAAATAAAAGATTCATCACTTTTAATTGAAATTTTATTTCATGCTAGAAATGATAATATTCATTACTGTTATTGCTAATGGTTTTTTTAAAGAATAGATAGACTAATATGAAAGACATTTATTATACTAAGTTATAATTATAATTGATGATTTATTTGTACTAATAGATTGATATCTGTTTCAATAGGCTCATTGATTTGGCGATCGATACTTATCGAAGAGCAATCGAACTCCAACCAAACTTCCCAGATGCCTATTGCAATCTGGCAAATGCCCTCAAGGAGAAAGGACAAGTGGTTGAAGCTGAAGACTGCTATAACACTGCTTTACGACTCTGTCCCACCCACGCTGATTCCCTTAATAATTTGGTAAAGTTCTATAACAGAGATAACGAGATTTAAATATATAATTGGACTCTACTCAAAATTTCATTGTTTAATGTTTGAAGATAAAATATGTAATTTTCTAGTTCTTTCAAATTAACGATAGTCTATTGTGGATTTTTATTAGATTTCATGTTTCACGACAATGAAAAGTTTGGTTTTGTTTAGTAATAATCGACAAAGAACTTTTCCTAACTTTGTCTTGTATAATAGAAAAAACAAAAAAGTCGTCTCTGTGAGATATAGATGTGTAGAAAAGTATCATGGTCATGTTGAGTTAATAGAAATTGATTTATTGTTAAAAATATCTTTAATAATGAGTTTTGAGTATGTACCAAAAGTTGTTTTAAATTAATAGCATAATAAAGAAATAAATAAATAGTGGCTAAAGTTTAATTTAATTTTCAGGCCAACATAAAACGCGAACAAGGCTACATTGAAGAGGCAACTCGTTTATATTTGAAAGCTCTAGAAGTATTTCCAGAATTTGCAGCAGCCCACAGTAATCTTGCTTCAGTTCTTCAACAGCAGGGTAAACTTAATGAGGCTCTCATGCATTATAAAGAAGCAATCCGTATCCAACCAACCTTCGCCGATGCTTATTCTAATATGGGAAACACCCTCAAAGAGATGCAAGATATTCAAGGAGCTTTGCAATGTTACACTCGAGCTATACAAATCAATCCTGCGTTTGCTGATGCCCATTCCAATCTTGCATCTATTCATAAAGATTCTGGAAACATTCCTGAAGCTATACAGTCATATAGAACTGCATTAAAATTAAAACCTGACTTCCCTGATGCTTATTGTAATTTAGCACATTGTTTACAAATTGCATGTGATTGGACAGATTACGAAGCAAGAATGAAGAAATTAGTGTCAATCGTTGCTGAACAACTTGATAAAAATCGATTACCAAGTGTCCATCCACATCATTCTATGCTCTATCCACTTTCTCATGAATTTAGAAAGGCTATTGCAGCACGACATGCTAATCTTTGCATCGAAAAAATTCATGTACTCCACAAGCAACCTTACAAATATCCTCGTGAAGCTGGAGTACGTTTGAAAATTGGTTACGTTTCATCTGATTTTGGAAATCATCCGACAAGCCATTTGATGCAATCAATTCCTGGATTACATGATAAAAACATCGTAGAAATATTTTGTTATGCATTAAGTGCTGATGATGGAACAAATTTCCGTTCGAAAATTGCTCGTGAAGCGGAACATTTTATAGACCTTTCTCAAATTCCATGTAATGGTAAAGCAGCGGATCGCATCAATAATGACGGAATTCACATTTTAGTAAACATGAATGGCTACACAAAAGGTGCAAGGAATGAAATTTTTGCTCTTCGACCTGCACCTATTCAAGTAATGTGGCTTGGATACCCCGGAACATCTGGAGCAAGCTTTATGGACTATTTAATTACTGATGAAGTTACATCACCTTTGGAATTAGCAAGTCAATATAGTGAAAAGCTTGCTTACATGCCTCACACGTATTTCATTGGTGATCACAAACAGATGTTCCCTCATTTGAAAGAGAGACTTATCCTAAGTGATAAATTAAACGTTAAAGGAAAGGTCGCAGACAATGTCGCAGTCATAAATGCTACTGACTTGTCTCCTATGATTGAGAATACCATGGTAACGGAGATCAAAGAAAAAATAGTTGTCGCAGACTCAAAGTCTAAACCTTTAGAAATATCACTGAAAGTTGCTGAATTGCCTACTACGACCCCAATTGAGACGATGATTGCTTCCGGACAATGTCAAATGTCTGTTAATGGTGTCGTTGTTCAAAATGGTATGGCACCTACTCCAGTAAATACTAAGACAGCTACTGGTGAAGAAGTACCTCAGAATATCGTTATCACAACTAGACAACAATACGGATTACCTGAAGATGCTGTTGTTTATTGTAATTTCAATCAATTGTACAAAATTGACCCATTAACTCTCCACATGTGGGCGTATATTCTCAAACACGTACCAAATTCTATTCTTTGGCTTCTTCGTTTCCCTGCTGTTGGAGAACCAAATTTACAAGCTACTGCTCAACAACTTGGTCTTGCTCCTGGTAGAATTATTTTTAGTAATGTTGCTGCTAAAGAAGAACATGTACGACGTGGTCAATTAGCTGATATTTGTTTGGATACACCTCTATGTAATGGTCATACTACCAGCATGGATGTTTTGTGGACTGGAACCCCTGTTGTTACTCTTCCTGGCGAAACTTTGGCATCCAGAGTTGCTGCAAGCCAATTAAATACTTTAGGATGTCCAGAGTTGGTTGCAAGAACTAGACAAGAGTACCAGGAAATTGCTATTCGTTTAGGAACGGAGAGAGAGTAGTGAGTATTTATAAATTATATTTTGTTTAAAAGAAACTATTGATAGATTAGTTGGCTTTTTTTTTAATCTAGTTTTTTATGATTCTCTAGATACGTTGTTTACAACTTTCATTTTTTGTAGTAAATTATATACGTTGTACTTTTTTAATGCAAATTTTAGTTACAATTTATGTCTTCAAATAATTAAATAAAAACTTGAGAGATAAATATAAATAATTAATGTAATTTCAAAGTTATATAAGAGAAAAGTGTTTGAATAAAAGTTTAGTTAGAAGTTAATAGAAAATTAAATATTGATAAATACACTCAGTAACAAAATGTCATAAGACATGATATTTTCTACAACAAAATCTTCCTTTTTAAATTAAAATATTTACTTTGAACTGTTCTTTTTTTAGCTTAAAAGCTATAAGAGCTAAAGTATGGAAAGCAAGATCAGAGAGTCCATTATTCAACTGCAAAATGTATGCAATGGGAATGGAGATGCTTTATAAGAAAATGTGGGAACGATACGCTCGAGGAGAGAAGCCAGATCACATTTCAGCAGTTGACAAGAATGAAAATAACCATCAGAAAGCTTCAGCTGCATTATAGACTGTCAGAAAATAGGGTTAACGATCTCAACATAAACTAAAAAAAAAAAAAAAAATATTTTGTTTTCTTTTTTTAATTATAAATCAATTCAATTTTAAAATTTATTCAATCAAAAAATTTAAGTGAAAACACCTGTCTTGTTATTAAAGAATTACATTAAAAAATGTCAGACAAATTGTTGGAATTTTTTTTAGGTAGTCTATAATTACTAAATATTTTTTTTGTATAATAGACAAGGTGAAAAATAATATATAAAACATATATGGACAGAGAAAATGGAAAAAAAGAGAATAGATATAGATTTAATTTATATAAATGGTGAATAAAATCAACTGTGCACTCGACAAACAATAACTGGATCTGACGATAATTATGATTATTATTAAAATTATAATCATAGTTATTATTATTATTATTGTTATTAAAAGTAATAAACTACAACTCGTAATAAGTTTAACTTAAAAGTGTATGCGGTATTTTAACTTATTAAAATATTACAATGAATATAACTATCTTTTTAATTTATTTCTCTTTTTCATTCATTTTTCAAATAAATAGAAGTGAATTGAACAAGTGAAGGATAGTTATTTAATTTTTTTAATATCTTAATTATAAATAAATAAATAATTAATGAGTAAATCATAAAAAAAAACGGGTTGTATATTTATCGAGCAGTTAAACTAATAATACTAAAAAAAAAAAAAAAAAAAAAAAAAAAATTGTAAATAAGTAAAATGTTAGTTTGTCTTTTTCTTTTCTTATAGTTGATTATTTTGAATACTTATTTAACATAAAAATTCATTTGTATGACGGAGAAACATGAATTATTTTTATTAATTCTTATTATCTATCTATAAGTGTAGACTATACTTGTGTAAAAGTTGGTAGATAAAAATATAACGAAAAATGGCAAATTTTTATGCAACAATTTATCATCTTAAATAATTTTTTCATTATCATTACTATATAAGATAAAATATTATTCTGTCAAATATTTGTTTGAATCCTTATAATGACCATAAGTCTACTACTTTGCTACTAGTTGGCCTCTTATTTTGTAATTAATATGAAATCTTACTATAACTTCTTGGAATTTTAATAAGTAAATAGCGATATAAGTTTAAATCGATTGTATTAAATATATTCTAATGGTAGAAATTAATTTTAGTGACTTAATTATCGGTCTAAATTTATTATGCCTCAGTGCATGGTTTTGTGAAAGTTTAAGGCTTGACTTCATCATCAGTTATTAGAGATTCTTGTTTACGTTCGACGTTTGGAATGTATATTTAGATTCACATTTAACAGTGCAAATAATATCTGTATATTGAAAAAGTAACACCTTTGTTTGGCTTCGAGTTGTTGACCAAAGTAATCAAAACAAACAGGTCATGACATGGAAATTTACTTGAGAATAACAAGATTTTAGTTGTCATTCTAATTCAATTTTTTGTTAGGATTAAGCTAATTCTTAGAATAATTTCAAATAATATAAGTAATAAATACGTATATTAATGAAATTTTAAAACTTGTTGAAACTCTACAAACTGAATATCTTCTAAACTAATTGATGAATATCTAATTCAATTAGACTTTAGTATAAATAATTTAAAGAATTATCAATTTAAGTATGTTTAATGAATTTATAAATTATAAATTGTTTATAATCATTCCTCGGGTATAGAAATTTCTATATTTTTAAGGACTGATCAGCAAGCTGTTGTATGTAGGTGATAAAGTAGAGAGCTACCAGTTATCGTCTGTTTAAAAAATAATATTCAAACTACTACATTGAACTACTGAATATTCTATAATCGTTCTTCGGTCATCGCGGAATTCTATTTCAACTCAAATACTCATGCGTTCATATTTAGCGAAGAAATAAAATGCATGTTTGAGGTAGAAATAGACTCTTGACATTTGACCCGGATACCACTAGAATAGCATGGGTATTAGTTATGCAAAGAAATATATTTCCATTCCTATTTTCAATTTTTTATCTTGATATTTACTTTTTCATCTTTTTTTTTTGTTTACTTCTTCTATCTACACTATTTAAAGCAATTTTCAAGACTAAAAAACTCATAATGATAGTGTTTTTCGATAACAAGTACAGTATTATTCTTGAAATGAATACACTAGCTGGTATTTTATATTCAAATATTAAAAAATGTACACAATTATTGATTTTTATATTGTAAATATATTTCGGTGTTGCAAAACGGCTACCAAATGCTACAATGTATTGATATTTTGTATGGAAAATATTGGTAATAATTGTCTGAATGTCAGGAGTGTTAGAATATTATAAGCTAATGTTTTCTAACGATATTATAGCTATAGAAATACGTATAAAATGTAATTTTACCAATGAAAAAAAAACTCTTACGGTATTTTTTTCATTAAGATCATACGCGAGATTGTATCATTTAAATCTATAAGCTTGTTTCCACTGTACGTACATACTGCCGTCCATTTAGAGAAGGAATAGGTCAGCGGACTTGATAGCACGTAGCGGGCACATTAATTAATTTCAATTGGATGAACCTAGTGTTCATGTATCGGGGACGAAACAAGAGTGCAAAAGCTATAGGACAATGGATGCCAGCAAGAATTTTAAATATTGAAAATAATTAATTTTGGAGAAGCTTGATAATGATGGTGAATAATTTTTTAAAATTAACTTTTATTTAAATTAATTACCAATGTGTAGGAAAATAAATAAATCAAAATTAATTAATTAAAACTTACAAAATGTATAAATGATCGAGTGGAAAGTTGAATTAAATATTATTTGTTCACAGTAATTTTTTTTTTTTTAGTAATTGAAGGAAAGTAATCAATCTCCAATTGATTTAAAGACAATTCTATTAAACAATTTTCTTTTAATTTGTTAACTTAAGTAAATTGTAAAGAAACCAAAAGGTAAAATAGAGTTAATGATATTTCCTTTTTGTTCTTTTTATTAGATCACTCTAGCTGATTGATAGAAACGTATTGTCTTAGGAAATAAATTGGAACTCATATCTTGCAGTCTTGATCTATCTATTCTATTGACTTATTGAAAAGGATTTAGATTGGTTTGATTGAACGATCAATTTTACTCATACAATTTCATTATTAACTTGGTGTGTTTAATTTGCATGCAGAATATTTGGTGTAGAAAATATTCGATTTAGTGTTATTGAAATAATATTTATTGATGAAAAGAAAAAATTTAAGATAGATATACGACATAATAAAATGAAATGAAATGAAAGACGGATAGAGAAAAAAAAATATTCTTATAGTCACGTCAGCATTGATAAGCAGAAGATTCACGTCAGCACTTTGTCACAGAATAAGTTACGATCAAGCAATCGTATATATTACAAAGTTTTTTTACTTGTTCATTTATACTTATAAAATAGTTTTAATAATATTAGAAAATAATTATTATATGATAATTTAAAAATAACTTGAAGATAATATTATAATATTTATAAGAAAATAATTTTAACTTCCTTAAACTTAATTGAAGAAGTAACTTGAAGTAATGAAAATGATATTTATCAATTTATTTACTTTAAGTAAGAAACTATATGTTTGAATTTCTAAGTAAATACATAACTATGGTTAGTAGATAAGCAAGAATAGTTTATAAAATGATAGCAAAGTTGAATAATTTTTTTATAACTAGAATTGTTAATGCATTTTGAAGCTGCACCTTCTAAATATTCCTATTGTAGATACACTGCTAGGTATATATGCTAGGTACAGTATTGTTTAGCAAATAGACTTAGTCAATCGATTAATAGTCACTGTGCGTTTCCAGTTGGGCTCAAGCTTCTTCCTCGTAATGGGCGTTTCCAGATGTATATTTGCGTGCTCTGGCTGATAACAGCAACGAGTACGTTGGGATTGATGTCTTGGACTTTTCCAACGTGCCTTGACTCTGCGGAAACCACTATGAATCACTCTCAGTCTATTAAATGATTTATTAAACCGTCAAGAATCTCATGTATATCAATTCTTTATCGATAAATTTTATTTTATAAATATATAACGGTCAAAATTATCAACGGTTATTTTTATTTTGGCGAGACATTCATTTATAATATGTTGAAATTATCAACCAAAACGAAAAAGAGTTTTAATAGTATCAAAATGGAGATAAAAATTTTTAAAAATATTTTATTATAAATAATAAATATTTAGTAGCTTTTGAAAGTTTATTTGTGAAGATTTTGGTCAGGTTTGAGAGTTAGATACTTTGGATAAATATTTGAATAATTTTAGCAGAAAAATTAGCAGTTTAGAGGCATCGCAAAAGAGTCCCTAAGTTTTTTATGTTATTTTTGCCAATGATTGGTGCTAGGCCTTGAGAATACAATATATTCTTATACACATTCATAGAGTATTTGTATGCATGTGTGCATTAAATTTCTCATATAGAGAAATCGTGCGTGTAGTAGGCGATAGGGACGCTTCAACTTCTCCACGTGTATGACCTTTAGCTGCCCCAAAAATTCTCAGCAACATTCTCCCCTTCGATTTATTCATATAAAAGCACATTTTTTCCCTCTTTTCAGATCATCCCATCCATAAATAAAATAATAATTTTTCTCAATAATTAATGTAATATTAATATATTCCCAAACAAATGATTGCATTTATTTGGATTATTTTTAGCACAGCTTTTTTAATTTTATTTTAATTGTGGTATATTTATATGGTGATAAATCTTGCATGGGGGAGCGAAAAGAAGAGGGGTAAGGCTTTGGTCTTTAGAAAAGATGAAGAGAAAAAATGTAAAAAGAAAAAATAAGAGAAGTAGATCTCCCATGTCTTGCTGTCATTGGTGCAAGGCTTTGAAGGATTGAAAAGGGGAGTTTACCAAGCAGACATTGAGCTAGATTCACTCTCATTCCAGCCCTGAAGGCTTTCGCACCAGAGTAAAATAAGATGAATCGGGATTTTACCTGGAAAGCGTTCAGAAACCATTGCTTTTATACCCAAATGCTATATAGAACCCGAAGGCGTTCAATAAGGAGGGACCCTTAAGTCATCTCTGCTTGGACCCTCTCCAATATTTTGCGAGATTTCAGCTTTCTCATTGGTCCTAGTATCTATCCAATAAAATTTATCAATATAAAAAAAGGACTTTATGACAAACATTCATGCCATTACTAACTTTTTAACTTTATTTCTAAATAAATCCAACAATTTTTAAACATCACTTACTTAAAGTTTTACAAATATTGAACTCCACAACAATCAATTGTTCTTATTCACTGTATTTTAAAAATGCTAGAAAAAATGTTGTTCATTTGGTAAAATAATTTATTCAAACAAATGATAGAAAAAAAAAGAAAACGTAGAGTTTTTAATTATTCAGTAAAAATTTATGCTAATAAAAAAAAAAAAAAGATGGATAAAAATTTTTCGCACAATAATTAATCCAGAAAAGAATTTATA